AAAATACACGTATGATAAAGAAAAAAAATTGTGCAATCATTCAAATTACCTAGGCCTACCATAACAATAGGCGAGTCTCAAGCCTTAGGAAATGATATTGTTCCTTTCTTCACTCAAACAGGTACACGACAATCTTTGTTCAAAGGGTCCAGAGAAGCCAGCCATGTGGAGTACAGGCCTCGCCTCGGTTTGACAAGTTTAGTTTTGTAGTTTACAACGGCTACTAGTAACTGGACTTCATCTGGATGAGCCTGTCAAGATACGATCAAAATTTCTCTAGTGATTTTAGTACTCGGCTGAATGAAGGATTACGCAGGAGGCTCCTGAAAATATTTTATTGAGAATTTTCATGAAGAGGAGGAACATATTTGTAACTAATGGGAACTTTGTAATTTTTGAAAATATTTCCAGCGTTAGTTATTTCAGGAACGAAGAGGCTGAACTCAAACGTCACAGTCTTCGTTTGCGTCTGCCGCTTTCGCTCGTGCTGATATAATGCCCCGGCTTTTTCAAATGTGCACACAAAACTTAAAGTCTTTATCAATGTCTTTGCATCCGAGTGGAGAACAAGGAAGAGCAGCTAAAAGATAGTTAGAATATTCAGTTTCCCGGATACAGGTCCTCTTACCTTCAAAGAAGAAGCAATAGAAAAAGCTCGTGGTTGAATGGGTGGGATCAGGTCAAATAAATATTCGAAGGGGATGTTGGCACTAGCAGATGGAAAGTCTTGAAGAACCTACAGACAGACATTGCACACCTTTCGTCAAACACTATCTCTATTTATCATTAAATACCGTAATGATTCGATCTAGCGTCTGGACGCTTATTTACTTCAGTTACCAAAAGGAAGGCGCTTATTCTTTTCTTAAAAACAGCAGAATGTGTCAAATAAAGCTTCGATGTTTATTTGAAAAGGATCAAGAAACTAGAAAAGGGACGTGTCGTCTCCGGATCCTTCCTGGCTAAAACGAAAAGCCAAGTATTCGCCGCAAATTTTAAGACGAGATAATTGCTCTGAAGGAATTGTGCACTCACATGGACATAGTAGTTGAGAGACTGAGACGAAGGCCATTGTTTTATAATGAGGCTATAAATAAGCAGTTAAACGAAGGTGGACCACGGTAGATCTCAATGTATATAAACTATAACAGTGATATCACTGAAACGGAAAAGGAGCGCTTAATGGCAATTTCAGACGGGAGTATGGACGCTTATTGGAATAAGGGTGCTTACTCAAAAGGGGCGCGTATTAACAAGACAAAATTTGAGAGGAGCGCTTACTAGAGAAGGGGAGCCTATTGGAAAGAGGACCCTAAATCGCATCTTTAAGGTATGATAAGTTAACCTGTTGTTTCCTCAGAAATGATGACACGCAGCAGCCTTGAGGTTTGCGCACTGAAAAGTACAAGCCCTGGCCGGTGCTATTCTGTTCTTTGAAGAACCTTTTCCTCCCACAGTGCCACTCTCTTGTCAAGAGTATAAATGGGTAGTGTAAAGTTTCAGAGAAATTGCTGGGCTCAAGGGACCAGCATTCCGCTCAAGTAGAATAGAAATACCCCCGGTGACTTCATGTTCCAGAAACTGGGAATAAAAGATCCCCAGTGTCGTAATTTTACCGATATACAATTCTTTTTCCGTTGCAAGTCTTAAAATTGTGACAAAATCTCCTCTGTTTGAACAAATTGATCACCTTGCTCTCACCAAGATGGTGAGTACTTCAGAAACTCAATTCACCTTGCTTCTGAATAACAACATCAAATTTACCTCCAAGGAAGGAAGGAATCTTCCGTCACTTTTCAATCACATTTTGGAGAAATATTATGAGGAACTGATACTTTCTTTCTCTGAATGACAATTTTTTTTTTATCCTGAACCATAATCCTATGGTTCTCTACATCTAACATGGCACAATAGGAGTAAACTTTGAAGGCTTTATATTGTAGCCTGCATGCAGAAAACTCTTCATTTTCACGTGAGTGCTGACTCAAATTAGGCTATCATTTTATATCAATGCTGTTTATCATAAGTAGATTTGGTTTTCAAGTTAAAGTTAAAGACCACAAAATTTATTTGTTCCTGTCACTCCGCAGAGCAAAACTCTTGAAGTTTTTCCTTTTCCAGGTCTGAACTTGTGAAGTGGGAAAGAAGCTCAAAGAAGTATCTTCTTGGTACACCTTGAATGTCTAGATTGTTCTACAAGGTGCTTAATGGAGCAAGGCTGAGGAAGCTGGTGTGGAACAGGGAGATCTGTCACATTAAATCGTGTAGTTCAACATTTAATCATGGTGGAAAGGCACAAGCTTTTTTGAATACAAATTTTTCCTATAGGGGCTTTGTAAGGAACTTCCTAACTAAGCATTAAATATAAACCATATAGCAAGATTCCAAAAATTACCACATCCCATTGAAGGATCCTGAATTTTCTCAGCCACATTCTGAACCAATATGACAAAAAAAACCCTGGCATTGTAATAACATTCTAAAATCCAATCACTTCAGCGGATGAGTGCATCTTTTAAATGACAGTTATCAGTTCTGCAAATCATTAGCCTGGATCATTCTGCTCAAGATGGAACATTTTTTCTGGTCCCAGCAATAAATGATTCATAAATTCTTGTACAACATCAGGCAGATTACCTAGCTGTACCATAAGAACGCCACCTAGAGAGTGGCTACAAAGAGCACCAACAAAAACAAATTGGCTTTTTACAATGAAATAATAGCAACCTCACCTCATAGCAGAACAAATAATCTAAAATGAGTGGATAATTGTATGGTGTGTAAAAAGTATCTATTATTCATACAGACATAACAAGTTTGTTTACAACTGACATTTTTTTTTAAGTTAAGAAGAAGGTAACTGATAAATTACTAAAAATTAGAGTATCTCAGACAATCTTCATGGCCACTGAAATAGTATCACATTAAGCCTGTGTAGCGCCAAGAAAACATCTTAGGGTGACAAGACAGTAAAGTCTCACAAGAATGTTACCAGTATGGAAATGGAACAAAAATTTCTAGAAATATTTCTGTGCAGTCCAGCAGTCAGCTTAAAAAACTAATTTAATTCATTTGAAGACAATATGTTTAATACAGGTAAACAGAAGGTGTTAAAGGATCAACCAGCTGTTGGTAAGATCAAGATGTGTAGTAGGGCAGAACAATATGTCATGTGGGCTTCATTAACAAAAGCATTTTGTTTACAATTATTCCTCCCAAAATGGAAACCTTTTTAAGCAAATGATTTGATACCAAATTATAAGAGCAAAATGTGGAAAAAAAATGTATCAAAGATGGTAAGAGAGTTTCTTTTGAGATCTTGGATGTGTAAGGGTCAATTAAAGAAAGACATAAAATTAATCAAATCTATTTGATTTAAATTCAACTTGAAATCATTTAAATCATGACTTTTCAATAAACTGTATGTATGCAGTGTTAGTACCTTATTCAAGAACCCTTGATATCAAATTGCACCAGTCTTACATCTTGCCAGTGATCTGGTGAAGTCACATGGTTGTTTGATATAAGCCGTGCATTGAAAGGATGTCTTCTGCTTGGACTGGAATCGGAAATAACTGCTTGGATAAAGAAATTGGAAAAAGAGACCAAGAGTTTTTGAATCAAAGTATGAATCACTATTAAACCATAATTAGAACATTTTTACTTCTGTCAGATTATCTCGATTTTCCATCAAAGAGCTTTCACATACTTTGTTTGTGTCCTCTTTTACAGGATTAATGGTATCAACAAAGATCACCTTGAATCTTGAGTGAGGCCTGTTTAAAGAGCAAATCAATAAAATACTTAAATTCAGTGCACCTTTATTTGTTTGCTACATCTGTCCAATTTCCTGTTATTTTCTTATACATATTGGATGACAACATAATGTTTATGATGACAATAAGAGGTTTCTTTGTTACAGTTCATGAAATCAAGAACATTCAAAATAAGATTATACCTTTTGTTCCACTTCTTAATTTTGCACTGTTCTTTCCACTATAGTAATGTCTCCTAGGAAAAACATTCTTGTTTAAAGCTCATTGGGTGCTTAATTTTCTTGATCTCTTTAATCAAATTGACGAGAAAAATTCACATGAAGATAAGGACCAATCCTGGTTCGGGACAGACATTGCCATCTTACCTAACATGAGCACTGATGATATCCTTTCCAGCTGGCAGAGGATGTATTCTAGGCATTCTTTCCCATAGTTGTTTCAACCACAGATCAACAACTGCATCTGGCCTAAATTAAAAGAAAACTATATTTAACTCTTTACTTTCCTGATATAAGCGCACTTGTCTTGTAGAATGCACTGACTGACAACTATGAAGTTAATACTCAAAGATATGATAAAATAATGATGATTTTCGCAGTTATGTCAACTGTTCTGATAGGTGAATATTTACTTGCATTCATTTCTGTTCATGCCTTTTGCTTTAGTTTTGTCACTAAGTAATTTACATTATTCGGTTTTCTATTATAAATCACCAAAAACAGGGACTTGAATGAGTTCCTCTGACAAGATACCAGTAGTTCCCTTATGTATTAGAACTTTAGCCTAGTTTAATTTAGTCCTTCTATTCAGAACATAGCATTTATAAAAGAACAACTGCCTTAAGCAAGTTACAACTGACAAATATGGTGCAACCCCCTGGGGAGGAGAGAGAGGTGGACTCTTTTTTCAAAGGAGGCAGCATTGTTGACCCCATACATTTAGGTTCCATTCAGTTAAGATATTCTTGTTATATTATCCCCCACTCTATAACTACATACCGATTAGTATGTAATCTAACCTAAGTTGACAAACAGACCCTAATTGATAGGAAAGAAAAAAAATTGATAACTTGCTAATCCCAAACTTGGAACATACCAAAGATCATGCTGGTCATCTGCTATGCCAACCCTTTGAAGTTCTGTACCACCCAGCTAGATCAGTCTCTTATTCAGCTTCTTAGCAATAAAGTTAAATGTATAAAATAAAAATTAATTAAATATTGCTTTAATCAGAGGAGACTGATGATGAATTACTCAAGATTTATAGTATCCACTGTTTATCATCATAACAGAATCAAAATTTTGATAATCTGGTTTTCACAAAATCGTTATCTTGAGATATTTCCCAACCACCTTAACCCTTTAAATCCCAGATCAAATTTGTTATTCACCTTACTGTCAACCAATCAATTCTTACAATGTTAGTTCAGATAATTTAGTATTGGATCAACTCATGATCCCCTAGGTGATATTTAAGTTCATCTCCTTGACCTGTTGTTGCACGTACAAATATCGCAAGCTCCTCTTCTATCAGCTTCATCTGAAAAAATCTACAAGTCATTATAATACTTACCATGTACTTTCGTAATATAAGATATCCGAACATAACTACAGTCATCAGATGATAGGCATACCACAATGTAATCGTCTTGAGCCAAAACACACGCTGACAGATATCTTCTTTTCGCTTCTCGACCGATTCTTTCAGCAATCTCTTGGGCAGTCCCAGTTTGAGAGCCATACAGCACAGAGAATCTTCGTCCGTCATGACGAAAGGCTGGTCCGGGTGAATTGTTTCAACTATTGCGTGACTATTCTAGCTAACAACGGTCACGCAATACTGCCATGGTATATTTGTACGATAACGCTTTTGAAAAATTGCTTAATTTTTTATTTAGCGAAGTGTACTGTTGACATTTCGGTATCTATAACACAATTACTAACTGGAACTACGAATGATTTGTTTCTACATGAGTCATCAAAGCCATTTCACCGCTGACCACTCATATTTCAGACTATTTTCTTCCCGGCTCGTCGCCCGTGACGTACAACTTTTAGAACAGCGAAGACATGGCATCCAATCTCGATTTTGCCTAGGATATCGAGGAAGCAAAAGTATATATGGCGAAGAAAAATTATTTCCAATTGTTCGAAGTCAGAAATATCTTTCATTCGTCTTGTTTTGAGAGCGGAGATTCGTTGATTGTCCGCTGAAAGAATGGAAATGACATCGGATCACTCGAGATCCTTATCTGAAACCAGAGAGGTTTTTTCTTCAGTCAACATCCAAGAGGAAATCCGTTAAATTAACAGTATCACTACACATATGGAAAATCATTCTTTGGTTCTATTCAAAACATTTTCGGTTTAAGCTGGCTAAACAATCACTTGCGATGTTAATTAATTCAGTTTCGTAGTTACACGGACATCATAATTGGACCATTGTAACAATCAGAAAACCAAGACCTCACATGTTCCTACGCAGATAAAAATCGTATTTAAAACTGATTTTCTTTTCAACCTCTCCCATATGTATTACAGCTTTCCCTCCGGAGGAAAATGGCTCATAATTTTGTCAGATACCGACATAGTTTTCATATTTCGAGGTCACTAGAGTACTCCCGGTAAACCAATCAGGATAACAACAAAACACATCACGTTGTGGTTTTTTGACGACTGGTGGTTTTACCCTTCATAGTTTTATAGTGCTCATGGGTTTCAGCCACCTCGTCAGCGTCAGAGGGCGGAAAATTTGTATTGTTCTAAGCGTATAATCTTCCTCTTTATTTCCAGACTTAGTAGGTACTTATCGAGGGTCTTTGATGACAGTTGTAATGTATTGCGTTACATAATGTCACATAGCGTCACTACGGTAAGGAACTTCCAATCACGCCGTAAATCTACTCTCCTGAGGGTGAGTAAAATAGCTGATTACGAGTATTGTACGCTAAATATATTTTCTTGATTATTAAAAAAATTCAGTGGAATAAGAGGAATGAGAGTGTTCCCTTGACTTATGAGTACTCTACAAACTGGCGATGAGGATTCTCCAAAACTCACAGAAGAAAACGACGACATAGAAGTGGTAGAAACTCCTCCACAAATGGAACGATTGCTTTATAAATGTCAACGGTGCTTTAGGCCGACAGAAGAAACTACATGTTTATATGTGTCGTACAGCCCGAGAAGTATCTTAAAAAATTAAGGGCACTAGAAGTTTAAAATTTCGGTCTGGAAGTAACCGTAAAAAATTTTTTCCTCTCCTAGCCTGGAAAGTGTTGGCTCAAGAACCGTTCGTTTTCGTCTTTTTTACGACTAAATTGGCAGGAACGATGGCCCAGAGAGAAAAGCGGTTAATTGAATCAACTACAATCACAACAGGAAGTATTGCGAGAAAGGATCTTTTCATCAGGGCCTTTCGTATGCACATAAAAATTTTGCCCAGGCATAACTATGGGTGGGGTGCTTATTACATCACATTTGAAGACACCAACACCGGCAAAGAAAAAATTTATGCAAAAGTTTAATGGAAGAGATACTTTTTATACTAACTTAACATTAATTGAAAGTGCGGTTCAAACTTGCAGGCCAAGCTAATATCATTCTCAGCTGTAGCATTTTGAGTTACCTTTAGAGCGTATAAGAAAAAATTATAAAAAATTAATTAATAATACCATTCCGCTTTAGTTTTCACATACATAAAAGCTCCTGCTTTTTCTACTATTTTTGCAGAGGGAGGCATCGAGAAGAATTTCTCTTAAAATTCTAAGTAAATCAAAGGCAAATATACGTGGCAAAGGAAACTGGCTGGCCCTATTCATTAACTACAACAACGAAATACCTTAAAGTAGCCACAAAAATGGCAGTATTTACTACATGCCAACATTTTCAAATTAAGGAGAAGATGGAAATGCTTGACGATCTTTGTGGAAGTCGTCATTTAGCTGGACAGCGGAGTTCCAAACGTCCTTTAGGTGCGCCATTTTGACGCTGTCCGGAATGTTCTCTGTTCCTGGGATCGGTTCCAAGCCTTTGTCGGCTAAACAACATTCCAAGTAATCTTCAAAGCTGTAATAAATTTGTATTTAGATCTTAGTCCTGTTAAACTATAGTACTTCGCAAGGCTGTTTGGTCAAAGTTAGGATTTAAAAAGCCGCAAAGAGTGTACCGGAAACTGACTCTTCTCCCCTAGCAATCAGCAATATCAGGATATCACTATTTTCAATTCACATCTTAAATACCAGTGTTAAAAAGAATTGAGCGTGGACTTGAACCACAAGCTCGTTTACAAAATACAAAGGAGTTTTGAATTAGAGAGGAAATTTAGGGAAAATTGAACAACAAGGCGCAGTAAAGTGTTCATCATTAGAACCTTTGGTTCAAATACAAGAAAAGACACTGACGATATCATCCCTCCCTAGAAATAATATCACCTAGAAAAGTTACAAATATCTTTTTTGAGAAACAGGTTTTTTGAAAGCCAAACGTCTATATATTAGGCATAACAGGGCAAGGAAATCTCGTGAGTTTCATGGTTTGCACTTCATAGCTCGACAGTGGCACGGTGGAAAATGCGTTATTTCCTGAAGTTACGAAAGCAACCGTAAGAAGTGTATGATAAGATAACTACTTTGGCCCTTATTTAATTGACGCATTATAGAATGGAACATTTCGAATAGCCCGCCTTACATCATCGTCGAAATCGTTTCGCCATCTTTTTTCACATTTAGAAGAATAATCTGCAGTAACTGCGGCAGAAATATGTCCATATCGATTTTTCGCAACTCGCGATTCAGGTTGGCCTTTTCTCCTGAGCCAAGTTTTTCCTTGAAAACGTCGGATAATTGCTCAAAAGGCTCCTGAAAAAAAATTCCCGAAAAGGGTTTGTTTTAAAGTGGGTCTGACGAGCTCAAACACAACTCACCAAACCTTTAATATCAAAACTACACTTTGATAACCTTGCGGTAAAGTTAAGGTATACATCTCGTGTACAGCACACAGAAACACTAATCAAACTTTGAACGAAGTTGCAGTTGTCCTTTTTATTCGTAAACGAACGAAAGCTTTAAGGCTAAAGTTCCAGAAAAAGTGACGGAAATCACACAGATCGAAAATTAAAACCATCAAAATGAAAAAAAATTACTTCAAACCTAACCTGTTTGTTCCTGGACTTGATTTTTGCTCTCTCGAGAGCCATAAGCCGCCACAATGCCAGGGTATGGGACAAACTGCAATGCTGCTCTGCCTGCAATAAGATGGCATAATCCATAAGAACCCATGGAAGAATCAAAACACTCCTAAATAAAAAAATTGCTGGCGTAGGAGCAAACAGTCGAAAACGGGGCTTCTCCTTCAGTTAACTATTAGAAAATATTATAATACATCTCTCACACATCGTTCGAATGCTGTACAACCTCTGGCGTCCAGAAATGAGCTTTTGTAGCAACAAACAAGAACATTTTGATTCAGATATTAATGTTGTGAGCGTTGCACCAGTCAAGAAAGATGACCGCTCAAGTGAGTCTTTCAAATAAAAAGGAGAAATTTACTCACCATTGCACTCTTGAGACCTCGATCTTTGGGTAGCTTAAGTACCTCATGTAAGTACCATTTTAAAGGCCTCTCCGGCTGGCCACCCGATGAGGCAAGAAAACCAATGGCAATGTCCAGTGACGATATAACATCAGAGACATCAGACAAGGAAGACCGCAGATCATTAATAATCTGACTTTCGACGACGCGGGAAATTGGTTCCTTTAAAGAAACACTTCGTGTAAATGTCTTAGATCTTGACTACACCAACATCATAATAATGTTATAAATATATTACTGTCGACGTAACAAAAACAATTCAAAGCCGAAAACATGCTTCCGTTAACTTAAATAGCTGGAGGGAAAAGTCTATCATGTTAGAAAGTGGAATATACTGCTCTTTCCGTGGTCAAGACGGATCAAAGTGGCTATAAACCTGTTTCCCAAAAATACAATCAAAGACAGACCAGATGACAAAACAGCAAAAAATGAAGCAAGATTTCGTTCCCAATGAAACTACAAAAAGTTAGTAAAGGAGTAAGGTTCTAAAGAAACTGTGGCACTGCGTCGATGGGAGAGTATAACAGGTAATTTAGTTAACAACTGAGTTGAAAAGGTAAATTGGCCACCGTAAACAGTTTAAAGGCTGATGTTTCGAGCGTTAGCCCTTCATCAGCGCAAGTTATACAGTAAATGACATTGGCGGAGGTGCATGTAAAGTGATCAGTGATCTTAATGGATCTCTAGGGTGCCAACAGTTTCTCTTCGTTAGGAATGAAAGGACAAGTTTTGCATCGTGGACGAGCACTTGAAAGTTCCAGGTTGGTCACTGGTTTGAAATGAACTTCTGACCAAAAAATCACCTATGTTTTTGTCACGTTTGAATGAAATTAGTGGAGGTTGAGAAAAGATAGTACCAATCTCTCAATCGTTTTGGAGTAATTTAATCTTTTTAAGAATGATAGATTTAACTGCGTGGTTATGAGGGTGAAATGTGAGAGTGAATGGAATGCGGTCACCATGCCCCACAAATTGATCGACAGTCAGCACTACAAACGGCTGAGAAGGAAAACACTAACCACATTCCATTCAACCACGCAGTTAAATCTATACGGTGGCCAATTTACAATTTCAATTCAGTTGTTAACACTAAATACATGTTAGAAGCGGTTAGATTGCAAGTAAATGAGAAAATAGATGAAAAAACACATTACCAAATAAATAAACATATTTCATAAATGAAGATAATCTGAAATGTTATCCCAATTTAAAAACCCCAGTTTGCATCGACAATTATCAGACACCCACCAACACCAAATCTCCTTTTCAAACATTCCACACCTTGAGATTTTATTCTTTGGTGCGTCATTGAAACTAAGGCGAAAGCAAATTTCTTTTATAGAACTTTACAGAACACTGGTTAAATATAGATATTGAAACGAAAAAAAGGGAAACTATGAAATTTACTTGAGGAATTTTTCCAGCTAGGGAAGTGAAAACTGCGTCATCTCGAGTGTCTCGGCTGAACGCAAAACGTTCCTCCTGAAACAAAAGGAAAAAAAAGCGCTGACAGAGATTACAATTACTTTGGTTGCAATTCTTCTTCCAGTTGTGAAGGGATGGTCATAACGAAGTTCTAAACGCGTCTTCAAAACGGAATGTTTGTTTTGTTTTTTGCTTTTTCGAATGTTTGGTCATCAGGTACTGACCAGAGGGACACGTAATTCAAATAAAAGGTTAGGAAGGACGAATAGTACTAAGTGTTAAGAAATGGGGCTGACGCCGCTGTTTGCAACATACTTCCCAGAAACCAAAACAGTTTGCATATAGCCCTGCGAAATAACCCCTCTTTTGACTTTTAACAGGATTCCTATCTTTGAAACATGAAAAAAGGTAAGCTTTTTTATCCATCAACTGAAATTGTTATGACTGGTTGAGACATATCTTCAAAAGAGAAACGTGTCTCTAATAAAATGAGTTTGAAACTGTTTGCACTAGGATGAAGCAAACTCAGTAAGAGAATGAAGAGAATAAATATATTCCTGTCCGGTGAAAACGAGTTCTACAGAAAAAACAGAAAATTCTTTTTTCTCATCATATATTATGTGTTCTAAATACCTCCACCCTACCTTGAACTCGACAAAAGGCCTTCCCCATAACAACCTGTCTATCAGCTGTCTCTCCAGAGCCGCCCAATCATAGTGAACTAAGGTCTCCTGTCCCACCTCCAGAGAGTAGTTACAATGAGCCAGAATGAGGGGCAGCAGGTCTCTCTCAGGATCATAGGCTATTAAGTGCGATAAGGTCACCTCTGATACGTAGACACGCTCCAAGGGACTTTAAATGAAAAAGAATATTGCAGATGATATGTATAGTTGGGTCTTACTCATAAACAATTATGAGATGAGATTTTTGTAATATCCAGAATAATCAAGGTCGAGTTAGGGGTTATCAGCCGAAGCCGAAGGCTGAGCCGGCTAATAACCCTTACCAAGACCTTGATTGTTCTAGATATCACAAAAACCAAATCAAACAATTGTTTTATAATACATTGAAGGAAAAAAAATGTTCACAAAAGTAGGCGGAATTGATAATTTATTTCTAAACGCGTGAAAATATACAAATCAGCAAGCAACACAAAGCGCGCGAACTTGACGTGATTACCCTTAAAATTGGCACTGCAGTTACACGTGACATGATTACCCGTGACCTTGAGTGTCCTTGACATGACAATTGTATAATCTGAAACTAGATGACGTCCCAAGCGCTGATTTCGAAAATTCACCGAAGGCTTTCGGTCAATCAGAAAAGAGATAGTAAGTTGAATGCATAATAATGACTGTAATTGTCTGTAGTTAAGTGTCCTATGCTTAGTGGGGTAATTATCCAAGACTGAGCATGACTAGTGGAAAATTATTTTCATCAACATCGTAACTATTTCCAATATACATTATTCTCGAAAATAATAGCCCCAATTAATGACATTTTTCACTCTAAAGCTACATTTAGAGGAGATGATAACTGATTGCAGGATGCTGATATCAGTCTCATGTTGCAGCTCAGTCAGCTTGACAAACACCCTAGACCTAAATTAAGTAGAAAAACGTTATCTACGCTTTAGACAGCTCGAGTCAGATCATGTCGATCAACTATTTGCTTCTATAGAAGGTAAGAGGAAAACAGCAACACGTAAGCTGTTCATTATAAAATTATGTACCTGTCTTGATTAGTTGCACTACGGTAGGCTCCCAGAGACTCGTTATTTGCATTAACCAGGAAGAAGGTGAGCGAGGTCGAACAAACTCCCATCCCGGTGGTGCTGGGGAGAACCATTGCGATTGGAAAGTCGTTGTCGATTGTGGTATTACACAGGTCTTGTGGAACGCGCAGGCGACCTTGGGGTATAAAGAATGACAAAGACAAATTAGAACCAGAGTACTCAAAATCGAGCAAGGTAAAACTGCAAGAACAAACGATCAACGAAAACACTGAATTTGTGTCTGAGTTGAAATAAATTACCACATTAAAAAATTCGATTGATAGAAAGAATAACAAGAGAAAAAGACCGCAATTTTTCTAAATCAGTGTGATCCTTTTTAAAAACCGGCAAATTAAATGTTCGAGGTAATATTTCATGACTAAGTTTTGACTCCTCATCCGAGTCTAAATTTAGCATCACTTATGAGTTTGGCCTTTTTCATCTCACCACGCTGGGCTCAGATAAACTATTAAGTAACTAAACAAACATTTATTACAGAAAGAAACGAAATTTGTTCGCAATAATCACTTAAGCCTTCTTCCGTGTACCCTGGAAAAACGGAACAATCATTGTACCTTGATCACCGAGAAATGACTTGCAAGCATTCCATGCATTCTTGAAACTCTGGAAAAGGTTCGTATACTCCTCTTTCACAGATCCTGGAGACAAATTGGATCTCAGCAGAATTCAAATTTACTTCAAGAGTCTCCACAGTTGCACTTACACTGGCAACTTTCTCTTCAGTAAAATTCATACAAAAAGTTCTTATCCAGAAGAAGTCATACGGAAAATGTCAAACACGGAGACTTGTCAAGGCAAATCTTGTCTAGGACGCAATTTACTTGCGCAGATGACCCGAGAAGAGTTCCCAAGAAAATTCTGACCATGATCATTTTTTTTGACAAATAAATAAACGAAATTGAAATTTAGCAGTCACATTTCCAAGGGGTAGAAATGCTACAGCTTTGACACCTCCGTCATTCTCGTCGTCAAAAAATTTCCTGTGGAAAAACTAACAGGGAAAGGTGCACCTGCTAACTGCAGCTTACTGTTTGAAAAGCATCACAAAATATCAACCCTTTGCATTGAACAATTGCCATGGCATTGGCTATATCGGATACAGGTTTGTAACTTATTTAGTACCTTTGGGAAGGTCCTTGAGAAATTCACGGACGGTATAATTCTCAGCATCTGTTCTGTCAATTCGTCGGTGGAATCTGTCCATTAATAGACGCTGGAGGCGAACAACATCGGGAAGAAACTGAACGAAACGCAACTTGTGTTCCTGTATTCGTTAAAAAGGAAAAAGCAAGTAAAGATAGAGACTTAAAAGAAAACTGCCTTCGGTTTTTCATGTGCAGATGCTGCCCGAAATTTAGGCAGGAAAAGCGGTTAGAATTACAAGGAAAATCTTTGTAGCACAGAACCCCAACCCTTTGCAGCAATATGTTGATGTTACCTGTTTGAGGAATAACAAGGAAAATCTTTGTAGTACAGAACCCCAACCCTTTGCAGTAATATGTTGATGTTACCTGTTTGAGGAAAGCTTCCAACACTTTGAATTTCCCTCCGCCACCAGAAAGGACTTCTCTTTGAAAAGAGCTACTCAGTTGCTCAACAGTTACACGGTGTCTGTACTTCCAAAGAACGCGAGACATGGGCCTAACGCCCTGAGATAAGTCTTTAATCTGTTCATCGAACTCGTAAAGTTGACGTACCAGCGGATCCTTTCCTGCAAAGGACACAATACAAAGATGTGAGAAAATTTCTTATTCAACAGTTTCGCCAGAGTTTGTAATAACTGCGCGCGCTTCAGCATAAATTGGAAAAAAACGCCTTCCTACCAGCTAAGGTTGAGTTAACGCCTCTTTCAGGGATAGCACTAAAGCCCTCCAATCCACTAGTCCTACTACTAGTAGATTCGCTTCCCGCGCATTTTTTACGGCATCAACAAGTAAAATGAAATAGCGTACCAAATCTCCCGTCTCCCATCAAAAGTCTTGAGGCGTTTTGGAGATTCTCGTCAAGATGCTGGAAAGATGTTGCAAAAATAACAATAACACTAGAACGCTACTCATACGGATAAAGATCGTATGTAGCAAAGCAATTGGCGAAACAAACCAAAAGAAATCACTAAATTTTACGTACGGTGATGACAGGAACAAGAATATCAGAGCAAAAAGCTTTCTCCCAGCTGCGGCGACTTTCCTGAGTTTGAAGAAGCATGTCATGGTCATTTCCTGGAGAGTATGAGAAGAAATGGGAAACAATGGGCAATAATAAACAAACTGGATAGCAAAATAGAGAGAGAGACTGAATTTTTGTTCAATATGCTAAACTCGCTATTTAGTTTGATCAACATGAAGGCAAAACTAAATATGACGTCATCAGAATCAATTGGTTCTCCCTGCTATGCTGCCATTTGCTACTTCATTATGAACAAAATTCAGCAACATCAGCCTGCGATCCGTACGCCATTTGTTTCCCTTTTTGATTTTAATTCTACAACCACACCATGGTGTCATCTGTTATCTACTACTCATTTAATCATACCGACCAACCAGTTCGAGGGCTTACGGTTGATATGTTAACTTTTCTTAGAATTCGCAATCAGAGCTAATTAACTCCTCAATGTCGGAATTGATCATAGTTATATTATGATGATGGCTAAAGTTTGCGAACCGGTTTCTAAAGCACAGTTTGGCAAAGAATAGAGCTATTCACCCTCGATGATATGGGAGTCCATCGGATGAGAGTTTACCCGTTGATCAAAGTGTGTTTTTACACTAATTTTAAGGTATGAAAGCTTGTACCAGTTTTTCCCCCATTTAGCGAGATCATCCGCTGTAATGCTAGATGAACTGTCAGAGCTGCGTCATCAACACTGCACCTGAGTGCTCTACTGAGAACATCCAGGTCTCTCTGCAAGTGCTGCCATAAAAACTGTCCCACAGACTGCGACGAGCATGAAGATGTGATCAGCTGTGCGGTTGCCTTTGAAGAAAAAAATCGAAGATTTTTAATTGTACTCAAGAGTGAGATAGATGAGAAAAGAACTTGGCTGCTCTTCTTGATTAAAACCATATGGATATTAATTCCATCAGGTTTTAGACAAAGTTATCTCCAAGTAGAAACTTGACTTGTAATCTGGTGGTCCCGGGTTCAAACACTTGAAACTCTCACTTGATTTATTCTCGGTTGCCCCGAGTTTTCAACTCCTTGGCTTGGTTTTTATACCTACTGTAAATAAAGCCTAATACTATTCTTATCGTTATTATTATTATTATTATTATCATTATATTAATTTGAGAATTCCTATCACTCTAAAAACTGGTCAGTCAAACTATATATCACGTGAACCGCGTGTTCTTTTTCTTTATATCAAATCTACATCAAAACATTGGCGTTCTAGATCAAAATTCATTCTCTAAAGGAGTTCAGAAGGACCGCAGCAGATACAAAAGTTACCAGAATGTTCATTTTCTGACAGCCGCCCGCTGTGTCTAACAACCAATCACCTGTGGATTTCTGGATGCTCCCATGACCATGGCCGAGTGCACGATAATCCTCAGCAAACTGCACACTATCGGCGGCATGTCTCTTTGAGGTTCTGCGTTCGTAAGTCTCGAGCTAGGTTCTCCGAGTACATGGCCAGCTTTGGTCCTGTCTTTCCTAGAGATAGAAAGTTGAAAAGTAGATACCACTTGAGTAATCACTTGCGCTTCAAATTTCTTACAATAGATACGTCATAGAAAGTGCATTGTGAAAATAGATAGTCTGAGACTGCCTGTGGCTACTGATATAGTACAATTGTTATAGCATTGAGCAGAAATAGAGGTTGTATAGTAACGCTAGAAGGTAGTGTTGTTCACTTGCAATACAAAAAACCCACAACCTACATAATTATGAGTACCCTGTTAGACAAGGGAAAGAGAATTCGACAACATAGAATCTAATTGACACAAAGTTTCCATGATGCGCAGATAACACGTATTTTGACATTTCTGCAAAGAAAATTTTGCTTTTTGGTAATTAGTAATTAAAACTACGCGTCGACGAGACTGAAAATTATTTTGAGATGCTTGTCGCTTTTTTTGTAGTGTCACCGCAAGAACTTAAAACATAATGCGTTAGTGGCTGCAAGCCAGAAATCCCAAAAGGAGGGAACTCAAAGGTGTATCGAGTAACAAGATACTTCGAAAAGAAACGATTAGAATTACCGGGAAACATCTGTCAAAATTGGGTCAATATCGGAATGTTTTTGTTACATACCGTCACTCACGCACTCACTCATACCCTAACATAGCTATAGCAAGACTAAATTTTTTAGTTGGTCATTTGAATCCACTCAAGGGAATATAGACCACACAGTTTACATCCTCTTGATCCATTGTAATCTTTTCCATCCTTAAACATCTTCTTTCTTTCTTAGTATATTACTTTCTTCTTTTGTGTTTCTACCTTCCAAGCTTCCATTTTCTAGTATCCTTTCTGGTGAAGTTTGTCTTTCAAATTGCACAAAAAATACTCAAAACATCTCAACGTGGCTCCCTTTTTTGATGAAAATTCGTCCTTAATGTATGATGAAAAAAGACATTTTTGCCTCAAAACAGAAAGAACATTTAGAAACGTTTAAGTTATTCAAATAAGATGTGTTCAAATTACTTCTCGGAAACTCTGTATTCTCCAAAGAACTTGTGCTCCTTCCCTCCCAATAATTTTCCACAATCTGGACAAGTGCCCTGCTCCATTGGTACTTTACACTATTCCAAAACAAATGAAATCTTTGTTAGTGAGCACAATGAGAGCCGGTGACTATGCGTAAAATACATTAGGTTCTTTCCCTACTCGGGTAACAGGTAACTGGAAACGTATTTACACCCTTCTCCCTTACCCATTGCGGCAAGTCTCTACCAACGCAACCCTTGATTTCATAGTCTGTGATAGTCAGTTGCGGATTCAGAAAGGAGTTCCCCATCAGAACCGTGGGTACTTTCCATTAGCCTGAAATCAATATTCTACTAGGGAAAAGATCACATATTACTACTAAACTTGAAGTTTAGCAGTAATATTATAGTATTCCGTGTCTTATTTAGGCTCTAGTGTCCAAATAAAAAAAAATTTATATCTCCTTACCTCCCCGATGAAATATACATATCTGCAATTGACACACTCTGAAAGAAAAAAAGTAAGGTGTAAGATGTAATTTTGAAGTTCTCGTTGGAACAATAGAATTGTACATGCTTATTTGAGATCGCTGCTAAAATTCAAACGTAAACATTTCTAAAAATACAAAGACACTTACCATACCACTCTCCAACCCATTTAGTGTGTTTCAAAGTTTCAGCCATGGCCTTCATGCACTCGACATAGTTATCCTCGGGCATTGTTGGTAAGAAAGAATTCTGTACCAGGAAATCAACGGAGCAATCAGATATTCTGTCAGTAAACTACGGTGGAATAAGGTATTTTAGAATTATCAACTGAGTTGATAACGTAAATGGCCACCGTAAAGAGTTTAAAAGTTGACGTTTCGAGCGTTAGCACTTCGTCATAGCGAATAATGAAAGGCTCTGACGAAGGGCTAACGCTGAAAGATTTAAAACTTTTACCGTGGCCAGTTTACATTATCAACTCAGTTGATCATACTAAATTACACTGTTATACTCTCTCACCGAAGCAGCACACAGTTTCTTTAGTAACCTACCCCTTTAGTGTGGAACAAGACATGCAAATGCTCTTTTACCATTTTAACAATAGAACGTAGATTTTAATCGTTATGGTTATCATTTTCACCTATGCTCAAAACATTTCACATTTTTCAGGATAACATATCTTTGTATATTAACCTTCATAGTCGATGGATCAGTCAGGAGAGTATAAAGGGGCTGAGCCAAAGATGCTGCACCAACGCACTGCAAAGCTGCTACTGTATGGATAACAATTTCGGCCAAGGCGTGCTCCTGCGGACTCTTTCCATTGTAGATTTGAAGTTCCCTGAGATTTCCACCTTGTTTGTTTTCAAGAAGTGCCTTGGCCAAATGTTGCGCCTAAATAATACACATAGCTTATTACAAAAAGAAAGCGTAACTTTCAACAGCCTAAACAACGAGAGAGTAGGAAAAGAATGGTAGCGTTGACTATTCAATTGCCAATTCCGCTGGTTTCACACAAGTCGACAATATTTAACACAAAAATCAGGAATTAAAAAATGTGCTAATTGTCTCTTTCTTTTCGAGTTACCTCAACGACAATCCATTTTGCAGTAAACATGCGCGCATGTTTTTAATTGCTCTTACCGTTTCATTCAGGTGTCCTCCATTTCTTACGAAATCGTCAAGCTTTACTCTCACCTGAAAAAAAAAATTATCCTCTTTTCTGAAAGTAGCAGGCAAGAACGTGTCGAATTAGCGAGGAGGAAGGATGAATAAGCATACAGAGCAGAATTAAAATTTTCTTTGGAAAGTGTACACTGTTTTTCCTTACCTCCTGAGACAAATTCTGAGTCTGAACTGGAGAAACATTTGCCATCGTTATTTCACGGTATATCACCAGGAGGAGAATTACATTTTTATAGACATCTTGTAATCTTGTTTCCTACAAAAAATTAAAAAGTTCTAATGGTGACTTGTTCGGAAACTTCTCATGAAAATGGTTGACTTAACTTTAATTGTTTAAAAGATACTTACATTTCGCTCACCAATATGGTTGTGAGATGTAAAACTGTAAATTTTAACCTCGAAGTCCTCTAAGATTACGTCAAATGAGTAAAGGGGGTAAGTTTCTAAAGAAACAGAGCGACAGAGCGGATGGCGAAGGGCTAAAGCTCGAAATATCAGCTTATAAACTGTTAACGGTGGCCAATTTTCATTATCAACTCAGTGGATAAAACCAGATTATTTTAAGATTAAGACTGTCTTCATAACACAGGGGTGAATCCAGTATAATTATTTCTTAGGAGGGGCTGCAACACTAACGACGAACGTAACTAACGGGTGACGTCAACAGATTTTGAAAGCGACCGACGAAGAAGAAAGCTTATGACCAGGAAATAACATAATGTGAACTGCTGAGAATGTATTGCAAACAATTCGGCAGATATTGTATAACCGTGAAGTTGTATTGGGAGGCCGCAAGTCATCAAATTCTTTTATCGCGTAATACATTTACCAAAAATGAGTACCAACGAGTTCTAAAATATCTGTGTCATTTCTTAATGTCTGGAGTTGATACAATCCATAATAACCCACAATAACGACGATAAAAGGCCCAATAGAAAAAGAGAATATACAGTGGACACTAACCGTAATGGCAGTGACAATGTCTTGGATGTTCCCAGTGATGACAGTTTTGGCCAGCCCCTCACGGACGGCACGATAATGGTCTCCATGAACAATAAACCTGTCTTGGATTACATCCTCCTCCTGCAGATCGAAGACCAAAGATCAATAGCAAGCAACATGTATTACCATAAGTAAAATGTAAAAAGGTTGTTGCCTTCAAACATTTAAGAGAAGTGTTCAATTATGAGCACTAAAAAAGAGGACGGAAAGAGTCTGGATTTTCAAAAGTTGTTCCTCTTTTTCGCTCCTCCAGTTCTCAACCGTTGCGCTTTGGAAACACTTGTGGTTTTTTGAGAGATATTCACGAGGTTTAAGTATATTTACTCGTATTGAGTGCTGAGAAATTCAGTTCACATAGTAGATGGCCTGGCTCGTTAACATGTTCACAGTAATTAGAGCACCTGACTACGAAGTCAGAACTTACCAAAATTGAATCCGTCTAGCATCCTGATTTTTCCTTTCTCGTCTCACACTTACGACATATGCATACTATTTTTCTATTATGATTCAGTTTTAACACATTTCAACGAAATCCATTCATTCATCATTCATTGTTTACCTGCTGTATGGCCTCTGGAGGTAGAATCCACGCTAGTTCTTCATATTCACCCAGAGTTCGGACACAGTCCAAGCCATACCGCCTGACAAGCTGATTAAGCAGGTAGAGCCACGGTGTGGAACTCGACACTTGCTGTGGTGTGGAACTCGACACTTCCATGCAAAGCTTCCTTGCAGACTCTAATAATAACATCACTTCTCTCTTGGCGTCAAGGTCTTTGTAGCTGCTATCTCCCTCAATGAAAAAATTGTAAATGTACTCTACCACCAATGATAAGACGTAACGTCCTTTAGCAACCCAATCCAGAGAGAGAGCGCTAATTTCAGCAGACTCTTCGTCACTGGCCTTAAGAGCTGTAAACGACTCCTCGCAAGTCTTTTTAGCATGTTTGAGCTTTAATGTTATCTTCAAATCGGCCATTTTTGCTTGATAACGGCTGATAAGGATGTCCTGAGGTAAAGGCAGTAAGATTTGAGAACAGTTATAAAAGAGAACATCTCGGGTATGTAAGTAGTACGACCCAAGTAGCCCATGGGGCCGGTGCTTAACTCCGGTTTTCTTAGCATGAAGCGGCTAGGAGTATTGCTACTCCCCCCTGGATGGGAGGCTAGTCCATCGCAGGGTTACCCCCAGCACATTTTCTTGTACCCATTTGTACACCTGGGTGAAGAGAACCATTGTGAGAGTAAAGTGTCTTGCCTAAGAACACAACACAATGACCCCGGCCAGGGCTCGAACTCGGACCACCCGATCCGGAGTAGAGCAAATTTAATTTCAGTTGAACTACTCTCACCTCACAGCACAGTATTAGTTAAGTTTACATACCTCCATACACTGGACGCATAAGAAGCAGACTTCTTTGACGTGCGAAGATTCTGGTTTTAAGCTCCGAGCCCCATGCAAGAAATTTCCCAAATGGTCTTTCACCAACTTTGTCAACTTCTCACTGTTTTTAAAAATAAAAGACAGTTTAGTATATAATTATCCTCCTATTAACTGGACAATTTAATGTAAATTGGAGACAGGAAAAAAGAAAATCAGACATGTTAAGAGGCACAAGAAAGTGTGAGTGCTAGCTGAGAAAGAGATTGTTTCTCAACACTTTTACCTTGACCGCAATAGCTGCTGGAGAAGAAAAGAACGCACTACAGGAGTGGGATCAATAGCATAATCAGGGAATGGAGAGAAATCCTTGGTCTGAGTTGACTGATGACCGATAACATAACGCATAAGTAGAGTGATAGCTTCCTTTTCAAGGTCCTTTGACACTGAGTCACCAAAACAGAATACTGACACCAGCTCCATGAAAAAGGCATTACATCGGCGACGTAACTCAGAGGCCGTCTCTTCATTTGTCCTGTGGTCATAAAAAAAAACATGAATAAGTACCAGCATAGCAGTAGAATTATTTCTTTACCCTCAATTTCGATAACGCTCCGGCTTCGGCCATGGGCCATGGTTTCCCGCCATCAGTCAAAAATAACTTAAGTTTTTGGCATTTAAAGCTGTGAGAAACTATGATTACTCTGTGAAAATGTTGCAATGTAATTCTTCGTCTATTGACTTTAGGATGATTCGGATTTTTCAGTTTTGATTTTCATGTGGGAAAAAAATCCAGGAACCAAATAGAAAAAAAAGCCGGAGGGTAAAGAAAAGAACCAGTGACAAATCAAGCCTTGGTGTGATGCAGGGTCCTGGAACGAACCTCGCCCACACAATTCGGAGACGAGTGATCTCGCCCTAACACAACCCTGAAGTTGTTGGCCGGGGCTAACGCTATGTTACCAATGAATACTTTAGGGGACACAGGCCGATGACAGCTTCCACAATTACAAGCCTTGAAATGTTCCCAAATTTCACTCCGCTTTAACTTTCAATTAAGTAAATCAATACCACCAGAGAAATATCAGGAGATGGTTAGCCTGGAGTAGATATAATGTCCTGAAAAACTTTATGACAAGTGAGGGCTCGTGTCAGACTTTACCCGAAATTAGTTGTGGGAGAATTTGTGCAGTCTCTGAAACTTGCGAAGATTGAGACCCTATAATGTAGAAATATAACAACTAAATTGTACATAACGTGCTGGTTTACCTCTGCTTGATGTCTTCACTGTAGTTAATCAAGAATTTTTCGATGGTCTGCAGCGATCTCAGCGATGAAAAGTCAGTTTCATCTCCCAAAACCTTCAGAAGAGAGCAGTTTGCATTATCGAATTCTTATTTATAGTTCATTATTTCCGTTTCGTATCTCCTTACTCTAACCTACCTTCCACAACCTGATAACGCTCTCGGAATTGTCATCATCATCTTTCTCGGCGAACAAAGTCACGTGCTCCACAAAGAGTCGAACAGCTCCTGTTCGCTGCCACATGGATCTGATCCACACAAGAAGGAAATAATATAATAATTAGCAGTACTTTCTCATTTGTATACACGTCCTAGTACATTCTACCAAACGGGTCCTCTAGACAACCCTTTAAAACAAGATACTACTAACGATTTGCCTTAAAAAAAAATTTAAGAAATATGTACAGGAAGAATTCGAAAAAGTCACCAAGACAAAAGCCTTGCAAAATTCGCTTTCTCGTGTCGTCCTTAAAACCTAGAATCATTTCCTGTAAATTCTCAAATAACAAATTTCCAAGTTGGCCCAGATAAAGTAAAGATCTAAATACCTCTTTGAAGATGTATCATTAAGTTCTCTGTTTACGATGTTTACTCTCTTAAAAGATTGTGTAAGCACTTGGTTACTAAGCATGGCTGGCTCAAAGACCAACTATTTAAACATGCAAAATCCTCTCATAAAAGACGGAGCAAGAAAATGACTGACTGATTATATAGTCTTATCAATAAGGTCTGCCTATTAAACTAACTGCAACAAAGCCTTTAGTCAGCTTCTGCTCATGTCACAGTCAAAACTAACCTCATAAAGGGAAAATTGGGTGCTTTGTTACCTGCAGTGACCAAGCATTACTGTTGATCTCTCTCCAAAGTTTGAACATTTCTCCGTGACAGGTCCAAACCTCTCTTTCCTTATCATGTCTTCCACTGCTGGCCTTATAGACAAAATTCTGTCACACCATGTTCGTCGTGTCTCCTGAGAAAGTAACATCTCTTGTGAAGGCTCCAGTGTCTCAAGACAAATGGTTAATGCTATGACATCCAAAAGCTGTATGAAATTTTAAAGATTAAAAGAGTCACAGAAAAGAACATATCACAGAACGGTCAAACAATATGAAACGTTTTGCCTGAAACGGAAGAGGGAGGGGCTCATTTTGCGCTTGTGACTGCCTAGCCATTACAAAGAGGTGATAATTTTCAGTTATAAAACAAGACATATAAAATAACCTGGCCTGCCTGAGGGACTTAAATGTATCAGTGTAGGAGACCCCTACGGAAAGTTTTGCCTAATGTGGTAGAAATTATGTTAATAATCACTACTAATTAAAGTTTCTGTTTATATAATATCTTAGAATATTCGAGTAAATTGGGAGCTCATTAAAATAAGGATGAACTTATAACTAACGTATTACAAACAGCCACAATAAGGCACCTAAACTCACCACTTCTGGCTCGTTTCCTTGAAGAGCTTCCCGTAGTCTTGGTACCAGATGAGGATTCGCTTTCACGACTGTATCAAAACACTTCAAACGGTGTTGAACTCTACTATGCGCAACATGAACGAGTGCTATATCAATGGACTCGTTACCATCCTCACCTTCCAGGATAACAATTTCTCTCGCTGACGAAAGAATCGCTTCGTAAACAAGCTGAAAGAATAGAGGGAAAAAAAGCAAACTCAAATGTAATCGTGCTAACGAGAGCATCATCTTACAACTTAAAAGCTTGATATTTTTCTTTGACTTTCCCTGATTTTACCATCAAAAGGTCAATCTCCATCTTGTATAGTAACATATTCGATATATTTTCATCGTTTTTGATCGCTAACGTTTATAAAGTAACAATTAAAACGATTTCTCACAGGAAAGGATGCCCGTTGGGTGAAGAGCATATTAAGCAAGCGCTACGAAAGAAAATATAACTATTATCCAAGGAAATCTGATATTGCGATGAAAACACAGGTAGAAATGAAACCTCGTGCTCCATATCGCTGGAAGGCTTGTACACCATGTGAACAAAATCCATCAGATACTGCAGTTCCGCGGAGTGCAGACGGTGCAATTCAGCGAGTGGGGGTCCCAACTGCGAGTTACCAATCAGTTCACGAAGAGAGTCTAACAGAGTGGCGCTAGAATGAGCTGCAACCGAGGAAACAAAACATACATGAGACAACTGTTGCTACACAGAGTTCTTAAATTTACCTCATTAACGTCATGAACATCAGAACATATAGTGCATATCGAGATTCCCATGAGTGAAAATTTATTTTTAGTGATATCTTTTATGTTCGTCCCTGGATTTTTAACCATTTCCTGTTTTCGTGAACAGTAGAAAATTTAGGAAACGACTGCATCAGTAGTAGTCGTCAGTCTCGATTTACTCATATGGTGATGATCATACACTAAATCTTAGTTAGGGTGACTGTTTTGTGTCAATCACTCATTATGTAAAACAGAGAGACGACGGTGAAAAAATAGGAAAACAAATGCAAAAAATAGTTCGTGTACCTTCGACGCTAGATGCATCTTTTAACAATTTTTCCACGCGTTGCTTGATAATAAAAGAAAATGGAAATCGGCGAGAAAAATGATGACCACCGTCCCCAGAGCCAATAACTTGAACACGTTCTCGGACAGCATTAGTAGCGGGTGATATCATGTCACTGTAACTCAGCTCTGAGATGTTACGGTCGGCCAAGATCTTCAGCCACAGCCTCGGAACCCACGTGTTGTCATTCTTCAACAAATCTAAATTGCCGTCTCTGTCTGCCAATGCAACGATCTCAGCCAAAATAGGAACCACAACTGAGAACACTCGCTGCAGAAGAGCCTTTCTGAAGGTGCCCCACTCTTGCACCCCTGTTCCTGACAGAGCTTCTGATTGGAGCCACCTTTGTGGATTTCCCGCTGTTTGCTCCCTTTCCTTTAAGAGGTGGTATGTTCTTTGTACTGCAACGCTTGCAAACGACTCTTCATCTTAAAAGAGATGGGAGTGAGGTTCAAACAAATTAATAAAATAATGAAATTGAGGAGTTGAATTTTACCAATTGCTGCATTAAACCTGGCTTTTTCCACTCACTTCACACAATGTTACGTTCCTTCAGCGATTGCCCCCAAAACTACAATTCTGAAAAACACTCAAAGTTCTTTAGTTCTGCGCCCAATATTGAATTGGTTTGATGGATCAACAAAGATTGCAAGTTTGATGCTCGTTCCAGTCCAATATTGCTTTGTTGATTAAATAGGTTCCGAGCTTTAAGCGATGAATAACCCAATCAATCCACCCTTGCCATTCTCGCAACTTCCCTGACAACACCAGAGACGAAAATGGTCACAACTTTGGGATGCCTTATAAATGGATTGTCCTTCGTAGCTTCTTCATAACAATGCCCTCTACAAAAGAGTGGTGTATTAATCTTACACTACCACAGCAATAGCAAAAGGAGAATTGTTCTGTATGTCTCGGAACAACTCTGCTGTTCGCCAATCTGAAGGTCTCCTCTTCTTGGTATCATTTCATGAAGAAATAGCAATTCTTCTCAATTACAGGAGAAGACGCGCCATAATCGATATCGTCCCGCAAATTTCTGGGGATCTTTTGAGGATAAAAGCCATGTTACAATTGAATGATTGCAATAATCAAATTAAATTTAGAGATTTTGCGTTCGCTTTCCGAATATGAAGAAAGGCAAATTTAAAACCCTGTAAGCTTAGATCGCATCTTTTGAAAAGGCTATATTCCTTAAACTGAAAGACTTGTGAACTTTTCGGAAATTCTATCATGTCATATTGTTTATTGTTTCTCTTTACTAACCCTCTTGAGTTTGATAGTCATCAGGTAGTAAATCCAAAAGCAGCTCAATCCTATGAGTTGACCGTTCAGCTGATTCCGTTTCGCTATCAAACCTACAAGCAGCCGCTTGTACACAATTACGAAGGAGCTTCACTGCCACCGTCAACGCTGGCATGGATTCATCTTCCTCAGTGGGGTCTCCATTAAAAAGCTCACTAATGGGACGATCGATGAGTTGCTCGATGGAAGGAGTGTGCCTACCGGGTGGACGAAGTTCATCAATGTGAACGGACATCCATTTTCCACCCTGGAAACCGACAAAGTTGCAACATCCACCAGCAATTCTTGGCAGCTGTGTGATCAGCACAATATGGACAGCTTCCAACGAAGACAAGTTGAGCATTTCAGACGCGTTTGTTCGTTCTTCCATTAGAATGTGTCTTGCACCTGCAATCAGGTTGAAGTTTTCTTCTCCTGAATCACACTGAACCAGAAGAATACCACGACATTCTCCACCAAGGTCTTCAATAAATGTTCTACGGAAAAAGATGACGGCTCATTTCAGTTGAGAAAAAAAGGTACACATCATGACAAAGTTTTTGAGACGTACAACGTGAGATACACTTTAAGCTGTCAATGTGTTAGCCACAGACAAAATTTGCACAGACGGTGAGTAGTACATGCCGGTTGTGCTTCATATAGTGTAGATGTCTAATTATCCAAAGTAGAATTTATCGAATAAATAGATATAAAAAGTAACGCTCTTAAACAAAACTTGAAAATGTCCCAATAAAGGTTCTTCTCTTCAACAATTATTCCCTGAAGTTGACAGAAAAGGAAACTCATCTCACCTTATTTCACGCTTTCTATCTTTTTATTAGCTCGTTTCTAACCGATAATGGAATCATGCTGCACAATTAATGTAGTTACAATGTCCATACACGTTGATTTGCATCAAGATCTCACCTAACTGAAGCTCTGAACTGTTGTTCCGTTTGAAACTGTTGAAGGGTCATGGAATCCACAGTCGATCGTTCAAAGCCAGTTTGATTGCATATGTCTTCCAAATCGTTTTTAGAAAGCAGACGTGAATGAGTAGTAATCTAAAGCAAAGATGAAAAGCAGCATGCATGTCGAGGGTCAGCATTACAAATATGTTCCTTGCTCTCGTTCTGAATCTCCTATTGCCAACTTAAAACATAGTTAAGACAGCCATACCCCGTTCACAAAAAAACTGAAGCTAGAATTTAAATTGGGAATTCGTAAACTAATCCCTTTCAACTTCAAATCTAGCACATTAAAAATACAAGTTAGTCATTAAGTCAACCCTACGTAAATTTATTTCTCCAGTTGTCTGTTGCTGATTTTCTTACGGTTAAATCTGGTTCAAGGAAACATTATTTGAAGATGGGACATTACTTACGGGCGTGCTCCAACGCCTTGTAAGACTTTGCTCCGGATAAGGGTCTTCAGTTTCACTCAACCACTTTAGAACATGTTGGTATCGTTACTGTACTGTTAGGGCTTGTAAAAATTGCTGCTTATGTGATTTTTAAGTCCTCTATCTTACTCAAGAGAGAAGTTAACTATACACAAGACGATAAACTAAGGGCATTGTATCCCCATCACTAACTTGAATCAAGAGCCCCTCCTGACGCTTTTCATCAAAACGTCTATCCTCCAAATTGAGCACGTGCGACATGAACGTCGCCAAACTTGAGTGCTGTTGCTTTTTAAAGTAGGCCCTCCAGATATCAGGGGCTCGTCTTTCCAAAGCAGTGTGAGGAAGGCGAGCAATTGCATCTGGTGTAGCCATCTCTAAAAGCATCATCTGAGATCTTCGAAGTACCTTTTAGGTGGGAAAAAAAACACTTACAACGTTACTTTGCTGGTCTAGTGAGTGCAAAACTATACTTTACACTAAAATCTTCGTCATTAGAAGCCCAATTCATATTGCAGGCAAAGAATTAAAATAGGAGTCACATTTAATGTCCCGTATTTCGCGCGCTTCTCAAGGTGATCGACAAGAATCTCAAGTCCGTAACACAATACGTATTTAATAATTCAGAAAAAAAAAATATAAGCAATTTACATAATCCTCAAATCATTAATCCTCAAACTTATTGCTAAATATATTCAGGCAGAATTTGTTCGCTGTACCGGCGAAGTGTTCTCAACGGAGTAAAAATTCATGCAACTCGCAAAATCTCCCATTTTTTAAAACACGCAGGGGCCATCAAGATGTATTTATCTTAAAATGACATTTCCGTGAAGCGTACTTTCATTTCCCATGTATCCTCTGTGTCGTAACTTGCCGATGAGTGGTCTTCTCCTCCAATTTCATTGCAGACTTGCATGACAATTGAGGGAATGGTATCCTCATGAAATCCAACAAAAGCTTCTCCGATGGAGAAGTCCCTGTTACCAAACATCAAATTAAAAATATTAAAATAAAGTCGCCCAAAATAATATTATGAATAGTTGCTCCATATGCTTTACTTTAATGATATTTTAAAGTGTGCCTCAGCATCGAGAAAAAGCTAACAGTTTTTTTGTAATCATGCGCACAAAGCACACTCAAAATCGCGCAGTATTCCAAACCCTGCAAAATGCAATAACATCGAATGTCCTCATAACAAAGGGCTCGAGACCCTTTTTTTGTAACATCACCTGCCACGTCTGCCTTCACTCGAAACCTCAGCAAATTCACCGGCCCAGGTCCCCATTTTCTGTACTAAGTCCTTCTGGTCAGTAGTCAAACTTGTTAAGGTCACAAGGAAGTGTTTCTCCAGGCGGTTGATCAACGGAATAGGAAAGTTGTTGTACACCACTTCCTTTTCAGCAATCACGATTAATCTGAGTAAGGTAGAGCGACTTAAAACTCAAAGCGATGAAAACAATAGGTTAAGGCTCCACGGCTCACTAGTATTGCGTTTGTGAAGGAACGCAAAGGAAAACGAAGGAAAACGAAAGAATGAAGATGACGATGAAAACGACAAAGGCTAAAGATTGTCTTGGAAACGTACTCCAGGCAACGAAGGAGACTACAACGTGAAGAGCACACTATGCTTTTACTATGCTTTCTGTCTGGCTGCTTAGAGTCGATCGATATAGAAGTCAAGGAAACTACTGCCACAAAACAGAAGTACGATTTTTAAACCTCACTATTACGGTGTGAATAAAATAAATCATATTTTCGACCCACGGAGGATAGCAAGTAACGAAATGGCGGTGACAGCTGAACCACAATAACAAAAAGGGAGTGAAATCATCCAGGATTACACAGGATTCGTCTCTAGAAAGACACTCCCCACTGAGCTACGAGGACACATTGGGACACATACGAGGTAAATACTAAAAATACCAGCATACCAAGAAAGTTAAGACTCAAAATTTTTCCAAGTTAACACCCTATTACCTCAATTTAATCCTTTTCCACTTCAGCTAACCATTGCCCCTTTCTGCCAAAACAAATACCATTGAAGACATGACTTAACAGGTGTGTTATCCTCCACATAAATATACATATCCGAAGGTCTGAGGTTCGATTCCTCATGGGGACTCAGAATATTTTTGAAGACATGACTTAACATATGTCCCACATGGGGCAGAATATTTTTGCATGTCCCACGCTCGTGACAAAACGAAAAAACATCTTTATCTATTTCTTTACCGAGCTCAAAAACTTACCATCTCTCCTATTTCTATCTACAAACATTACGCTTTCGACATTGCTAGCGGTATACAGGACGCGTGTCATATGAACTTCGTGATAGACCTCGCTCACCGTGGAGTCTCTGTGGCTCAGTGGTTAGAGCATCGGAACGCGGAATCCGAAGGTCTGAGGTTTGATACCTCATGGGGACTCCGAATTTTTTCTTTGTCCCACGCTCGTGACAAGACGAAAAAACATTTTTCTTTATATGCAATAATAGCTACAATACTCTTTAGCATAGTGTTACAAGTAGGGCACATTCTGCTTGGCCCCAACGAAGAGAGGCATTGCGAATGTTAACAACAAAATGTACAACATTTGCAACGGATATCTCACACCTGATTTAGGGCGTCGTATAGACTCTCGTAGAGACTTTCAAGGTTCAATAAGATCACTGTTCTTCCTGTCTCCATACAAACCTTGATGCGATTGATGTTGCGACAAATCTGGATATCAAGTTATTGACATAAGTTGTACAGTTAAAACTATTTACTTTAGGAGTCTTGTACGGAACACCAGAAACAATAATCTCTCGACTTGCACATGGAACTAAATACCTACGGAACAAAATTTGTTCTTATATCCATAAGTTTACGTTTTAGTGCCATCATCGTTTACTTCTCCAACAATCTCTGTAAATATTTGATAGTAAGTCCTGAGTACACTGTCGTGCCAAATCAAAGACAAGTAAGTATTATCGTGAAATGTCGGACACCGACGCAAACTGTAATTAATAGAACTCTGTTAACAGCAATGTGTTAGTTTTGAAGTTGAGAGGAGTATTGCCAACGTCGTAAGATATAAGGAGTCGTTCCCCCCATGCTTTTTACCTGAGTGTATTCCTGGTCATTAGGAAAACTACTTCCAAAGATGACAACTGCATTATCTGCTGTTCTCAAAAGAAGCTGCTGCATGATGGGTAGGGCGGCGTAATTTTCAGTCAGAATCAGAAGATAACGGTTTTCACTGTAAGACATTTAGTTAACATGAACAGTTATCCGACATTATTTTATTTCAGCTACTTATAAACGACTCTCAGAAGGAATAAAAGAATTAGGTTGGGATGAACTATACATATACCTGAAATTGGCTCTATCTGCTACGTCTTCCCTTCCAAGACTTGCCTCGATCAATCTTATTGTTGTGGTTTCGGCTACGTAGTCATCCTTCATTGACAAGGAAAAAGTCAGGTTAAGCAAATAATTAAATCCTGCCCCTGTGTTGACTCAATTTCCGAGCTAAAAATACATGTATCAACCCAATAAAATATGAAAAAACCCTTACATTTTATGTGAATAAACCTCAACTGATACAATCGATCAAATTTTCACTGTATGGTCATGATTTAATGTACCATTTTGCAGTGCTTTATGATTGGTTACATCGCAATCAAGTAGAGTGAACGCAATGTAGAAACAAGTTCGACACTAGCTCTATGCGTCAACTTACTTCTTTTTCGGTATAGTAGCGTTTGAATATCTCTACAGGGTCTCCTTCAATCAGGCCACCAAAGTTCCTCTTGATAGCGTGTTGTAGTTGATGCCAGCGAGGTCTTTGTTGAGATTTTGCAGCGATTGCGTACACCATCTTAATGAGGCTTGCGTAAAGAGACAAAATAGGTGAATCACTTCGAGCACATAATTTCCAAGTAAATTCATCATGAAAGAAGCGAGCTAAAAAGAATCGATGTAAAAGGTACGCTCTCAGATATCAAACCTGTAAAAGTCACGAAGACCGAAAAATTCTTCTTTGCCACATTTTTTTAACGTTGCAAAATTTTTCTGTTCCTGGTAAAGTTGTGCATATCCAGCGGCCAGTGGAGAAATGAGAGGCAGGATAAGAGCTTTCACCACTTCATCTGTGGAGCAAATTCCCCTGAAAAACAATACTCAAATGTGTTAAGGAATGCAAGGAATGTCTGTTTCCAAACCTGACTCAGAACGACGGAGGACTGACTGAAAACATAGCAAAGTAACTCTGAAAACATTCGAGAAAATTTTAGTCAAATTTTATACTTTGGGAATTTCCCTGTGTTTATCATGCTGAAAGTTATTGGTTAATATCGATTTTCAAGATATCACCATATCAAAGTGGGTGGAGGGACTAAAATTCATTTCAAAAGGTTACCATTTTTAACGGAGATCAAAAGCAATTTGATTTATTTTAGTCTAAAGCTTCTTTACCATAGTTATGACGGTTTCACAAGGTCCAACGAAACTATTTATGTGACCGCAATAACATTTCCGCATGGGTTTATGTGAGTGCCAAAGCGAAAGGATACCATACAATTCACTTACATAGCACTGTCTATGAGTTCTCCCTCGCTTGGAACCCCACGCGACAGCATGATTCCCCGGTTCATTTTGGCGGGATCCAGGGCCCAATTTGAGATTCCAATGAAAGCTACGCGCTGCGGTTTCTCGTCAGTCTCGATGACGTCATCAGCAATTGTTACACCATCCTCGAGCAATGGATGCAAAGTTTTAAGAGGCATGAGAGGAGAGTCTTCTGCCAGACCAACCTCATCAAGGACTACAACTGAAACAAACTTGTCTGGATTTTTTCCTTCCTGTAACTTGCTACACTGCTTGAAAGTCGCCACGATACCCTCAGGGGTTGATAGGGGACTGCACTGATATGATGCCATGTGAACCTACCATGAAATAAATAGTTATACTGTTTTTAAAAACGGACCTTGGAGTAAACATAAGCATATTACGCATAGAACCCTATTTGAAGGGGCATTAAAATTGCTTGGTGTGACTCTGATATTAACATCCTCTTTACTGTATAGCTGCCGATACCAAAACGTAAAGCAGAAGTACTATGGACTACCGAAAAGCACGTAAAACCGTTGGTGACCAGATAGAGAATGGTTGACGAATATCCCCAAGCAATTCAACTATTTTCCGTGAAAGTATGCTGATCACCATTCGTACTTTTTTGTGCAGAAAGAAGCTGCTAAAGTAACGTGTCTTGACCAGGTCAACTTATTAACCCAGCCAAAGCTAGAACTTGAATGCAACCAGGACATCGACTACGGCGAGATCGACATATCTCCTACGAATCCCATTACATCGATCCTAATAGCTCTCCACTTAGGGAAAGGAGAAAAAGACATTATAGTGTATCTGAAATGGCTATATAACCTGCTTGAAGGTCTTGAATAGTAGCGATCTTGCAGCATCGCCTTGCATGTTATCAGCAACAACTGTCTTTGCCAAAGATTTTGAGCTGCCAGGTTTTCCAACCACAAATAGTGGGATCCTGAGCTCAATGCACACCACCATCATAAACACATTTTCGCTCAAGGCTGCGTTGCGAGCAATGTTGGGGCCGAGATCCAACTCGTTCAGCACAGCTTTTTGACAACTATCACAGACAAAATTGGGACACGAGGTAAATTGCTTGCTTACATATGGTAAAGAACTACCAAAGGTGTGAGTAAAAAACCCGAACTCCACAACTCTTTTCTTGTTGATCAGACTTCTGTTAATACCACATACATATGGATCAAACTTTCTTTTCCTTTATAAAATATACTTTTTAATGTCAATTGACTGGCCGCAATAAATGTCTTTCTGTTTGGGTACGTAAAAGGTGAAATAGGCTCAGTCATGAATTCCTTCGCATGAAGTAGACCGCGTTGTATTAGACTCTCCTCATACCTTGAAATCTCACGGTGTATCTGCTTCTGCCCACCTGGAAGCAGACATGGCGCCTTAAAGCTGCGTGCCACGATAGTGCGATATTCTTCACGCCGCTCCTGAAGCTTGGCATGATAACAGACACCAATGGCGAGTACCAGGGCACGGGTAAGAGGAGAGATTGAATCCTGCGGAATATACAATATCATATTCTCTTAGACAGAATTCTCGCGACCCCACTCTGTACCCCTCAAACATAATTGGACTTCCTCAATGATACACACACCTATTTGTGGTTTGAGCAAGATGATGCCTTATAGCATCAAATTTTCAGCAATTCATTCCGGATCATTATTTTGTAAGATCATACAATAACTCAATAAGGTACGTCCGAAGTCCTAAAAACGAGGAATGTTTTCAGAGTTTACCATCTTTCTTAGTCCAATTTTCGTGGAAATCCTATCAGAATTTTATTTGATAGAGCATAAATGTCAAGTGGCTTTATTACCATCTCTTCTTCCTCATCATCTTCATCGACATCTAATCCTTCCTCCCTTCGTTGCTCAGCGGTCACCTTTTTCATGAGTCTACCGAGTGTATCCACGTGCTTATAAAACCAGACCATCACTTGCATGGCTCTCTCGACATCGCGAAGACTAACAAAGCTGCACTCATCCTTGATTTAAAAAAAAAGGTTATTCTCTCTTTGGGCTTGCACCGGCATTGTGTGATTGAAAAGGTAATTTATAACACTAATATATCTAATGCACAAAAGAGTGTTTTAAAACTTTTCACGCACCGATTGATCTCTCATATATTTTTGCGAGGCTGCCAGAACCTCAGTGACTGCTTCTACTGTAGAAGGGTCTCCTACTAGTTGTCCTTCGTGAAGAATCTATCATAAAAAAAAACCGAAACACAAAAAAGTAACATTAAATTGTATGAAAGATAGTCTAGGGAGGAGTAGAGTGGCGTTTGCTCTCTTCACTCGAGGTTATTCCAGGAAACGGAAAAAGTCAAAGCAACAACCCCATCCTAATTTGATTGACTGGTGTTTCATTTCTTTCAGGATTTATTCATAAAATTAGTAGGATATAAATAACTAAATGCCATACCTCCTGTACTCCAGCCTCGTACCATGATTCAAAATTTTTATTTCCACTTACCATATCGTAGGGTCAGTGAAAACGTTCACTCAGCTCTCTTGAACATATCATGCGTTTCTAGATTCACTTCCTTTTTATCTTTATGTCTTAATGAATCTCAGATAAAATGCACATATCTCGAGTTACAATAATAAAACATGTGACCGAGGACTAATAGTTTACGGGTTAGAAAGAACATCTTTTGAGTTCAGAGGGACTATTAGAATATACTTACGTAACGGCTGACAATCTGATTAGTATACAGTCTCTCTACATCTGGTTTCAGCTGACCAAAATCCCATATCAACGGGCGCATGCTCCCTGGGAGGGCGTGTACACGGTAAACAAGATGACGTAATGGGATATGACCTGTGAAGAACAATTATTGCTAAAAAATAATTTCCAAGCGACCTTTTACTTCACCACTATGCTTTATCGCATTTGCATGTAGGACACAATGTCCCTGTTCTTGATCGCGATTATTTTTTCTTTACAGGGTGTAACCCAGTAGGCAAGTTCCTCCCTTTTAGGAATCATTCAACGTTGAAGCTTCACAAAGAATTCTGAACAAGGCACCACCTGTGATTCAGAGATCCGTTAACACTCGTCTTTTCTCAAAATCAATTTTCCAACAGAAGTCTAAGGAAATTCAAACCTATAACGTCCCCTACCCAGCCGATCTTCTGATTCATCTGCTCTCACGTAATATCCAAGACCAGCTGACTCGAGCTTGTGGATCATGTCATCTGTGTGCCTAGAAATACATAAGAAAACAACACTTTGCTCTTACCATTCATTTCTAAGACACTCTACGCTTAGTTAAGCTTAGAGCGAAAGACACATCTTTTACCTTCTGTAAGGATTACAGGCAGCAATAAACTGCAGCCTTTCTAGCCCTTGACTAATAGGCCGACCATTGATTCTTCGGTCCACCATAACTTCCTTAATCATGGTCAGTGCTTCTGTAGTGTTGGCTTCGTCAAAGAATAAAACTGTGTCAATATTCTTATCTTGATTTGCGCGGGCCATTTCTTCTGCTTGGTGAACTTTGAGCTTGATATCTTCGTATGTTGTACCACCATGAACCTTGAAAAGAAAATGATGTATGAGGAAAGTGTAATAGCCATGTGTGTCATTCAGTCTCAACAGAAAGGAGTGTATACAACGTTTTGAAACTAATGTAGCTGTTAACTAGGTGTTGCGTTGAACTTATTTTCTGGAAAAGATTCCTTACAAGCAGAAGGAGCAGCGCTATCGCTTCCCTCCAGAATCAGCTCTACTTCAACGTTTAAAGTCACCACGACAATTTATTTATCTTTTCTTTCGTGACTGACCTGTATACTGGCTTTATATAGCTAGGCGTCAACCACGTTTATAAAGTATGTATGTATGTATATGTATGTACCACTACCACCAGCAGTATCAACACCATCCCAACACGGACAACACCACCATTAAAACCATCTCAATTTCCATCGCTACCACTAGACTTACCACCATCACCATCAAGATGAGCTCGTCACCGAAATCGTGAAATCACGACCTCAACAGCGCCACCATCTGCAACATACAGCACTCGCATCATCATCGATACAATATTCCCAGGAGGAGCACCACCAGTTTCATCACCACCAATAACTTCCACCAAAAACATTTCATCGCAATGGCCACCATCATAACTTAAAACATGTTATCCACCAGTATCACCACCAAAATACGGAGTTCGGACGCTGCTGGTGAAAAGAAGTATTCAAAATCTAATAATCAACTCACCTTAACGAGAAGCATGTTTCGGGGTCCTTCAGGCCCTGCTTGTAGGCCACACATGTATCGAATGAGACGGGTCTTACCACAACCGGTCTCACCCATCACGATCACAGGGATGTTGCATCTGCAAATGTTAAAGCTCAGAAATGAGTGAAAACCCATTCACTCTGTCAGGAAAAGGCAAAATGGTGTTTGGATTTGTGTTCGATATGTTTCAGTTTCGCTGCCATTTAAATTGAGGGTTGACTTTGCTCTGACCCTTGCATAGTCTGACGGTAAGTTGTAGTGAAAATGAAAAGGGGATTATTAAAAACAATATATCACTACCTCTTACCTGAATCTCATGTGGATAGCCAGAATCTTCTTGACATTGTCTGTAGTCAATTCATAGGCTATGTCTGGATCGTACAACCAGTTTACCCCCATCACAGCACATAACTGATTTATCTTGTCCTCTCTAAAACAGAGTTGATATGTAGTACAAAATACATCACAATGGAACAAAGTGTCACGTAGGAACTAAAAGCTTCGGTAAAAAGCTACTTTCCCTTCCAGGAGGTGCATCGAGGCCGGACGAATTCTCCCCCTAAATGCCGTGTGCATGAGTCCCTTATCCACGAATTTTGCCAGTCTTACCACAGTCTTCACGAGAAACAATTTATCAACTTGACTCCTGAAGGAACCAAGGTTAATTGTAATAACTCGTCTTGAAAGAAAAATAGCTACAAATGGGTTTACTGTCTGGCACTTACTTTTTGGAGGTCTCTATGTTTGTTGCAAAATCGACACGTTGGGCCTGCAGACCATTTCGCAGGGGTTGGGACATTAAACCTTCCTCCAAAGTTTGACTTGTTTGTGGGTCAACAAGGTCGCCAGCGGAATTGATGAAGAAACCAAGAAACGTCATAGTTATGCGGTCTTGGTTGAAGAACAAGTAAGGATGAGGACTGAATAACAAAAGGACTATCATGAGACACACTGCATTCAAAACATGGGAGATTAAGAGAGGATATAGTCCTTATCTAATAATTTTAGCGCAAAGCGAGCTCTCGATACGATTGCTACGTGATAGTTAACCTGTCTAAGTTAACTCGTCACAAAACAAATGCCAGTGATAATCATTAAAAATGTAAATTTTTGAATTATAGCAAAAATAGTCAAGCTCTCACCTGCTTTCCCAGCGTCTTCTAAGTTGAAGCTGTTCGGTCTCTTTTCGTTCAAGCTCTGCGTTGTCCTCTGTACAGAATACAGTGTTCTCTTCTGTCAGAGATGGAGTAGCAAAATCCTAAAAGGAAAGGAAATAGCTCTTTATGGTACTCACTGCTGCTGCAAAGCCACCAGAAGACTCAGAGGCTCGACTAATCACGGTAATAAATCAAAACTCAGTATCCGAGTTATTTAGAGCTAGCAGGACCCTATAAGAAAGTTGGGTGAGCAAAGATTTGAAAAGCCAGCTTACCCTTGACATTTGTATCATAAAGCGCACAACAAAGGAGCGGAAGCCTTCAAGATTCAGGACATCAGGTCCTGCTAAAACAGCCCTCATCAGCTGCATGTCACAATAAAAACTCTGTTCACAGTCTTGGAGCTGCGAGTTCAAGAAACTCACAAAATGACGAATCTCTGACCACGAGGGATCAGGAATACCACAATTTCTGCGAATTAAACAGTAGTAAGTAACCATGATGGCAGACCAAACAATTTGTTTAAACAACCTTCAACAAGAAAGAGAAAATAATTCTTTTTTCTACGTATGTGCCTAAGCATCCAGTTGGAAAGGGACGTCTCCCTTCAAAGAAACCTCTCGTATTTCATTTTTAAATTGTTAATGTACCTTTCAGCAAAGAAAGAGTTAGCAAACATCATCTGCTAACACGTTTAGAGCATTCAATTAGGTACGTGCAACAAACCTAAGAAGGAGCATGAGGCATGTCCTTTGATCTTCATCCACATTTCCTGGCGAAAACGTAAAATTGTCAACAGTTCTTCCTTCATTTAATAGTTTCAGATATTGATAAACTCTCTGGAACGGTGCGTTTCGAAACTCTGTGACGTCAAACAGGGGATTACAGTCCTGTTTATCTAAAAAAAAGTCAAGGAAACACTTAATGATCAGCAACTAACTGCTGTTTGAAGGAGAATCTCAATTAAGTACCTGGAATATCTGCTAAACGGCTGAGAACAATTCTTGGAGTTTGACACTCAATTGTTGGTAGCAGGTCATAAAATGGGCGCTTAGACATTGTGGATTTTCCAGATTGTCTCTGAAAATCAAAAGAGTAGTAGACATCACAAGCAGAGATAGTGAAAGACACGAGCTACTTTCCCTAAAGCAACGGATAGTTAATACTCTTCTTGAATTCTCAAACTACCAAGTTTCAACCCATGAACTTCCAGGCCCCTTGTTCTGGGAGCACTCGCTTTCCACTATTAGGGCAACGGCTTGGTTTCCTGACTACATTACGTTATATGTAGGTAACTTTTCTTATTGGTTGTGTTTCCTCCTTCCACCAAATTCAGCAAGCGAAATTTTAATTTACCGACAATACAATGGACGAAGAACCTCTCCGTGATTGTGCTACTGCATTATTCTGCTGATTTAATATCTGTAGATGACAGTCACCCTCTCCAAAACTTTTTCACTTACCTGTTGACTTTGAGCTTCGTCCTCCCTAATGAAACCCATGGGTAGGGGAGCATCGGTCGTAATCTCAATGATGTACAAGTCTGTGTTTTGTCTCCTCCACACTCTCCCCATCTTGTCACAAAGATAGCCAAGGACAAGGAGGTTGAAAATAAGGGTATCCAGACCATGTCTCATCTAAAAGGAGAACATAACATGTCATAAAATATTGAGATAAGTGAATTGAGTCTTTGTCCTTGGGACTGCAATTCAGCAGAAGATTACGTTAAGAGCCTGAATAGCTTTAAGAAACTTCAGTTGTGAATTTTTCGCTAGTGCTTCCCTGGCTGCATTCAATGATGTGAAATTTACTTGGAAAGACGTGCGCTCAAGATCTTACTGACAGCACTTGTACATAGATAAAGTTAATCCAGCCCTTTGACGCGACAGAAGACACGCGCCGGTTGTGCATTTCACGAGTATTGGCCACTGGAAATATCAATTTAATTTTCAACCCGCATGCGTTTAGTATCTTACCGAAGGTGACACGTCCAGATGGAATATTCGGGACAGCGGTACATTTGCCTTCACTGCATGGGGAAGAAGTGCATCAACAAGCATCGACGAGTCTGTGGAGTTTCCATGAAGAGGTACGGTCACGTGCAAGAATGTTTTTGAGTCTCGTCCTCGCAAATTTGTCATAACAATGTCGTTGTTTACGAGGTTAGGCAGCTGTTCTGTTAAGCGTCGAATAAACAGAGTCTTTCCCAAACCTCCTCGATGTGATGAGACAACTCGAACGGAGAGTCTAAAAAAAAGAATCAGCTTGTTAGCTGCACCAATCCTCATCAAAAGAAGCCCGCTATCTCGAACCATACCGCTCGGACCATACAACAGGGTTTCTCTTTTTGAAATCCTTCATTCAAGGAACAGAGACTTCAGTCAGTTTGAACAAAACACTTCTACAAACTCTGCTTCTTTCACCTGTATTTAAGGGTAAATTTTTTTCCTAGACATTTTTTACCTCCAAGGGTATCTCCAGAAAGGAGGCTCCCCTGTCTTAATCTCTAGGAATATCAGCGAGAACTTACTTTTCTGGGTCTAAGGATCCAGCTGTTGTCCAAGTAATCTTACTACCACTGATGTAACCGTAATGAGAAGGAGGTGCTTGGAACTTATGCTTGAGGTAACTTTTCAGGTCATCTGGCGAAGGACATGGTGGAGCAGCAACACGATACTGATCAAGAGCTGCTACTACGTTGGCACGATCTTCATTCTCGCTACTGCAGATTATCACCAGGCCATAATCTGAGAAGTAACAGAAACCACCGATAATTCATACCCATAAACTTGACCTTCCGATGAAAAACGTTTCATTTAACTCAAGTCAAACTCACGTTCTCCAGCCTTGCCAGCAAGTCCCCGTGTCACTACACCAAGCATTTCCACTGCTTGTTTACTGACTGAAAAATCCAACACATCTGCGTGTGCGAGACAATAAAAGCTGCCCTCCATGTCCCCTATTGCACGTCTCCATAGCAACTCGATCTACGTTAAAGGAAAAAACAGATAGAAGGAAACAAATTTAATGGTCGAAGCACTCAACTCATAAACGGAAAATTTCCCCACTTTCCTCAATCTGCTGGATATGAGAATCAAGATGTGGTGTTTTAAGCGACGACACTCCTCGACTCATTTTACTTTTAACGGTATGATATATATATATATTAGGAAAATCATACCGAAATGTACACTTTACCTCTTCCGTGGTGGTGTAAGGAGTGCAAAGGAGCACCTCTGCATGGCTTGGCAAAGGCTGCTTTTTGTCATGCATATAAAGGGCGAGGACTGTAGCAAGGATGTCATCTACAACAAAATGGGTAGGACAAAGAAATCATGGTAGAGAAAACATGCTGTCATGTAAAATACGCAAAACATTGTACCGATCTGATTAGGTACTCCCTGAGTTCCTGTTAGACTTACCTTCAGGAACAAGCATGAGGTTGGGTCGTCCCCTTTTTAAGAATGCTGGAAAGGTGCGAGGTGTCGCTCCAATTCCTGAAATGTGAAATTAATATTATGTTCATGGTTCAACAAATGGGAATAATTTTGATATCGCAGCTGTAGATTTTTCATAAACCTCAGCAGCGGTTTTTGGCTGTTTTCCATGAATACAAGCGAGTGTTTTACCTAACACTGAAAGTTCTCTTAATATGTTTCCAAGCTGAGTGAGTGTAAGATATTGACTGATCTCTGTTTCGTTATCTTCGTCTTTGCTAACCGCCTGCTCTGCAAAAATGGTTTCAGCAGGCGTGGACGACATCTCCAATACCAGGTCTGAGTCGGTTTCGTTTTCACTGAAGCAAAAGAAAAAAAAATTCAGTTTTTATGGTTTCTTTCATATCTTATCTCGAAAACCATCAAGTTGACACAGTCACCACGTGAGCTTAACTATTCTCACTTAAAAGTAAATTGCAACTTTTATTTCGAAAGGAAGCATCTTACGCAAACAGTAACATTATCTCTCTCTCTTTCACGTTAATATTGTCAAGTGATCGTGATTAAATACTTTTGAATTAACCTAAAATGATGTTCCTTGTTGTGCCAAAGTTAATTTTAGTTGGTATTACTAACATACCCGAAATCCTCGGCTGGCACATCCTGATCAATAGACTCCACCTCCTCTGAGGAGATTTCCCGGGCAATCACGGGATTCTGCTTCGCATCTTCGTAAAGAGCCTCGATGTCAGCCTCGTTGGCTTTTTCTAGACACCACAAAAGTAAGTCATCTTCTTCTGTATCAACACCTAGACTCGCCAAAGCAGCCAACGCGATCTGCTCCGAATAACCATCATCGGCAGCTGCATTCAAGAAACTTTGAATCTTCGATGTTTCATTTGGCTTCGGTTTCTTGATAGATGCAGTTTGTACTAGAAGGTTGTCTGAAGGAACGTGAGTGAACAAAGGCAGCTCCGCTGTTCCTCTGGCGTTCTCGAGTAGTTTTGTGGCCTTAAAAGCACGCTCTATCGCTGATTTTAACTGTTCGCTAGTCAAACTGGGACGAACACTTTCCAGCAAAGAGAGCACTTGAATGTTGCTCATAGCGAGGTCGTTGCTGTGGCAAACTGTGGCGATTTCTTTCCTCAGTGTCATCAATTGCTGCGTGGTGAAGAAGTTCAATTCTCTATACTCCTTCCTGACGTAACTGACCTTCTTCTTCCAATTCTTGTAACACGTTTCCATGAAGGAACTTTCCTTATTCACTTCCTTCGCGATAGACTCGCTACAGTGATATTTTTGGCTCCAATTCATACGATGAATGTAACCAGACTCAAAGAGGTCGATGTATGCAGTCGCTAAACGCATGACACTTTCAAGATTCTATAATTCGATAGAGATATTTAAATTGGTCAGCTAGACAACAACTTCAACGGATAACTGTCCACATAACTGTTGTATTTCACTTACCCTAATGAACTGCTCCACGTCATCCTTCCCTTTTTCAGCCTTTCCTGCGATCAACATCAGTTTACTCTGCAAATCCTTCAGTTCGTCAATAGAGTAAGTTTTCCTCTGCTCCTTTTCACCTCCATCTTTAAGGGGAACCGTCAGTCGGATCACCTCTTTGAATGACAATCGTTTCCCTTGTTCTGGTGAGAGACCCTTTTCGTCATCCAAATGGCCCACAAGATATACACCACTGGAGTTGATTGTCTTAGCTTGCACTAATGACGTCATAGCAACCGAGCCATGAGACTCTTTAACAGTTTTTAACCACTCCAGATGTCTGCTAGTGTCGTACTACAAGAAATGTAGAAGTCGGGGATGAATCAATTATTTGGTACCTTTTGTTTGCTGTTGTGCATGACAATGAGTTAAAAGCAATAAACAATACGGATAAAAAATTAACACACTATTTTAGGTAAATCTGACAAAGTTAAAAGAGGTAAAGGCAAACGAGACGCTTTGAAACAAAGCATTCAAATCGTTTAAGAAATCCCGATATTTTTTACCAGTTTTTCGGGTAACATCTGATCCGTCTCGACTGCTTTCCATAGAGTATCACAGGTGTTCATCAGTTGATCAAAGCTCACTCTTTGTTCTTCACTCTCTTTGAGGTCAAATATCAGAGGAGCAAAACCCAGGCAGCTGGTATATAGACTGGATATACGATCAGTTTCCATATCGCTTTCACCAGCAGAGATCAAGGCCAGGTCAACAAGAACCTTTAGCTCTTGGGTGGCTGTGAAACAAAAGACACTTAAAGGGGTTCATTATTTTCTATGGAGAAACACCGATGCGAGTAATTATCGTAATATCCACCATATCAGCTGACTAAATTGCAAACCAAAAACTTTGACTTTGTCCGACGCTCGGAGAGATTATAATTTTGCGCACCGCGCAATGCATGGGCGCGAGCAAGTGCTGCCCGAGTAGCGGAAAGAGATTTCGTATGGTAGAGAGTTCCGTCAAACCTTCAAGATAAATTGAACCCATGTAGGCATCTTTGCATCTTTCATTTTTGCTTATTGTAAATATACTGTGAGCTCTCCAGTTTTCGTTAAAAACCATGTTTTATTTATATTTGACTTTAAAATTTGAAATTGGAAAGATAAACAAAGTTATTGCTAAATACGATAATTTGGTTTTAATCAACTGAATGGATAATGTAAATCTACCACCGTGAAGTCTCGAAGCTGACGTTTGGAGCGTTAGCCCTACGTCAGAGCAAATGACGTAGGGCTAACGCTCGAAACGTCAGCTTTGAAATCCTTTACGGGGACCAATTTTTATTATCAACTCAGTTGATGAAACCAAATTATCTTGTTATACTCCCCCACCAACGCACTTCAACAGTTTCTTTGAAAAAGTTTCTCTATGGGTGGTCCGAAGTGAATATGATTCGGCAAATCACCTCAGAGCAAGCCAATTATGCAGTGCGGGTGAAAAGTGATAATCCCTTTTGTGGTAAGGCAAGCCAACAAAATCAGAGGATTAGGGAGGTTAGTAGCGATACGGCTAGTGTTTTCGTTTATTACTGTACATCCATTCCACCACCTGCCCAAACTTACATTTGATGGTAGAACGTAGCCAATCCACCAGCCGTCTACTGTCTACCACTGCTTTGAAGCACCGAGCCTTATCAACATCCAAACATTGAAGAGCTTGACCGGTCTTTGAAAAGCTTTCCCCGACGCTGGTTAAGGGCTTCTGCTTGAATTCTTCTGATAGCTACAGACCAAAATATTGGAAAATTAAACAAGTTTTTATGACATATTTAAGTGAGGTGCACTTATCGTTTGCAGCCAATAGCTTTTCTTTGCAAAACATTCGTCCGTATTACCGAAATGATTTCCTTGAATCAAACTTAAATCCTTGACAACAGTTAAAGTTAATTTGAGTTCAAGTGTACAGAAAGATACTCATTTCTAGTGAGGTACAGTCCTTTTATTACGATATTGTCACTTCCGATGTAGTTTGCGACATTTCGACTCCATACTCTGTTCTTCTTCAGCTGCTAATAGAAGACTAGCAATTCTAGCGCCTGAATAAGACTTACCGGTTTAGATCGGGAGTGCTCATACCGTGAGACAAGCGCACATAATTCATAAAAAATGTATTCACCGCGATGAATAACCACATTCCATTTTAAAACATACTTTTGTTTACTTTCCAGACTTACTTTGTATCGTCAATACACAATATGGACTATGATACCTGATTACGTAGATCTTCGATAACTTTGAATTCCCCGGTAAAACCCATTGCCTCTTTAAACACCCAAACGGTGTCAGCTGCACTGGAGTACTGATGAAGATGTTGGTAACTTTCAATTTGAGCAAGTCGCTCTCCAAAAGTTTTCTTTAGCTCTCCAGCGTTGCTGACAGTTTGGCCGGTGTTCACTTCAAACATGCAGGATAACTCTCCCTCAAGTTCCTTTTTGCGGTTTCTACAGCTGTCAAAGAGCTTGTCTACATCTCCAAGAGAAATTGTGCCATCCTTGACACTAGCAACAATTTGGGTCCAACTTGTAAAAGCTGGTTTCCAAACATTTTCAACAACATCACAAATACTGAGCTGTCGTTTTCGTGTATCATCATTTTCCCTGGCTCTTTGTGCCTTATTCCCATATTTTTTCCAAAGAGCTTGGAAAGTTAGGCTTTCTTGAACTCTTCCAAGTGTGGAAAGTACTTCCTTTAGGGCCGGAGGAAGTATAAAGAAGGTGACTTCGACTTGGTTGTCGGCTTCCCGTTTGCACAACCCTCGAATCTGGAAAGATGACACATCCTGAAGCACTTTATTCTTGAGGTTGGTTGAATCGACTGCGAAAAAAAGATTACTTTCAATAATAAGACGCACAAATTTAAAGTCACACACTAACCCACGATCAGGGTGTGAATCATCCACTGAAAGCCTTTCCTAATTGCTTCATTTTTCTAGTCCGCAACCCTCTTAATAAAAATGCCAAAACAGATCTTAGGTGGACCTCCTTGACTCTAAGGTTGAAAACAAACAGGTGGTGAACAAAACAAACGAAAAAAATCGATGCCTCAAGATCTCTCACCTGGCTGAATCACGTCACACATTCCAATAAATTTGCCCAAATTTTCTTTCACTTCAAAAAATTCCTGGATTTCTTCTAATCGGTGAGCCAGGCTAAGTTCAACATCTTTGATCTCTGCAGCACTTGTCTTTAAGAGTTCCAAAAACGTTTCCTTGTGCCTTTGAAGAAGGAGCAACACTTGAAATGTTACTGAGCCATCTGATATGACTCTCACGAGAGCTTCTAGTAAGGATTTGGCCAAAAACAAGGTCTCCTTACAATCATCCGAAAGTATACCACCCCTTCCAGACTCATCTCCTGTAAGACAGAAATAATCAAAATTCCTTCCAATCAATAAGGCCACAAAATATTAAATGCCTAAAATTTGACAAAGTTGAGAAATATTTTTATTGGTCTAAATCTTATGTGTCACTTCCCCGTAGTAACAAGCGTTTCGCCCTTATCAATAACATTTTACGGAAACCACTTTTACCCAAAATTTCAGGACTGCTAGTGAACTTGAGGTATCCAGTCATTGGCTTCCAGGTGAGAAGAAATTCCACCCTTAGAGGGTCCAAGTCACGCGAGTCTGATTGTTCTCCACCTTTTGGCCATGACTTTGTCAGAAACGTGGACAAAAGCTGGCCGGATTTTCCTGCTGTTGAATTTGACAGGTGGTTAAAAATACGTATGTCGTCTCCGCCTCTTGCTGACTGCATAAAAAAACGAAAATCAACGGATCATTCATCAATGTCAAGTGCGTAGTCAATAAACCTCAATCAAGTGTTTACCCTAAATATTTTAAAATAGAATGTCCAATAAGTTATTATCTGGTCACAAATCAGGTATCGCAATATTCTTTAAGAGTGACTAACAATTGAATTTTAGACCGTCCACTACACCTACAATTCATTATTGACCTAATCTATCGAAAGTTCCAAAGTTCTTAGTAGTGTGTTTCTGTTTGTATATCAGTTTAAGCTTTTTCCTGTTTGAAGCCGCTAACAAATAATCAACAATCTCGATAAAAGTAATGACTGAAACCGGGTGTTCAAAAGGCACCTGTTAAAACGTTAGGCCATCCCTAAATTATGTGCTCCTCTAACAATAAGTTATAGTCTACTTTTTGACCTTGATAAACCGCGGTTTTAGTACACCACAGAAGACACCTTCTAGTTAACAAACGTCATTTGCAACTTACGCTCATTATCTTTTCCACTGCTTCAAAGGCAAGGTTAGAAAAAGATTCTCCAACAGCTCCTTCATATGGACCCATATCTACTTCACAAAAAATTTCAACCAAATACACTCCCTCCAACTGAAAAAAATGTAAAAGAAAACCCATGACGAGAAGAAAGGAGGTCAATAATGGAAATTTAAACCCCAGCCATTCCTGATTTCGTTCTGGAATGCCACAGGGAACTTGAGGTAGGCCTGGTGTAGCTCTAGAGTGACAAACAAAGTGAATGCCGCTAGGATTGGTGGGCGACAATTGAGCTAAACTTTGAGCTCGATCGCCAAATGTTATACACATGTCGCGGGTGCGGGAGGCAGAGGAATAAGGTAGACCTCTGCATATCCAATATCAGGGGCTAACCACCGACTAAAACCTCACCAGCAGTCTACCAAATTGTACTTAACGTTTGCAGTGAGCCTCATGGTTGTTCTCTCCTCCTTAAGCGGGCAAATATGCGGTTACTTTTTACAAATCGTTACTTAAATCGTTTCCATCTTACCTTTCTTGCTCGACTCAGCAGCTCATTTATCAAAAACGTCCTGTAAGCAGTAAATCCTTGATTTCCATCCGTAACCCATAGCAACTCGCTCCATAACTGAAACAAAAATAAGAAAAACATTTTGAAGAGAATACATAGCGAATCAGAAAATCAAAATATGCCTGAAATGATCTACAGGGTATCAAAGAGCCTCTCAAGAAGATAACCACCCAATCTGAAACAAACTTTAGTAATAAACTTACTGACAACTTGTTTCAGCCACATGTAAGGACACGTCATTACATTAATCTTATTTGCTTCATACCGAAAGTTCTCTGGCTAGATGTTCACTCTTGTGATGGTAAGGCATGGTATAAGAGAGATCACGTGACAAGCTGTCTCTCAGGCTCCTTAGTAGCCTGTCAATAGTTATTCTCTCGTTTAACTGGCTCTTTTCTTGGTCAGGCTTCTCTTCAAATTCCCGTCGCTGCTTTCTAATGCATGTAAAAAGCAGCTTGATTGTATGGCAAATCAGATCCACGTGATCCCAAATGTTCAACTCTTTTAGGAAGACTTCAACCAGTTTTAGACACAATGAAACTGTAAACTCAACCTCTTTAAGGTCAGTGCTGTGGAATGAATAGATTCTTTAGCTTCTCTTACGTAGCATGAGATATCGTAGACAAAATAAAAAAATCACAAGTAAACATACGGAAACCTACGATTTAAAATCTTTTTTTTGCTTCAGATTTGTCTTTCTCCTCTTCGGAATTTTCATCCCAAAATAACCTTTCACTTTTTTGTTCGACTAGTTCACCAGTTTTCAAAGCACATGATACACTTGAAAACAAATATTTTTTGTCCCAATTATTTCTCCATTCCCCAATCCGACCAACACCCATGCTATGGCCAGCACCCCAAAACTTCAGTATTTTTTTAAATATAAACATGGTTAAAGGTTCGACAAATTTGCTTAGCAGTACACCAGGGTCGATGGGCTACAAGGAAACTGAGGTCTTATTGTAGTTGAAACATACCAACTTGATTCTTTTTCCCAATTATATCGAACAATCATCAGTTTTACACACTGAAAAACATCTGCCCACTGCAAAATGAAAACAACTAAATGTAAACATCTAAACATTAAGCGACCGATTTTATCACCTTCCGGGCGATTAAATGCCCCTCAAAGTACATTGCTAGAACTGATGAGCCAATACAGTATTAAAAAAATATTCCCGAATTATGAAATAATATTCTATTGACCTTTTGGAAACAGTTTCTTACCTTGGCTGATGGTACGTATTCACGGGAACAGTATGTTACTAGGGCTGCCAAAATGTCGAAAATTTGGAACAATTTTGAAGCAACAACCTTGTTTAGATCCCCAGGAGGAATGGCGTGGACAAAGGTCCTTTTTAGCAGAAGATCGACCTCAAAAGCTGAACCAAGTCTGGACAATAGTTCTGGCAAATTTCTATGATCAAAACATGGTGAAACTATTAAAGTCGAACGTGATATTTTTAGGATAGTTTTGCAATATGGTATCTCTTTATATACTGATAAGCAGATCATTGAAAAAAATAATACATCTAAAATATGTTTAGAAGGGTAGCATGCCGGACTGATATTCTACGGCATGGGGGTCTGCAACCTGGTAATTCAAGTTTTGTAGAGAGAAAAAGCAAACAAAAGAATATTCTCTGCCAAATTACGGTGCAAATGCTCATGTGACAATGGCGATAAATGAATCAACACACTATGACGTGCGAATAAAGAGTTCAAAGAGCAGTTAAACTCTCGCGACAGTTTCTGATTCAACTTCCAATCGCCTTTACTTACAAATTTCTAACTAATCTTCGAAATTTTTTTATTTCCAGTCCCTGAGCTCCGACCCAATCAAGTTTGTGGTACGATCCTTCAATACCAGGTTCTTCAAATGGCATAGAATCTCCTCTCAAGAAATGTAATAGTGGTACAGCAAATAGCCACGTGTCGGCTTCTGATTTCCAATATTCCGTCATAATTTGGTTACACAGTTCCTCGATCCCTTCAGCAGCGAGTCTACAACAGAACGAAATAATCAAAGAGCACACAAGCGATTGCAAAAAATCTTCATCCTTTAGAGGTACGATCCATTAACGATGAGACCAAAGGTTTTTAGGGAAATGCTCGCACTTCTACATAATCAGTGCTTTACTTCCTCCATTATTCATGGAAAATCTTTCTTTACGATAATTCACGAAAGCGTGGATGGTGCCTTTTATTGTCCATGTGCAACTAATTGTGCTTATCATTTAGATGTGTACCCAAAACGCCGTTGGGTCTCAGCGTCCACTTTTAACGCTTTTAGGAGTCAACTTTTTTGAAAATTAGTATATACCGTGAAATAAAGCACGAAGTTCCGAAATGATATGCCTAACATCAACTGAAATCAGCAACAAGGTAATAGCTCTCTTGTTAGTCCTCAGGTGCACACGATCTCCTCAATCAAACTAAATAGTGTCTGAAAAGATTAAAACCTAAACTTCAGCAAAAGCCCCTTTCCCCCATTAGTTGATAATTTAATAAAGCAAAGAATATCCTTCTTTGTTTTCTCGATGAAAACGAGCCCAATTTTTTCTTATGCAGAACTATTGAAAGATCATAAAACCTTCACTGTTTAACTGACAAATGAAACTCTCATCCTTTAAAATCCACCCTTCCACTGAACAGACTTATGGCTACCGACTCCGCTCATTTGAGACCCAGAGGAGCAGAGTCTCATACTAGCGGCCATGCTTACATATCAATGAAACAAATAGTCCTAAATGATAAGCCAGTTACTTTCAAATAAAGTTTTAGACCCTTATTCTCGTTATTTTACCGTTTATCTTATCATCGCATTTATGAGGTTTTGGCAGTTAATACTACTGTTGTGATGGCCGTTGCTGTTGTTTTAGTATGCAACCACTTACTCTCTCAGTCCTTCACTGAAATTTTCCAGAACTGCTTCGTAAATCGTGCATTTTTGCCTTGCTGGATCTGCTGTAAGCAACAAACATCTCAAAAGTGGCAACAGAAGTTCCCTCTGAAGCTCTATCTTGTACTGCTTGCAGATCACAACGATCGCTATGGATGACACCAGTGCTGAAGCTCGAGCTTCTACTCGTACGTCACTCTGGGCTGTTATAGCGGCATTTTCCTTCATTTTTGGCTCCAAGTGGTCCACTAAGATCTAAAAAAGAGGAAAACCTGCATCAGTTTGCACAACGTCACTATCTAAGGATCTTGTTTACGAAATAACGTTATCGCCCCTTCCATTAATTTTACGCCGGTTCAAAGTAAATTTTGTTTTGAAATGTCAGACAAATTCGACCACCTGACCCTTGAAGATGTTTTTAAGCTTTTACTTTAGGAGATCACAGGTTACGTTTAGAAGTTTTAGATGTGAACGATTCGTCTGAGAGAATAATGACCACCATTTATTTTTTTAATTTATACAGTTTACCTTGTCAATATTGAAATCTGGTGGCTTCCTTCTCTCAGGTTTTCTGCGTGAAAACTGAATCCAAACGTTGGTAAGGCAGTTTACAACTTTGTCCAACTCCACAATTGCTTCTGTTGCCTTCATTTTTACTTCGCACTTACCAACAATAAAGCCTCTCCACTTTGGTAAGTAGGCTAGAAGTGCAGCTGTGCGATTTTTCGCCGTTTGTTCAGACCAAAACCATCCTTTAAATGAGTTCCACCAGCCCTTCTCGCTGTAAATGTAACTTACTCCGTCAAACTGGTGCCATGTTGCTAAACCGTAAAAAAAAAGGGGAAAAAATCCACATTCATCTATTATAGGTCAGAGGCAGTAGGATTTAAACGACCAGCAGGCTGTTGTCGATGTATATTCCACCGGATTCGTTAATCCTTAGAATTTTTCATCTTTGATGGGAAGCTAGTCTGCATAAATTCATTTATGTAGAATCTCGCTTTGCGCAGTATATGCAGAAGCTAGAAGTATCAAGAAAATTCTAACTAATCTAAAGCCGGTGAAATTTAAGTTTTCCTGTAATAGTAAATATTGCGCATCAGTTAAAAACCGTGGTGCACTTCTCTGCGAGAAAGCTCTTCCTCCCAAGCTTCAAAATATTGGGACCATTAGTATATCCTAGTTTGCTTTGTTCAACAGTGAACCTATTTAATGGGTAGAATATGCTTTCTCGCAGGTTAGCAGTGCGAATCACCTATTAGCATACATGCAGCACCGTCAGCGGTATTATACAAAGGCCTTAGGGAAAAAAGAAAGTTGCTAACGTAAGCATGCACCCAATTCGTTTGTTCAAATAAAATACGATTTTGACGAGCACCAGGCAGAAGGCTTGCAACAGGTTGTAAAGGTGTGTATGGACGCTCCTCACGTACTCTCGATATTTTAAACAATTTAGGCCCACTTTTTCAAGTTTGGATCAGGCTTTTCAGGCTACCATAGGGCAGATTACGGCAACACACTGGCCAAACTTCTGCTGTTGGAGTCAGGGTGTTTTACAGGAGTTATAAAAAAACCACAAGCCAAGCTCGGTTCTTGAAAACGGAAACTTTTTGGTGGCAAATCAACAGGACACCCGTAATAGGATAAGCCTTGTGCTCGAAAAGTGTTTTTTAAAGTACTATTTAAATAGTACTATTTAAATTATTTTATAAAACCTAATAAAGCATCGCAGAAACTTTGGGAAAAGTAAGTACCAGCTTTTGGCTTAAGAATCTGTGGAATGCTCTGGGTAACCAATGCTAGCTTTGATCAGTCGCTGAAGTGTTACTTTAAGTTTTTAAACAAAAAAGTCAGTTTTTTAAGAAAAGAAATTGAATAAATGTAGCATTACGGTAAGTAACAGTAATAAGCATATTCGTTATTGACACGTAGAGCTGTATCTTCAAGTAACAGTTTGGGCACATTGAAAAATTAAACATTACGATAGAAGTTCTAAAACTAAAAAAAAAGATATATTTGATCCTTCTTCAGTGGAAATAATTCAATTTGGCGAAGATTAAATTACATTTTCCCGTGAAGTTAATTGTTTACAATACATGGCATTGTGTGAACTGACAGTGCTCATTACAATAATTCTTGAGAGCTTCAAATAACAGTTTGTGCAGAGTATAATCTAAGCATTATAACTGAAATTTCTAAACCAGAAAAACAAACAAGGTATTTTTTCTTAAAAAATTTTTAAAGTTGGAGAGAACTTTCCTCAGATTTGTAGGGTATTGAAAAATGTGCCGTAGCGATTGGGGATCCTAACTTGCGTTCACTGAATATATTACTTTATCTTCCTTTAAAAGCTGAAATGAAACTTTTTTAGCCAGAGACGAGGGTAGATAATCATTTTCGTAGACAGATTGGTTGCATTTTATTCGATGTTGTAATTTCCAGTGACAAAGATGCTAACATAGAGTTGAGTACATTTGCCATGGAGGAAAAACGCCCCTTATTTTTTTCTTCTTGTAAAATCGTCCAGTTTGCCATGATCAAGGCAGTCAAATTTTTCCTCTTTATTGTTTGTTTACAAACATAGTAATCTGCAAACTGACAATACATATATATCTTTTCTGTAAATCTATTAATAACACTTCCAGTAACCTGTTCATGATTTATCTTATCAGGCTTAAGATGGTTTAAAGTCTGCAAGTTTTGTGGTTTCTTGAGTCAGTTGGATTCCATCTTTAGAAACTACAAATGTACTGTTCCTGTAAAATTAGATATTTCCTCTTCAAAACAAAAAAGTTGACCATCAGCGTGCTAAAAAAATGCGAGTTCCTATTTTCTAGACTGATTACTGTTTCTTACCAAGTTGTTAGAGGAATTACTTCAGTGTGATCAGGAGTTAAGATATCACTCTTGTTTAGATCACTGTTTTTTTGCTACTGAAAAACATGTTTCAACTTCTCCGTTGAACATCACCTAAGCTTTCCGGCCCCGATACGTAATCACCATCCACATTTTTATTCAAGATACTCGTTTCATTTGAAGTTTCTTTTGAAGAAATTGAAACGATATCCCGTGCTATCAGGAACAATTTCCGTTTTTGTCGAGTTGATTATACGTGTGATTTATTCAATTCTTCTCCTTAATGTCATCTCTTTGGTTTGGATTAAAGCAAAACAGTGGAAACCAACACAAAAGCAAAGAAGCGTCTTTCCCATATGGCTGATTCAATGTTCTGCATCGTGCATGTGATAGCGTGTATATATATATATATATATATATATATAAAACGGTAAAAAATATAGCACTTTCGACGGTTGACGGCTATTCTTTGGGCCTTTTAACCGATAACGTCACTAAGACCCTTTTTTTTAAAACGCTACTCACGGAATATCGGTTACAAATCCCCTGGTTCGTCTAGCTAAATGTCAGAGACATTTTATAACAACCCTGTTAGAACATGTAAAGCAAAATAAAATAACAACTTACCGCCATGTTTCAGGTATTTGTCTGGTATAGAGAGAAATCGATCGACTATAGTTCCATCATAACGCGATTTAAACTCTATCAGTTCTTCCCATAGAACAACCTTTTTCTTGATTATCACATACTTGTACTTGGTTCCCTTTCGGGCTCGGTGGATGGTGAGAGTGATCTGTCCTTGGAAGAGCTTAAGCTTCGTTTTCTCTTTGCCTTTGTCACCCCTAAGAGATTAAGTAGACTGGTATTGACACAGTCTATTGCGTAGCCACAATGGGGTTATAAATTCTAAGTTCAAATTCTGTTCATAAATGCATTCTTAACAAGTTTGCTGTCCTTCAAACAGCAAATGAGGCAACATCGTATCCCGACTTCCATAAATATTGATTATTCATCGCATTTAAAGACATTTCGCTTGAAAACTCCGGGATTCCTTCTATGATCAGCAAAAAGCACAATTTCCATACATCGAACTGTAAAGACAAAGCAAGTTTCTTTCTTCAATACAGCTATACTCCTTTTCAGGGGTCTTAAATAAACATTAAAAAAGAGGCAGTTTAAGACTGCATATGGCTACTGATTTGGCATAATTTTTATAGCATTGAAAAGAACTAGAGTTAGAAGGTAGTGTTGCAGAAGACTTGTCTCACATGCGAAACAGAAACCTGCCGCATCCTACATATTTATAAGTACCCTGTACCACAAGAGAAAGATGATTCAAGAATATAGTGAATAACTGACACTCAACCAATAATTAAATGGTAACAAATAATCATATTAACTATAGTAATGAAAAAATGGTAGTGCTCTCTCTTCGAATGAACAAAATGTTTCCTCAAAGTTTCCACAATATGCAGATGAAACCTATTTAGATCTTTCTGCAAGGAAAAGTATTGTTTGCAATTACATGCCGGAGACGCTACTGTGAAATTATTTTGAGACATTTATAATCTTTTGTAGTGTCACGGCAAGAACTGCAAAAAATATATCTTCGGATCTACTGGGCATAATTCACTAATTCAAAAGGTAACATACTCTCTCTTCAAAGAAAATATTTTAAGTCTAAGTTTTCATGATCCGCCGATCACACCTTTTAAGACATTTCTGCAAAGTAAGCTTTGTCCTGAAATGACTGTGAGATGTTTATCGTCTTCTTTAGAGCCCCGGAAGAAAAAATTAGTAACACCGGGAAACAGTGTAATCACGTGCTAATTCCGAGAAACTATATCCTAAGCGATTTAAAGAAATCGTTACCAAGCGTTGAACGCCCGAAGATGTGCTGAAACAAACAAGAACAAAGAACGAGGAATATCGGGTTAAACTTGGCAGACTTCGCCGTGGGCGAAGAGGTTATTTGTATTCTATTGTTACACTCACTCACTCACTCAACAAGACAACATTATGGCTTCGCCTCCATACGAGGTAGTAGCCACAAAAACTGGTCATAACTACACACTTGTCTAATGAATCCGGCAACAAATGACGAAGTCAAGAGCTGGAGCTATAAATTTTAAAACATTAAGAGAGAGAAAAAGCATATTTCATTGATTCGTACTTGCACCCATATGGTTAAAATAAATGATAAATTAAAGAATACAGGAATACACCTCAACAACCAGTTCAAGGCTCGAACCGAGATCTATTAACGCGGAATTCCCGCGATAACTGTCGAACCCTTGCGTTTCTTTATATTAAAGGACACTGAGGTAAGAGTTCATTTGACAACTTGCAGGTTTCTTTTACATCGGTGTTAACTCGTCATAGCACGTAAATTTCATGTAGGTTTACTTGGCTAATCTCAAGCTTGCAAAATTCCACCCACCTATATTTACAAAAACAAACTAACCTTACTAATTTCATGTCAACACAGGTTGTCTTAAAGTCTCCCAAATCTTCTCCTTCTGCTTGAATATGCATATGTTCTTCTTCCATATTTAAGTTAGACGCTAACATGACATGGAAGATTACGGTGACTCCATTCTCTGGTTCAACCCGTGTCAGCTTCCCGTGCTGTGTTGCTGTTGGCTTTGTAGTACCTGGTTTATCCTCTGAATTCGACGATTCTGTAATGTAAGGGGCAGAAGCGCCAGCTCGATGGGGCAGACGTCTCCTTCTCACTGTAGGCGAGGTTGTCGGCGATGGGAAAGTTGGTGGGAAGTCCGCCGAATGACGATGGCTTTCCAGTGACTTACTCTCGCTCTCTGTTGACCGATCAACTAAGGTGGAGCCACCCTCGATGTCTGGCTGACCCGAGTGAATCGTGGGTTGTGTTTGTGGTCTTAACAGGGTCCCATGCTCGTCTCTGTATGAAAGCAGGCACTGCTGATTTTGCCCATTACCTTTATGCGAGGAAAACCAAAACATTCCTTATTTGGAAAATAAGATTTAAGAGCATTGCTAACCAGAAGGTGGTTTCTTGAGAAAAACGGCCTATGCCCTTCTTGTATTAAACTGCCAAATTAACTTACTCTACGAGATTTTTCCCAAAAACAATTCACAAACAAACCTAAATTGGATTTAGTTTTCAGAGGGCTCAGTAGAGATAAGGGACTGCATAAATTTATGCTGTCCAGAAACATTTGGGTGGGGGGGGGTGTCAATCAAACTGTTTTGAAAAAGGTTAACCAAAAATGTTTTATTCAAAACATGTAGCTACAAGTCAATTGCAAAAGAGTGAAAATGCAGAGTGTTAAAATAAGTAGAAAGAAAAAAAGGAAAGAAATTTCAAGACATTGTGAGATACACATGTTCAAGTCATGACGTGTGGATTAAATTAATAATGGTTTCTTTCAAGTACCTGTCAGAGTGAAAAAAAACAACAACAACCAAATTCAACTGCTATATCGAATATAAGTTTTGTCAATGTTGGTATTTTTTGACATTACTAGTCCGCAATTCTCCTGGCATTTTTTGACCATTGGGATAGGTACTCCACCATATTTTGGAGATGTAAGTGCGTGTTTGCAAAATCTTCAAATCGGGACCTCATTTCAGACCAGAAATAATTTCAAGTGAATTTCCGTGGAATTTCTACTATATGGAAATAGTTCACAATAACTTTAAAACTCTGGTTCAAAAGAAAAGGTTGGAAGTAAATGTGGATGAAAGGTGAAATTTACTGTCTATCATTGTACATATTGAAAAAATTAATGATTCCCTCTTTATCAAATGTGATAAACGGGAACAAATTTTGTGTGATATAACTAAGCCCCTACTGCCACCGTCATTTTGGATTTCCGCCTGGGTAGATTTTGGTCACGTGCTAGGCAACATATAATCAAGAACAAGATAGAATTTCATTTCAGGCCTATTTATGGATTTTGTGGTGTATGACTTTCGCATTTTAGTTCGTAATATTTATTTTGAATCTTCAGATTGTCTTGAAACTTAAAATAAAGTTGTTCTTCATAAATTCACTGAAAATCGGTAGCCAAAATTAATTGTTTAGGTGTTATTTGATTTTCGTGTTAACCTGTAATTTCGTCAGTCGCCGGCACCTTTTGTTGCTTCACACAGGAAAAACACACGATACGAAATGTAATGATCGATTTTGTCTCCAATCTCACGCCATAACAAAAAAAGCTTTTGAACAACTGTAAACTCCGAGCGCTACGGAGTAAGTGATATTTTTAACGAATCTTCGAATTGTTTTCAAGTCCAAGGATTGTAAATTACATTTTCATGAAAAACGAAGGTTGTTCTCTTATTTCAGTATGAATCCTCGCACACCTGCCAGTCGCTGGCGCCGCTTGTTGAAACTAAATTCAAACGTTGCTGCATTATTTTAAAACTCAGAAACTACATGGCTCTGTAGTAGTAAAAGAGGGCTTCATTTGCAAGTACTGTAGACTTCAACATGAGAAGAACCTAATAAATCACTCTTTCAGTTTTTATCTCAGTGTATAAATTATTTAGCCAGAACGAAAAAAAAATTAATATACGCATGAGTTGGAGCCATTCGTGTCTGCGGTGAAATACACGAATGGCTCCAGTCTCTGGTCATCAGCCTAAACTGACTAAATGAGTTTTATCAGCGGATGACTTTTTCATCGCCGGAATATCGCTGAACGACCTCGCTGAAGAAGCTAGACCCTTCTCTTTGTTATGTAAGTAGCCATTTCTTGTTTGACTCATCGGTGTTTTCACATTGATATTTCATTGTTCCGCTTCGAGACACGCGGTTAACAACACTCACGAGCAAGATGTAATTTATTACCTTTTACTAATTTTATTATCCAATCACAGGTCGGAGCCATTCCTGTATTAAGTTGCAAGACTGGTACAGTAAAAACCCATAACAAAAACACAGCTCCTGGAGAAATTCTTCGTAACCGAAGAGCTGCTTTTCATTTGGCTCTGAAAAATTACCTACGGAATCAACGCCACCGCATCTTTCGGTTACGACAAATACAACGATTTTTGGCACTCGTTGGCATCGCAATTTCTGGACTGACAAAGCTTTGTAGATTTTTTCGTTATCGTTCAGTTTGGGTGAGGGAAAGTAGTTCGGACTGGTGGCAGCGCATTGTTAACCCTTTAACTCCCAAGATATGATTGTTAATTCTCCCCTGTAGCTGCTACACATTTCCTTGTAAATTAGTTTTGAGAACTTGGTGCTAGATCAAGATAGCAGCTTCTACCTGATAAATTTGAATATTCTCATTACCTGTTTGCTGAAGAATGTATAGATATTGTAGGGAGAAGTTTTATGTTAATCACTTCTGGGAGTTAAAGGGTTAGTGGAACACGGACTGAAATTGCGTGGTGGCTTTAATTTTTGCTGCCACTGGCCTTTGAAATGGTTTGTAAAACAATGAGAAGAAAATTTTCACGTTTCTCGTCCTGTTCTACCTCAAATCTTCGTCTTTTCTCCTCTTACTCAGCTTCTTGTTTACTTTTTCGTTCTTCAGACTCCAGGAATCGCCTCTCAGTTCGAAACATTTCTCCATAAATCTTTCCATTTTGTCAGCGGATGTTGGGTATCCGCCAGTTTTGCCTCTTTTCATTTTCGACCTAGTAACTTCGCCCCGCATAAAAGTCAAGTTCGACCCACCATTTGAGTGACCCGTAATAAATCAATTCAAACATATCACAAACAAATATATCTGGGAAATATCCAAAGCGAACCATCGCTGCAATCCAAAGGTTATAAACTTGCTTGATTCGAATTTGCATAAAATATTTCCCAACATGTTAGTTCTACAACACAATCGTTTTAGAAACTCGCCTTCAATCACAAATAATAATTTTGTTCACTAATAAAAGCATTATCAACGCACTATCAAAGCATTGTGTATAAGCAAAACACAAAAAAACACTGTGCACATGCTTTCTAATTTGCATGACACAATATCTTTCTGTCAATACCTTTAAATATAAATCTCTTGCAAAAACACAAATGTTAAAGCACATAAAGTAAGTTAGATATAAAAACACATATATGATAAAGCGGGTAGAACTTGAAGTTGACATGTGTCGAAGTTACAAGGGGCGAAAATGAAACGGAGTGAAACTGACGTAAACTGGATGTTGACTTAGGCTGTTTTCTATTCTTGTCTGCTTTGTTCTTTGGCCTTTGTTCGGGTTCTGCCACTGCCCGTCATCTCGATAGATAATTTATTTTGGTTTCGATTGACTCGAGTAGGCGAGCTTTCTTTTTTTTTCAAGAAATCATTGCTTTGAGACAAAAACTGTTTTCTACAGTAATTTCGGTGTTTTCACATTGAGGATGAATTGTCTAGAACTTGGGGGCGAATCGTCTGACATTCGTTTACAGAAATCATGGTCCAAACTACCTCACATGACGGTTTCGATGTTGATTATTGTAAACATGTTTCGATCTGGTTTCGCGGGCCAAATCGTCAGGTATGAACATTCTTTTTACTCAAACATGATCGAAACGTGATTAATCTAAATATGATTCGGCCTAGTGTGAACGCAGTCTAAATCGTCAGGTATGAACATTCTTTTTATTCAAACATGATCGAAACATGATCAATCTAAATATGATTCGGCCTAGTAAACGCAACCTAAATCTATTCACGGATCGATTTCAATTTGAGCAATGTGTAGAAGACATGTCTTAATTTCCATCCATGAAAGCACAATTTACCTTCAACGTGTTCTTTCTCTTTTCCAAAGTCGTGTCCTCTTGCCGAAGCATCGCTTAGCGGTTGCTCCCCTGTTGTATTTGGAACTTTTCCCTGGCTATGTGGAATATTTTGACCATGATACAAAGGAGAACGACATTTTGGGCACCATTTAAAAGTACCTTTCAAGTTTGTGAATCCACATTCGGTGCACTGCATTGCTAGAAGCTACAGCCACATGTTACTCGTGTCATTGACACTTCAAGATTGCGTCAAACTCTCGAACGACTGCTTCCCGGAAGCAGTTCTCAGAAATGTAACCGAAAGTGTTAGATCAGTTGCTAGGCGCTTGTAGGGCGGCATTTGTCAACACAATATGCACAATGGTGTAAAATGGAATATCTCGCTCAACACAATCTGGAAATCCGGCAATACTTACAAAAAGTTGGAAAGGAAGATAAAGAGCACTCTCTTCTCGAATATACTTACGAGTTTTCAGATTTAAGAGTGACAGAAAGAGAATATGAAATTATACAAGAGTTACCTCACCACTATTTTTAACTTTTTTTGAAGTGGTAAACGAGTTTGGTTATTTTCGTCCACCTAGATGCACCTTTACTCACAGTTTCGTTCACTGCACTTGAGGAATCTGTTTCTGACATCACCAGTACCAGAACTGTTTGGGCGTTATAGTCGTGAGAGTAAATATGAAGATTGGACAACAAAGACCCCAAATTGAATCAATCATTCCATACTTGTGTTTCCGTCATATAGAGGGAGTTGAATCGAAATCACTCCTCTAAGCGTAATGTCTCAAGCCTACGCGTTTGCCTCCAGACCCCTGCATATCTTAAACGTAGATCGCGAGCCTTGCATCGCATTTAACTCGTCGGTACCTTCTCTACTACTTGACAACAAGGAAGCGCGGGAGGTACACGAAGGACAAAATGGACGACAAAGTTAACGTTAGACATTGGCAAAATTCTCTTTTTAATCACCTTTAATAAAACAATATTGTTGTTCTTCCTTATTTGTCTTTCTCATATTTTTTCCACAATTATCTTTGGTCAAACTGTTTCTCGTAGTTGAGAAAACACTGAAGCTCCCTTTCCTATGTTGTCCCGGAATGAAAAAAATGCGTCAAATATTCACTGGCTTCTTTGATGTTGGGAGGCAATTTTTTTCATGTTGGGGTGTGATGAATTGTTGTTAAAAATTTTCCACAAGTGTCAACGCCTCATCTTCTCAGTTTTACTTCCTTAAATCATGACCAGGTTTCACTCTGTATATGTCTTGTACTTTCTAATTTTTTATGAAATTCCTCGGCGTTGGGTCTGTCCATTTTTCCTTCTTTCATAAATATTTCAAGAAGGGCATCAGTAACATCGGTGGGCATTCTTTGAGAGTTTCTGGAAATATAACAGATGTAAACAGCAGTCAAACTATTACGAGGATTTTCATTATTGATATCAAGTAAAAAAAAAATCACCAAAAAATACTACAAAAAAAATTAAATTATTTCATCAGACTTTACTTCCTTAAAGTTCTATGTGCAGTTTATCCAACAGAATCATGTCACACATGATTTACTTCTTTTATTATTCTTGACCATTTATACCTTCCTCGCACCAAAAGTTCCGCTGCTTGATATTCAGGAATGAAAGACTTAATAAACCTACACCTGAAGGATTTGGCGAGCTACTTTTTTCCAATTATTTGGAATTCTCCTTTAAAATCTTACTTTCCAAAAAAACGTGGCTTGTTTGCGATGTACGTTTCATTTTGTAGTAACAAAAACGTTATTTCAGAGGCTATTCTCGAGGAAAACGTACTGAAAAAGGATTTCTCCCAAAAAATTGTATAACTTCCTGTAAAAGTACCATTGTCAAGTCACCTACACTAAAAAAATTCCTTCGTTGACAGCTCTCCTCGTTAGAAAACTAGCACGTCTGTTTTCAGACCAGGGAATTGAACAAGGGAAATGAAAGACATAGTTTTCCATAAGCACTGCCAGAATAAATTATCAAGGAAAAACTTCTAGGGTAGCTAAAGTTATCACCCCATTGCAAGTTTCCCCTATCAGATATACCAAGTTCACCCCCACTTTTACGAGTTCACTAACACTAATTTCCTATCAGTCAAACAATTTTTTTTAAGACGAAATAGGAGTAACTTTTGAACTTACAATGGGACAAAACCTGAGCAAATCCATTTGAAGAACTTGCAATTTAAGATCAAATTTGTAATTCTCCTTACGGTCAACCATACAATTCTTATAATGTCAGTTCAGAGAATGTAGTATTGGATCAACTAATTATCCCCAAATTGATTAATTTCTTTATTCTGATCACTTATCTGGTTGAAATTGTATTGGTATTGTAAGGAGAAATTTTGTCTTGGTCACTCATGGGAGTTAAAGGGAAAAAATTTAAAGCAAAAGAGCACTTATCATACCCGGCGATGTAAAACCATCCTTGTTTGTTGACCAGAAGATCCCAGACAAGAAAGCTGTGTTCTAGCAATCTGTGCTGGACGTAAATCTTGTCTTCCTGTACACAGAGACATTTTGAGAGCAAGAAACAATTTCAGCAATAAATGCCTTTTTGTGTTGATCTCTAACTGGAAAAAAAAAATAAATGTTTTTGTGCTTTGTTCGGATTCACATTTTTTTTCACGTGATTCTTTTTTCTCATTGTTTCTTTGACGGCCTCTAAGTTCTCCGATGCACCGCGCTCTCTAATGAGGGAAAAATTGTGATCTGCGATAAGTGACAACCGTGGCTAAGTCCTTGTACCATAGGGGGGGAACAAGATGCCCATCTTAACATACCTGATCTCTCGAAAAAGCAGTAAACAACTGCAAACTTCCATTTTCAACCAAGGGACCCCATTGGTCTTGGAAAAAGAAATCTTTGTTACTATTCCGACAGCCAAAGAACAGCACACAGTCTGCAAGAAGATATCCACATTATACAACTGATAAAGGCCGCTACCTGATTGATACTAAATGACACATAGCAAATAACAAAAATAACAATTGTGATTAGTTTTTGTGATTAATAATAAACAAACCATGGGTCAAAACTCGAAGGCGAAAAAACCGCAAAAATATATCAGAACGAAAAATCTACCATTCCTGGAGTGACAACAGTAATTTCAGAGGAACCCAGCCAGATGTCAAAACCTACAATCCTATCACGACTGACTTTGGATAGCTGGTTGTTTTAGTTATATCAGACTCCTTTCGGCGGACGCCAACAACTACAAGCACTCCACGAACGACTTATATGCCAAATAGAATTACATAAATCTACATAGACGGATCGAAACTGACCAATCACAAGTGACGGACACTACCCCAGTCTTACAGCCAGAGACATCATAGAAAATATGTCCAGTTTCCACGAGTCAGACCTACAACATTTGAAAAACCATCTTTTTCAAAACGACAGTTACGGTAACCGACCACAGTTTTTTTTTAAGAGACCGTTACCTCAACCAGACGATTAAACGAGATATTAGAAAATTTCAGTTTGATTGCGTTACTAGCCTAGACCACTCATTTCAAGAAGTGAGGGTTTTAGGGACGTGAATAGCTTAAGGCAATATCTCCTCCTGCTGGTGGAACAAACCCTCGCTTACCTCCAGCAGACTGTGACACTCTCTCTTCAATAAGACTTCTAAACGGAGCACAGCCAGTACCTAGAGGAAAAATACAACGCATCAACAGTTTGTTTGTTTAACCACAAAAGCAAGATACCTTAGTTTTAAAGTTATCTGCGTTTACTTTGAATTACCAATGCACAACCTCATTAGGCTTGAAAAAATAAAGTTCCAGGTGTAAATTATCAAGAACGTAACTCGCCCATAAACTGAATCAAAGTATATAACGAAAACACGCAACTACTATTGATGTATAAAAGCATCTCTTTAAGAAGCACGGGCGGTTTTCTCAAAGAAAAATGACCGTCCATAGGCACATTTATGAGGTAAACAGAGGTTGTGGGGTATAAACTTTTCTGAAAATAGGCGTCACGATTGTAAAGCGAGGTGTATTCTTAGTATTGTAACGTGTTGGCGTTTAAATACCTCTGCTTGTCTATAGAAAACTCAGTAATGTTCTACACATAAATAAAACCAAGAAGCACACGTCAATACAAAATCTAAAAAATTTAAGGCAAAGGTCTTTGACCAATCATGTAAAAATACACGTATGATAAAGAAAAAAATTGTGCAACATGTCAAATTACCTGGGCCTACCATGACGATAGGTGAGTCTAAAGCCTTGGGAAATGATATTGTTCCTTTCTTCACCCAAACAGGTACACGACAATCTTTGTTCAAAGGGTCCAGAGAAGCCAGCCATGTGGAGCACAGGCCTCGCCTCGGTTTGACAAGTTTAGTATTGTAGTTTACAACAGCTATCAGTAATTGGACTTCATCTGGGTGAGCCTGTCAAGATAGGGTCAAAATTTCTTTAGTAATTTTAGTACTGATTGTAGGCTGAATGCAGAATTACGCGGGAGGTTCCTGAAAATATTTTACTAAGAGTTTTCATGAAAAGGAGGAACATATTTGTATCTTATGGTAAGTTTGTAATTTTTGAAAATATTTCCAGAGTTAGTTCTTTCAGGAACGAAGAGGCTGAACTCAAACGTCAGTCTTCGTTTGCGTCTGCTGCTTCCGCTCGTGCTGATATGATGCCCCGGCTTTTTCACATGGCACACAAGACTTAAAGTATTTATCAATGTCTTTGTAGTGGAGTGGAATGTAACGAAGGGCAGCTAAAAGATAGTTAGAATATTCATTTTCCCGGATACAGGTCCTCTTACCTTCAAAGAAGAAGCAATAGAAAAAGCCCGCGGTTGAATCGGTGGGATTAGGTCAAATAAATATTCGAAGGGGATGTTGGCACTAGCAGATGGAAAGTCTTGAAGAACCTACAGACAGACATTAAACATCTTTCGTCAAACCCTACCTCTATTTATAATTAAATACGGCAATGATTCGATTTAGCGCACGGGCGCTTATTTACTTCGGTTACCGAAAGGAAGGCGCTTATTAGGGACAGGGCGCTTATTCTTTTTTGAAAAAAAGCAGAATGTGCCGAATAAAGCTTCGATGTTTATTTGAAAAGGCTCAAGAAACTGGAAAAGGGACTTGTCGTCTCTGGATCCTTCCTGGCTAGAACGAAAAGCCAATTAGTCGCCGCAAATTTTAAGACGAGATCATTCAGTGCTATGAAGGAATTGTGCACTCACATGGACGTAGTAGTTGAGAGACTGAGACGAAGGCCACTGTTTTATTATGAAGCTATAAAAAGCAATTAAACGAAGGTGGACCACGGTTGATCTCAATGTACATAAACTATAACAATGATATCACTGAAACGGAATAGGGGCGCTTGATGGCAATTTCAGACAGGAGTATTCACGCTTATTGAAATAAGGGTGCTTACTCAAAAGGGGCGCTTATTAACAAGACCAAATTAGAGGGGGGCGCTTATTAGAGAAGAGGAGCCTATTGGAAAGAGGACCCTAAATCGAATCTTTAAGGTATGATTATTTAACCTGCTGTTTCCTTAGAAATGATGATACGTAGCAGCCTTGTGGTTAGCGCACTGAAAAGTACAAGCCCTGGCCGGTGCTACTGTGTTCTTTGAAGGACCTTTCCCTCTTACAGTGCCACTCTCTTGCCAAGAGTATAAATGAGAAATTGCTGGGCTCAATGGACGAGCATCCCGTTCAAGTTGAATAGAAATACCCCTAGTGACTACATGCTCCAGAAACTGGGAATAAAAGATCCCCAGAATCGTAATTTTACTGGTATACAATTCTTTTTCCGTTGCAAGTCTTAAAATTGTGACAAAATCACATCTGTTAAACAAATTGATCACCATGCTCTCACCAAGATGGTGAGTGTTTCAGAAACTTAATTCACCTTGCTTCAGAATAACAAAATCAAATTTACCTCCAATGTGGTCCTTTTCTGTCTGTAGCAATATGAATAAAGTTCCTCCTGAAAGCACAAGTCATTCGCGTGAAAATAAGCGATAACCTGGCATATCTAGGAGTTTAACTGAAAGAGCGGTAAAGTAGACCCTTCGTCACAATAACTACCAAAAATAATCAACAGCAATTGAGATACTTGTAGTTCAAGAAGTATGAACCAGAAATTTCAACTCAATACAACTGAAATTCTCAGAGAAGAGAATGCCTGAAACTGTTCCTATTTAGAAACAATTGTGTAAAGGGGATATATGTAACCGTCGGGCATGGAATGAATACATGGGTTGTATGTGATGGAATGTACTTGAGGAATCTTCTATCACTTTTCAATCACATTTTGGCGAGATATTATGAGGAACTGATACTTTCTTTCTCAGAATGACAAGTTTTTTTAAAACCTTGAGCATGTCAAATGGAAAACACTGAAGCCTCAAAGGCTTTTCCTAAGCAAGTGTTTCTACACAATTGGTTCTCTACATCTAATATGGCACAATCAGAGTGAACTTTGAAGACTTAATATTGTGGCCTGCATGCAGAAAACTCTTCATTTGCACATGAGTGCTGACTCAAATTCAGCCATCATTTTATACCAATGCTGATTATCATAAGTAGATTTGCTTTTCAAGTTAAAGTTAGACCACAAAATTTATTTATACCTGTCCCTCTGCAGAGCAAAACTCTTGAAGTTTTTCCTTTTCCAGCTCTGAACTTGTGAAGTGGGAAAGAAGCTCAAAGAAGTATCTTTTTGGTACACCTTGAATGTCTAGATAATGTTCCACAAGGTGCTTAATGGAGCAAGGCTGAGGAAGCTGGTGTGGAACAGGGAGATCTGTCACATTAAATCATGTAGTTCAACATTTAATCATGGTGGAAAGGCACAAGCTGTTTTGAAAACAGATTTTTCTTAAAGGGGCTCTGTAAGGAATTTCCTAACTAAGCATTAAATACAAACTGTACAGCAAGATGCCAAAAAATTACCACATCTCACAGAAGGATCCTGAATTTTCCATACCACATGCTGAACTAATATGACCAAAAAAACTCTGGCATTGTAATAACATTCTAAAATCCAATCACTTCAGCAGATGAGTGCATCTTTTAAATGACAGCTATCAGTTCTACAAACCACTAACCTGGATCATTCTGCTCAAGATGGAACATTTTTTCGGGTTCTAGTGATAAAAGATTCATAAATTCTTGTACAACATCAGGCAGATTACTTGGCTGCACCATAAGAACGTCACCTGGAGAGTGGCTAAAGAAGAGCACCAACAAAAACAAATTGACTTTTTACAATGAAATAATAGCAATCTCCTCACCTCACAGCCAAATAAATACTATAAAATTAGTGGAATTAGTGGTTATTTGTACGGTGTGTTTTAAGTATCTATTATTTATACAAACATGACAAGCTTGTTTACAACTGGCATTTTTTGGTTAAGAAGAAGGTAACTGATGGATCACTGAAAATTACAGTATCTCAGACAATCTTCATGGCCACTAAAATAGTCTCTCATTAAGCCTGTGTAGCCCCAATAAAACATCTTAAGATGACATGAAAGTTACAGTGTAAGTCTTGCAAGAATTCTACCAGTATGGAAATGGAACAAAAAATTACTAGAAATATTTCTGTGCAGTCCAGCAGTCAGCTTTAAAAACTAATTTTGCTCATATGGAGACAATATGTTCAATTCAAGAAAACAGACTGTGCTAGAGGATTAACCAGCTGTTGGTAAGGTCAAGATGTGTAGTAGGGTAGAACAATGTGTCATGTGGGCTTCACATCTTTTCCATCTTACTAAACATAACTCAGGTCTCCAAATATTTTTTCCAAAAGAATTCCTATTTGTGTTCATTAATAAAAGCATTTTGTTTACAATTATTCCTCCCAACATTGAAGCATTTTAAGCAAATGATTCGATACCAAATTATAAGAGCAAAATATGGAAAAAAAATTGTATAAAAGATGGTAAGAGAGTTTCTTTTGAGATCTTGGATGTGTAAGGGTCAAATAAAGAAAGTCATAAAATTAATCAAATTTATCTGATTTAAATTCGACCTGAAATCATTTAAACCATGACTTTTCAATAAATTAAATTTAAGCAGTGTTAGTACCTTATTCCAGAACCCTTGATATCAAATTGCACCAGTCTTACATCTTGCCAGTGATCTGGTGAAGTCACACGGTTGTTTGATATTAGCTGTGCATTGAAAGGATGTCTTCTGCTTGGACTGGAATCTGACATAACTGCTTGGATAAAGACATTGGAAAAGAGACCAAGAGTTTTTGAATCAAAGTATGAATCACTATTGAACCATAACTACAACATTTTTACTTCTGTCAGCTTACCTCCATTTTCTATCAAAGAGCTTTCACATGCTTTGTTTGTGTCCTCTGTTACATGATTACTGGTATCAACAAAGATCACCTTGAATCTTGAGTGAGGCCTGTTTAAAGAGCAAATCAATAAAATTCTTAAATTCAGTGCACCTTTATGTGTTCACTACATCTGTCCGATTTCCTGTTATTTTCTTATGCATATTGGATGACAACATAATGTTTATGAAGACAACAAGAGGTTTTTTTTTTCCGGGCATGAAATCAAAAACATTCAAATATAACATTGTACCTTTTGTTGCACTTCTTAACTTTGTACTGTCCTTTCTACCAAAGTAATGTCTCCCAGGAAAAACAGTCTTGTTTAAAGCTAATTCAGTGTTTAATTTTCATGATCTCTTTAATCATACTGACGACAAAAATTCACAAGAAGATAGGGATCGATCCTAGTCTGGAACAGACATTGCCACTTTACCTAACATTAGCACTGATGATATCCTTTCCAGCTGGCAGAGGATGTATTCTAAGCATTTTTTCCCATAGCTGCTTCAACCACGGATCAACAACTGCATCTGGCCTAAGTCAAAAGAAAAAGAAACTTGATTCTTTACTTTCCTACCATAAGTGCACTTGTCTTATAGGATGCACTGACTGATGTATTTTTTAACTCAATATTCAAGGATACCAGTAGTGTCCTTATGTGCTAGAACTTTAGTCTGGTTCAATTTAATCCTTCTATTCAGGACATATGATTTATAATAAACAACTACCATGAGCAAGTTACAACTGACAAATATTGCATGCTAAGACCTCCAAGGGAGGACAGAGAGGTGGATTTTTTTTTCAAAGGAGGCGGCATTGTTGACCCCATACTTTTAGGTTCCATTCAATTAAGATATTCTTTTTGTATTATCCCCTACTCTACAAATAGACATAAGTACTTGTTGATCCAACCTAAGTTGACAAACAGACACGAGTTGAATCGGAAGAAAAGATTCACAACTTGCTAATCCCAAACTTGGAACATACCCAAGATCATGCTGGTCATCTGCTAGGCCAACCCTTTGCAGTTCTCTACCACCCAACTGGATCAGTCTTTTATTGAGCTTCTTGGCAATAAAGTTAAATCTATAAAATAAAAATAAATCAAAAATTACTTTAATCAGAGTAGACTGATGATGAATTACTTAAGATTTATAGTATCCATTATTTATCATCATGACAGAATCAAAATTCTGATAATCTGACTTTCACAAAATCCTTATCTTGAGATATTTCCCAGCCACCTTAACCCTTTAAATCCCACATCAAATTTGTAATTTTCCTTACTGTCAACAATACAAATCTTACAATGTTAGTTCAGATAATTTAGTATTGGATCAACTTATGATCCCCTAATTGATATTTTCTCTATTCTCATCACTTATCTGGTTGATATTGTAATTATACTGCATGGAGAAATTCTGTCTTGGTTACTCATGCGAGTTAAAGGGTTAAATCATATCTTTCATTCCCATCACCATCTAAACCTACTTTGGATATGATGAATCTCCTAAGCCTAGGACTGCAAATGACAACCCAGATAGAGAATTAACAGGAAGGTTTCTTCTGAGGATAAATCTCCAAAATTTCTATAAAACATCAAACAACATGTTGTTATTGTTGTTTTATTTTGATTTTTTATTTTCTTGTTAATCAAGTACAACTATAACTATTTCATTTTACTGAAGAATAAATTTTGAAGTTCTCCCACTTTATAGATGGAAGATAATCATGATTAGCTTCTCTTGTGATCTAACAAGCTGGAAAATCAGAGTAAAAGAGTTAAGAGCACTTTTTAAAAATTATTATTTAATATTTTTGAAGTTATAGAGCAAAGCTCAATCAGTAAGAACTAGGCTTTTTTTACTCTGCAATGCAGCGACAAGATCAAGAGAGGGTTGCTCAGAATTAAAAAAGATATATTTATAACAGTGGTTTTTTTTTCAAGCCTTATAAAAGCAATTCTACTCCATTAAAATTCGACTCACTAACGAATCACTAACGATTGGAGAGAAAGTTAAGGAAAAATCTTGAATAAAAAGACTCTTAAATAAAAATAACTTAAAAAAAGACTCTTAAATAAAAATAACTTAAAATTAATCAATGAACATTTTGCCATAGAATAAAAAGTATAGCTGTAACAACCTTCATATTATCAGGTTCATCTCCTTGACCTGTTGTTGCACATACAAATATCGCAAGCTCTTCTTCAATCAGCTTCATCTGAAAAAGTATGCAAGTCATTATAATACCTACCATGTACTTACATAACAAAATATCTTAACATAACTATAGACATCTGATGATAGGCATACCACATTGTAATCGTCTAGAGCCAAAACACTCGCTGACAAGTATCTTCTTTTTGCTTCTCGACCGATTCTTTCAGCAACTTCTTGGGCAGTCCCAGTTTGAGAGCCATACAGCACAGAGAGCCTTCTTCCTCCTGCCCTCGTCATTTCGTCCGCCATTACAGAGTACTTTATTGAAAAATACCTCTGACCCGAAAACACTGCAGGCCGGGATTATTCATTTTACTATTACGTGACTATTCCAGCTGACGACGGTCACGCAATACCACTAAAGTATATTTGTGTGGTCAAGGCTTTTAAAAAATTGCTTGATTTTTTATTTAGCGAAGTAAACTGTTAACATTTCTGGATTTATAACAAGATTGCTTACTGGAACCACGAATGATTTGTTTTTACATAAGCCATCAAAGCCATTTTACCGCTGACCACTCATATTTCCGACTATTTTTCTTCCCCGTCTTGTTACCAAAGTAGCGCCGCTTGGATAGAACAGCGAAGACATGGCATCCAATCTCGATTTTGCCGAGGATATCGAGGAAGCCAAAGTATACATGGCAAAGAAAAATGTTTTCCAATTGTTCGAGGTGAGGAATATCTTCCATTCGTCTTGTTTTTAGAGGGGAGATTTGTTGATCGTTCGCTGAAAGAATGTAAATGACATCGGATCACTCGAGTTCTTATCTGAAACAAGAGAGGCGTTTTTTCAGTCAACATCCAACAGGAAATCTGTTCACTTTGGGACAGTACCACTACACATATAGAAAATCATTCCTTAGTTCTATCTGAAACATTTTCGCTTTAAGCTGTTTGGCTAAACAATTACTTGCGATGTTAATTAATTCAGTTTCGTAGTTACACGGACATCATAATTGCACGATTGCGACAATAAGAAAACCAAGAACTAACATGATCCTATGCAGATCAAAATCATATTTAAAACTTATTTTCTTTCGAACCTCTCCCATATGTATTAAAGCTTTCCCTCAGGAGTAAAATGGCTCATAATTCTGTCATATACCGACATAGTTTCACATTTCGAGGTCACCAAGGTATTCCCGGTAAACCAATCAGGATGACAACAAAACACATCACGTTATGATTTTTTGACGACTGGTGGTTTTACCCTTCAGTTTCATAGTTTAAATCATGCAATGGCAATGTCCTTTCTCTTGGATATCATTATTTAATGTGGGGTATTTGTAAAATGACACAGCGATAGAATTAAGTAACTGTGCGCAATGTCCTTGGTTACGTATTCAATGATTTGATATATACCGTATTTATTCGATTAAATGCAGCGGCGTTTATTACATTTTTCATGATTCGAGTGCGACGTTTACTAAAAAACCAATTATTATTTGTAAACAATACTAAGGTAGCTGATCATTTTAATTAAAAAAAAAACACCGAAACATGTTTTAGTGCTTCTCTGAAAAGTCATTTGTTATATTGTTCTCAATTTCACAATTTGCATGTTTGTATTACTGCAATACATAAAGTGAATAAACATTTTAAGTCGGATATGCTTTCTCGACATCAGAACTGGTACATTCAAAAGGATTTGTGCCTGGTTCACTCAAAATTTCCAACTGCAATCGAAGCAATGATCACCATGTGCTTTTTGAGTCTATTATTCGAATAAACACCGCATGATGATGCGGCGTTTATTCGAGGGCGGCGTTTAATCGAATAAATACGGTAAATAAGATTTGCTCGTGACCAAAAGAAAACAAGGAGTTTTAACGCAATTTGCATATGTTTGACTAGACTCAATTTTTTGGCCACTTATATCCAGTGTTAGTGGATATAAAGTCCAAACTTTAAAAGAAGAAAAGGCTTGACAAAGTAACCGATTTGTATTATCAGGAAGGCGGGGGGACATATTGGTTATATTCAGTTTGATCTTGACATACCAACTGATGATGTCAACAAAGCTTCTGACTGATGATTCCTAGCTCCTTAGGAAATATTTCAAACCTTGTCAGTCACTATGTACCCTATTTTGAGTTTCCTTACGATTTTTAACTGCTGATAGGTGATAAAGATGAAAATTCAATATTCGCTGATATAAATGGCCTTATTACGTTATATAAAACAAACATTTTGGTACACTGCTCGAGTTAGTGTCCTCAAAGGATTCTCTTCCCAACTGACCCAATCCTGCCAATCCGTAATCTTAAAAGCTTCGAAAGGCTGCGGTTGCCCGGGATCTGGGGTACATGCAACACAGGTGAGGAGTGCTCTAGAGGACTCCCTTCTCATGTTTTATAAACCCCATACATCCCTGTCAATGATAAAAAAACAACTTGAACAATGTTCAATTATTTGTCTCAGAAAATTTAGCTTTTTGTCTTCCCCCTTCGATGTTGCCGTGGGGGAAGGGAGGGGGGATGGAAATAACCTGTGTAGCTGGCCGTCGTTAGATCGAGTGCGCTGGAAACGAGCGGCGAAATCTCCTGAGGTTTTAAACGTTAAAACAGGAGAAACCGCTCGAAGCTCAGCCGTTCGCTTTGGCCGCACCGCAGCCTTCATTTCCATCGAGGACTCGTAAAAACAGTTAGCTAACCCGACCAAGTGCCAAGTGCAAGTGGGTAACTGGTGACGACCTAACATCCTCTTTACATCCCTCCCATAGTTGCTTCATGTGATAAGTCCCGGATTAGGGTCCCGGGGATGGACTTAACTTTAACTATCTTCCACCTGTGGAACAAGGGGCATATACAGACGGCAAATAATGCTGAAACACCGAGAAAAATATAATAGCCATACAGTAAGATTCCCTTGAGCTGGTACGCTTTTAACCAAGAATCTATGGGGGATGACGTTTGATGTAAATTTTCTCGTTTCAGAGCCTTTTGACCGCAGTTGTTCACAATCGACCCGAAAACCCGGTAGAGTTTCTTCAGGAATGCTTAGCAATTGCCAAACAAAACAAAGACCTCAGATGGAATTCATTTCTTGAAGTGCAGAGCAGAACCAATAAGAGCTCACAGACAATAGAACAGTTTGATAAGGTGTTTGATACAGAAGTTGAAACGAAGTCTAGTGGCTGAACAAGAAAGATAGAAAAAGACGCTGAAAGTTACCTATTTATTTCTTTTTACTATGAGAAAAAAATATAGAGAAATCAATTATATTGAAAACACAGCGTTATTCAGGTTTTGAATCATGTGTCAGTGTTCCAAAAATCTGATCAGGTCACCAGCCTTGACCTTAGTAAATAGTATTTTACGTTTGATGTTTTTTATGAATCAGAATATGTTTTATGTTCTGCAGAGCCTGCAGGCAGGTTAGTGAGATCCGCTCTTTGTCAAGAACAGTGTGTTATTATTTAGAATGTAAAACAACTTTTACACTCGTAAATGCCAGAAACATTCGTGTGTGACGAGATCGGATATCAGTTGTTTAAAGTGATGACACTTCTTTGCTCTTAGTTGGAAGTGAGCGTTAGCAGGATGAGAAATTTTGATCGAAAACCTGAAAAGGCGATGTTGTGTTCTTAACGTATTTGTTACGCTTGTGGTATCAGATCATTTTAGATGGGTGTTTTTTTGTTGTTGTTGTTACTGAATGGCGCACAACACCAGAGAGATTGACCGCTGCAAAAACAGGTACAGAGTTCACAGAGGAAAAAATGGGACATGGACGTGAACTTTTTTTTTTTCTGTGCAATGTACCTGCTCCGAACCGTTTCTCAAAAAGATTATAAGTGTGACTAGTTATTATTGCTGACTTTGTAAATACCTATAAAATGATAATTGTATAAACCGGTTCCATTTAAAGAGATTGTTTTTTATTAATGCTTTTTATTAAAGAAATTTTTTGAGGTGACTTGGTTTCACTGCTTTTTTTTTTTTATCCAACGCCTTGAGAAAGGCAGAAATGAGACTAATCAGAGGATTGTGGATGTCGCTGAGACCTGAAGGGAGAGCAAGCAGAGGACGACAGACAGGACAACTCAAATGTAAGGGTGCTAACTGGCTAGTTGGTCCATCCTGACTAGTTGGACCATCCTTTCCGAAATGTACATGATATATTGTATACATGTTACTTTTGACCGTGAGCGCTGATCACATTTTTTTAAGCTACGTAGTAGTTCAGTATTTTGAAGGGGCAGACGTCGTGTTATCGCTATGAGGTGGTATTTTCAGCATGTTACTGGGAAAATAAATCGTTTTGTGATCGAAAGGTCGTCCTAAGCTGACGTCTTCAACTTCTAGAAACAAAACGAACTAACCCTGTCCTATGGGCAGTGAAAGTCAGTTTTCGCTCTTCTGCCGTATGAACCACCCGCGAAACACGAAGAGGATTAACCCTTCCATTATGAAGATCTCAGTAGTAATACTCCTCAATGTCTCACATACAATTCTTATTATGTTAGTTCGAAGGAAAAATTATGTCTTGGTCAGTAAAGGAAATTAAGGATTGAAAGAAACCAATATTCCAGACAGTGAATCAAAATAATCTCCAATCCATCTGGCTTAAACAACACACGAGAAAGCACAACCACACGCATAAACTCACAAGGAGTTTACTTTCGATTTCTGTTCACACTGGAAACATCAAGTTGTTTCCTTGCGGCTAGAGCTGCCAAATGCCAGGTGCCTAATGGTTCAACTGAGCATGGATTTCTCGTAACTTTTTCCATAAGCAGCTAGCATCGGTATGATAGGCGGCTGCGCCATAAGTCGTGACCCAAACACAAGAGCCTGCACTCAGGCTAAACAGACAGCGGTGAACCGGGGGTCTCACAGGCGGCGAAAGACCATAGATAACCGGTGGCTTTTATTTTTATCCCCTGCAACTGAGTCAGAAACTTTCTAAACCTCGTGGCGGCCATTCTGATCGCTTTATTTCCAAAACTGTACTAAAATAATTGTCTAATTCGTAAGTAAAGACCCACTGAGCTTTTTCATCACCACCAGTTACTATAAAGTTCCTTTCAAAGAATATTATTTTTTATTTCGTTACACATCATAATTTTTTGTTCAGCAACTACAAAATTAATTTCCGGCTACCCTTCTGTAAAACTTTTATCTCAAAAATATTCCTCTCAAATTTCCCAATTTACCCCCCAAAAAATCTGTATAGACCAGAGATATGATTCTCTTAACAAATATCACTTTCATTTATGATTTTATCAGATCGAGCCAAAAACTTAACACTTCAACAGGTACAACAATTTAAATGAATGAAAATGAATTTAAAAACAATATTCACATAACTTTTTCATTGATGGTAGATTAAACTAAAAATTGATGAAATTTTGCACGAACCACTGGCAGATGTTTACGGACAGCTTTGAATGGAGCGACGCCACAATGTAAAAACAAATATGTAATGATCAAACCGAGACTAAACTTCTATGTTACACACACAGAAATAGGGTATTTCCGAGTTTCAAAAGCCCTCACTTTCAAAACGAGGCTAAGTGCAAAATCTTTCTTGAGAAAATGACTTTCATTTGTTTAGGAGTAAGAAATAATTTTCTGGTAAAGGGCATCGCACTTATCCGGGCCTTAAAGCATAGGCATGAAGCATCTCGCAAATAGCTTATTGAATCAAGCGATGTACATTATTGTTCATAGAAAAAAAAAACCCACTATATACTCATTTTCCTCGTCCAAAGATACAAATGTAATAGTATAGAAGAAAAACTCGACTTTTTCATCAACATAATTTAGCCGACCCTGACAGTTTTAGTATAAATATAAAAATTAATTCAGTTTAAATAATTTGCATAAAATAATTTCCTGTACTTTCAAGCTTACTCAACCGACTCCCATATTTTTCCCTCAACTCCCATAATGGTCCTTTTTAATCGCAATTTGTTTTTCTTTCCCCTATCATTTTTTAATTCCCGAAAAAGGCTTCTTGGGCGAAAACCCCGACTAAAAAGGACAAAACTACAATAAAAGTGTAAATTCCGTTAAATGTTATTATTACTCCCCCGATTGAAAAACCCACAGTTGGCAGAATGCTTTCCAGGTATATAATGTACTTTTCGTAATTAAACTTCCTCTTTTTCTTTGTTTTTGTTCTCCACTGATGAAAAGTCTTCGCCATTCCAGTAAGAAAATTTGTCTTGGGAAGAGAATCCTTGTTTTCGTTCATTCCACTAGCGTTTTCCTCTTGGCCAGGAACTTTTAACTGCTCGCCATCAGAGCTTCGCGTTGAAGTGGAAAAACTGGTTTGAAATTCAGAGGAAGTCGTGATAGCATCACCGGAAACGGAAGTTGTTTGGTTACCTTGACTTTCTGAAGACTGTGAGCCTTCTATGTCGATTCGCACCACATGCGTCCGGGGTACATCCTCTGAGACGTTTTCACTTGATGAACCTTGAACCACGTCCTGATGTAAAAATGATCTGTTCACTTTTTCGACGTCTGTCAATGCTGAATCGCTGTTTGATCTTTTCATCTTTCCGTAGGAGAACTCTTGAGCGGGAACGACATTTTGCGAGACTTGATCACAATCCGTGAGTAGTATCTCAGGGGTTTTACTGAGCGTTGTGCCATGGAAGGATCCTCTTTTGACCTTCGATGTCTTCTCATCAGCAGAGAAATGTAGAGATATTTCGCTGTTTTTCCTTGAGAAATAATATAAAAGCTGTATCAGATACAAGTCGCTTTAGCCCGTAGCTTTAACCCTTTCATTCCCAGATCTAGCTCGGAAATTCTCTTTTCTGTCTATCATACAATTATTGATGTTAGTTGGAGAATTTGGTAGTAGATATTTTTCTCTATTTTCATCCCTTGTCTTCTCGCTCTTGTATCGTTAATGTAAGGAGAAATTCTGTCTTAGTCACTTATGGGAGTTGAAAGGTTAAACAGAGCTATTTCAAACTGATTTTAGTAAAAAAAAATAAACCAAGAGGAATCTAAGACAGACACCCGTATCAAGTCTAGGAAACGGAGGCCAGAAGCAACTGAAAGCACTTTAAACCTTCCCTGTCCTAATCAAACACAGCTCCAGAAGTACACAATTAAATCAGTGTTGAAATAATATATAGATTTAGCCAAGCCTAAAAGCGGAGCTCGCATTTTTTTCCCCGCACGTCTCAAGGGCACAACGCCTTGCCCCGGCCAGAACAAGAACCCGGGTCGTCCGACTCGGAGCTAAGTGCACTGACCGCTGGACTACTGAGAAAGATTACCTCGAATTTGATCTTTTTGTTTCAGTTGGGACTGTAGTTTTGTTGGTATCGTCGCCCTTATAGCCTGGATTATTAACTCCAACAAAATCCTTCCCCTTTGTGGTAGATTGCTGCACTGGTTCCTTCTGTCCTAACCGTTTTATTGTAGAGTCCCATTTCTTCTTTAGGGAAGGAGAGGGAGACCTGGAGCGACCGTCAGAGTTGGTCTGATGCAGGTAGTCATGCGCAGAAGCCTCAAGTTCGTGTTCCTGTAGATTGGACCATTATCGTGGTTATTCAAAGGGTGTTCGCCATTTTCCTTATAGCATTTGTGATATTTATGTAATTCAGCAAAACAATAAATTCTTAATTTAGTTCAAGAAACTGATCCTAACACTACAGAAATAATGATAAATTGCGATCAGATTGTGTGTCGCGAAACTAAACTTAAGATTAAGAGAAGATTTTGTTTCTGTTTGTTGTTGTTGTTGTTGTTGTTGTTTCTTTGATTGATTGAGTAAAATGAGAGTTCAAGTCTCAATTATGAACGTCTGAATCATTTACACTGAGCAACGTCAAGAGAAGAAAAAACCATCATACCTCAGGTATATCCACCCACGCATTCACCACCACTAACTTGTACCTCACGTAAGTCTTAGTAACCCAGGCCGCTCCGGTCAGAGGACAAACCACCCAGATGAGGGGAGCGATGGCGAACCACACGTAAATAGCAAAGCGTTTCAGGAATAAAAAGTTGTAAGCATTAAGAACGAAGGAAGCACTACAGGCCACCAAGAGAGTGGTAAGAACAACCTGTAAAATGAAAAGATATCAAATGGCTTAAGATTCGATAATGGAACTGAAAGGCCTTTAACATAAACGGCGATGAATTTCATCTAAAAAGAAAGCTGTTGTGTGCTTACAGCAAAACAAGCAGTGTGTTTAATACGAACTCTTGAATTGCTACAGTTGGTTCGTTAAGAAAAGAAACTATTCTTATCCATTCATCTATGGAATTCCACCTTCAAGCGGTCATTATCCTAACGAGTATACACTGAATATTGTTCTCGAAGAACTGCTCCAGTAATAAAGAAATATTGGTCCCCCTAATTTACAGTCAATGAATCGTAAAGATATTCAAGATAAATTAAATAGGCTTGTTGCTTAAGATATAAACACATGTGCTAAAAATAATTACCATAACTGAGATAAAGGCGACACAATGGAGACTAGAAATGCTAAGATGAAAAAGATGCCACATAGCGGAGCAAAGTTAGGATTTAAAATATTGCCATACAGCGGAGCTAAATGAGAAGTGCAGTACTATCAATGCCATGTAATAAAGCATTGGTAATTTTCTGGCATAATAACGTGCGGCATATTATTGGTACCTTGCATTAATCATTTGCCCTCTCACAGAACTTGGAATTATGATGAACAAGAAAAAGTTCGTCGTCTACCACCATACACAGCAAACTGTATTTCTTCAATGAACAATGTGATCTTACCGTACTCTTTTGACTCCCTTCGCGGACAAATTTTGCTCTTGCAGAGAATAGATTGACAGCTTCAGGGAAAGCGATTTGAATTGGGTTTTCACGGAAAAGTTTACCCATACGATCTGTAAAAAAAATGAAAAAGACATCGAAAGTCGCATTTCAGTTTTACTCAAAAGGCACCAAATGAACAGTAGCGTCTAAAAAAACAGGTTAGTCAGAATTGTAGCTCAACAAAATCAATAATCGTCCTTTTCAGGTGGAATCCGTATTTTGTTCAGTCAATCGATTAACAGGACTACAATTAGAAATGGGTAGTTTGAAAAATAGAGAGAAAAAGGTGAAAAGAATGTTGAGATGATTCCTTTAAATATAGCTGATTTATCTTTGTCAGGAGTAAAGATATGTGTAGATACAGAAGAAATATATCCCAAGTTTCGTATATACTCTTCTTCTGAAATCCCTTAACTTTTAAGCAGAATGCATTGGGACAAAATAACATCTTAAGAAAATCTAAATTGAGAACTACGTCCACACTGTAGGCGCGGAAGGATCCGGGGAGGGGTGTGGCTCGCTTGGCTCCTCTCCGGAACAGGGCAGCCGACTGACAGATTTCTTCATGCTCTTTATAGTTTAACAGCCAATACGTATTCTCTATCTCCCATCCCCCTTCTCATAAAAACCTGGATCCGCCCCTGCACTTTATACTGTTCTAACATACCATTGAATTCACGCATGGAGCTTTGAAGCATGAAGATTAAACTCATGTGAAACACGAGAATTAGGCAGAAGCCATAGAAGATGTGGAAAAGGCTCGTCGCTCTGAGGATGTTGAAGAGCACATCAATCCCCGTTGGTATTTTCACTCCTGTCTGATTAGAAAGCTTTGAAAAGCTCAATTTAAGGGCTCCATCGTATGCGTAACAACCAAACTGTCCCATAGCGGCTCCCATCGCAAACATAACCACAACAATTGGCATAAACTAAGGAGACAAACAAAGCACTGATTTGATGAATTTCTCAAAGACATTTGTCTCAAGCGTTGGACAAAGTCAAGCCTAAGTCGAACTCAAGCCCCGATCTGGTAAGCTAAGCCATATCAATGGTTTCAGATACGACAAGTGGACACTATCAAATTCACAAAAAATGTAGTATCAAAAATTGCTAAACTTGTGGACTGCACTGAGTGATTCTGATATATTAGTAATATATCATGAATTCTCTTTGCAAGGTTCAGAAGTATTTGTAACAGCTACGATCGGGTCTTAGGAACCAAAATTTTCACTTAGCATTTCTTTAACCTGGATGAAATTTTTTTCCTTACATAGTCAATAGCTTCAGGTCAAAGAAGGTACAAAGATGTATGTCTCTGATAGGAAAAGAACTGGTCATTGTAATACTAGTTAGAGCTTGGGTAGATCAGTTTTCAAACTGGCGACCAAAATGAAATGACTATCGCGCCTTGATGAGATTTCACAGCCAAGTACTCCTAATCAGAGTAGATACCACAAAAGATTTGTCTGACTTAAGAACCTATCATGACTGACTCTACTTATTGCTTCCAAGAACAGATCCTTCTCCATCTCTCAACCTAAATCAGATGATTTTCTTGCCGAAAATAATCCTACAAATAGATAAGTGAGCAGCCCAAAGAGAAGAGACTGAAAATTTCCCACTGGATGCGAATCATTTTATCGGTAAAATGTCAGTCTTCAAATTGCTGGTATGACATTAGACATAAAAATTGTTTCTATACTAATGTCTGAGGTATGTTACGTTATTGTAATTTGTTCATTCACCTTATACCCTTGAGTTTAGAAACTCGTTTGCAGGGATACATTCAGCCGGGCCAAGTTACAATTTGTTGGTTTTTGTGGAGAGGACAAAACTGGAAAAACAGGAAAAAAACTGAACCCAGATGGGAGGCCAGGTGTGGGAACCGAGCCCAGTCCATTGTGGTTAGAGGCGAGTTCTCTCACCGCAAGCAATGTTTTCAATTTACAGTTACATAATTTTTCCGCCGAACTATTAGCTGGCTATCGAAATTTTAAATCATACCAAATTTTATTTCAAGCCAAAACCGAGATAGTGAAAACACTCCTAAAAGGATTTCAGATTTCTTCCAGTGGGAATTTGTTTATCTCTCTAGTAATCTGCATTTTTCTCGATTAAGTTCTATTTAGCTGTAAGATTCTCTGATGATTATTTAAATTAAAATTGAATTATTTTAAATTAAAATTTTATAGAATTTAAAGGAAGTTACGTCAAATTTGCGTTATCAATGTCATCATTATCAATATTCCCGTTTAGAAAAGTATCTTTGCCGTTTTATCTCCGAAGAAAAAATTTACGCTGTGAAAATAGTACTTCTCAAACAAAACATTCGATTGACGTGAAAGGGAAATAAATAGCCGATTGCTAATTGAGACAGCGGTAACCATAGTTACGTTTTAATATCGGCCCAATTACTCATTTGCATTTTTAATTAAAACCAAAGACGATTTGACATCTCGTTTCATAAGTTTGGCACACACAGTTCACCTTGATACACGATTCTAAATAAAAGAACATGACATATGACATTGATGTTACTAGACTTAAAAACATAGAATAGGACTAATGCTCAAAAGAAAAACATTGATATTGATTTCAAGAAAAGTACAGGATCCTAACCTTGTGTCTACAAATGTAAAGAAATTCTGTAATCTAAAATTATCCTTGTTCTCACTTGAATTATGACCATTCATAGCTAATTCCTTATTTCAAGACACTAGGGGTGATCCTTAATAATTGAAAATATTCATTAAGTGGGCTCTGTGGTATTTTGAGAATGATTTCTCATACAAAGCTGCGGGTGATCTTTGAAACTAAAATCAACAAAATATTGGCAACTGCGAGACATACCCGGGTCACAAAGTGTAACACAAGCGTCTTGTTGCTAAAATATTTCTTCACGGCAAGCAATCACGTTTGCAGAACAACTTTAAGATTTCTATAATGAAAGTAACTAAAAAATCGAGCAACCTCTGACTCCACAATACAAAGGGGAACATAATTATACTAAAAGATTAATAGCTGTCAAAGAGCATTCATAATAGCCCATTAGCCTCGCATGCTTTCGAATGGGTCTCAGATGGCGTCGAAATTATTTTATTGCGAGAATTTTTTCCAGAACTCATCTACATAAAAAACGAGTAACGTACTAAGGATTCTGTCAACATTTTAATGATTCGCAGGCCTGAGTTAAACAGCACTTTCCTTTTCTCGAAATCCAATACGAAGGAGCGTATTCTTGTCTAATCTTGTAAAGGCGAGGAGAGTCCGATATAAATGAGAAATAAATTGTTTGGTAATGGCGGCGGTTTGGCAGGAAGAATGGAAAGCTTTAGGGGTCTGGTCGCAAAATAAAATCTATCAGCTACACGCACGCCACGAAACATTAGACAACAGAAACGCGATGATGAGAAATCAAACCCATTTTTATGTCAAAATCTACAAACAGTAGGGGATTACGAAGGATGCGTCAATAGACACATACTCACCTTGAATATAAGGTAAACACGTCGTAGAGTTTTCGGGTAGTGTCCGTCTTTCTTGAGTTTTTTCACTCCTTTAATAAACCAAGGCACTGAATGTTTTATCATCGAGTAACAACAAGCCAGAAGTGTTACTAAGAACACTCCAATACAAGTCGCCCACGACACTTCAAAGACAAATACTGCTTCGTAAAAGTCTAGTCCAAAGTGAATAATAACATTCAAGGCCCAAATTATCAATCCTATCCATCCCTTGATGCGATTAAAAACCTTATTCGTGTCTCCAATTCCCGCTGATAGCAGGTACGTCCTTCGTTGAATGAGACCTATGTCGACGGAATAATCCTTCGCGTCAGCGACGGGTTCATGGATATCTAACGTTGAAGAATCTTTGCCTAGAGATGGTTGTTTAGTAGTTATGGCAGTGTTTCTTGCCGATCCGTTACGTACCAAAGCTCGCCAACGCGCTGTTGTTCCATTTGCAGCATTAGTTAATTCCACATCTGCCATTTGTAGTAAATTAACTCGCTAAACGGCCTTACAATGGATTCCACAGCGGTAAGGTTTTGATGGCTCGGTGTATTGGTTGGTTTGACATACGCTTCAAATAAACTGACTCATTTGATCAAATATTCCACTTTAGAAAGCCCAAGAGCGTTGTTTGTCGATCAAGGAGTTTTCTGTGAGGTGTTGATCATTCAAGATTAGCCTTTCAATTCGCGGCACAGCTTAAAATACAGTATTGTAACATCAATTTGGTGAGTTTAAAATGCTAGTCGGGAGAAATTATATTCATACTACCAACGCATAAGTCGATTTCCGGTCTATGGATACCCATTTTAGGGTACATTAGCGCATGAATTTAATCTGTCTTTAGCAGGAACTCTGAAACATTATCTGCTTATTTGAAAATGTTCCATTTCGCGATAAATTTCTATTGAACACACTTCACACTGCAGCGCAATATCACGCAAATCACAACACATCAACACAGAAGTTTGTTCAGATACCGATCAAAACTGAAATCCAAACACTGAAATAATCACTAACCTCATCTAATTTAGATATGAGTGCCTTCAATGGCCCAAAACAAGGAAGTTCTCTTCTGCTAACCAGATATTCAGCGCGTCATCGCATTTGAGGAGGTCAACTTCAAACTTGTCATCTGAGCGGAAAAATTTTTATGTAAAACAGACCGACCGAAAGTGACTTGATCCGCGTGAGCGGGCTTACGTAGTTACATTACACAATGATGATGAGCTGTTGTATTATCTGTGACCAACGAGCCAAAACAAACGATGGGGTTCCTTCTGTATAAATAATAAATCATGCAAACCGAAGAAAAATTGGTACTGCTTTCGAAAAAACGTTGACTCTTGCGCACTTCACTTTCAGTGGTGCAAATCTAAATTATTTTAACCCGCATTTGCGACTTGATGAATTTTCAGACACTTCCGAAGAAACAGCCGACCGCCTAATTTGGTTTTGTTGTTGACGTCAAAAGAAAATGTGGTTTATTATTTGTAAACTTGTTGATTGGCCGTCAATGCGGTCGCACTAATTTGGATTGCAAACTTCATTCATTTGATCCAATTCAATTCATCAATTCTTTCACCGTAGTGAACAAAAACATTTTTAAAGGGAACATAAACAATCGGACAACAAACAGAAAACAATCAATACAGAAAAATGCGAGACACACACGGAAAAATAATGGAATATTAAAAATTTATTCAGAATGTTGTACTTTTTGAGAGTTTAAACCGTTCTTCATTTCTTATTCCAATACGGTTTGAAAATTCATTTTTTAGGTAAAAACTCAAATAAAACACTGTGATAACTGACCTCTGTTGAACGATATTTTCGAGTCACAGTTGATCGTGACCTTATCCAAAAACAACAGCCTTCTAAAATATATCGGCAGGTATCAGTGTTGTCAATCGTAGTTGTATTGACTTGGATTCGTTGTCTGTATGTAAACATTTCATGTAGTCTAAGAGGACCGACGCAACTATGACGTCATATCCTTCCTTGCTCTTTGATGCGGATTGAGTGGAAACTTCAACTTTTTCGAAAAAGATTTTCCGGGAAAGAAAGAATTGATGAGTAATCGAGTGCGTCTCACATAAAGAAAACAACGAAATCACTGATCGAAGAAAGTAAAAGGAAAATTTGGTGTTGACATCAACTTTCCTAACCTTTCTTCTGAAGAGTGGTCGGCACTGAAAGGTCTAAAAAACGCAGACATAGTTATTACAGCGGCCGACAAAGGCGGCGCAGTCGTTGTTTGGCGAGCCGACCTTTAACAAAAAGAAGCTTACTACCCAACTCGACCCATTGTCTCTGCCTGCAGTTGTCCCACCGAACTTATTTCCAGCTATTTCGACAAAATTATGGAACCTATCGTCAAAACTTTACCATGACGTATTAAGGACAGTCAACACGCACTTGAAATTTTTCATGACTTAAATTTTCTTGGCCGAAACAAACTTATTTCATTATGGGAATTACATCTATCCATATTGTCATTGCTAATGACGAAGGTCTCCGGGCCCTCAAACATTTTTTCGATCGACGCACTGTTAAGGAACCTAGCTCTGTAATGACTACTCCGTCCAGCCGAACTAGTGCTAACACTCAATTGCTTTTCATTCGGTGGTAACTACTTCAAACAAACCAATGGCGTGGCCATGGGTGCTAAAGTGGGACCCACCTTCGCTAATATTAATAGGTTTTATCTAACACCAAATTTTCTGTCAATATCACAGCCCCAAACCTGATCACCCGGCTCTTAAAAAAAACCTGGGAAATTTCCGACACTTCTTTAGCTTTTCTAGACATCAAAATTTCAATTGACGGCAACGGTCTATGCACTAGTGTTTACTAAAACCTACAGATTCACATAGCTACTTGTTGTATTCATCTTCGCATTCATCACGCATCAAGAATTCCATACCTTTTTCACTGTTTCAGAATTCGCCGTTCATGTAGTGACGACTCTGATTTTTCCGTCAAATCAAAGGCCAGTTTTTCGATTAACGTGGCTATCCTGTTTCTGTCGTTCAAGCGGGCCACCACCGCGCCCAACAAATTGATCGACAGTCAGCACTACAAACGGCTGAGAGGGGAAATACTGATTGCATTCCATTCATTCTCTCGTTTCACACTCACAACCACGCAGTAATATCTTTTCGCAACCTCCACTTATTTCATTCAAACGTGACAAAAACATAGGCAACTTTTTGGTCAGAAGTTTATCTCAAACCAGTGACCAGCCAAGAACTTTCAAATGCGCTCGCTTACGATGCAAAACTTGTCCGTTTAACGTAGAGAAAATGTCGGGACCCAAGAGATCCATTAAGGTCACTGCTCATTCTACGTGCACCTCCGCCAGTGTTATTTACTGCATGACTTGCACTTATTGCAAAAGGTTATACACTGGTGAAACAGGAAGACCACGAGGTGACCGATTCCGAGTAGGCCTTAGCGAAGTAGAAAGAAATGACAAAGACACATCAAAATCAGTCGCTAGACACTTTTGTCTCCCTAAACACTCTAAGCAGCATATGACAGTTTGTGGCCTTTCCCTACATCTTGGCAGTTTGGAAAGCCGCAAAACCCTAGAACAAAAATTTATCTTACAATCGGTACTCTTAATCTCCATGGTATCTACAAGCGCTTTTCATTCAACCAATTCATTCTTGTTTTCTCGTCACCATATTCCAACAATATTCCACCAATAGCGTATCTCCATTTTCTGCATAGAAACCCACACACACCCCACAATTCCTCCAATCGCTCTGACGAAGGGCTACCGCTCGAAACGTCAGCTTTTAAACCCTTTACAGTGGCCAATTTACGCTATCAGTTCAGTTGATAATACTAAATTACCCTTCTTTCGGCTATAGTTCCATTGCTGAGCTTTGATTCGTTTCATACAAATTGATTTAAAAGTTATCTTCATGATAATTTTTGGGAAAAAACTTTTTAAACAGACTTTAATTCAGACCATTCACTCTTTAAGCTACATTTTCCCGTAGCCCAATTCACATTGCGCGTGACTTTAAGGCCTTTGTTTTCCATGTCACTGCACCAAGATGTACCCCATTGCTCTGAAGTATTTGTCTCAAGAGACTATAATATATATTCCCTTGATATACAACACTCAGATTAATTATACCGAGTTTCTATTTAATGATAAATAATACCACATTGTCGTGAGTTTCAAAGAGGACCACGAACACCTCTATGTTGAGTTGTTTTCTACGTATTCAACTGGAAATAAAAAAATAAAAACAAAACAGCACCAACGCTACAAACTCTTGGAGGAACCAAGGGAGTGTTCGAAGACTCTTCAGCCTCTTTCGATGAAATTATCATCCATGATTTGCGTTGATTGAAGGTGATTCACAGATATAGTATAAATCAGTTTTAACGAGTATGTACCGAGTGTATAGCAGTGGAGTGTCAAATTCGCAATCTACACATATGTACATATAGTATTTGAGCGCCGGATTTTTTCCTAGGATGACAACTCTGTTACTGCCATTAGCTTCAATCTGATATCTTCCACTACTTCCTCTTTAGGTAGGGCCGCAGAAACCTGCAGAAGGAAAAATAAACAACAGAGGACACGGTAAACCGCGGGGTATAAGTGAAGTCACGTAAAAGCTACTTCAAATGGCGCCAACTCTCAATTTTTGCGATCGAGAATACTGTAGTTATAGTTATCTCCCTCTCTCACGAAGCGCTCTGGTTGCATAGAATATGACCAGAATGAGACTCACTGTTATGAGGTTTTGGGTGATGTAGTCGGGTGGTTTCTACTGTCCGATCTCCCGGTCAACTGAGTCGCCCAAGCTATTAGGGGGTAATAAATGAAATGTGGTCTATTGCTCCACTTGCCTCAATTAGTGGGGCGCTAAAATGCAGACACTTGGCACGAACTCTATTATCGACCCACGCTCCCTGAAGTTCAGAACTCGACAAAAGAAACCAAAGAGCGTAACTAGGGGGAAGGAACTATGGTTCCCTTCCCCCTTTGTATAAGGTAATTTTTTACGGTATTCAAACCTCAAACTTAAGGTGTCGAAACAGTGCGAATCTGAAGAATCCACAAATCTACATCACTCAGTGGTCATCCGACAAAATAAGGTAATTTTTTACGTGAACGGTTTTCAAACCTCAAACTTAAGGTGTCAAAAAGGCGCGAATCTGAAGAATCCACACAATCTGCATCACTCAGTGGTCATCCGACAAAATTCGCTTTCGGTGAAACTCAGTGTGAACGTCAAAATGACAGTCAGGTAGGTATCCAGGGTGTGACTCGGTCTGACCCCACCCCACCCCACTCTCACCTTTTGCAAAATCCTAGCGACGCTCCTACAACCAGTTGTCACTAAAAGTTTTGTGACGCAAAACCGTCGAAAAGGGAATACGATATGTGGGATGTACTGTGCGACGAAATGCATGGAATCTTCCTGATAAAATGCTTACATTATCAACCTGAGGAGACAAGTTGACCGTGACCATCAAATACAAACCTTAAGTGCTTTGTCAGAGTCTCCCAAACTATCACTTATTGGTCGTGTGTTTCCATTGTAAACCTCCAGTTTTGTTTTCGATATGTCTTCTGTGTCATCTTCTCTCTCTGAAGCTTCTCCTCTTTCCTTCAGAACTCGCTCAATCTCCGCATCCTCGCCTTCTATAAAAATTACTCTGTTATAATCGGACACCTGCGATAAAATAATGAGATAAGAAAAAAGTCATCTCATCACTATTGTATCTTCAATTAATCAAAGTGAGAAACCTTAAGCTATGTACCCCTCGTGGGTGTTGTCCTTTCCCTCTGAGTAAGGTCACCTTTCGGCTTATTTCTTTTCGTGCCTGGCGGGAAATTGTCCTCGAAGTATGTTGTAAACCAGATTGCTTATTTCAAAAGTATTTTTCCTGCTACGGGGTTACAGCCGTGACACACTTGGCTGCGCTTCGTGAGCCACTTTTTTGTTCTTTCCACATTTTGACCTTGTGATCTACTACTGCACAGACGCACGGCCCCAACATGGAATCTATTTCTTAAACGTTGTGGGCTTCCATTGCGCCCTTTTTGTTAACTGAACGCCTGGAACATGCCAATTGTGAACTGACGACAGACGTTAGACGGTAAAATTTAAACCGACGCGAGCTGATTAGGCTGATACTTACTCTTACCTTTTGTTTAAACTGATCGAGTTGTTCCTCTGTTCGTGGGTAGCCGTCTATGCAGTAACCATTCAAATTCTTTTCTTCTTTCTCAAGCATCTTTGTCAAAAGTAATAACACAAGATCCTAAAAGGCAAATGGAAGAAAATTGCAATCTCCTCTAAACATCTGAAGGAACTGAATTAAATTAAGAAAAATCAGAAACAAAACTGTGTTGAGGTATTTAGTATGCTTAAAGAGCGTTAACGTTTTCAATTCCCAACATTTAACAGTGCAGTGTAGATACACCATAGTTGATAATCTTGAAAAGATCGGCTTCACATTTTCAGCTTAGCTAATTGTTGAGAATCAAAGTTGACCTCCTCAGTGGTGAAACATTTATTGTCACCTGTTGTTCCTTTTACTGTTAGTAGTTAGTAGCGAAAAGTGTCTCAAACTTCAGGGACTGTGCTCCTTTACTGTAACATTAACTGCCGGCTAAAAGCTAGATTCGTTAACGTAAACGTATCTTCTCTTTATTTGAAAGTAGTTAAATCAAAGCGATCACATCGGCCAATTAGGGAAAAGGAAACCACAGGAAGCCAATAAGAACTCAAGATAACTACATGTGCGCTTTTCTACGTGCGAGTAAATGCATGTAACCAAGCCGCGTTTTAAGTTTATTTTCGCATCCGATTGGTCGAGGGAATAGCGCGATGTTTCTCGACAAAAACAGTGTAAATTAGAAGATGAATTTATGGACAATTATGGACATTCAATTAAAAATTGCAGTAACCAATGCAAAAACCAAAGCGTATCTGCATACCGTAGCTACTAACATTCCCGTCTTGATGGCTTCCTTGATCGATTGGCCTTGCTCTGTCTCCTGTTTCGCCTCTTCTCTTAAGATGAGACCAACCGACAAATGTGTCCTTCCTGTCGCGTCAGCTAATGTTCGAGCCAAGTCTGCCTTTCCCGCACCGGGCGGACCTAAGGCGACAAACAATTCCCCTTTTGAATATATCACTTGGTCGATTAGCGATTGCACGATGTGTTTCTGTGTATAGGCTGTACAACTAGTGAGCAGTACCAATCTCTATGGTATTGTTTCTTGTGGCTCACACCACTGTATATGATGGAGTTAATGATAACAATAATCATCATAAAAGTTATAATTGTAATAATATTTAATACAATATTATAATGATAATAACAGTAATATTAAGGTGTATATAATGATGATAATGATGAACGGAGTTACCACAGAACAAACTACAAAGCAATCACGAATCAGAGTACCTGTGATAAACGTGACGTCATAGTCGTGAAGTGATGTTGTTTTGCGGTTTGGAAGATTTTCAAAGATGTTACTGACTTGAGTGAAGACTTCATCAGGTGAACCTTCGGCCAATATCTATGAAATTCCCATGTAAAGCTAACAATTAAAAAATAATCCTCACACAAGTAAAGGAGTGTAGGTAACTAATAAATAAAGGGGGTAAGTTTCTAAAGAAACTGTGGTGCTGCGTGGGCGGGAAAGTATAACAGGTAATTGAGTGTTATCAATTGAATTGATAACGTAAATTGGCCACCGTAAAGAGTTAAAAGGCTGACGTTTCGAGCGTTAGCCCTTCGTCAGAGCGATGTAGATAACTAATGTTCCCTTGAGTTACGGTAACAATGACAGATCAACCCAATGGGAAGTCGACAAAATTAGCATGTGTCCAGGCCACTCTCGAAAGATCTTGGTTTTTTAGCTCGCTGTGACAGGAAGTTTATATCAATGAACCAATCACAGAGCACACGAGAACAAAAGAAAAGCGACCCACGAGCATTTTCGGCATCCAGATTATTGGCTAAAACCATTCACCTCATAAATTTCTACTATAACAATTAATTAGCACCTTCTTAACTTTGTTTTGAGCCTCGTAGTATTCAATGACTGGCTTTGTTTCGTTATCAAACGTTTTCAATCTTTTGACGATCGTCTCTTCATTGTCATCAACGCGACCACTTGTTTCTCCTCGCTGCAGAAGCCGCTGTCTCATCGTGTCGGGGGAACACTCGAAGTACAGCACAAACTCACACGCCGCGATCTATTCACAAATGAAATAGAATGCAACTCAGTTTTAAGCCACACAATGCACAACAATGAAAATGTTGCCATACTCACTTCGTTTTCAAATTCTTTTCCTTGTTCTATTTCCCTTGGAAACCCATCAACGATGAACCCTTTGGTGTTCGGAATGTTCACCATGGCAACCCGTAATAACTCCAGAATCACCCTCTGAAAAGCACCGAGATAAACTTCCTGGTTAGTGAACAATAGTTGCACACAATTACATTGCGCGTAGTCTCCCTGTCTTCCAAGATCGCACGCGCAAAGCGCCTTTTATTTGCAACATTTCACCTTTGCGTAATTTTCTCTTGTGACAACAAAAAATACTACCTCAGAACACTTTTGAATTACAACTATAGTGTTCATAAAGGTTAAACAGGACAAAGGAAAATACTACAAGGAGCAAATCAGGACTCAAAGTAAAAACAAGTAAAAACGAGCTGCGACGCCAAAGTTTTGCATCTGATCAGTGAAAAGGGTGGCACGAGTTTTCTTGGCCAATGACTGGATAAAGTAAAGAAAGACTAATACAATTCCGCATTTCTTTCGACACTCCGGGAAGATGCCCTTAGCTTGGGGTAGAAAATCATCTAAAACGATTTCCAACATGGAATCTACTTCCCTTCAAATACCTCGAGTCCCACAACCTTGCCTGGACTTGATCTGAAAATTCCCCTTATTCGTATTGTTGTTCTCATTTTCCTTCACCTCGTTATATTCATGTTGTTAGCCATTATACATACTAGTCAACGACATGAACTGTCAAAAATAGCCATAACTAACCGTAGGAATCAGTTCTCCTTTCTGCATGATTTGTATCAACTCCTTACTTCTTGGTGAGTCAGATTGGACCTCTTCTCGGAGTAAATCTCCAGTCGACAGATGGGTATAACCGAACTTTTCAGCAATACGCTGGCATTGAGTTCCTTTGCCTGATCCAGGTCCACCTGAGCACAAAATCAGCAAAGGAAAGTGAATAACAAACAAAAGTTAACAGTAATAATACATTTTAGAATTACTAAGTTAACCACTCTACTAAACGGGCCTTTCACGGCCAGTGAGAAGCAATTACATAATCACTTTAATAAACATAGACCGATTTAACACCTGAGCTAGCAGAAGGCGGATAAGTTCGCTTGTTTACGTAACGCCTACTGGAGCCGAGCTAAATTAGGGGCGGTCGAAAATAGAGCCATTGGGTGACAGACTGGGGAACTTGAACCCAGGACCAACATGGAAGATTGGTAGAGAAAAACTCCACCACGTACCGTATGTAGCTTGTTTCTTCTTTGTGCCGACTAACCCGCAATTAACGTTCGATCGCCCATACATACACACACCCTTTCATTTTAAGTCTGTTATGAGGACTGAAAGTGATGAAACTAGGCTTGAAAAATGCAATACTGAATTGTCAGTTTGGCTCACCTATGACAAATATAACCCGAACATTCAACAATCCCTTGCCATCGGTTTTCGCAATACTGTCGTCCATTAGCGGAATAAACTCTTCGGCAACAATCGGCTGTTCAAATACAGGGTTTCTTGAATACTCGTCTTCTTCTTCCTTCCTCTTTTTCTTCTTTCGTCTTAACCTGATCGGCTTTCCGTCCACTACTCGGGACAAGTCGTCCACGGCTTCGGCAAGCTCGTCATACTCGGAATCATCACCACTCTCGGCTTTTTTAACTACGAAAATATTTAAACAGGTTGAAGATCAGATACAAAGATACTTCATTATTTCATATACAGCTTCGGCGCCTTGTCAGTCTCGCAAAGAAAACTTCATGAAATAATACTACGCAGCAGAGCCAATCCAATGAAGTGATCAAAGCGTTCAGGAATTGCTCTAACTTGGGAAACAATCAATTTTGAGCTTTTCTGTGGAGGTACTATGGTAGATCTAAACTGAATTGGTGTTGCTTCTCTTCGCTGTGATTGGTCTGAAAGACGCGCCACGTTCGCAACCAATCAAAAATCAAATTTTCCCACGATTGACGCCTCTCATATGGGATCATTTTAATGTTCTCACTGGTTCCTTCTGACAGTTAAATATTGTTTCGTGGGTTGTTGAAATCACTAAGGTTTTTCTTCGCATCACTTAGTGTAAACCTCTCTTAGCTTGTACGTAGAGCGATAAATAAGTTTCTTCGCTTTTCTTTTTAGACTTGTATAAAAAAGGTCTACCTTTCTTTCTTCTCTTCTTTTCAAGTTTGGGGAGGTCTCCAAAAATTGCACAAACGTCCAGAAAGACCTCATCTACAGAACGTGTGGCGTCCACCTAGATATAAAGTACAATATAACGGGTCAGAAATCTTGCACTTATCTAAACTTCAAAATGTATTAATAGCAATTACTTTCAAATCTCAAAGACAATTTTTCTTTCATGGAGGCAGAACCGCGTTCAGACCACCTTCAATGTACCGCGATTTGTGAGTTGAATATAATTGCGCACAGAACTGGACGTATTACCGATAAATTAAAAATACATAATGCAAGCTTGAAGTGTAAACTGTTCCCCTACCGTTCAAATCGGCAGGTGATAATCAAGTTAAAGAATTTTGTTGTGGTTTTGACTAATAACAGTAATGCGAGACTCAGATTTTTTTCTTCGCTCCTACACTGTTGGCAGATATTGCTATCTCTCGCCACTAAACATACTCGTTTCACTTTGTTTTGCTGTTCATATTTCTCCAGTACTGGCACGGTCTTTTCCATAAAAGTCCTGAATCGTTTCTTTATTGTTTCCGCGTTATCATCAACCCTTCCACTGGTCTCTCCTCTTTTGATAAGTCTCTCTTCCATGACTTCCTCACTGCATTCAAAGAAAAGGATAAAGTGGCACTCTACTACCTGCAAACAAAAAAAATGATCAAATGCTCAGTTTGTCAGTGGCTAGATTGAGTACAAAATCGCCTGCGTTAAGCACAGAGTTGACAACCACAATGAAGACTGCTTGCAGTACGTTATTTCGAGCGGTACGGGTAAAGATCTTAAGACCAGAATTGAACAGGTCTTCGATTGGGAAGAGATCTGTATCATGCAGGATGCGTCACCAGCCCCTCTCGTCCGCACTATAATTTATGGGTATCCTTTTTGAGGTGCATGTCGCACAATGCGAGTAAAAAGGCCCCAACAAGAAGAGCCACCGAGGGTAAAGGAAACTATAATGCAATTCAGTTCGTTTGGATTCTGATTTTCCTTCCATTCTAGGCCGTAATCACACGCTTGAAATGAGGCCAGAACTCAGATGTGGGTCCCAAGATTGATATTATATACTCGGCCTGTCCAGTGACTTACCTCTTCTTCAAACTGTACGTCTTGAGAAATTTCACGAGGAAAACCATCAATAAGAAATCCAGGTGAGTCTGGATGCTTCAACATGGCATCCTTCAAAAGTTGAATAACTACTTCCTGTAACACAACAAAGCAAACTATGAGGTTAGGAAGCTCGCCAGAGAAGCAAAATGTGAAATCGAGTTGCCCATTAAATTGCTTTGTAGGTTTTCATCTCTTTTGCTTTAGAAAACATGCAGAAAACCTAACCGCCACCATTCAACCTCGTTAGGCATGACAAACAAAAAGAATAGTGAATTAGAGACTCGTCAAACTGACTGTAGCTGTACCCTGTTTTTATTTCAGCAGCCCCCAAATCTCTCTTGCATCCTCTTTAAACACTCTGAGCAGAATACTATGTCCCAAATTCTTAGTTTGATGATCGGGAACATTACTACGCCTTTTCCATCTCTGCGTACCTTTCTACTACCATTTTTAAAATTTTACACTAGTGTAACGTGATACGATCTACACCATCAACTCCGCAAAAATCCAGCTTTACACATAATGCAAAAAAATTCCATTTCCAGATAAAAATGTCTCCAGCTGGTTTGACTCTCAAATTTCATTTCTTCCCATGCCTTAATTATTCATGATTGGGATGAAGAGATCACGGAATTCGAGAATCAAGCAACCGAGGTAGAACACCTTTGGATGGGGAGAAATATAATGCAGTAGAGTAATATTATGAAATAACTAGTCTACTTGGGCAGAAATTTGGGCTTCGGCTCGCAAGACATACCTGTGGAACAAGATTTCCTTCCTCCATTATTTTAGCAAGTTTTTGACCCCTTTCTCCGCCTCCTTCGATCTCCGCTCGTAGTAAATCTCCTGTTGACAAGTGAGTATAACCAAACTTCTCCACAACACGACTACACTGAGTTCCTTTACCAGACCCAGGACCACCTAAGGACCAAAGGAGAACAACAAGAAGCTCATACGCGGTATTTGCAAACATATGGGAGAACGTGTTTTATGACACGCCCAAAATTGAAAATTAGATATGAGCTGCAGTACCTAAGACAAAGACGATCCTTTGGCCAGAGAACTCTACAAACTCGTATTCATCTTCCTCTTCGTTGCTAGCAACTTTCTTCTTCTTTCTCCTAATTTTCTGCACTTGCTTCGGAGGTAATGCCCCAAATAGGGCTCGCACTTCTGAAAAGACCTCATCCACGCTACGATTCGCATCAATCTGAAGTCAAAATTCAATTGTAAGTGCTATACAGTTTTATTCAAGTTGTGCGCTGTTTGAGACTTTCCAGAAACGGAGAGTTTCCGCTTCGTTCTATATTCGACCATAAATTCTCTATCAAAGAAAATTAACTGAACACCGCGAGCTAGAATCTTTGATTTTCAAACACAACCCGTCGGCAAAAGAACTGAAAAACGGAAAGAAATTGTTAGAATATGACATACAGGTTCCAACCTTTTTCACTTTGCTGAGCTCTTCATAATGCCCAATAACAGACAACGTCTTCTCAACGAACGTCGTGAAACGCTTTTTGATCGTCTCGATGTTGTCATCAGGCCGCTCACTTGTTTCACTTCGCTTAAGTAATCGCTGTTCCATGACCTCCTCGCTGCACTCGAAGAAAAGGAGGAAGTCACTTTCCACAACCTGGCAAAGCAACAACACAAAGTCTCATCAGATGAGGTATAACTAGAGCTATGTAGTTCTACTCAGACTAGTAAAAAACATTTTCTTCAGTTATATATTTAGATGCAAGATACTCATGTTTGGCTTAACACAATTCAAATGCATGTCCCCTTTCCCCAAGAGATCTTTATGGGTATGAGGGAGGGGAGGGCTCTAGGTGTGCTTCTGACCCTTGGGTTTGCCCAGAAAAGGTGAAAATTTGCAATAGTAAAACAATTGAGAAAGCTTCCAGTGCAAATAGGATGATTGCAAAGGATCTCCATACTATCATTATGGTATGCAATTGGTATTGAAAGAGCTTGGAGAGGTACAGCAAAAAAGAAAAAAATTCCATAACGGAGATGGTTGATGGATACCTGCATGCAGCCCAAGTGAATTTTTATGGGGCCAAGTTGTCAACTCAAGGTCCTCATATGGAGGTTTTTTCATTCATTTGGGTGCCACTTTAAAATAGTGAAAGTAAAACAAGTGTTGCATGACTCTTTTCCTACTGTTCTCTCTGAGAAGTCCCAAAGAAATAACTCATAGTAGGTCATACAGGTATTTACAACCAAAATGGTGAAAAATTCAATTTGACAAAAAGATGCCTGATTTAGTAAATTTAGATAAGTGTGTATATAAACTTCAACCCAAGCAGACTAACCTCTTGCTCAAATTGCAATCCTTGCTGTATTTCTCTTGGAAAGCCATCGATGAGAAATCCAGGACAATCCTTGTGTTGTCTCATAGCATCTCTCAACAGTTCAATTGTGATCTCCTTAGACGTTATAAACATATAATGAATATTAATTATGATAGACTATCCATGCTGAGATGACAACATACATGCTGCTGATGAACCAGCTAATTTTAGACAACTTGTTATGCTTTTGTAAACTTTGTATTTGATTTAAATTTTAAACACTCATTTCATTTCTATTCCAACTCTATAACTAAAGTGGTTCCAGAAAATAATCATGCCCCAGGGAGAGGGATGTCTCAAAAACCAAAGTTTTGAAGTAAGGTTGGAACCAGAAATCAAATTTCCTTGGAATAAGAGGAGATTTATAAATAATTAAAAACCTTTTTGGAAAGGTATGGGGATTTTCTTAAATGACTGAGCAGAGAATAATTTATTCATTCATTAGTCAGTCAGTGCTGCCAATTTTAATTTTTTGAATTATTTTCTGTTTCATATTAAATGTAAATGATTAATTACCTGAGGAACAAGTTTCCCCTCCTTCATGATATCTTCAATCATCTGTCCCCTTTTGTTTCCTTTTGCCACCTCCTTTCTTAGGAGGTCACCAGCTGATAAGTGAACATAACCAAATTCCCCAACAATTCGAGCACATTGAGTTCCTTTACCAGAGCCTGGCCCTCCTACAATCAAACAGATCAATACATTTCTCATGGCTACTACATAGATCAAAAAACAGGGGAGAGAGGTGGAATTCAGATCAGAATTCAATTCCATATGAAACAGATGACAAATGATTATTCAGAAAAATTTTAATTCAATGAACTTGAAAGCTGAAAATTGGCAAAGTGGAGGTTTTTATCTTTTTTAGTATGTACTAGTAGCTTTAGGAATCATTCTGATTAATTGATTGAATGATCGAGGTATCAAACTTTTAATGAGTTGATCCAGTAACCTTTTGATGACTGATTCCCTTACCAAGAACAAACACAATCCTTTGACCAGAAAACTCCACTTCCACCTCCTCGTCAGATTCAGATGTCAAAATATTTTTCTCAGTCAACTCCTTGTCGTCTTCATCAATGGATGGATGAGCAGTCCCATTAATTGGAGGAAGTGGTTGTTTCTGTTTCATTTCTGGTTCAGTGGTAAATGTGCGGATTTCATCTCCTGCTTCAGACTTGATTGGACCATCTGTTTTTGGGATAGGTGGCAGGGGCTTCTTGCTGACATCAAGGAAAGAGTTCCACTTTATATCCTTTTCTGTTTTAGCAAGGGAAATGCAATTTTCCAGGAAAGCCAAATGATCCTCAGGTTTGTGATACAGCAAGCCAGTCAGCATTCCCTTCAGGTATAAAAATGCTAATTGTCACACTTTTCGCATCAAGATATTGGTCAAATTCCCTGGAAACATTTTTAAGGCATCTTGAAGCTTGGTCAAAAATATATTTATTATATAAGCAAGCTACCTAGGACAATAACAGAGAATAAAAAAAGGCATGTGAACTCGGAGGCTGGAAAGGCCCTGCTACCCATAGCTGAAATATTAAACTGAAAATCTTTCATGTTTTCAAATTTCACAAATGGCTTTCAACTGACCAAGCAGAGCAATGGAAGTGATTAATACACAGACTTCTCTTCAAATCCGTGTGCGTCTATGAAATATACATTATACATTTGAATATTTTAGAAGCTGAATCAACATAATGCATATTTAAAACGATCCAATACTGGAAACACATGTATACGTTCAGTGCAACACATCACGAATAGTGAAATTCAGTTTGTTTATTTTCTTTCCCCTTTGTTAGACGTCTTTTGTTATTTTGAATAGATATATAAAACAGCAAAAGAGGCTTAATTTATCCCCTCAGAGACGCTGCACTATTGCTTACATGGCAGCTGCCGAAGAATGGATAAACAGATCGATACTCATTTATAAATGAATTTTGTAAATGAGGACCACATCATAAAATATAGCAAATGTCAGTGCCAATATTTTTCGAGTAAACCAAAAGAAACATCGAGCTACCACAATTAATTAGTTTGCAATGTTTCTGAGAGGTTACGATCGAAAGGTAAAACAAAGAAACATTGACGATCATGTATCCTAATCGAACTGTTCCAAATCGAACTTTCGTGTCACGGATTACAGAGGGCACAACCTGTCCGTTTTATCTCACGAAAAAAAAGCAGTCGACAGAACCACTTCTTATTTGACCTCAGTCAATTTGACGATGAGTCTCCGATTCTTACCTGCTACTGAGATTAAACCGCTGCTAATACACGCTATCTGTTTGTGCGCGATTTGCAAAGTTAATTCACTACAAGAGCGCAATCAAGTCCTGAGGCGCACCACAACGCCTAAGATTAATCCCAGAGAACAACTATGCTTGGAAATTTAAAATTTTTAAAACCATCTGGAACTCTATGCGTCCCTTAATTAGATTTGTGAATGAAGTTCCTGAAATTTGTAAACGACGTAGGAAAGCTAAAAATATTGCCCACAGGTTCTTGCGCCTCTCTATCAGTCAAATGTACCTCAAAAAGCTGATGAACCTCCGTCTTCGCCATGTACTCTTTACTTTCCTCCGCCGTCATAATTCGTGTCTTAATTCTAAATGTTTACATAAAGTCTCAGTCTCCACAAACTTCTCTTCGATCGAAGGTTTTAATCTAATGACTGGTGTTCGAACGTTGTTATGACAACATGATAATTGACTAATTGGAAATTGCTCGAGTCGGAAATTTTCGGTACTTCAGCCCCAACTTCAGCCAAAGCTTTCTTGGATAAAATTAATTAAAATAGCGGTAAATTGTACGTCAAAAAAATTTGTTCGTAATTATTCCTTAAAGGAAACAATCTACAGGGGATGTTACCAAAAATCGGTGAGAACATTTCAGCCCGAAGAATCTTCGGATCGTGATCGTTTAATACCCAGCATATCTTGCAAGCCTCTATAACTCAAGATGGCGGCAAGACTGTCATTTCTTGTGCTCCTTTATCTAGCTGTATTTTCACAATTTATAGCGGCACAAACCGGAAGATCTTTTGATAAGTTCCTCAAGAGTGATCACACTAACAACTGGGCTGTATTGGTGAGAGGAAAATCTATTTAGAACAATACAAACGCAAAACTTAATTTAAAGGGTAACCAGTAAATTTTAGAAAACGCTCCTTACAAACTTTTCAATCTATCTTTCTCCACCTTTATCGTTGCAAGGTATGTACCTCGCGGTTTTGGTTTAACTACCGACACGTGGCTAACGTTCTTTCCATGTATAGAAGTGTTAAGCGGCTCGGAATCCCAGACAGGTGAGCAGTTTGTGTTCACATGTTAGTGCCAGTGATGTAGGTCTTGCACGTGGCCTAGGAGATGAAAAGTCCAGTAGACGGAAAAAATCTTTTGATTTATCATATAAAGTGTTTAAGTGGAGAACAACAGCCTTTTGAAAACTGTACTGATTAGAACTTACACGGAAATGTTTCTATTGTTTTATTGCCCTTACAGTCATATTATTGTTATGCTTGCTGATGATATGGCCTGCAATGCCCGAAACCCAAGACCAGGTCAGCTTTGTAGTTAATCTTGTAATAACTGTTTTACTCCTATAATTGATTGCTTTTTTTATTTTTTGTGATATTGAGGTTAATTTGTTTGCATCTTTCAATCCATATTTTCTTTAGAAATCTTGCTCAAATTCCTTGATCTTTTTTGTTGTTGTTTTTTTGCAATTATAGGAACAGTGTTCAACAATGCAAACCAGCATATTAATGTATATGGTGATGATATTGAAGTTGATTACAGAGGATATGAGGTGAATACATAAGCAGGCAGAAACACATAAAGTTTGCTCTTATGCAAGCTGAATTGTGAATGAATTTAAGAAGTTCATATTTTTGCCTGGAGAATACCTTATTTGCTATAACTATGGTGTTGGATGTTACACTAGTTACTTAAAGTGTGTTGATTAATTGATGCATCTGAATTTTTCAGGTCACAGTAGAAAATTTCATAAGAATATTGACAGGTAATAGCTTTATGTTGTAATAGTTTTGCTTCCTATATATTTTTTAGTTTCTTTTTTATTTAGGTCACTTGAATAGAAAGTAATTAAAATCCAAGCACAAGTACAGAAATTAACACGTGAGTTGTAATACTCCACAACAGGTCGTTTGCCATCCAGAGTACCGAGATCTAAGAGACTTCTCTCTGATGAGAGAAGCAATATTCTTGTATACATGACAGGTTAGTACCCTTACTATGAAATGCCAACCTCATACCTTAACCCTTTAAATCCCAAGATCTGATTGTTAATTCTCCCCTCTAGCTACCACACATTTCCTTGTAAATTAGTTGTGAGAATTTAGTGTCAGATCAGGATATCAACTTTCACCAGACAACTTTTGACTGTTCTCATTACCTGTTTGCTGGATAATGTATGGATATTATAGGGAGAAGTTACATGTTAATCACTTCTTGGAGTTAAAGGGTTAAATAACAAGGACAAGTTATATCTTATCTTCTTTCAATGAAATAAAATTCTTCTCAATAGGAAAGATGACTTTTATCGAATTAAATAGTTCTCCCTAAACAGGAGTAGGTACTAAATTGTTCTGTAAAACAAGAATACTGGATTGATGGCAATTGCAAATTTATAAAATAATCACATTTATTGTGATTTTGTTTTCAGGTCATGGTGGTGACGGCTTTCTCAAGTTCCAAGATGCTGAGGAGATAACTAGTATTGAGCTGGCAGATGCCTTTGAGCAAATGTGGCAGAAAAGACGGTAGTCGTTGCTTTGAATCGTCTTGTTGTGAGCTTACAGTTTGTGAAGCCTAAAGAACAGTTTGATTTCTTTTAATAAATTTTATTTGCTTTATTTACATGCTGTCAGGTATAATGAAGTCTTCTTGATTGTGGATACCTGTCAAGCATACTCCATGACTCAGAAATTGTACTCACCCAACATTCTAGCTGTTGGCAGTAGTTTAGTAGGAGAGGATTCGCTTTCTGTAAGTTTATTTTGATATAAAATGAATCATTTGTGTTTGAACCAATGATATTTGAACTAGGTAAGCACAGTATACATGCAGAAATAATGACAATAATAATTCTTTGAGAAAGTTCAATAGGATTTGAACCTGTGATTCCCCAAGGCTGGTGCAGTGTGCTTACAAACTGAGCTAACTGTTGTGTTAGTCTAGAGTTGACCTGCTTTAGTGACTTTAGCTCAGAACATTTTACACAGTGGAGTAATTTTATGTGGCTGATTCTAATTTACATTTGCATAGTCTGTAGAAATCATAAGATTACAACATGCCTATAAGAAGTTCAAGCATAGAGAAACACATTGTTTTTGGTTACCATATGATTAAGTTTTTGTTTTGTTTTAGTGTAAAGATCTTTGTTACAATGTGGGTTCTGATTATTCAGATGTTATTGCATGTCAATTCTTTGTTGTTGTTTTTTTTTCTAGCATCACGAAGACCCTGCCATTGGAGTGCATGTAATTGACAGATATACATATTATGTGCTTCAATTCTTGGAAGGTGTGAAGCCCAACAGCAAGGCCACTGTGGGAGAGTTGGTGAGTCATTTTTTCAAAATTTATTTTGGGGTATTCCATATGGACAGTTTCTCAGGCAAAGAAGAGTTCTCTTTTCCTGTTTCATTTCTCCTTCCATTGCACAAGTGAGAAGTTTGGGTGAATATAAAACTTTGCTGGATGTGAAATATCAGTAATTGTTTCAAAGAGGAATCTACAAGAACATTGACTTGATGAATATAAAACTTGGTTGGATGTGAAATATCAGTAATTGTTTCATAGAGGAAACTACAAGAACATTGAATTGGAATGATTGAAAGTTTGTTTTCATTATATTAAATGCTAACATTTTATTAAGACAACTTCAACTCTGCCAATTTTTTCTACATAGTTCAAATATACCACACCAGCTCTGGTAATATCTACTCCAGGAGTGAGATCTGATTTGTTTAAGAGAGACCCTAAAAAGGTACTTGTTTTATAATCCATTGTAATTACCAGTGTGACTTAAAAATATACTGTATGTGCGGATTTGTTTTGTAACACAGTAGACCCTGAGAAGTGTCAGTAGACTAGTAGAACAGTTAGTATCCAGCTATCCACAAACCTCTCTGACTGCTGTTTTATTGAAATTCTAAATGGGATACTATGCTGGTCTTGTAAAGTAAGGTTTGAGAAAGAGAGAGTGATTATCAAACTTGGCATAGTTTGCATTTGCATTTACATAACAAAACAAACAATGTTGTTGTTACTGCAACTTCCTCTCCCCCTGTCCCAGGATTAATTATCCATTTTCATGAGTGTAACCAAAGGCTTTTCAAACTAAATTAACATTAATAGTAGAAAATTAATTGGGGGGGAATAAGAAATGTACTGGTATTTCTACTGACTAGACTAGAACATTTTTTTAAAAGGTTCTAGTCACTGACTTCTTTGGCAGTGTTCATAGCATCGAAATGACTAATTCTTCAACCTTTGATCTCATGGAGGACACATCATGCAGGTATGTACATACCTAGAGATGTTTCTAGGACCTTAAAAATAACGAACAGACACCAATATCAACCTTGGACAGATCTGTTACCTTCTTAACCCCTAAGAGTGACTAGTTTTAATTTCTCCTTGCAATGTCGCCCCTGAATTACACAGAAAGGTCACAAGAATAAAGGAAATGATCACCAACCAAAGAGCCTCTTGATTGTTAAGCAAATTCTCCTTGACAGCACCTTAGGAAATGTAAAGAGAATAGTATGGAGAAAGTACATACTAATGTCAGGGTGTAAAGGATTAAAAGAGCACTTTGAGATCTAGATCCCATGGTCGCTACATTGTGTTGTTTTTGGTGGGCAAGAAAATTTCCCTCACAGTGCCTCTCTCTGTCCAGTGCCAGTGTTTAAGACGAGATTGTGTGCTTCTGGAATCTATGATCCAGATCTGCTCTTGCAAGGTAAATTCAATCATGTCGTGACTGATGGGTTTTGTCCACCATTTTAGGGGAGATCATTGTTCAGGATCCCAGTCAGATGAAAGACATCAAACTTCAGAGAAACGCATTCTTCATGAGCAGTTTCCAAACCCACAAAAGAAGGTATATTGTGTTTCTATGTCTTGATTGTCCTGAGTGAAATTTGTGATTTTGTTTGAACAGTTTATTGTTCTTATTGACAACTCTAAACCAAACCAACTTTACAATTTTATTGTAATGCATGGTCATGTAAATGTTCAAATTTTTACAAAGCCAGCTAAATTGAAATATTCTATTTTTTTTTTTTTTTTTTTTTTTGAAGGTTAGTGTTTTTGTTCTGAAACCTGGAGGTTATTTTCAGATCAGAAATAATCAAATAGTCAGAAATTCTCTTACTTGATGTTTTTTCTTTTATTATCTTTTTTTTCAGCAAGATGACAAAGAATGGCATTTCACTACAGAATTCCTCATATCCCTGATGGTTTTTATGTTACTGGTTGGTTTTGCTTTTGTGAGATAAAAAAGTATTCTCACAAGCAAAATTGTGGAGCAAGTACATGAACATTGTGAAATACTGCCAAAATCAGTGCTTGACATGAGGGACTGAAAAGAGCCAAGCAGCTAAACAGTTACTGTTTCAGGCATAACATTCAATATGAACCAGGAAATGAATACAGAGAACTTTAACTAAACTGCCTCTCCTCCAGGATTACAGGAATGGTGGGCATAATATACTGACTGGTACAGAGCAAGCTTGTATCATACGATAGTCTATGGTAAACACATCAGCTTGTATCAGAATACAAGTTGTGAAGACAGTAAATTGAAAATAACTGAAATTTTGAAATGGTGAAAGAGTGCTGATAACGTGTTTGTGATGTATGTCACTTCACATCATGTTGGATTGCAAGGAAAAACAGACTTCACACACAAACTCCAGTCAGGATTTGTGCACTGGGAAGATGTGATCTGAATTTTTCAGTATTTATCAGTATGAATGTTCAGGAGTACAGTATTCCTTTGACTATCAGATATAAAAGTTGCACAGAAGTTGGTAAACCTTCTTAAATGTGAGCAGAAAGTTAGAAATAGCCTGATCTCTTCTTGCTGCAGTTTTTTCGATATTGTTATACAAATTGCAAGACCAACAAGACCAACCAACAGCAGCAATATAGACATTGAACCAGTAAAAGTCAGTCAAAATTATATTTTTTTTAATCTTAATTTTAAGTTTTAATTTTATGGCCAAGAGTATTTTCCAGAAAAAAAAAAAAAGAGAAGCATAAAAAAAAAAAAGAAACAAGTTACTGTCCTTGTTTCACAAAAAAAAAAAAAAATACAACTTAAGTCTACAACTTCCAAGTTGTTTATGCACAAGCCTGAACATACTGGAGAGAATTATAAAAAATATAGAATCAATACAAAAATATGGTATGCGACAATAAAGGTCATCACTACATGCAAGCATTGTTGCTGTGGGCATGCATCAAAATCAAACTGCTGAGTGTAAGGGTATGTTCATTTTCTACCCAAGATCCTATTCTTACATTCAAGCTAGTTATTACCCACTCCCCATAAAAGGGTTTGTCAAAGATAATGTTACCTAACTTCTTTCCCATCAATGGGGCATCTATCTGATGTAGTACCTAACCAAGTCTTTATACAAAAGCTATGAAAGTGATGACCACAGGGCAAAAAGTTTCTCTCATCCCCTGAGACATAGTCTTCTATGCAAATGCTACACAAGTCACCAATTTCACTTGTTACTTTATCTGATAACAGTCTCTTAATTTGGGCGGTAGATAAGGTCTTAGGCTGAACAGAGGAATCCAACTGGAGGAGCAAGTCGTAATCCTCAGGTGTGATCTCACGGTTTTGAAGTTCAATCAGCAAGTTAATGTATGACTGATCTTCAAATTTAACACCGTTGTTGTTTGAATTAAGAATAAAGTCAGAATTGTTATAAAATGATGGTGGATTGGCTGTTTGGTTGGCACAAACACTTACTGGGTTCTTCCTTACAGATTTTCTAAGACAGCTTTTTAGAGGTTTCTTCTCCTTCTCCGACTGCACCTCAGTTTTCTCAGTAACCCCTTTCCGTTTCTTTGCTTTGATCTTGTTCTCCCGCTTTCTCTTCGTATTCTCAATCCTTATTTCCCTGATCCGCAATTCCTTATTAGTAAGGCCAACGTCAGAATCGTCAGATCCTGTAAAACTTCCTTTTGACGAGGAGATGACCTTCCGAGTATCCCGTTGACTACATTTCCTTTTGGCCTTCACAGCTACGGAAAGTTTTTTCTCACCATTTCGCCTACAGATCTGTCCATGTTTTTGATCGAGGAAATCAAACTCGCTTGGGTAGTTGTTTTCCTCGTCACATGAATCAAAATCGTCGCCTGTAGTCTCCACATCACCATTGTTGTGATCGTAGGAAACAGGTCGGTTATAAGTAAATGGCAGTATCAAAATTGACAAGTCCCCTTTGCTTGACCCAGCGTGCAACGAATGGGAACTATGATCAGGAGATTGTCCTACAGAAACTAAAGGTCCTGCCATGACGAAGAAAGAGAGTTAGAGAGTTAGTAGTTCTACAAATGTTCTAAGTGAGTCCTAGGAAATAAATTGATTTAAATCTATCAAGGGTTTTATACCTAACCATGGTCCCAGATTGCACCAACAAACTAAAAATAGATCATAAAGTCTGTGGTGCAATGCTTGCCCCATTCTATTCTCGGTTAGAAACACGACAACGTTCCTGGGAAAGAATGAAGTAACCTCGTCTCAATCCCCCTCCACGCGGGAAAAAAACATGGCGGCAATTCCGGGAAAACGCAAACTTTTCAGCAAACTTATAAAAGATAAATGTTGGCATCCTTATCTTGGCTTTTGTTAGCATTTTAGTAACTTCCATGTTCTTCAGAGTGACTTACTTTACATTTAAACAGGAAAGCACGACAGGGTATGGTTAGGGATGGGTGATACAGCAAACGATACGGCGAGCGTCGGCCATGTTACCGATGGAGACAAACCTCCTCCATCGACAGAAAATGAAGGAACATTTAAAGGTCCTAAGTTTGATCCCCCTGTCTATCGTCAACGATATGCTGCAGTATGTGAGCTAGTGAAGAAACAACAAGCAAAAAAGGTACTTGATCGCGAAGCTAGTGTTAAAATTCGTAAACATACTGGAATTTTTCGATCAGTGAGTGGTCTGTTAGTATATAGTGAGCAATGAATACGCACATTTTGAAACCAAAGAAAATAAGCAGCGAGCTAAAAGCTATTGTTACTGCTTTTGATCCACCTTCACCTCAGCCAATCAGGTGTAATCGTAAACTTGCACTTGTAACGCAAGGAAAAACAACATTTTAAGCATACACAAGGTAAAGAACATTCATTGTTTTCCAGGGTTGTGTTGTCCGTGACTATTGGACATTATTTTCTTAAGCTTACTCACCTACAGTCTGGAATGGCTGAGTTAGGATTTGTTACTTGACATTTGGTACAGGATGTTCTGGCTTCCTACATCACTCTATTCAAAATTGACGTACTGCAAAATTAACTTATTCATCATCACTACCTCGGCTTCTTTCACCAAACAGTGAAAAATAACAGTCCTTTTAAAGCCCATCCATGTTTGGATGTGAAACTACCTAAAAACAAATAGCTCAAAACTCTCAGTTTATCAAAAGCATTTACTCAAACCCCTTCTTGTTTTGGTAACACACAAGACTGAGTAATGCCTATGATTCCTGACAAATGACCACTTTTGAATCTGTTGCCAGGTCCATGCAGCCTTTCATAGAGCATTTAATTTAATTCTTCCTCATTGTCTGACTTGGAGCTCTCGTGATTATAGTTTGCTTAGAAAATAAATTAAATTTTTCTTCATTGTAAACAATTTCTTTTATCCACATTTATTTAGGTTCTTGATTTTGGTTGTGCTGAAGCAAAGCTAGTGAAAGCATTGATATGTCAAGATAATTTGATTCATTTGGAAGAATTAGTCGGTGTGGATATTGATCAACAGCTTCTTGAAGAAAGCAAGTTCCGTATTAGGCCATTCACAGCAGACTATCTGCGACCACGTACCCATCCCTTCCAAGTTTCTCTATATCAAGGTAATTTCAATTCTTTTTTTTTCAGGTATAAACAGTGTAGGTAATTAAGTGCTAATGCAACAAAAATTAGGTTGAACAAAAAATTATCCCGATTTTAAATTCTTTTATCAGGTTCTATTGCTGAAGCAGATGAGAGGTTCATTGATTTTGATATAATTGCTTGCATTGAACTGTAAGTACATACCTGAAACTCTCCACCTAACACACAAAGTTGATATGTTACTGTGGTGCACTGTTTCAGACAATACAATATTCATGTTTTCACTTTTTTTTCCTTTACATTAACCAAACAAATTATACACAACATATTGCGTAGGCTTTTCTTGTAACATACTATACTTGGTGTCAAAATGTGGTAAGAACGAAATCCGCTCTCAAAGCCTCTGGCAAGTTTTTGTGATGTTCTTACCACATCACTCATGATCTATTACTGAACATATGCACAACAGAGTAGAATGTTTGATAGTGTAGTCTGATCATTTGGGTGAGGATATTCCTGAGAAGGACTGTTATTAGTAGTGGTGACTGACTTTTTGACAACCCAAGCAGAGGTCATCAACAGAGTCAAGAGTGGAATGTGCTATTGTTTTAGACAATTAAGAGACAGAAGGGTATCAATGTTGTCATCAACTATATGTCTGTACTTTTAGGAAAGATGATTAACCCTTTAAATCACAAGATCTGATTGTTGATTCTCCCTTCCAGCTGCTACACAATTTCTTCTTAATAAGTTATGATAATTTGGTGTTAGATCAAGATAAAAACTTCATCCTGATAAGTTTGAGTATTCTAATACCTGTTTACTGATTATAGTATGGATATCATAGGGAGAGGTTACATGTTGATCAATTCTGTGATTAAAAGGTTACGAAACAATCAATATGTAGGAAAACTTCTGATAAGCATATACTGAATAGGGTGTAACTGCCCCACAATGCTGAGTCATTCAGCCATAAGAATTTAATTTTTTTGTATTGATTAGTCTGTAAATTTTTTTTAAAGGATAGAACATCTTCAACCAGACATCCTGGATTTAATGCCTGAAGCAGTCTTTGGTCAGCTGTCTCCTAAGGTTGTTATATTAACAACACCCAATGTTGAATTCAATGTCTTGTTCCCTGACCTTAAAGGATTCCGGCATTATGATCACAAGTTTGAATGGACCAGAGCAGAATTTCAAGAATGGTTAGTTCTTAACCAAAGTATATGATGTTCAGTTTAATTACCAAAGAAAACTCTCTTATGGAGATTTCAACCAATGTCCCTCAGAAAACCAGTCAGGCTTTATATAACAGTACTATAACATCCCTAAAAAAGAAACAGGGAGAGGAGACAGTTCCATGTAGGTATGGGACGCTCTTGGCAGGGAGGGTCATATCTTAAGGTTTACGTGTGACATTTGACCTGGAAACCGCCAACTAATGAAATTTTTAAAGGTCCCTGTGTTGCAAAATAGGAAGGCAGTGACATGGAACAACTCATTTGTTTGGACCTTGGTGTGTACCCATTTACTAAAAGAAATTGGAGCTTTACAATCAATTAACAACTGAGTATACATTAATTAAAAACATACACACCCACAAATAGTATTAACTACCAACTACCATTCAAAGTTTGTCAAAAGAAACCAGTATATTGGTATGTCATATTAAAACTAAGGCTTCAAAAAGTATAGCATAGACCTTTGCCTAAACAAATGTTTTACTTTTCAGGTCAAACACCCAGGCTCTGAAGTACAACTATACTGTGACATTTGATGGGATAGCTGCTGGACCCAAGGGAACAGAACACCTGGGTTGTTGCTCTCAAGTGGCTGTGTTTGAGAGGATATCATCCTACCCTGCTTTAAGGAAGGGACCAGAGATAGGCCAGCCATACAATCTGGTATGGGTGTTGGCTTCTTTCTATATTCTCAATTTCATATATGTGGATACTCACTTAACTCTTCAACCCCTATTAGTGATTCTCCTTACAAAATCTTTGTTGAACCAAACATCAAGATCAGGAGAATAAAGGAAATGATCACCCACCAGACAAGCTCTGTTGAACAAATTCTCCTTGTCAGTACCATTGGAAATGTGTTAAGAACAGTGTGGAGAATATGCATACTGATTGAAGGGTGTCAAGGGTGAAGGATCAAATTAAGACTTTTGTGTCACTTCAGAACATAGGACTGAAAATCAATGTATTACTAGGGGTTGCGGTAAAAACAGTACAAATTTGCTTTGAGTAATCAGGCATTAAATATTGCAAAATTCCCCTCAGCCAGAATTCTTTTTTTAATAAAGTAATTGCGTAGGGTTAGGGTTAGGGTGAATAGATATTTCAATGTGCCATTTTGGCTTGGAAAACAATTTGAATTTGACTTATATCCCTGAACTTGATTCCTAACATTCCTGAAGGTTTTCATTTGTCAACAAAATTGACCTTGTACTTCAGCCTCCATTCTTAAAATTTTATCGCCCTCTGACAACTTAGTTACTTCTCTTTGCATTGAAATTTAGATTGCAGAGGTTCAGTTTCCATATAAAAAAGACACAAGAACAGAGGAAGAAAAGATTTTGCAAGAAGTAGAATACATCCTCTGGATGCTGTCATCCCAAGAGGAGGCTCATTATTCAGAAGAGAGTGACATGGATTCACAATCAAGTGACAAGGATGACAAAAGTTTCTATGGAGAGGAAAATCACCTTACACATGATGAGGACTGTGCAAAAACACATGTGTACTTGCTTAAGGAGTTACTAGGCTTCAGCTCCCTTCAAAAGTTTTGTAATGATATTGAGAAACTAAGGTAAGCTGTTAGGAATAGTGAAAAAACATCCTTAAAATATACACCAGACTGTCAAAATGAAATAATTAATACTTAAGGGGTGTGAAATATTTAGCCCCACTCCTTCCCTACATTAATAACCCATTCCCTCCATTTGATGCTACATTCTGTTGAAGGGGGAGGGGGAAGGGGGAGAAATGCTGTTTTGTACAGGTATATCCCACCTAACAGAATGTGATACTGAACTCTCTCATCTAGAATGGGGTATCCTAAAAGGAAAAAGGCTTAATATTTAAGAGGTTTTTGTAGGCAACTTACAACTTTTTAGAACCTCAAGAGTTGTAGCTTATTTACTACTGGATAGACTCAGCAAAATCAAATGCAAACTTTTTGTTATAAATTATTACTTACAAAAAAATGCCAGTGACAGTGTCAGCTTTATCTGTCCTCCTATTGATCATACGAAATGACTGAAAAATGCATTATGTTGCATAGCTCACCATGTCATGAAGAGTCATACTTAATATCAGTTATCAAATTTTGATAACCAAAGTAATGTGTGAAAAAAACAGCATTTACAAACTATTCTTTAAACAAAATTAACTATTAAATTAAATATTTACTTTAGATCTGTGCTGAAAGATTCTTCAAGGTTTTGCCTGACTGAAGATGAATGTGGAGTCCTGTGGCAGCATCAGTCATCACCACAGTGGAGCAGTGAAGAGAGTGACACTGGTTGGGATGTATGTGGTAATGATCAGGAGGTGTATGAATCAAAAAGACCTGACTCAGCATGGACAGAACCTGAAAACTGGGATACTGCAGATGAATTTAGTTCTGATGCAATTATCAAGCAAACAACAGCTAATGCAGAGGTCTGTTGGGATTCTTCAAATGATTGTAATACTAAATATTGGGATGGCGAGGTCTGGACTAAATTTGAAGAGTATGGAGCGGATGATGAGTTTGAGGAAGAAAACAACTTCAATTTGTATGACAGCTACACTGCAGCAGTTTCACTTGAAAGTGATGGATCTGAGGGTGAAGAAATTAGTGGTAATGACATTGATGGACTTGTTTGGATTACAGAGAATGTTTCAATTACAGATGGGATCCCCAAATAATCAATATTTCAAACTTGCTTCATAATCTCAGGTTAGACCATCTTGAAAAGTGGTTCATAAGAATACTTAACTGTTTAAGCCTGGTTCTAACTATATGTAGTGACGCAAGCACAAGCACAGTCAAGTACAAATGTACATGAGGTAAGTATACCAAGAGAAAATGAATATTGACAAGCACAAGCATTATCACAAGAAAAAGGAAAATTCTGATCCTTATGCTGGCCCTTGTGTATATGCTTGCAACAAGGCCATTTTCACAGTGAAATATGAGCTGTTGTGCTTGTGGTGGTACTTTTGCTTGCATTTCTAATGAAAACAAGGCTTAGGCTCACAGCTTTTGTTAATCACCTTAATTCACAAAGAGGCATCCTCTATTTTAAAAATCAAGGGCTAAGACTATTAAGTCTTACAAAAAAAATTTCTTGCCTCTAAATTCATGGTGAGAAGTATTGAGTAAATGAACCTTGTAAATAGTTTATTAAATTTATTTGGTCCTTTATTACATATGAAATGTTTCTATATGCTACTCCATTTACAAGTTTCATTTCAGAGAGACTCAGCTAAATAATTTTAGTTTAATGAAATAATTATAAATATGTTGAGTCTAATCATGTTTAAGATAACATAAGCTCTGAGGATGATACATTTTCCCTCTACCTAGTTGTACAAATATTTTAATGCTACACACCCTAAGAGGACTTGCCAACTTTCACATGAACTATTAAGAACCTTTAAAATAGACAGGACTGCAAGATTTTAAAGGCTATTACCTCTGTAGATAACCATCCACTAGGCTCATATTTACCACCAACACATGAGAATAAATATAGTCTGCATAAAAAACAGTGTGCCCTCCCCAAAGTAAATAGCAAATGATTTATGACATCATATGTAAATAGACTGATTTCTAAACACAAGGTAATGTATTTTCTATGTAGTATTTTATCATCCATTTGTAGTTTAAGTATTTTAATTTGAAGGATAGATTTTTATTGAGTGTATAGGCGACTAGAATGTAACAAAAGATATGTACTTTTATCTTTTGGTAATAAAGACTATTACTTACTTACTTACTTATTAAGTAATAATATGCATAACAATCTTCCCAGTTTTAATTAAACAATGAACTTCAAGTTATGGCTATGTTAAATAAAACAAAGATCTTTATAGTCTTTGTTTCTGTCATATCAAAATCCAAATATTCGTTTTTCATTTATAACTATTTACAATCAGTGGTTTGAGTCCTGAGATAATTCATTTCTTTGCGATTGTGCTGTATTCATGTATGTCTCTTCCCCTTTCAGTTCCCAGTGCAATGCTGTGTTTCATTCATCTAGCCTTCTGGGCTCATGTCAACATTGATTATTGGGGTGGGGAAAGGGGCTGGTAACATTGTGAATTATTTCTTACCAAAAGTTAGAGTCCCCAAATAAAAAAATTCTAAAATTCTTCCCAATCCATTTTCAAATTGTCAAAAATTTAACTAGGAAGTACTTCAAATTTATATTTTTGATAAAATTACAATCAATTTATTAACCCACCCAATCTGACTTCCAATTACTAATGGCATTATGATATACACAACATGGTGTGTTACTTTAACAAGGTTGAAACCCATCTACCAACCAGAAGACCTAAAGCTTGACAGAGAAAGTTTCCAATAACTGCTCCAATAATGCTACCAAACACTGGTAAGGGAATGCGATAATAGCCAAGGGCAGCCCCTCCCACCCCTCCCACAAATCCTGACACTATTGGGGTTACTCTTTTAGCTTTAATTTTTTCAGCATCCACAGGTGTCACATGACCTTTGGTTCTAGCAAGATCAGCAGTAATAACAACAAATGCTATCCACAGAATATCCTGTAGGAGTCCAACTATCACACCTACTACATGACCCATCAGCAACAGTGATGTCTGAGCTAACAAACCTGTTGTAGAAGCAACAATGAACAGTATTGCCCCTAGTATTCCCTGCAGAAAGACAAACAAAAGCCTTATAACAGTCCATACTACATCATAAGATTGATAGCTCTCAGGTTTTCCTGCTTTGCAATCTCGACAAAAGTGTTCGCAGTTGCTCGTCAAAGCATTATAGTGCCGTTCTCCCAAGCGCTTCCTCGCCCTTCGCACCACCTCATCCGAGGAGAACACCACAACCCCATCGACCTCATCCGTCGGAGGGTACTCTATCCTGTACACAACTTGGTTAGACTCAAGAACAAATTTAGTTCTTGAAACTTCTCCTTTGGTAGTGGGGTTACTTTCTCGAAGAGATCGTATACCAGTGTCTTGATCACCAGTCTTGTGTATAACCCACGCAAATTTTGGCTTTACTTTATCCACGATGAAGTGATGCCAGTAACCCAACGGGCTTTCTTCCATGACATGATCGCCCTTGCGCAATTGCGCTAACGACGTAATCTTAGTTCTGGGAGAAATTCTTCCGAAGTCGAAAGGGACAGTCTTCTTCGATTCCTCAAGTTTGAACATCGATATTTTCTGAATCTCTGGCCTCACAAAGTAAGAGCGAGTCCGATTCAAAGACAGAAGTTAGTGTGGTACATAAATATAGTCGGTGAGGTAAGAACTGACACGCAGCAAATGGACTTTGTGATTTGTCGCGAGTCACACCTACACTTTTTACCCAAACGTAAACATGACAATTTACCTCCTCAATGTTTGTAAATTTGTGGTCATTTACAAGTAATTTCCCGACTGCTACGCGACCGTTTCCAGGTCGGAATAATCCCAAATATTTATTCCTCCTCCAAAGATTTTTTCCAGATCGATATTGCCACATGGAAACGTACAAATCTTACTCTGTGCTTTATATGGCCCAGTTGCTTCATCAAATCACAACATTAAATATTGCAGATTTCAAAGGAAATTGAAGCCGATTTCTCAGACATAATTCAGATATGAATCGTCCAAATAACCGACTCACGTGTTTGTTGTTGATTTAGCTCCGGCACTCATCGTATTACTAAATCTACCAGTACGATTACTACTTGGTCAGCGGTATTTGATTTTGACGGTACAGTGATGCATATATAAAGGAAAAAAGGGAAATTTTCAAAGATGGCGGACGATGCTGTTGAAGAACTTCAGGAAAGTCTATCAAAATTTGTAAGTGTTGCTTTTGGTGGAGCGCGCATTAAAGCTCTATTAATACTACCGAAGGCTCATTATATTTTTCCTGCAGTGCACAGAGAAACCAAATACCCACCTCATCTTGGTAGCTGCTCAGAAATGTGCTAGTAGTGGAAAATGGACCCGGCTTTTGGAATGCTTGACTCGATCTGACCATAAGGTTTGTAAACATTTATTCACCATCGATAAGAATTATTAAACGTCACTAAATCAATATTCTAGATGTTTTACAATTTTGTGTCTCTGGTTTGAAGTATTGCATAAATTATTCTATGCCCAGTTCATTTGATTCTAATACATGAAGATAAAGAAATTGGGTCGTGCTACAGCTAACAGCTAAACGACAGTGAGAAGGATAGTCTTTCATTAGGATCTCATTAGATTTAAACCCACGCCTAATGAAGTTTAATTGCCGAGCCACACATCAGGATCATGGTCAAAATTTTTTTCGTATAATCAGTACTTTTAAAGAGCAGAAACTAAGTTTTATTGTTTATCAGTACTAAAGTGGGTTTGTTCTTGTGAAATGATTAATGGTTTGAGCTTGGGAGGCACTCTTTGCCATGTTGTCAAGTCTTTCTGATAAGGTAGTCTTGAAATGAGTGCTTTAAGTGATTGACTGATTTTGATAACTTGAGTTGAATTCTTGACTCTGTTATCAAGTTGACTTCTGCTTCTGTTGACAAAACATTTGATTTAGTGATTATTACCGGCAGAGGTCACACCTATTCATTGCAGCCCTGAGTTGATGTTTTTTTTGTGTATGCACAGGATGCTCTTGAATTTGTTGGTTGGGAACTAATTGGAGTCATATCTCAAGCTATTGCTGATGACTTTGAATCAGATGCCCTTGAAGAAAGAAAGAAAATCCTTCAATTAATCGCTGAGGTAAGCAAATTAAGTTACTTTTCACAAAGTGGAGACGAGCTGTGCAGTTATTGGTTTTTCATTTAGCTTCTGTTTCCACTTAATGAAACAAATTGGAAGGTTTAAAACCATAACAAACAAACAGTTATGATTAATTTGTCTTCATGTCATAGCTGAAGACTGATAAAAATTATGTTTCTAACTATGATCACCCTTTATCAGAGTAATATTATATGCTGTGCACTTAGATATCTACAAGTACAAAAAAAAATGTCTAATGGTTTTTTTTGCCATTTTAGGCCTGTTTCAGGATTCTACTAAAACCAGTTTTGTTGAAGTTTATTTCTTTTTTTTGTTTTTCAAAGAAAATACTCTATTTTTGTCTATAATGAAAAAATGCAAAGTTGACATTTGAATCATAAAATATTTAAATACTTGAATCAGAGACCTCATGTGTTTTCAGTTGGTTACAATTCTTTTTCTATGATAAAAGTTTATTTCAAATATTGAATTATTGGTGTGAAACTAACAGAGATGCAGTGCAAAGGAGGTTTGCATTGGAGTGTTGGAACAACTTGACTCTGGGACAGACTGCCATTTTAACAATTTTGTTACTCTGCTGGATACCCTTAAGACAGGTAAATAAAAAATATAATGCAAGATATGATTAAGAAGACAGTTAGCTAAAAGATTTGGGTGAGTAATCATGTCTTTTCTTCCTTTAAGAAGGCGTTTTCCTCAGGTTTTTAGTTGCTTCATTTTTCTTTTATTTTAAGCAATACACAGGCTGCAAGAGAAGAAGTCAAAGTATGTTGGTATGGCACTTCCATGTGTGACAAGATACATCAAAGGTATTCAACTCTCAGATGAAATAGAGACAGAGAAAGAGTCTGGCAGTGAATGTCTGAAAATGCCATCCATCATGAAACATGTACTGGATTTTCTCAGACCATTGGTGCAGGAAGTCAGCTTGCAATCATCCTCTGCTGAAATAGTAAGTATATTTACAAAAGCTGTAGATAATCCATTGACTTAAGATCTACCTGTAGTATCCTTAAATGACAGAGTGACAAGAGAGTGATAAAGTATTGGAAGGGAGTGGTGAGACTAATATAAGACCATAAAAGAGACATTCACTAAGCTTAAACATAAAGACATGCTATTGAAACATTAGCTCCAAAATAAAAGCTGATTGGCATGAGCAGTTTTTTAAGATGCAACTTTCTTCAATAACCAGCTCTTGTACATACAGTTAGGTCTTAAGCCTTCAACTGAGTGAAGATAAAAAATAAGCAAGATATACATTTTGCATAACCAGATATGAAAACTGTATTTCTATTTATTTTTAAGTGGATATGAAATAAAAAAAAAATTAACTTATTGTTTCTTTAGTCCCCCTCAAGTTCTTGCATCAGCCAATTAGGACCAGAGATTATCAAATGGTAGGTTCTTTGGTCATTTATTTAATCAACAAATAACAAATAAAATAACTTTTTGCTTTGATTGGAAGGTTTTTGAGCCATTTTAGTGTAATATTTATTTTACTTTGTGTGAAATAACTTGGTGTAATTTATTGACACTTAGTGTAGTTAAAATCAATTCAAAACAAAATTGATTTAAGTTAGGACAGATAAGAAACTTAACTAGCTTTATGAGGGTAACAATCAGACAATCAATCAATAATGAGAAGTTAGTCAATAATAAGAGAAGGAGAAATTCTTTGATAATTTATAAATTTAAGACTTCAAATAACAGTTTAAAATGAGGAATGTGCACATTACCAATTGACAATGAGACATATTTTTATTATTTATATACCACAAAGGTGAAAAGTGATTATCGGCTAGTTTAGAAGTGAATAGCAAGTACTATTTACCCCTTGAGCAGCCATGATAAACCACACATAAATAGTTTAATTTCTGACCATTTTATTGAAAGAAATAATGAAACTACAGTAAATGGTTTGAACCTGGGGGTAACTTGTAATAGTGTAGTTTGATCATCCGGGTGAGTGTAGTCCTGAGAAGGATTGTTGTTGTTTCAACAACCTGAGCAGAAGTCATCATCTGATGATGACTTCCGCTCAGGTTGTCAAAATGTCAGTCACCACTACCAACAACAGTCCTTCTCAGGACTACACTCATCCAGACAATCAAACTATACTGTTACAAATAATAAAACTATTTTTTATGTGTATCTGTGTGGTGTATACTTAAACAACTATTCATCTTTGTTGTTCAAAGTGGTGGATATTTTACACCTTTGTGGCTTGATAAATACCCACCACTTTTCACTTCCACTTTAGTAAGCAATTGTTTATTAGTTGTACAAAGTGTCAGTTGTATGAAAAATGTCAGTAATCCTATCCTATCCTATTTCCTATTTGTACAGTTTGATCCAGCTCTTGGATTATCCATTGGTTTTTGTGGATTTAGCAAAACATTCTAAAGAAAATACAGACCTTGATGATGAGGATGATGAATCCATTTCTGAGGAGAAATGTTCTTTGACTGTAATGGAATACAGAACAATTGCACTGGAAATTATGGTATGTTTGTAATTCTAGATGGATATGAACCAAGAGTTGGTATCATGTTGTCTGATTGTCATGTTGAGTGTAGACTCTTAGAGGACTCATTTGGTCAGGATTAGTGACTTACATCCTGACAACCATTTTTACATCACTTGAGTCAAGTCATGACTCCAATGATGACTTTCACTTAGGTTGTTGTAATTTCAGTCATTTATTACCTCCAACAGTCCTTCCCAACAGTACTCTCCTGTAGATAATCAGACTACACTGTTAAGATTACTAATCAGCAAATGTAATCATGGCTAACTGTTGTTTTCACTATTCTTTTTTTTATATTTAAATAGAAATTCATTCATATGGCTAATGGATCGTATCTGTACCTCATGGAATACACTTCTAAAACATACAACAATGTTCAAGAAAAATCAAACAAGACTTCAGACAGAGGTGTTTCTGCAGAAGAGGAATATGATGATGAGGATGAGCAAGGTAACTGACATAATACTATAAAACTTCCTGTAAAATACTTTTAGCCAGTCCTTTTATCATCATAAGGCTGAAGTAAAGCCACTTATTGCAAAAGAGGCCAATTTAAGAAGGCTCTTCAAATTTGAAAAGGTACAATAAATTTGACATTAGATTCTGCTGTTGAACCTTACTTTTGAAAACTTTTCCCTTTTGATTACACATTTTTTTAAATTGCAATTTAATTTGCATCATCAATGGGCCCAATATGAGTTAATTGGTTGAATGTTTAAATGCTCTTCTGTGGCTCTGTTTTCAAAGACATTTAAAAAATACTTTTGAGTCATTATTTACAATGAATCTATTAATGTACTTTAAATGTTAAGGGCTTTAATTTGTATTTAGAATAATAGATAAAGTTTCTAGCTTACTTAATTTCCTTTTTTATCTGTTTTCAAGAAAGAAGCTGTTATCCAGTGTTAGGCCTTGGCTGTTTTGTTTATTTACTACTTGTGGAAAAGATGGAAGACAGAAATATCCCTGCAGTTTTTAGGTAAGTGACCAAAGGAGAATTTATCCTATACATTTTCAAGTTGAAAGTTCATGAGAAGAAAAAAAAAATTGGATGACTCTTAGATTAAACACCAAATTCTCAGAGTTTAAATTATAGGAAATGTATAGCAGACAGCTGGGAGAATTCATATCTAGATCTTGGGAGTGAAAGGTTTAATACTAATAAGTTGAAGGGTGGCCTTAGTCACTGAAGTATTTATTGACTCTTGGAAAAAAAACCTTTTTTGTATATTTTTTTCATAGCTTTAAATATTTACTAAAAGTCAACATCAAAAGCATCCTCTTCCTTCTTAGCAGGTCAGTTATTTTTAGAAGAAATTGTTTTATTTCTTTTTAATTCCAAGCACCAGAAGACTTGTTCTCTTATAAATAGTGGGAGACTAAAGGGTACACCCATGCTCAGGGGTGTGACCAGGGGAGGGGGTAGGATACTGATTATTCCTTATTTTTCTGTATTGGATACGAAATACTTTGTAATCATTATTGTAAATAGCTTCAGGCAATTTTGATTTAGTTGCACATACTATTGGACTAGTGTCTACATACAGAATATAAAAAAATGGATGAACAACAATATGATATATTCAGGTATTTTTTATTGAAAAGTTTCTGTACTAGAGATTACAAAAGACTTTCAACACCTGAATACACAAAAGGTTTTGGCTGAACTTGTTAGCTAGCAAAGGGAAAAAAAGTACTACAATAAATGTAAATCTCTTAAACTTTCTCCTTCGCCTTGCAGAACAGAACACGGTGTCATTTACAAGGGTTTGGTGTGTATTTTGTGAGTGCTTCACCTAATATTTCAAAAATGTTTTTCCTAATTTACATTCATCTTATAATTTATATGTGTCGACTATCTACCGCCTAATCAATTTTCATAATGTTAGCACTAATAAACGTTTGTCTCTTTTCAGGGACTGTTGGAGACATTGTCAAAAAGACTGAAAGATAAGAGTTTGGTGTACAATCAGTACGAGTTCAAAGATTTAATGGACATTTTTAAGGTGGACACCACGTTTGATTTTCAGCTGATTTTGTCACTGGGTATCCGGTTAGATCGAACCATGGTTAGATTGCTCCTAGTTAGATTGCTCCACTCGAAAGTTAGATCGCTCCATCAAATAAGTTACTTCGCTACCAACATAAGTTACTTCGCTCCATGTTGTAAAGTGAAGTATTACTTACCAATGATTTTTAAAGTTTATAGGTGATGATGTGTCTTACGACGATTCGAGTACATCGTATCCACTCTGTCCTTCAGATTAGCCACCGAGCTACCGATCGTGGAATAAATTATATAACGTTATATTCTGAAGTATATTGAAAAGGATCATTCAAATACCGATACTATCCACTGTGGCCCTTTTCGCTGTTTGATGTAAGGAAACTGATCCGACATCTTTAATTAATAAAGTAGATTACACCTCGTGAGTCCCTTTCATGACGCTTTATTTGTTCTTTCTGCGTAGCTCGGATTTATTTCAAGCGCGCGCGAGCGATATTAATCGATTGTTCGGTAAGATATTCACGTCATGAACTATCAATTTAGATACGTTAGTTTTGCTACGTTTTACCCTTGTTTTCTACATGGAGCGAAGTAACTTATGTTGGCAGCAAAGTCACTTTTTGATGGAGCGAGCTAACTTTCGAGTGGAGCGATCTAACTTTTGGTTGGAGCGATCTAACTGGGAGCGAGCTAACCAGGATGCGATCTAACCGTAATTCTGTCACTGACAGTACCTAGTACAGGAAAGTTTTTAAAGTTTTGTTTCGTATTTTAACGGCAGGCTCTTATAAATGTTATGACGATGTGTTCATCAAAGAAATTGGTAAGTGCACATGTGTTCATAGCGATGTTCTTACCGATTTCATGCGAGCTACTGGAAAAGAAGAAAGTTATGAAATAATGAGTAGGGTTCATAAAGACTGAATATGAATTTTTTTTATAGAAAAACAAAGAAATACATATTTTAATCGCATGGTCGTGTTTACGCCACCTTAAACCAACTTCTCGAACATGAAAAAAATCCTGGAAAGTTTTGGAATTTAGGAATTCCAAAGATGACGATCAGTGTCTTAGTTTTATTATCTTGCTTGGTGAATACCAATACTCTAAAAGTATAACGCACAGTGGATCGTAACGGAAGTGTATTACTGAAGTTGTATGCCTCTGGTCTCAACAACCCTCAAAGACATGTGAATGCTTAAGAACACACACTCCAAAAGTGCTCAACTTTTCAACGTTGTTGACATTTGATTATTTGATGCGTTTGTTTTCCTTTGCGCCACAGAGATTAAGAGCAGTTCAATTCCTTCCGAATCTGGTATCAAAGCTTGACACGAGAAGTCGATACGGATTATTATAGTAGGTACATTTTGTGTGCCTCTTGTAGCAACGTAGAAAACTTAACACTGTATATAAATAAGAGAAGATTATTACAACTTTTGAGATGGTAAATCTGGTCCAAGGAGGCTGGCACAAGACTCTAATTCCGTCAGGGCTGTAAACAGGGATCATGTTTAAGGAAGAAGTATCTTCCAGAAATCATACAATGTTTATCTCCTTTGTTAAGGATTATGTGTGAAAATATGTAACTGACCGCGTCCTGAGATTTCAACAAGTAATATAACCGTTTGAAACTTTTTTTTATGTATACAGTCAAACCTGTATTAAGCGGCACCATATTAATCGTCAAAGTCCCGAATTTTTTCCGCTCAGTTACTGTAATTTTTACCTCTGTTAAACGGTCACTTCTATTCAGTGGTCGTGGTTACCCTTCACCTTGTCCCAGACGGCCTGTCTCTGTTGTCTTCCACCTGTAGTGAACGGTCACTTAAGCAGAACCACTCAATAAAACTTGAAATAATATTTCGTGTAATATCTCCCGAAATCAACGTTAGTTTAGGGTGTTTACGTCATTCAAAGGTTAAAATAGCGGTTTTTATCGTGTTGTTGTTGTTGTTGTTGTTGTTTTTTTATTATTATTATTAACACCCCTATTCTGTGAACCTGTATGAAGCAGTCAACCTGTATTTAATGGTCACCCCGCCATTTCCCCTGGGTGACCGTTTAATACAGGATCGACTCTATAATATATACATATGATAAAACGTGCTTTACCAGCATTCGATTTACTTTTTAATTACTGTCTCGAAAATGTTACCGTCTAAATTAATGATTTCTTTCACATTGGTTTGTTTTTCAGCACTGTTCTACAAGATTGTTCTCACCCCGGGGTGGCAGGCCTTTTGATTCATCTCTTAAAAGAGCAAGTTGACCAAGCTTTAAGTGTAAGAGTTGTCTGGTTTGATTTTCAAAAACACCTGTACCATTGTAGCAGGGCTAAAATTTAACTCCAGTGCTTGATGGCCAGTCGGGCTAGTTTCCTTGAATTCTTAGTGGCCTATCCCAAAATGAAGCTGCCCTCGATTTCCTCTAGTTTAAAATGAAATACTTAAATAAACGCCCCATGGCTTTTGATGGAGCGTTGATTAAAAGGAAAGTACACAAAAGTCCAGAGTCACGTGGCAATCACAAAATCAAAATGGCGTCTATATGTTGTGAATGCGGATCGCTCGTGAAATCACTGTAAAAACAGCTCGGAATTTCCACTTCAGAACTAAAAATTAACTAAAATGGATGATCTTAGAGTCCAGGCAAAGAAACGAAGAGAAATATAGTCCAATTAAATTACATATTGAGTTCTATTTTTAACTTTGTACTACGCATAGCTTACATTGCCACTTTTCGAAATCCTGTAGCATAGTGGCACATCGGGCGTTCATACCTTAACTTTTGGTGGCCCTGGTCAGTTTAAACTCGCCACTGGCGACCGTGCGACCGCCAATATTTAGCCCTGTTCTGGTTCCTTCTAAGGAAAGTCTTTTGCTCCCTTATGTGCGAGAGATCAAACAATCGTAGGACCAAACAAAGAAACCCGATGTATTATTTGGCGACCTAAAACCATAGAGTTTTTGCCAGGAATAGAATTTGCGTCGCTAGAAAAAAAATGCATCACGGTTCCCAGCGTGACTGCGCACTTTTACTTGATTTCTTTAGAAATTAAATCGCGAAGTTTGGTTATAGCATTAGTTTTGTTTTCTGTTTTTAGACATCAGAAGATGAACCTTGGTTTCAAGGCAGCCGTCTTATGTCAATTCTCCAGTTAGTTTTCAAACCTCCCTTGGGAGCTGGTACCGATAAGGACCTGGTACAAGAAACAGATAGGTAGTTATTACAAATGAATCTAGCTTCTATGTACTTTTAAAAAAGTGATAATTTAAGAGACTTCATCGACGCAAATTCTCTTGAGGCCCTTTAAATTAGCTTCACACGGTTTCAGTTGTGGATCACATGGATTTTATACGAGTAAAGCACAGACAATTTAATCAAAGCAGTTGTCAGGACAGTAGAGGTCAGACTTAATCAGATGGCGTTTCCCACAAAATCTTGCTTCCTGAAATTAGTTAACTTCGTCCGCGAAATTCACCGGGAGGGTTTTGAAGATTTGATGACTTCAATGCGGAACGTTCTAGTTTGTGTGCTGAACCCACCTGCGGAATTTTGCTCCATCCATTTCTGTGTTATTTAACTTATCTATGGAACATGATTTTTGTTTTTCGCACGTTCAGTTGTGTTTTGATGGGCATCTTACTCCTCTCTTTGTAGAGTCATGGCAGCCCTGAACTGCTTAAGATTTGTTCTTCTTAGAGATGGGGGCGACAAGGTGATGTAACTAACATGGAGCATCAGTTAAGAAACTCACGGTAGAACCTCTGGTAACTGGCACTTCCCGATCGCTGACATAAATTTGTGGTCCTAGCCATGCAAAAAAATAGGTGTCAAGGTTCCCTCACTGTAAGGAGGGGAAGGGGGGCACTGTTCTCTGCCAGTTCAGGATAATGATTGTAACCTAGCTTCGGTTTTTATACGAGACAAGTAAGGAGGCGTACATTGTGCGCGTACATTGTGCAGTTACACGCAACCAACCATGTTATTGGATGATCAAATAGATAGAAAGACCCCATCAGAAAATTATCAAAAGTCACCAGCAGGTCACGTGCCGGAATGTGTCCGATCTTTGCCAATTAAAAAAAGGATAAGTGCTGAGTGCTGGGTTCGTAAATCACCTGGATCAAAATTATACCATCGTTGTTTCGCTAAAGTTTCAGACTGACATCTAAACGGCTTAGCAGAGTGCGTCACCTTTGTCACCTAAAGTCTAAAAATCTCGTTATGCAATTCGAATTTCAGCCGGCATTGTCATCTTCACATTTCATTTACTTACAAAATATGAAATTCCTGTTTGTGATGTTTGTCGGGCCCGTGCCTTCAAATCTCTGACCAGTTTACTTTTTCATGAAACGTAGACTACAGTATGGAGAAACTTCACAACAATCGAAAAGGATTTCACGGAGCCCTTAAGACAGGCATCGAAAGTGACCAGATTACAATACCAGGCAGAACTTACAAACAAACGGGATGAAATGGCAGGAAATAAAAGTAAGGTTACTTTTATGGTGCTTTTTTTATAGATATTTTGTCCAATACCTTGTATTGATAGTCTCGTGGACCAAATGGCATTTGATTGCTCAAATAACGGTTATAAACAACTTTTTTTTTCAATTCTGAAGGTAAAAATATGGAACAGAGCACTGAGTTCAGCGTTAAAAGTCCTGATGGAAAAGTACTGGAACTAATGTCGCTCGCAGACCAGTGTGAGGTAAGTCTATCATGGAAGTTCTCCTTCCAACTAGCACTCATTTCTTTTTTGAAAAACTGTGAGAATTAAAAGTTGTCTCCATATTTATTTATTCCTATAGCTTGGCTTACGTTTGCGCTTGTAGCGGAAGGTGGTCGTTATTTCTTGCGCTTTGTTCTTGCTCACCCTTTCCAATGGCGGTAGTTTAAAGTTATGCAACGAGACCATGACAGTATCTTTCAGAGAATTTATTAAAGTGATGATACTTGTCTGTTTTTGTCGGAAGGCTCTTCAATCTGGCTTGTACTCTCTGGATATGATGGACAGTGTACTTGCTCGAATAACAGAGATTGCTACTAGCAGAAGCAAAGGGGGAAAGTGAGTTGATTTTGAGCACTCGGCTGTTGGCCTGCACTCTTTGGTTCTAACCTGGAATTTAGTTTTGATGGAAGGTTCAGACAACAAAGTTAGTAAGTTGGGTACTTTGGTAACCAGAGTAAGACGAGCAACAGTTGCACTTGGGGCCACCTACACTGTCCACAATGAAGTTATTAAATTGTTATCTTGCATGATTACAACATACTTGTCACGCTTTAGAGTCTCTGGCCTGAATATGGATTTTAAAAGGATGTTAAAGCACTCTGAAACCAAAGAAATATGAAACGTTCAGAAACACTTGAATGACAGTAAACAACCAGAGTTGTAGAGTGCTCTGAAGCACTCGCGTGACAGTGAGCAACCAAAGAATTGTGAGGCGCTCTGAAACACTTGCGTGACGGCAAACAACCAAAGAGTTGTGGAATAATTTGAAGCACACGCGTGACAGTAAAAAACCAAAGAGTTAGGAAGCGAACTGAAACACTTGCGTGACAGCATAAGTCAAAGGGTTGTGAAGCGCTCATCGAACACTTGCGTGAAAGCAAACAATCATAGAGGTGTGAAGCGCTCTTACACTTGACAACCTCTTACCACTTTGAGCGTGGTCCATATTTTTGTGGTGAACAAGAAGGGGATATGAACACGAATGACGAATTATTAAAAATTTGAATTAAAGTAAAGGCCCTTTGAATGTTCATGTAAAAGCGAAACGTTAATAAAAATAACACGATCCCGACCTCGACACTCGATTGATAAACAACTTTTGTCATTTGACTCTGATAATGATTTCCGCTCAGGTTCATTACAACCGACAACAGTCCTAGTCAGGACCACCCTCACCCAGACGATCAGACGCAAGGATCAACGTCCCCCCCCCCCCTTCCCCGGCCTGGTTTAAACCATTAACTGTACTTGTCACTCTTTACAGACGTAAATCAACCTGCTTCCGCATCTGTGTTTTATGTAATATATTCTGTGTGAAGCAGAGTGGCACAATGATACAGACATTGACTATCGTTATTTAGTTGTTTCTTTGATACGGGAACCTTAGTCCCTTTGCCAGACTAAGTAGACTTCTCCAGTACTTTTTGTGATATTTCAATGGCAAATTAGGTGGCAGTCGGTTCCTAATCCACCAAGTTTTTATATATGGGTTTTTTTCAGGTTACTGATGTCACAAAGTTGATTTCACAATTTACAATTACAAAACGTCTCTTTTTTTTTGAACTTCACAAAAGAAAAGAGAAACCTAATGAATAAATGAAACATCATGGAAAACTCAGTGGCCTATAAACAGCTATTATACTAAAGTAAAGATCTGGTTAAATACGTAGTAGCTATGTTTGTCCTGATCGTGTCAAGAGAGTTCACATTACTGGTAATTTTCAAGAAGCATACAACAGGTGTTAAGATTTTCGTGTGAACTACTACTGTGTGATATGGGAACAGATGAAGACAAACCAATGGCCAAAATAAGTGTAAAATTTATCAGTAATCAGAATAGTTTACGGGTTATTTTCGCGAAGCAAACCTGAACATGTGTTAACAAGTTTGTGTTAAGTAGGTACTAATTTGGATGAGGGCACAGATGACGTCTCGTCAACGGCGAAAACGTTTACATTTATGTAAGAGTTATTAGAAACTTTATCCACAAAATATTGATGATATTCATAACATGAGTAAAACTACACCACAACAAAATAAAAGTACATGTTTACTCTTACATAAAGTCCGCAAAATTTCATTGACACTTACATCCATCAGTGCTTGCGTTCAATTTTTGTTCCCAAAACAGAATTATTAATTTGGTACTGAATTGTTTCTCTCTCTGGCTGAAAGATAACACATAAACAAAACTGTTAAAAAACATCGTCATCAAGAAACGAAGAAAGGAGTTTTGTCAAAGTTCCTTTATTTTCCGGAAATAATCAAGGTAATGATCTGTGAAGTGGATCGGTTTCGTGTTTATTTCATTTTATTGTGGGTCGCCCATACCAAACAATTTTTGCCCAAGCGTTTACCATTAGTTACAAGACAAAAGTAAGCAAACATGTCTGACGAAAACCTGAATGAGAGAACGCGTTTTCTTCTGAAATCTCACACAGCCAAAGAGCTGGAAAGGCATCTTCAGCAGTTAAGACAATTTAGATTACTTCAACGAAAAGAGAAAACTGAGGAATTAATTGGAAAAGTTTTGTCTCCAAGTGACCCTGAATTACCTCTCGTTCAGTCGTCTTCAGATTATGTCGACCATGTCGTCACTTGTTTGCCTGCCAAGGGTTCAAACATTCAGTTTAATGAGTCGAGGCTTACTAGTTTCGCAGAGAGCAACTGCTACAGTTTGTGTATTCGTGGTAAAAACTTTGAAGGAATGAAGCCAAAGCAGCAGTTTTTGTCTGCACCAAAATCGAATTTTGTAGCAAGGAGGCAGAGAAGCAGATACTCGGAGAGCCTAGATGATCGTCCGTTGGTGGTGTGTCCTGCTCCCAGTTTCAGGTCCTGGTCAAGAGGCCAAAAAGAGAAAAAGAGTCGACAACAACAGCGAGAATTCAAAATGCAAGAGGTAAATGATGAGCGATTTTATTCAAAGCATCAGCAGCCAAGAGCGGATTGCTTAAACCTGAAGGAAATTCTACACCAGGTACAAGAAATTAACAATTTTAATGAAGATCATACCGAAGGGAAACTCGTTGCTTTGATGCCAAGTCATAACATCTTGATGGCAGGGGTAACAAGAGCGAAAGAATTAACTGTTCAAGAAAGTCTATCAAACAAACAAGAAAAGAAAGCTTGGACAGTGCCGAAGTTAGCTACACCTGTTAGAAAAGAGCAGCGCTTGAAAAAGCTTTTACGAGGACAGCTGATGTCATGTTACAACTTGGGACCCGTACTTAAGCCTTCTGGGATTGTGAGAGAGGCAATGAGTCGTAGAAATCAACAGCACAAAGAAAAGCTTAAACTTGATTTGCCGCCGATGAAGCAAGAAGTTTTCCCATATTCTGTCCCCCATTTACGATTGCCACTACTACCTTCGTCAAGGAACGAACTGGTACAAATATCGAACGTTTTGGCAAAATGTGAAATAATTCCATGGCAGCTCCAAAGCATTAAGATTAAGTATACAAAAAGGCGTGAGTCTAACACGACTGTTGACGCACACGAATCAAGGATCGGAGAAGTCGAAGAAGTTAATGATTCCACACAAAATTGCGACAAACTAATGCTCAAGATTTTTGTCCCGTCAAGCGGCTGGGAGAAATGAACTTCTTTTTTCAAAATTAGGATTGACACTAGTCTTGAGTTAATTGCTTACAAAACCTATAAACCTTATTGTGATCTTCGCGTATCAAGCTCTGGTTTTGTCTGAACGACCTTGTATATTTACCGATAATGTTCTCTATGATCCAGTTTCACCTAGGACGTGGTAATGAAAAATAAAAACTTCTCTTTCTGTCATCATTTAAGTTTACATTCGTCCACAAGGGAATTTTGCATTCGTTATTGACCAATCAGGAATGGGATATCTTTTAAAGCAGGTGATAAGAAAAAAAACTCATCCCATCATGGGTCGTTTTGAAATGCATGGTTACAATTGAGTCTTGATATTAGCAGGCAAGTCAAAAATTTAAAGAAAGCGACAAAACTTTTGAGTCTGTAAAACATCTTTCGACAGAAACTTCTGTCATCTTCAGTTAATTACTGTACAAAGCGTTGGCAGTTGAATTATATAGTAAGTAGAACAATGCTGATTAAGATGAATAGTGACAACAAGAAAAGAGATAAAGCATGAAAGTGTGAGAATTAAAAAGATATATTTAGATTTACATGGTATAATCGCTGATTCAAGGATGATTGTTCTCTTTGAATATTAATAGCCTTTTTTATCTTAAGCTGAAAGCTGGAGGAGGCGTGACCTAAAACATGGAAGTTATTTGTAGAACACAAAGTGCGACAATGTGGAAAATCTTTCAGATGCCTGAAAATGTGAGAAGCCCTGTCACTGACTAAGTACCCTCTAACACGTGTGGAAAAATGCCGGCAGGTTTCATCGACGTAACAGGCATTACAGCCAGCACATACAAACTTAGAAACCACACGTGAACGGAGCCCGTCAGGGACAAGGTCTTTCACACCAAACAAGTTACCGATTTTGAAGGAAGAGAGAACCAGTATGATATCCAAGTCACTGCAGTAGCGCTTAATAAAAGGGCGGATCTTTTTTGAGTGATAGCAGAGAAGTGGCCTATGTAGGGTAGCTTAAAGTAGAACGTAGGTGAAGCGGTAGGAAGGGAATCCCAGGGATAATGATTGTTTTGGGTCCCAGTGATGTAACGGTTTATAATCTTCTCGATTAAATGAGCAGGGAAAATATTCTTTTTTAGAATATCAGTAAGATTATTAATGTCCTCGTGAAACCCTAACCAGGTGTTATTGATCTTGAAGGCCCTATCAACGAGTGTTTTAATGAGATCCACTTAGTGAGAGTACGAGGTGAAGCTGAAATAATTAGTTAGTAACCCAGTGAAAGTTTTCTTGCGGTAAACCCTAGTTAGAGAGGAATTGGGGTCATGGTTGTCAATCAGGATATCTAAAAAGGGTAATTTGTGATTAACCTGCTTCTCCATAGTGAACTTGATGTTAGGGTGCCTAGAGTTTATATAGTCGAAAAATATAGTGGTGTCTCGATCTGAGTTAAATAAGCAAAAAGTATCATCAACGTATCGGCGATAAAATAAAATTGTAGAGCCATGAAAATTTTCCAACCAAAGTTTTTCATGATGTCCCATAAAAATTATTGTTAAGTCTGTAACATTATGAGACTCAGAAAGGCAGGTTCAATTCCTGGAGACTGCTTGCCTATAGTAAAAAGACCCTTGTAACCAGGACAGGCCAAATTCCACTCAAATGACTGGTGCGCTGTCTTCACCATAAGAGACCATCTTCACTTCAGGGAAGATCTGAGTGCGATTTGATTTAAAACTCTCCTAAACGCTTGAAATACTCTGTTTTCCATTGCTCATGTATGAATAAAGGTCTCTTTAGGACAAGTCTATTCAGCTAGTTACGAGCCACACAATCAAGTTATCGTCTTCAAATTAGTGTTAAGCTTATCAGACATCCAATGGCATGGTGTCCATACGCCAACACGAAGTTTAAAAGTTCCAGGTTCATATGTAGGGTTCCCACCAGTTTCTGTTGCCCGTTTTCGCCACAAAATCGTCACATTTGAGTTTTATCGGATATTTACCATAAATTAAACGGATTTGAAATTGTAGCTTTTTGTCATTACAGTAGTTTTAATTTGTTATTTTAAGGGTTACGATGGAGCTGTGCCTTCAAAATGTCGCTTGCAACGGTGAGGTAAACTTCTCTCGGAGAGGTGTCAGTTTCATTGATTAACTTGAGCTTGTATATCTCCCAAACGAGGTAAGTCACTTTTGTTGCAGATTTAAGGCAATAAATTGTCGGAGAAATTTTCAGGAAGTCTGCTACGCACTTTCCATGCAAGCAATCTCCCACCTTATTAGTCTTCCCTATTGCTATTCCTCTTCTGCCCCTTGTTACCATAGATACGTATTGTGTGATGAGTTAAAAATAAACGCTAGCGGGAATTTTCCCGGAAGTCACTGAATCGAGGCAACTTCTCAGAACAGCCATGAACGATTGCTAAAGCTTTCGCAAACCCTGAAATTCTCAGCATACTCAAATATGGCTTCTGCGTCAGAGATGTGTTTGAGTGACGCCGCATTAGCAGTCTGTCGGCTTGTAGAAGAAACAAAGGGGCATAAAACACTAAAGTATCTGGGACCTAGCTGTCTTGTACATTTCTCTGTTACAAGTACCCCTAAAATTCTTTCTTCCCCTTCCTCGGGGAGAACTTCGATTTCAGAGCGTGCGTCAAGCTATTTCTTGGTTGCAAGTGCCGAAGTCTTGAAAAAGAACCAGATCGAAGCCTGTGAGAACAATTCAGGCCGCTCCGTGAAGATCGTGGCCGAATTTGTTCAGACAAGAGACGGAAGAAAGCTCGAACGCAAGACCCTGAGTCCTATTAAAGTGGGCGGTGAGTTGTGCCGAGCACTCGACGACATCGTTGAATCAGATGGGATGATTTTTATAGCCCTTACCGGGTTAAGACGAAGTATCTTCAGTAAGAGCAACTTGTTGAGTCGTGCTTTAGAAGTTGCCGAAATACAAGGCAGAAATTCATCTGCACGGATGGCATCAAATGACCTACGGTGTGTCCTGTTTACGCTATCGACTTGCGGGAAAAAGGCATTCCAACTGCAAGATAATCCTGAGTTTGGAACCAAGGTCTACGAGCTTCTGCCGTTTGACTCAGACCTAACCTGTGAAAATGAGACGCGAACTTCGAGGTACTTCTTGCAAAATGATGAGAAAAAGCGCTTCCTCAACGAAGATGAATTTCCAAAGAACGACATTCCTTTTGGAGCCATCATTCTCAAAAATGTGATGTTTGCAGGAGTGCTGAACTTTGACAGCAGACAGCCTTCGCCAGTTTTTGTCGAGAGCAGTTTAGAAACAGGTAATAAGTTCATCATGTTTTGCACGAAAATGTAAAGTATTATTTCTACTGTTTTCAGATGGTTAAAAAAAATTAAAAAACTGACCCTAATCAAACTTCCTTTAACCCAGAATGTTTAACCTGCGGAATTTTGACGCGTTCATTCCTCTCCTAAGATGATTTGTGTTTTGCAGCTTCTATCATAGATCTATTCAAAATCTCAACACCATTTCTCAAGGCATTTGTTCATCGCTGACTTTGATGAATGTCTTCCTTGAATTTCCATAGTAGCTTGTGTGTGGTCATTCTGTTTTGTGAATCTTTGATTCTTTCAAAATTCTTTGATTCTTTGAAATAGCTGTTATATATATATATACTGGAATGTTTCAGCTCCTTTAGCACCATGTATTTCTAATATCTGAATGTGCGGGTCAAGCATACCTCCCAGTTGACAATATAACATAAATTATACTGTCTTGCAGTGAACAATTTTTTTTTATGTCTAATCAAATCAAAAATAGATACCATACACTCAGACCACTTGTTCATTTGTTAATACCCTGACAGAGAATAATTCAACTCAGAGTGGCAAGTTTGCAGGAGGTGTCTATTAAAGCAGCAGTTACCTGCAGTCTACCACTGCCTCTAAGCCTATCGCCATCTGTTTAGCATGCCCCTAGATCTCCCCTTGGGGAAAAAAAGCAGCCTATTGCATATGCTTTATTGATGGGAAGATTTCACCTTTTTCAAAATAAAGAATGACTTGCTTATTTTGAGAGCTGAAAAAGAAAGCCAGTTGTGTTAGTGGAACAATGAACCCATGTGTCATTTATGATTTCTTTGTTTTCACTGTCTTAATTGTGCTGCCTTTTGCAACTCCATCACTAATAACATGGTCAAAAAATTACAATCTCTGTAAGTCCACCATACGCAATGTTTCTCTTGTATAGGATCTAAGCAGACCATTCAGAGCAGGCAAGATAGACCCATCTTGCTTGCTTGGGTTGCTAATCAGATTTACAGCATTTGCTTCATATTACCCACAGGGGCTGCCAGTGATATAACAAATTATCTTCAGGTACTTATGGCATAAGTTCTTGAAACCCCTGGGTGACATAGAACTTAACATAGACTAGCTAAAATGTCATTTTTACACCAGTTCAATAGACTGTTATATAGTTAAGACTATATAGTCTTAAGATTATCTTGGAAATTTCTAGACTTACTTTCAGAAGTTGTAAGTATTGTAGTGAGACTTTATACAAGAACTGTTATTGTTTTAGGATGCCAAATGTGTTGTTTCATATCAAGTACTAGTGAGAAATTTACCAGTGTTCCTAGCTCTGCCCAAACAGATTGAACTGGGTTAACCTTTTAACTTCTAGAGGTGATTAACATGTAACTTCTCCAATATCCATACATCACCCAGCCAATAGCTAATAAGAATACCTGAAGTTATCAGGTAGAAGTTGTTTTCTTGATCTAACACCAAATTCATGTCACTAATTTACAAGGAAATGTGTAGCAGCTAGATCTAGAGGGGAGAATTAACAATCAGATTGTGGGAGTTAAAGGCTTCATTACTTCAACAGCAATTCAGAGATGTGATGAGAGAGAAGCTGAAAGGCTGGTTGGTGCAGTAGGTGGGATTTATCCATTGTTAGATCCAAAGAGAAAAGAAAGATCAGAGGTAAATGATAAGACTGGCATTTATGGTTTCCCTTGGCCTGCAGTCACACCCTCAGCCCCAGATAAGTTTGTGGCAGGTTTTCAGTCAACAAATGATAACAGTGGTAAAAAGGATTTGAGAATAATACCATGTGCAACCAACCAGGCTGAGTCTGGAAAGAAAAAAGAGAGGTCAGGAGAAAATAGTGAAGGTAATACCGAATGTAAGGCAAACCTTTATCTCAACTTATTTTGGGTGCAAATATATGCATTAAATTGAAAACTGCCTATATCACTATTGGATGCCTTCAGATTTTAAATTTGTCAGGGGAAAGGAAGGGAATGAAGCGGCCGACACAAGCGAAGCAAATTTCAACGACAACTATGAGTTTCACTGGTGAAGACGCATATGAAGCAAAGATATATTTTACGGAAAAGACTTGAATCGTTTTATTAGCGTAGTCGAGGTATCCAAGTACTTATTGTAAACTGAAATATGAAATTATAAGGAAGAAGCTAAGCTAAATTCTAAGATACAGACCAACATTCCAATCATTCCGATATAAAAGAAAGATCTCAAAAGACTAGCTAAAACTCTAAAACAAACTCACAAAAGACTATCTTCAAGGATAAAGGAGAACCGCTTGCAAACAAATTCTAACAAAACTGATAACCGAGTGGGAAAATGAGAAGCTTACTAACAAAGCATGAACAATGTAAGCCACATGTTACATGGTTGCAAAGAAACCGATATAAAAAAACGGGGCGAAACTACTGAAAGACTAGATGTTTAAACAGGTACAAAGAGAAGGAACATAAGCACTTACATAACAGTCCTGCTTGTAAAGGCTTGACCAAACGAACTTTGAGGTAAGGTGGGCAAAAGGGCGCTTTTTGATAAACACATATAAACACATCTTATCGTTAGCCCAACACAAGATAACTAACTAAAATGTGGTTCTGGGTGGAACTTAAAGATTACATCCCTAATGGACAAACAGTAATGTCACTATTGCGGTTTAACACGAAACAAACCTATAACAAATCAATGTCCAGTAGCAAAGGCGTGGCAACCGTTACAGGGAATTTCAAAAACATAATGTCTGTGGAAAGCATCTTTTACTGCAAATTTAGATGCCTACATTTTACATCTCAATATGGTAACCAAAATGGTTGCAGTAACTTGTGCTGTATAATTTAAAAAATCTCCCAGATAAAAGAAGATGTCAATATTTAATATGTCACTAAACACATGGAAACCATGTAAATTTTATCCCTATTAGAAATTAGTTAATTTTTTTTTAATTTCACAATGATCAACTCAATTGCTTTCATTTCTGCAATGGTCAGTTTTTGCAAAAAAAGGCTGGGAAAAATTAGTTAGTGTGGGGGCCTCTTAAACAATATACATTTAATGTATGGTCCTGGGGGAAACAGTTTGTTTTGTTTTCCTGAGAGTCCTGATGAGAGTCCTAGGTTTTCAGGACGAAGTTGAGGGAAATATCAGGACTCAAGGGAAACCAAAACTAACTAGTTTTCTGAGGGAACATACATTAGGTACTTTGTTATATATGTAGACCTTCCCTTAAACAATCATATGGCAAAAACAAACAAACATGCTGTTGTATTTGGCGCACAGGCAACAACTGCACAATTATTGTATCCCACCCAGGATACATTTGAATTTGATCAGGGGCATTTGTCCAAGAATCAACCAATCACAGTGCTTGTTTTATTGATTCAAAGTCTAGGTATATAACAAAGTCAAATATTTCCAAATTTCAGATTTTCTACAGGGTTGACATCTCTGAAAATGCTTGTTGCCAGCAAAGGGTGATGTCTCTCATTAAGTGAAAGGAACAGGGGAGCCTATTAGGAAATTTTGAATTGATCCCTGAAACAAGATCAGTGTAGGCATGACTACAGCATTAAAACTGAACCTAGAGATTGTCACTTCCAAAATAGTATGCATTAATCAGTTGTGGTTTGTCATTGTGGTAAATAACACTTTTAAAGGAGAAATATGACTGTTTGTCTCACAATATGGTCACTTAGGATGTAGATCATGACATTTCGACTCCACACTACTAGTCATCTTCAGGGGATGAGGTTGATTGAATAAGTACGCATCACCTAATTATGCTGTTGTGCTCAGCTGTGACTATTGGATGGAATTCCATGGCTTTGATTGGGCCAGGTTCCCTCTGGTTTGCATCTGTAAACACCAAAAAAAAGTCTGGCTTATATATGGATGTGAACTTCTAAAACAGTGTGACCCTCGTCTCAATCTGAAAAATTTTAAATTAGTTACTGTTATAAATTAGACAATGTCTTTTAGAACTGAATGCAGAAGACCTTAATCCCTGAATTGCAGCCTAGATCAAGAACACAATTTTCGCCAGAACCAGATTTCTTGATCTTGACTTAAATGCTCCTCTTAACTTCACATCATCAGAATACTTTTAAATTCTTATTTTGGACTCTTTTTAATTTAATTTAATTGTAAGGTCTAGATATATATTATCCCTAAAGTGAAATTGATACTGAGCAATGTGGCTTCTCATTGTCAATTTGACTATTTTTCAGATGAAAAGGCCGCCCCAATTGAAAACTCCTGCAGATCTTTGGACAAAAGTTTAGATTCCAACAGAGTTGTATATGTGCCTGTAAATTTGCGATCTGCTGATAATGAAAATCAGCCTGCAGGGGAATGTTCAGCACCTGAACTAAGCCCTGAAACAGGAACAGGAGGCTCAGAGGAAGAAGTCCAAGGAGGACCTGCAGATGAGCAAGTTCAGGGGTCAGAGGAAGAAGGAGGGGAGCGGGTAACAATACAGAAAAAAGAGGAAAAATCTGTATCTCAGGGATACCGAGCACCCTTAACTGCCATGGTACCTCAGGTAACAACAGGAATCCAGAGGAACCCAGCAGAGATTCCACTGGCTCCAGTAGTGTCAGGAGGTCCAGAATACTCATTACCCCCATTACCTCAGAGACGCCTTGAGACCCAAGGAGCATCCACTGACCTAAACAGCCATGGAAGTGGTTTTCTTTTCCAAAATGGAAGGTACAATGAGTTGCCAGGAGGAGCCCAAGGTGAAGTAAGGGAACAAAGCTTATCAGATTCTTGTCACCCAAAGAAAGAAGAGCATCCTGAAGTGAAGCACTCCATCTCTATGTCAGCTGGGACTAAAAAGACATATAAGCTAGGTAATGATAATGTGTTTATCATCCAGATGCACAAATATGTTTACATACAGGTATTAAGATATAGAGGGACCAAATAATAAGTTAATCACAACTGAATGAGTAATGACTGAATGAATTGAATGAGTATGCATTACCTAATTATGCTGTTGTGCTCAGCTGTGACTATTGGATGGAATTCCATGGCTTTGATTGGACCAGGTTCCCTCTGGTTTGCATCTGTAAACACCAAAAAAAAGTCTGGCTTATGGATGTGAACTGCTAAAACAGTGTGACCCTCATCTCAATCTAAAAAATTTTAAATTAGTAACTGTTCTAAATTAGACAATGTCTTTTAGAACTGAATGCAGGAGACCTTAATCCCTGAATTGCAGCCTAGATCAAGAACACAATTTTCAGAACCAGATTTCTTGATCTTGACTTAATGCTCCTCTTAACTTCACATCATCAGAATCCTTTTAAATTCTTATTTTGGACTCTTTTTAATTTAATTTAATTGTAAGGTCTAGATATATATTATCCCTAAAGTGAAATTGATACTGAGCAATGTGGCTTCTCATTGGCAATTTGACTATTTTTCAGATGAAAAGGCCGCCCCAATTGAAAACTCCTGCAGATCTTTGGACAAAAGTTTAGATGCCAACAGAGTTGTATATGTGCCCGTAAATTTGCGATCTGCTGATAATGAAAATCAGCCTGCAGGAGAATGTTCAGCACCTGAACTACGCCCTGAAACAGGGACAGGAGGCTCAGAGGAAGAAGTCCAAGGAGGACCTGCAGATGAGCAAGTTCAGGGGTCAGAGGAAGAAGGAGGGGAGCGGGTAACAATACAGAAGAAAGAGGAAAAATCTGCATCTCAGAGATGCCGAGCACCTTTAACTGCCATGGTACCTCAGGTAACAACAGGAATCCAGAGGAACCCAGCAGAGATTCCACTGGCTCCAGCAGTGCCAGGAGGTCCGGAATACGCATTACCCCCTTTACCTCAGAGACACCTTGAGACCCAAGGAGCATCCACTGACCTAAACAGCCATGAAAGTGGTTTTCTTTTCCAAAATGGAAGGTACAATGAGTTGCCTGAAGGAGCCCAAGGTGAAGGAAGGGAACAGAGCTTATCAGGTTCTCATCACCCAAAGAAAGAAGAGCATCCTGAAGTGAAGCGCTCCATGTCTATGTCAACTGGGACTAAAAAGACATATAAGTTAGGTAATGATATCTTGTTTATCATCCAGATGCACAAATATGTTTACATGCGGGTATTGAGATATAGAGGGACCAAATAATAAGTTAATCACAACTGTTACAATTTCTTCAAATACGATTGGTGCATTAGCTGCTTTATTTTTCACTAATCATTCTGTATAGTTGTCATCAGGCAGTGCAACTAAACAGTTGGCTGTAATTGGACAGCTGTTATTGGACAGTTGAAGCAGCCAATCATATTAAGTCCACTCAACTAAATCCACCAATCACAGAACTGATGATAATAACCATAACAACAACCACTTACCCTGAAAAAAAAAAAAAAAACTTTTCCAAAATTGAGGAATTTTTTTTACTTTAGACATTGTTTGTCCAAAATTTTTTTTCTCAAAGTTGTAATGGTTATAATAAATTATAAATGGTAACTATCATATTTTTGACAGTGAGAGTCTATATTTATATTTTAATTTTATTTTTTTATAAATTTACAAATAGCTGACCTGCTTAAAGAGACCTTACTGAGTTGTCTGGAGCTTTTGGAGGCTCTATGTAGAAGTTTGGACAAGGAATATAAATATGGCCTTTGCAAATTCTGGAAACACCTTGCTGAACATTTCCGCATCTCAGAACAAGAGTACCAGAGGTTTGAATCTCAACCAGTCTTCAGTCCTACCGAGCTGATGTTTGAATATTTGCAAACTGCTGACCCAGATGTCACAATTGGTTGTCTCAAAGATGGGTTAAGGAAAATTGAGAGGCATGATGTTATCAACTTGCTTGTACAACATGAAAAATGTGGGTTTGTTTGAAGTGGCTAGTTGAATAAAGTATACTATAAATAACAACTTATAACATTTATTTTCTTTAATTTAATACTTTTATTGAGAGAGAAAATTAATATAATTATTGTTTATTATTTATAACTTGATAAACTTAATTTATTTACATACCCATCCTGAGGTGGTGATCCATGACAAATATATTTTTAGTTAAACATCTTGATTATCTCTACAGTAGCTAATTCTTGTAGACCAATATTTATTGGGTTGTACCATTCTTATTACATGTATATCATAGATTTATTTCATTTGACAATCTATCACATCTTTTTTTTCAGGTGATCCATTGGCACTGAATGATGAAACATTGGTTTCCAGCCTGTTCGACACTGATCCTGATATCATTGGTGAACTTGCCTACCTGCTAGATATTCAGAAATCTGGAGTTAAAAAATGGTCAGATTTGGCTCCTAAATTGAACATACCAAGACGAATTTTCAGGATGTTTGAAAATTGCACTGCTGGCAATCCAACAGAGAAGGTGTTTGAAATTGTAAAAGTTCAAAGCCCCAAATTAACCATTGGTGAATTGATCAATCATCTGAAAGCTTTGAAAAGACATGATGTGATCAAAGCAATTAAAAAGAGCATCAAGGGTAAGTTCTGAATGGAGCAAATTTCAAGTTAATATGTCAAATGCAAAACAGCAGTAATGCTTTGCTTTTGCTTTACTTCACTGTGTGACTGGCTCAGAAATCTCCCACCACTCTCTCAGGTAATCAGATTCAAAACCCAAACCAATCACAACTTGTTCTCTTGTGTCCACCCCCTGCTCAGGCAATTTGTTCTGAGTTCTCATTGGCTTCTTTAGATTTTGTTTTTATATACCTTTAACCCTTTAAATCCCAAGATCTCACTAGTAATTCTCCTTACTGTCTGCCATACAATTTGTATGATGTTAGTTTGGAAAATTTGATTTTTCTCTTTACCCTCATCACTTTTCATGTGTCTGCTAAAGGGCTGTACAATAACTGGAAAATGCAAGGATTGGACAGTTTTGAATTTAGTGTGTTGTTTCAATATATATATTATTGTTGTTAACTTCTTCACTTTTGAAATTTTTGTTACTTTAAGTTAGAGTGATGTGGGATTTGTATTTATTTCTATTAATAATTTTAAGGCGATCATGTTGATTATTGTTGTCCTTGTAGTTACAGAAATTTCTGTGATAAAAGAGTTGGTTGCAGATGTTGAAGTCATGGAGGAGGTGTGTGACTTACTCAATCAGATAAATCGCACTACCACAGTCTCGGGATTGAGAAATCTTGGAAACCGATTAAAGATTAAGAAAGAAATTTTGGATGATCTTTTACCCTCTATGGAGGTAAACCAAAGTCCCACAGAGGCGTTGATTCGTCGTCTTGGAGGTTCTAATCCAAGTCTAACCCTTGTAGATTTTATATGGGCACTCCATGAAATTAGCCGACCTGATGTCATTGTGTTATTGGATGAATACCTTCCAGGTATGGAATTTTAGTGATGTGGATATTATCGATATGGTTGAATTAAATAGGAAGCAAATTATAACATGATTATATTATGTTTTGCGCATTGTACTGTGATCATTTTGATGTCTGTTTTTGTTTGCCTGTTTCTAAAAACAAATCAATACTAATGAATTAAAGGCTCTATGCTCTGGAACATTGGAAGATCAGCATATGAGTTTACTGCAATGAAGGAATCTGCCAAGGACCTTCACCCTTTGACCTTTAAGAGTGACTAGAATCTAATTTCTCCTTACAATATCATCCCCAGAAATCACACTTTAAGGTCACAAAAATAAAGGAAATGATCAACATCTAAAGAAGTTCTTGATTGTGAAACAAATTCTCCTTGAAAGCCCCTCAGGAACTATTTTGAGAACAGTATGAAGAATATGTATACTGATGTTAGGGCTTAAAGGGCTAATAATCTGATAAAAATGACATTATCCAGGATAGAATGTCTGCAATTCCCTAAGGTTAGTTCATACCAACCAAGCTATGTCAAGCCGAGCTGAAAACCTGCAACTCAGGTGAAAAACATGAAACTAATTAAATTAACTCAAGCCAGTCAAGAGCAAAATTGGCAGCTGTGCCTAAACTCATGTACATAGTATCTGCAGGTTTGCAACACCAGATCCTTCATTCAAGGCCAAAAGCCACTTAAAACAGGCCCAAACCTGAGTAGTTTCAGTTATATCATTTGCAGGTTCTTGACAGCTTAATTATCTTGTGTATAAAGTAAGGACAAGCAATGGAGCTTGACGGAGTATTGGTTAAGTTTGTAGGAGAAGGCACTTAAAAGAATGCTTAATACCACACATAATAGGCCAAAGATTGTCAATATGCAAACAGACCCACCACTGCCACCAGCTAGTTGTGAGGTAGTCAGTTTTATAGGCCATCATTCTAGGCTTGGCATGACAGGCTTCCAATCTTATTTTCTATAATTAGTTTTGAAAAGATCAACAGAATCAAGTCCTCACAGAAGCATTTACAATTAAAAAGAAGATTTTAGAATCACATTTGTAGGGATGGTTGAATTTTAAAGGTCTCATATGTTTTCCTTTCCTAGCTGGATGTGTTCAAAGGTTTTTGATCTCATCTTGTAACAGTTACTGTGAGATATGCCAGCAAGTGTTGCCAAGACAAAGTGGAGGAAGTTAGAGACAGTTCGAATTGCATAATGATGGATGAAACATTATGGCATTTTTGGCTTCCTCAGAATGGTGACTTGTGATCAACCACCATGGGTATTCTTATGAAGCTAGGCAGGCAGAGGTTGTTAATGAACTAAGTTCCTTGGAGCTATTTCAATCCAGTATCTAGTATCTAGTTTAGACATCTGAGTTGGTTGTAGATTATTTTGTAATTAAATAGGAGTAATACTCTCACTGTGATAAAGTCTTATATTCCAAGAAACAAAACCCAAATAGAGATGTGAAACCTTTTTGATTAGATTTCAGCCATAGAAATGATCTTCTATTATTATTATTTATTCCATGAAAATTAATTTTAATAAATAAGAAGAAATAACTCATATTACATCTGCTATAGTAACAAAATTTTTAAATCATGACTGGGTATAAGCCTGAGGGGTGCTGAAGGGTTGTGGTGGGAACTGAAGTTTTTTTTCTTTTCAAAACCAACAAAATGAATTTTTTATAATTACCATAACCTGCAACAGGTGTCAAAGAATCTGAACAAGATCACAAAAAGGCAAGGAAAAGAAAAAGAAAAATTAACTTTGTGTCTCTCTCTGGCGCCCTATGGTAGAGAGAGATGTATCAATGCTTGGTAGTCATGCTTTTTCGAGTTTGGCAAAGGAATGTAAACTTATTTGTTATAGACAAATGCCATTTAGCACAGCTGGATTAGGTTGTTTAGTGTCAGACCATACTTGGCTACTTTAACTGCACAATCTAAAGTACACTTACAGAAATTCAGGCCACCCAGATAGTCAGCTTAAAACCAATTAGAGGAGAGAACTGATGAAGGAGATTTTAAAAAGACTTTAAAATTCAAATCATTTGCCTTTTAGTACTGTACTTCTGCATTCTTACTGGCTTTGGGAGTTTAAAAACTGAAAGACTGGAACACTACATTCAGTAATTACTGGGTTGACTGATTAAAAAAAAAAGAGTCATTTGTAGCTTGACATCAGCGAAGAATCTGCCAGCTTTAAATTGCCACATATTTAAAAAGCCATTCAAGTGGTTTTGTGGCCATGGTTTCAGTAGGTGCAGTTAAGTATAAAATTGCAGGTAAAATTCTGTCAAAATTAATAAAATGAAGAAATTCCAAAGTACTGTCTCTTACATCATCATGATCTTTGTACTAGGAGGAGGGCTTTCATTTTTCTCTAATTCAGAATCACAATTTTGGTGTTCCTTTCAAGTATTTTTCTGATACAAATGACCATAGATTTCCTTGTTTCATTCCCTTTTGATATAAATTTCCCTTAATCAGTACAATCTATATAATATATTTTTTTATTCCTCAATTCTAAAAAATATCTAGGGCCATTCTATGACAGTGTTTTATTTCAAATGTTGAAATATAAAATTCATATTTGAGACTTTTTCATTCAAATACTTAAAAAGTAGTTCATGACTGGTCTGACACAGACTTGTCACATTAATTACCTGTCAGAGTTGTAACCTTTTGTCCTCTAAGAGTGACTAGGTTCTAATTTCTCCTTACAGTATCAACTATGAGTCAAAATAATATAATAATAATAATAAAAATAATAATTGTAGTTTATTCACAGTATCCTCATCAAATGAACATTATATGGGTCTTCACCTGTACACATTAAATATACCTACATTAACCATATCCTCAGTGTAAATATGTGCATGTAGTAATAAAGATTAAGAAAATAAAAACACAAAATATAATGAGTATAAAATATTAAGGAATTAAATATCCCTTTACATACTAAAGTGTTCTACTGAATGTAAAATTTATAGTCATAAGAATCATAAGCGATTAAGTGTTTCCTTACAGTGTGGCAAAACATAGTAAAGTGACTCACTGTAATGATTTAATTTAGCACCCTCCTTGCATGATCAAAGCACCCCTGTCTTATAAGTGCACCTTCAAATTTGGTTTTTGCTAATAAGCAAAATTTTTTTAAAAAGCATCCCTCTTCTGTCTCAGTGATAGAACTACGAGAGTACACATACATTGAGATCAACTGTGCGTGGTTCATCTTTCTTTCATTTTTTCATTTAATGCATCTGATTACAAAAACAGTGGTCTACATGTTAATCTATTGACTATTATGTCCACACAAAAGCACAGTTCCTTTAAACGAATGATCTTGTCTCAAAATTTTGTGATGATTGCCCAGCTGATAATTCTACTGAGGAAGGATCCAGGGAAGATATTAGTCCATATTCTAGTTTTTTGATCCTTTTCAAAGAAACATAAAAGCTTTGTTTCACACGTTCTATAGTCTCTCAAGAAAGAAATAGGCACCCTCCCTAAAGGTACCAAAGTAAATAAGTGCCCTAGACAAACAATCAAATCATTATGGTATGTTTGTTATAGCCCCTGTTACACTTTGTCTCAGCAATTTTAATGGAGAGAGGTGGTTCCTGGATCATGGAGTTTTGTTGTAACATCCTTGGCCACCCATGTACATCATTCACTCCAAATCTTTTCAGGGAAGCATAGAGCTGACCCATCACTAGTCGGTTCTTCAAATTCCCATCACTCTATTGTGCTAATGCCCATCATTATGGTGATGGAAATATATATAAGTAAACACAAGCTCTAAGGAAAGAAGATCTTCATGTTTTATGAGCTTGACTGACTTTGTCAAAAGTACTTTGCAATGGTAAGGTCCATTTACATTTAAAAGATGTCAATCTTCCTAAGCTGCTCTATAAGAACTCTGTGCTTGACTATTCGAACAATGTGGTGTTGAAAAATACCTCAGTCTACCTCTGCATAACAACTACACCCTAATCCTGTATCCAGTTACTCAGGCCATTGAGGACATGCAGATTAAAAAAAAAACTGATTGAACCTAGTGTTAAGAAGAAGATCAGCACTGTTCAAAGTATTTCCTAACATCTCCCACTAAGTCATTTCTCTTTATGCATTTAAGAGCACTACAAAGCTGATCCAGTGTGAGTTCAGCCCTGTCAACAAACAGCCATTCAAAAAGCTGTTTAGTGGGGCTTGTGGGCTCCTTTGGATCAAAATCATTGTAGATATCACGAGGAATACCAAAAGCTGCTGCCAAGTGTCTCCAGTTGTCAACTGCTGGAATTATCTTGTTCAAACGAACATAAAACGCATCCATATATTCATTATCTAGATCAATCACATCTTTCATGAACTTGTCATGAACCTGATTACAGTCCACTGTGAATTGAAAAAATGAAAAAAGATGAACAAAAAATGACCAAAAAAGAATGACAGAAAAGTGAGACATGAGGGGTCAGTAGTAAATGAATGCTATCCCCTTTAGATCTGTAGCCCAGGAGCTGGATTGGGCGGTCATCTTTAGCCCCTCTAATTATTACAAGGAGAAATGACCCTATAATTTGTACTAGTCAATTCCACCATCATATTTGTGAATTAAGTGCTTGGACACTTAAAGGAGGGACTACTAAATTCTTCGTCACATTAAGAATAACCTGGCGCCAAATTCTTCAGAATTCAATGCCAATTTTATTCAACAATCAACTAATCTAATAAATATTCCAATGCCACAGTGCTCATGCTGACATGTTAATTTTAATTGTCTCCAACTGCAAAAAGACTACAAAACAAACATCAAATATTCATGTGTTAATAAGCTTTAGTGTAAGTATTTAATTTATGGGAAAATTAAGTGCCCTTTTTATTGTAGTATAATATATTTATAAATAAGTTGCACGAAAACAAACTTACTATTAAGGGAAGGTTCTAATGCTTTAAATGCAGCTGAGAGCCCGGTTCTTTGCTGTACTTTTTCTTTAAATTTTATCATAGTAACACTTTGTTCTGCAAGGAGGTACTCCATCAAGCTCTTTGTTGGATTAAATGGGGCACAAAATTCAATCATGTCCAACTTTTTCTTTGAAACTTTTAATTTCTGGCCTAAATGCCTCCAGTGCTTTGTAACACGCCATTGTGTCTGATCATCCAGCTTGGTAATAATTTGCTCAAGCAAATCATTGTTGGAATCACAGTCTTTGAAGTCCTTTAGTGGCTGTGGAGAGCTTTCAGCTTCTGTTTTCACAAAAAGTAATAAGAGAATAGATTGTAGGGCTGTATAATAATAACTTAGTTGATGCAGACAGAATGAATTTGATCAACTTGGTTTAAACTTCACAGTTTGAGCACAATGGCTCAATTTACTGAGTGAAAACCCTTTTCCTTTCATACCTAGTTCAATTGTTGACCCCTTTGTTTTGAATAGCTATATTTCCTGAGGGACAATTTCTAATCACACAAAGCTCCTAAAATGTATGAGTTAATGAAGCCTTAGCATGAACCTTTAATGCCATTCTAGGGAGTTTTTAGAACTAAAAAATGCTCATTAGTAAATAGCACTCTCCCCATGCCAGGAAAAGGATATTTGACTAGGTGGAGTGACTTTTTAAATCAATTTCTCATCATCCTTAGTAGTGAAAAAATTCCTCAAGAAAGCAGCCACAATTGCTTTTCCAGGAAGCAGTCTAATGAAGAGACTTTTATTCTACTAAGCAATTGTTGACTTATCTTTGTACTCAATGAGTTGCATGGGCTTTGTCCATTTGAAAGTTGACCTTTTACACCCTAGCCTACCTTTGGTTTTACATGAAGCTAATTTTTTAGGTTAGCTGGAGTGTTTTCAATTTGTATGAAACTACAAAGTTCCTAAAATTTAAATCCTGTGAAAACAGCAACACATGTTAACCATGCATGTGTATGATGACCACGGTGCAAGTGTTCAAAGTATAGTTTTCCCCCAAAGCAGCAGATTCAAGGTACATGAAGAATTTTTTGTTGAACATAACTCATCTGCATAATTAGGCATGTCCACAGAATAAGCACTTCCCTCAAAAAATTGGGGAAAAAACCTTTTTATCATAGCAGTCTGCAAATAAAGGTGACAATCAAGAGGTGCCTGAGGGACTCTTATAGTTACTGTAAATTTTTTTGGCACAGATAGAAAATATACCATTGAATTAAAAGAGATCACTTATTTGATGCATCCAATTTTTGAATAAGCATCATCCTTAAATAAGCCCTGCCCTCAACTAAGCACTGCCCTTCAGACATAAAAGCAAAAATGCATGTAAAAATGATTGAACATACCACAATGGACATCTGTAATCATCTTCACAATATCATTTCTTCCTATAGCCTTCAAGGCAGCAATCAGTTTTGTCACAGTAACAACTTCCTCATTCTCACGCACTGCCAAGACCTCCAAAAGCATTTGAGTGTGGCTGTAATTTGTGCTCAATTTACACTTGAGACGAACCAACAGTGGTGCCTTAACTTCCTGTGTACAGGCCAGATGTTCCCAATTAGCTATACATCGATTTGCTGGGTTATCAAGGGCACGAACTAGCTTTTCGTAAAGGTTCTTACATTCAGGAAGGACTAGTTTTTCTGAAACTGAAAACATGACAATAACATGACTGTAAATTTAATAATAGAGAAAAAAAATTGAAAAAAGGTACAGCATGCCAAGAAGATGATTTTAACAATAAGCTGCCTCTTCTTGAATAACATGGCTTGAAAAACTAGCTAAATTTTAAAGAGGTGTAAAACTCTCCAAAGCTTTAGTTTAGATAACCATGATGACTGATGATTGCTCACTACTTACCAAGAAAATTTCCATGTGCACTGTCAGCTTTCCCTTGCGGATGTGTACTGCAAGGAGAAGAAGAAGTAGTACCACCACTAGTTATCCTACCAGAAGAAATATCACCAACATCATCATCCACAGTACCACCACCACCAGATATACAAACAGAAGAAGCAGCAGCATCAACAACAGCAGCACCATTAGTTATACTATCAGAAGAAGTATCACCAGTAGCAGCATCACCAGCAGCACCACCAGCATCATCATCCACAGTAGCACCACCAACAGATACACTTCTAGAAGAAGTAGCAGCAGCATTAACAGCAGCACCACCACCAGTTACACTACCAGATGAAGTATCACCAACGTCACCATCCACAGTTACTGTAGCACCACCACCAGATACACTACTTGAAGAAGTAACAACAGCATCAATGGCAGCAGCAGCAGCAGCACCACCACCAGTTATACTACCAGATGAAGTATCACCAGTATCATCATTCACAGTAGCACCACCACCAGATATACTACCAGAAGAAGCAGCAACAGCATCAACAGCAGCAGCACTACCATCAGTTATACTACCAGAGGAAGTATCACCAGCATCATCATCCACAGTAGCACCACCACCAGATACACTACCAGAAGAAGTAGCAGCAACAGCATCAACAGCACCAGCACCAACAGTTAAACCTAAAAAGTGCAGCTAAATGAATGTCTTTTTAACCCCACTACAACAAAACTGACACAATCTATTAGAATTAGCCTTGCTGAGCAGTGGCAGGTATGAACCACATGCTTTAAAGATTACATAAACAACAAGTAATCTACAATGTAAAGATGAGAAACCAATGGAATGCAGCTCAACAACAACAAAATAAGCCACTGGTGGCAAAAACTGGAAACATATTCCAAAACTAAAGGATTGAATACCATCTAGGGTTTCATAGGTGTCACAAAGTAAAAATATACATGTAGGTAATAGATACAAACAGTATCAATGGTATTTCAAGAAATCAATTGATAATGTCCGATGCAGACCTAACAAGAGCATTTTCATGTTACAATTTAGAACCTTATAATGCATGATGAGGCCTTCTAGTGTATAACATCTATCATGCACTGTACAAGTTCTACAAAGGTCTTTCTACCTTTGTGCTATATAATCAAAGACTTCTGTCTAAATAGTACACTGAAGTCAAGCATGTGAATTTGAGAGACAATTTTATTTCCACAAATTGAAACAGGAGGGCATGGTTAAGGCCTATCAGAAATCATAGTTTACTTAAACCTAAACACCACATTAAATAGTAAAAGCTGAAGGAGGGGGGGGGTTTGATTAAAACTAGACCTTTATGGGTATATACAATTATTGTGGGGTTATGGTTCACAATTTTACCTTGAATAAGATGCAATCGCAAGTTTTTCTTTTCAGAACTTTCCAAAAAGTATCAGATAAATTAAGAAGAGAACACTGCATTTACTGATGTACACTCTTTTGCATTTGTAAAATATACACACTCTGACTCAGCTAAAAATGAATATTTAATCATCCCTGGAATAAAAATTCAGCTGCTCTCACTTTGTCAGGTTTCCAGGTCTTCCTTGGGGTTAATCCCCAGGTAGTTCTTGAAGTTTCATGGAAGATCATGTCTAAAAACTAACTAACTTCCAGAATGGAGTAACATCAACAAAATCCATGGAAACAATCAGGATTATTGTTTGTTAAATCAAAGGTTTGCAATCACGGAGAACAATCAAAACTAGTGTAGTTCTGCATAAATAATAGAGAACTTCATCGATGATTGAATCTTAGGACACTTTAAGCTTAAATAAATTCATCTATTGGTTTGCCTATACACAATTTCTTCAACATTTTCCAAGCAAAAGCCATGAAAAGTTCATTCAAGTGCCTAGGTGTTGGCGATAGAAATCCAACATTAAGAGCTTTTGAAAAGCAGAAAAATTAACTGCGGTGTATCAAGGAGCAGATTTAAGCCATTTGCAAGGGGATAGTGAGAAATCCTCAACTCTAACACATCTCTGGCCAAGTTGCGAGGAAGTGTCAGTAACTGTAGCCAGTGAGCATGAAGGAAACTCTAAGTATCATGTGTGCATGTTATAATAAGGGCATTGACCAATGTCCCACTTTCAGTCTCTTGATGCTTTTTCCACCTGACACTGACAAATTGTTATATCTCAGTGGATTGTTTGGTTATTATACCTTGATCTATATCTCTTGTATTATCTTTAAGTATCTCTTTCTCAATCTCTAAATCCAAAAGTTACTGCAGTGTTAGAAAACTTATTACATGCATGGGTATTATTAACTTAAACACCTTGGAAACATTAAATTTGAATATATTTACCTCCTTCTCCTGAGAAAGTTGCATTCGTTGATTGGGGACCACCCTGGCAAGTATCTACAAAGTAACATACAAATTATAGTAACTTTTTAGTATTTATCCTGTAACAAACTTAATGTAACAGATTGAATCATTTCCTAAACTCAAATAACGTGATGTTCCATTAAAAGAAAAACAACAACAACAAAGGCTTAGATGGGGATTATCTATTACGAAATCTTTGCATATCTTAACGTTAAGGATAAGGAATCGATCTGCACATTAGAAGTGAGACAACGTGAACATCCAAGAGTAGGTACATCGAAGGTAAGGCAGAGGATGTGAGGAACGTATCGAAGATCTTACATTGAACATACCTGTGGGAATGAGAGGGAACAAGACAGGACATATAGATCCGTCGTCTGCAAAATCAAGGCATCCAGCTGCAAGAAATTTTTCGTCTAGGTTTTCTTGACGCATCAAGATCACACCACCATCTGGCATTCGGTTTTTGTTGAGAGTGAGTTCTTCGTGTGTCGTTGAAACTTTTTGGTCATCCATGACTTGGTAATGAATCGTGGGAGAGTTTTGTTCAATTCTCCGCTGAATTTCCAGGTCTATCACATCAAAAGACGTATCTTTGTCCTCCACGAAAACACACAAAAAATCCTTCGATGCAATTTGATTCACGTTGGTCACCTTGAATGGTCGATATGTAAAAATGCTCTCCGTGTTCTCATAGGATTTACTGGGGGGTTTTAGGCGAATGAAGACAGTGTTACGAGTTCGTAAGACTTCTTGTAGATTTGCGATTTCGTGTAGTGGAACTGTTTTCAACTTTTTTGAATTTAACTTTCGAAACTCCAAATAATAATTTTTCAAGGAATCTTTAGCATTGATGGCTTGACTGGCTGTTATGAGGCAATACAGATACTTTGTGTTGCATTTACTGGCCGGGTCAGTAATAATCAGATCCTTAACAAGGAAGCCAGAACCTCGAGTTGCATCTGACCTTGGACCGATTCCTTTCCTTCTAATTCGACACACTCCCAGAAACCATTGGTCTTCTTTTCTCTCTTTATCCTGCACATCTGAGCGGGAAGCGTGTATTATTGCAGTCATGGTTGACTATTTAACGCATTCGATCTCCTCTTCCGCCTTCATTTGAGTAGCCGACCGACCACAATGCATTTCGCGTTCGATTCATTCTGGGCGACACCCATTCCGATGCGCAATCTGTTCAAAATATAGGTCCGCGATGCGTACATGTGCGGCTCACGAGCTGTACGGGTCATTCATTGATTTGTTGTTAAACTTTTAATGAACAGCTTTTCAGGGGTTATCACTAAAATTACTTCAGACTCCACTCATTTAATGGTAAGACGACGACAATTACAAAGGAAATCAACAAATGATAACATTTACAAGCCAGTGGCGTTTCTAACTCTATAATTGCTTCTAGAATCAATAAATTTCGTGAAGATATGTAAGGATGCTATCAAGTTACAGCGAATTCGTTCGTGTTCTAGTCGTTGGTGCATCCATCGGTGAGGGTTTTCCAATTTCTTAACTAACATTGGGAATTTTTCCAACTTTTTTACTTACATTGGAAATTTCAGGGTGCCGACAAAAGTGTTTTTGCGTAATACAAAAATAGGCAGCCTATGGCTGCACGTGTCAGCTGAAACAGACCACTTCCGAAATCTTGTGGTTCAGTGATCTGGTGACGAAATTACGGCGCAAGGACGAGGCTAGGTGCGACGTCGTCTTCATCGGTAAAAAGAATAAAGTGCTCTGGTGTTGAAAATGAAATAAAATTTCTCGAAATTCAGGGTGGGAGAGAAAAAAAATATATGTGGGAGAGAGGCATTCAGCTAAGTGATGGTGGCAAAGGAAAGAAAAAAGCAGAACTGTTCGATTTATGCAAGACAGCTGCAGCAATGAAGAAGATCCAACCAGCTGATCTGCTGAAGACCGCAAAAGCTGATGGAGGAGAAATTACAGTCAAGTGAGGGCAAATTTCTATTACCTAAAATTTTGGATGCTTGGCCTCGGTTTCTTCATTGTCATCATTTACTCGCTGTTGTTTTTCTTGCTAATTCGATCGTGGCAAGGGCTTACTCTAATTTGCGAAACGATCTAAACGAAACGAAATGGAAATCTTTTACTTGAGAAATGAACTCAAAATCTGTCATATGTAAAACGAAAAGCTGTATATTTGCGGAATGAAAATCTGTAATTTACGAAAGGAGGATTCGTGCAGTAAATTCCAACGGCCGGAAGGATGAATCGGTCGGTTCGTCACTAGCGTAGATTGCAATCACAACTTAGCAAATAATATTAACTATAGTTAACATTTGAACCCTAAGCTATAATTTTTTTGATTTCGTTCCATCTTTGAAGATTTTTTTGTAAAAAAGGGCAATGGCATGAGATAACTGCCATGGTTTCCTGCTGAGCTTGAGGAATACGTGACGCTTCCAGTCTAAGTAAAGTGTCATGTCATGCATTTGAATTATTCATCGTAAACGTTCAAGTGAATATTTCGCAGAGTACACCCCGAAGATTTTCCTTTCGCTCTTTCCGTAGTTGTTATTATTTCTAGGTTACATATGAAATCCACACTGGTAGTGAACTGACCGATTCATCCTTCCGGCTGGTAACTTAGTTTTCAGCACTTCTTGCTTAGTTAATTACAGATATACAGATTTTGAGTTCATTTCACAAATAACTGAGTTCAATTGCGTATCGCAAACTACAGTAAGCCCTCGCTAAGATTTAGCAAGAAATAAACAAAGGTTGTATGATGACGTCAAAACAACTAGACAAAGGCTGCGACGAATTGTAATTTCTCCCTCTTTAGTTTCTTTCTTTTTTTTTTTTCTTTTGCGGTCTTTGGCAGAAGAGGCAATTTTGATCTGCTTCAATGAGGCAGCTTTTCTGCATAAATCGAACAGTTCTGCTTATTTTTTTTCCGCCGCCATCACTTCACTGAATGCCTTTCTCACAAATAATTTTTCGCTCTCCCACATTGATTTTTCGAGTAATTTTCGCTTATTTTCTCAACCACGGCACTTTATTCCTTAAACCGATGAGAGCGACTTCGCACCTAGCCTCGCCCTCGCGCCGTAATTTCGGTAGCCTTCTAGAATTGACCATTGACCAGGGTTCGTAATGAGTCCTGTTGCAACGTCTTTCAGCGGTTTCCTAGTGTCCAATCTCCGCATAACATCATCATATAAAATAAGTCAAACTTTCCTAAAGAGTGTCTCTGATTGCTTACCATTTACCACAAATCTCCCCATTCCCCATTCCCCATTCCCCATTCCCCATTCCCCATTCCCCATTCCCCATTCCCCATTCCCCATTCCCCATTCCCCATTCCCATTCCCCATTCCCCATTCCCCATTCCCATTCCCCATTCCCCATTCCCCATTCCCCATTCCCCATTCCCCATTCCCCATTCCCCATTCCCCATTCCCCATTCCCCATTCCCATTCCCCATTCCCCATTCCCCATTCCCCATTCCCCATTCCCCATTCCCCATTCCCATTCCCATTCCCCATTCCCCATCCCCATTCCCCATTCCCCATTCCCCATTCCCCATTCCCATTCCCCATTCCCCATTCCCATTCTCCATTCCCCATTCTCCATTCCCCATTCTCCATTCTCCATTCCCCATTCTCCATTCCCCATTCCCCATTCTCCATTCCCCATTCTCCATCCCCCATTCCCCATTCTCCATTCTCCATTCCCCATTCTCCATTCCTCATTCGCCATTCCTCATTCTCCATTCCCCATTCCTCATTCCCCATTCCCCATTCTCCATTCCCCATTCCCCATTCCCCATTCCCCATTCCCCATTCCCCATTCCCCATTCCCCATTCCCCATTCCCCATTCCCCATTCCCCATTCCCCATTCCCCATTCCCATTCACCATTTCTCATTCCCCATACCCCATTCTCCATTCCCCATTCCCCATTCCCCATTCCCCATTCCCCATTCCCCATTCCCCATTCCCCATTCCCCATTCCCCATTCCCCATTCCCATTCCCCATTCCCCATCCCCATTCCCATTCCCAATTCCCATTCCCATTCCCCATTCCCCATTCCCCATTCCCCATTCCCCATTCCCATTCCCATTCCCAATTCCCATTCCCCATTCCCCATTCCCCATTCCCCATTCCCATTCCCATTCCCCATTCCCCATTCCCCATTCCCATTCCCCATTCCCCATTCCCCATTCCCCATTCCCCATTCCCCATTCCCCATTCCCCATTCCCCATTCCCCATTCCCCATTCCCCATTCCCCATTCCCCATTCCCCATTCCCCATTCCCCATTCCCCATTCCCCATTCCCCATTCCCCATTCCCCATTCCCCATTCCCCATTCCCCATTCCCCATTCCCCATTCCCCATTCCCCATTCCCCATTCCCCATACCCCATACCCCATTCTCCATTCTCGCTTGTGGTAAAATCTCCCACGAACTGACTTCGTAATTTCCCTCAAACAATGCAAACCGTTTGTAAGTGTGACATATTTGTTTTCGGGTGTTACACTTAATAACCGTCCGTCAGGCGTCAGCGCCGAAAAAAAACTCATGCGAACAGAAAAGATATAGCCCATTCAGATCACTTGCGAGTAAAACTTCAAAAGCACTGAGTTTGTTTATATTTAGCGTATGCACACAATTGCTGTCAAATGTTAACATATAGCTCTCTTACTATGGAACACTGCACAAGAAAATTATCTGCTTATTTCTAACTTAGTTTTTGATGCACCATGAATGTCATCGGTAAAAACGAAAATGTTTGCATGGAGCTAGAAAGTAAATATCAATAATTAATTGTTAATTAAACGTTTGTAACGAGTTGAATGAACTAATGTCTCTGAAACTGTCTCGAAACATAACCTGAACCGCAGTCTAAAAAAGTGCAGGTAATAGAGTAGAGCTCTATTTGCAGGCAAGAGGCAAGGTTATCGGCAACTCGATGCATTGACGCACGGGTAAATTTCATCAATTTCGGTCACGAAAAACAATGAAATAAAACCTTGCCGTCGGAACGAATTCAAGGATTCTGACAGAAAATCCGGAAAACCGGACTGTAAGATCTAACCGCTTGATTTTCGTGTAATTTGTATTTATTCATTTCGTTGTTTATTTTTTTCATACCTCCTCGTTAGTGTTTTTGTTAACTTTAATAGCGTTTTCCCTCGTCAGTTACACCTTTCCGCGCGTGTTTCTCATACAGCACATTATTTTGCAGTCGTGTATTTGGAGCCAGTTTCTTTTTTACGCATAATCACTTTTTCAAGTCGCGCTTGGCGCAGTTCTCTTTTTTAGAAGTCGATTTTGCAGTTAGGTGTTAGGCCTTATCAATGCAAGATTTTTTTTCCGTTTCGCTTCGTTTGTATTCATTTTTCTATAGTTTGTTTATTTTAATTAGTTAACTTAAATCTTATTTATGTTTTTAGTTTCAACCTACCACCACTGCTCAAATCGAATAAACAGTATCATTTCGATTTGGAAAGATAACGTTTCTTTTCTGTTACACGGACATCCATACGGACATGTTATTACTAGAAGCTGGCTTGATGGGGCGTTATACCATTCGTGTAAGTCGCACAAAAATTCATATAGCATTCATTCAATCTGCAAAAATTTCGTCTAAACCTATGAGTATCTGTAAATGACACCTATTCCGCTTGGTAAAGAAATATTTTGTGGTCGTTTCGATTCATTTCAATTTCAAGGTCGTTTCGTTTCAATGTTGTTTTAATTAAGTCCCTCTCTGCTTGTGAATATATTCAACACGTTTGTGAATTTCTTTTCCCAATTAATCTTAATGCGCGGAGATCGATACTCCACGAAAACAATCACCTTATAAATCACTTTATAAATCACTTTATAAACCAAAACCTTATAAATATAAGGGGTGTGAAGAACAATTGGAAAAATATTTATTCTCCAGATCTTTAAATGACTTTGGGAGAAGTTTTGTTGGCTTTGCCTCAAATCTCGTCCGCTATTAGGGAAATACATGTTTCAATAGATAAATAAACTAAGTGACTCCCACATTATGCTTGTTTGCTCTTTTTAGGAATTTTCGCCAACGATCTTGGAAGGGCTCCTCGTTCCTTCCCAACAAATTTGGATAGAATTCCTTATCCACTTTCTATATTTTGACCAGTTAGTTTCATTAACGTGGCCTAAGTTAGGTTAGACGTAAGGAATAATTTTCATTCTGAAGGAAGAAAGAGCATGAAACATTTTGTGCTTTTAACAAAATCTATTTTTATTTGATATCAATCTGTCGTCCACTACATCATCAAGGGCAAACTTTCTCAGGTTTTACAAACTTGCCCAACAAATTCGTTCCCATGGTTATCCCGTCATGCTCCGACGACTAAGGCATTGGCCCTAAGAGTGGTGTAAGTAGGCCAAAAAAGCCAGCCCGTCATAGGGTAGGAACGGCGATATTTGTTCATTTTGTCAATCTTTTCATTTTCATATTTTTTGTGTGAAATTTGTCTCATCACTCAAATGGAAACTGTACCATCTCAACTACAAAAATGTTAGTCCTAAACGACAAAAATGAAATGGGTTTGCCATCTCAGATAGACTTAACTTAACTTTCTTTGTATATAAAACTCTTGTAATAGCTCTTTTGCGACTGTGATCCCAAGGATAACAGAATTCGTTGCTTCTACTAAGTCACAGTTCTTTCCATTAAGATACGTTTGCCATTGAATTTGGCGGAAAATTAAAAAAATAAATCAAAACACTAGCTACTTCATTTTTCAATGTGAGATAAAGTTAGATGATCCAATAGTCATGCGTTTCACGCATTTAACTTTCGGCCTTATCGTTATTCTGAAGAAACCTCAGTTTTCTGTTTTGTATTTATAGAGCCAAAAATACTCCTTCCTTCACTGAATGAAAACCACCCGTCGTAACATTCTAACTTTCTTAGGGTCTCGTAACCTTGTTCCAAAGGTTAACCCCGTCCTATTCGATTGGATGTGATTTCAAGGAAATCAGGTTAATCTCAGTTTCTTTCGATGTTCGAGTAGTCGTTTTCGCACATTTTTTTCTCTCAGCCTTCAATCCATCACAGCAGATGAAGTGGTTCTGTCTCCTTCCTCCACGTTGCTTTTCCACTTGAAAGCCATGTGGGCTCTTGACTGGTTCACAAAATAACTTTGATCCGTCCTTAGAGCTTAGTTCCCAGCGGGACGCTGTTCAAAGTAATTCCTTAAGTCTCTAACTACATCATTGCGCCCGATGCTTTCCAGAGCATCACAAAGCTGACCTACTTTTAGATCACTCTTAGATGTAGAGATCCAATCTAACAACTCTTTAGTAGGACTCTTGGGCTGCTGTGGGTTAAAATGCGTGTACGTGTCCCTGGGAACCTGCAGTGCGTTGGCCAGATGCCTCCAGTTCTTCAGTGCTTTATTTTGTGAGTTTAGATCAACACAGATGCTCATCATTTCATTCGAATCTAACTTTATCCCATCCCATAAAGGTTTTTCAGGACCTTCTGTTGTAAGAAAAAAATACTCCCTGTATTAGTTTTGAATATTTTACCTCAGGGGTACTCAGACATATCAAAAGTAACAGAGAAGTAATGGTAATGTGGATATTCGTACCTTTTCAACTCAAAGGCATGGAATTTTGTTATTTTCAAAATGTTGCAAAGACCCTATCACGTCTAAAGACGCATAGAGAAGACTTATGAAGAGGTTCCCAAGATGCCCAAACGCTTCTACAAAAGTTTCCTTTGGCTTTGCCTTTAATGCTCTTCATTCTAAAATCTGGTGTTTAATAACCAAAATTTTTCTGCTAAACAACAAAAATTGATCTGCAGGTGAGAGCTGGGACAAGTTTAAAGTTCTCATTCCAAAGAGTTGGAAGGCATATTCCCTCTGGGATGAAAAGTCAAGAGTCGATTTTTACCATTATGGCAATATCAATTAACACAACAAATTGGCTTGGATTAGGGTTTGTTCCCAGCTCAGTTTAATAACTTATAGTCAGTGTCAAAGGGTCTTTTTTTTGGTTTGTCCCCCCCCTCCCCCCCATCCTCATCTCTGTTATTCCAGTGACCCATGTTTCAGCTCAAAAATATGAATACATACAAACCTACCATCACGAAAAGGTTTCAACTTTTTTAGGACATCTCCTCGCTTCATTTCCTCTACTTTTTCATAGAACACTTTTACTGTGAGGTCTCGTTGTTTGGCGTAAAGATATTCCATTAATGCTTCGGTTGGATTAGACTCCCCACATAATTCAATTTCTTTTATTTTTTGACCAGAAAGTTGAAATTGCCTGCCAAGGTCCATCCAACATGAGTTAACTCGAGATTTCTCATCCAGTTTTGTAGTTATCTTTTCAATTAAATCATTGTTGGTAGTGGAAGCAACAAAGTCACTTAACATTGTTTGTGAAGCTTGTGTAGCATCTGTAGCATGTGATGAAATAGCAGTGTAATGACGGTCATCAAAAAAAAAAATTGAAAGCCATCATTGTTTAGTCATAAGACATAAAACATAAAAGTAAAAATACAATAAAAGGCAAGATGGGACTGTCACAGCAAGTTCTCACATTTCCCTCAACTTCCATCTCCCTTTAGGTTTTGCTGAGCTTGTTGCGTATTAGCTGTCAGCAACCATTTTAAAAGGTGTTACCAGTACTATGCATTTATTTAATGAAAAGTTCTTGACCCCCTAATTTCTTAAGACTTTTAATACCTCAAACCAAAATTAGTGTCGCTTTATCTCAGTCAAACACTGACATCTACACCATAAAATTCAAGTTATTTAAATTTCCTTTCCCCTGCAGGTTGAAAAAAACTAGGATCCATTGCAGAGTTTTTCTTTTCAAGCAGTAACTGGTGAGATTTACTACCTGCAGTACCTCTTAAAATCACTCACAATTCTTAAAAATTCACCAGGTGAAAGGAGTGCTCTACCGGTTGGAAAATTTATTTAACACTGCATTGTAAGAGGTGCTTATTTTGATGTTTCATGAGAATTATTCCTTTTGATTCAGACACTGAACTTAGTTAGTCAATCAATAACTGTTTCCAAACCTCTGAAATAGTTTCTACAGCACTTTCAGGCAAAATGTGATCATAAACATATATGCTTAAGTTGAGTATATACTCAACTTATGCATATACAATACACTGTAAAAATCAGAGATGTTTGAAAGTCAAAATTCCCAATTAACCCAATGAGAACATTTTTAAGAGTTAAGCAATTCCAAAAGTTTTTATCTTTCCCATTCTTATTTAACCCAAATGCAAAACTTTTCATGCACCTACAGATATTCAATAAATTAGGTTCCACTTGAAAAAAAAGTTGGCATCTGAATAGGACCTTGGATGTTCAAATACAAAAGATAAACTAAAAGTACAATGATGACACATACCTGGATAAACTTCTTTGATCATTTTAACTACATCATTTCTCCTTATATTCTTCAATGCTGTTATTAAATACTGCACACTTTTATCTCCGTTTGCAACAGCCAGGAAGTCAATAAGTGTGCGAGTACAACTGCCCCTACTGATAAGTTTACATCTGAGGCGGGTCTCCAGAGGTGCATTCACTTGTTGTGTGCAAGCCAGATGTTCCCAGTTACGTATGCAACGATGTGCTGTGCGGTCAAGTTTGCACACTAACATGTCTTCAAGGAATTTATTTTCTTGTATTTCCTTTGAAACTATAGACAAGAGAATGAAATGAAGAAAATGTTAAAAATATGACATAACCACCAAACATAACTGTCATGAGCTTGCAGGGTTATTTAATCATAACCCTTCTTATAATTATTGATTTCATTAGACCCATCAAAGCCTCACAACTCTTAACCTTTTCACTCCCAATATCTAAATACACATTCTCTGCACTGTTTCCTATATGTTGCCTATGATTCAAGTTCTGAAGATTTGATGTTAAATCAAGTAATATCTCGTTGTTGATATTTTTCCTTCTTCTTGTTACCTTTCTGACGCCACTTGTATGAAGGGGTGGATAACACTATACACTTAATGTATGGTCTCAAGGGAAACAGTTAGTTTTGTTTTCCCCAAGAGTCCTGATGTGTCCTGAGACGAAGTCGAGGGAGACATCAGAAGGGAGACATCAGAACCCAAAGGGACCAAACAAAATTTTTTTTTTATATTTAGATAACTAAACAGTCATATCAAAAAATGCTGGACCATATATAATTGTATCCCAGTTGGGATACATTTGTTTTATATTTAGTATTTATAAAGCGCTAATTCCCTTAAATAAAAATCCTAAATACAAAACTACATTGTCAAAACATGCTGTTGTATAAAATAAGAACAAAAGGCTACAAACAACTATAAAAACATCATCAATTGTATTTTCCCAGTCAGGACACATTTGAATTTGATCAGGGGCATGTGACCAAGAATCAACCAATCATAGTGTTTGTTTTGTTGAGTGAAAGTTTAGGTATATAACAATATCTAATGAATGAATCTCTATCTGGTGGATAGTGCAGTACATTTTTTCTAACACTTGTCCAACAGATAACAATTTATCTGTTGGATAACTTTATCTGCCCTTTGGACAACTGGGCCCTGCTTGAAAATGTATGGATATTACACAAAGAACTTCTTTGTTGGTCACTCCTTAGAGTGAAAGGTTTAATCGTGACTCACCAACAATGACATTACATATTCTTTCATGTGAGATGTTGAACAGAATAGAAATAGGTACATAAAACTGTATATTGGGGAAAAGGTATCAGAAAATAAAACTCACTCCAAGTTTAACCCTTTGACCCAAAAACTGATTATCATTCAACCCTTTAACTCCCATGACTGACCAAGACAGAATTTCTCCTTACAATATCAATACAATATCAAGCAGACAAGTGATGAGAATAAAGAAAACTATCGATAGTGGGATTATAAGTTGATCCAATACCAAATTCTCCAAACTAACATTGCAAGAAGGGTATGGCAGACAGTTAGGAGAATTATTAATAAGGATTAATTCCTTCCTACAATATCACTCTTGAGTCAAACATTTCGTTCACATTAATCCAAATTTGTTTAAGACACAATGAACAGCTTTTTCAAGATTGTTGGCAAAAGTCCCAAAAAGAGCAAAAAAAAACCCTGGTTTTCTGAGGTAGCCAACAATCATGCTAATAAAAATAATGAGTTAAATTAGTCTGGATGTATCTATATATCAATAACTTACTATGAAGTTGTTCATATCTATTGCCTTGTGTAACTGTTTCTTCATTTCTAAGGTCCTCCTCTCTTCCTTCAAGTGTTCCGTTCTGAGTGGGGTCTGCAGTTTCTGTTCCTGGTCTCTCTTCTTGGATTGGAGGGGTAGTTATGCTGGGTGAGCTGTGGTCACTTTGGGTTACAACCCCTTCAGGAGGAATTACAGGTTCTTCAATAGGAGCCCTTTCATCACTGCCAACATTTCTGCTACCAGCAGCCGCAGCACCACCAACCTCACCATCAGTTACAGTACTAGAAGAAGGAGCACCCCCACCACCAACAGCAGAAACACCAGTTACACCACTAGAAGTAGAAGCAGCATCAATAGCAGCAGCCTCACCACCAGGTACACTATTATATGAAGCAGCAGCACCATCCTCAGTTACACTACCAGAAGGAGCACTATCAGCATCAACAGCAGCAGCCTCCCCACCAGATACACTACCAGAAGAAATAGCATCAGCAGCAGCCTCAACAGCAGCACCACCATTAGTTATACTATCAGAAGAAGTATCACCAGCATCATGATCTGCAGTAGCACCACCAGATACACAACTAGAAGAAGTAGCAGCAGCACCACTAGATAAACTACTGGAAGAAGCAGCAACAGCACCACTAGGTACACTACCAGAAGAAGTAGGAGCAGCATCAGCAGTACCACCAGCACTTGGCTCTAGGCTATTCGGTGTGTTATCAATAAGAGTTTTTGCAGGAGGATTAACTTCTTGGTTTTTGTGATGTGTATGACCCGCCTTTATTTTGGAGGCATCCCCTTTTCTAGAACTGTCAAGAAGGCTTAGGTCTACTCCACAGGGTCCTTCAGATACATAACTTGAGCTAAGAAGAAGACCATCATCTGGTGATTTTGGACCAGACTGTGCAGTTGAATCTAAACTGGCTTGCGCTTCCTCAACATCACCATCTTTCTGACCATAAGATGATTTATGATCTGGCATTGACAACTGGGAACCACCTTTGCTCCTACTTTGTCCATTCTCTGCACCAGATGGTAAAGTTTGTCTCTTGTTTCCCTGGTCAAGTTTTTCTGTGGATAGAGAGCCATTCTCTTGCTTGAGTGCCTCTTTCCCTGTCTTTTCTTTTTGTTCCCCTAAGTTCTGTGTAACTTCATCCCTAGCCCTTTCTCCTAAAAAGAGACCAAATAATTATATTGGCTATGAGCCACAAGGTAAATTTATAGGTAATAGACACAAACAGTATCAATAGTATTTACAAAAATTAACTGATAAAGTCTGATACAGACCTTATGAGAGAATTTTTATGAGACAACCTAGAACATTGTATTGCATGATGAGGCCTTCTAGTGCACAACATCTATTCTTCTACCAAGGGCTTTATACTTGTGGCATGCCAAACGACTATGTGAAGTCAAGACTAGACTCTTACAAGTATATATAATTATTGATGGGTTATGGCTCACAGTATCACCTTGAAAAAGACTTGACCACAATTTTTTTTCGGAACTTTGCAAAAAGAACTAGATTAATTAAGAAGAGGACACTGCATTTCCTGATATACACTCTTTTGCATTTGTAAAATATACTCACGATGACTCAGCTAAGAATGAAGATTTAATCATCCCTGGAATAAAAATTCAGCTGCTCTCACTTTGTCAGGTTTCCGGGACTTCCTTGGGGTTAATCCCCGGGTAGTTCTCGCAGTTTTATGGAGAATCATGTCTGAAAAACTAACTTCCGGGAATAACGTTGCCAAAATCCGTAGAAACAATCAGCATTACCGTTTGTTAAATCAAAAGTTTGCAATCACGGAGAACGATTACATACGAGTAGTTGCATACGAAATATAGTAATATAGAAAATTATCGATGATTGAATCGTAGTACACATTAGCTTAGATAAATTTACCTTTTCGTTTGCCTTTCCGATATTTCTTCACTAAATTCGAAGCGAACGCCATGAAGAGTTCATTCAAGCGGCTAAGCCAGTGGATGTCAGAAATCCCAAAACAGGAGCTTACTGATTAATTAAGGTAGTAAAATCAAGTGTGGTGCATTGCACCGCGGATTTAAGCTATTTACAGGAGGAAAGGAAAAGATCTTTTTAACTCTCCCACAAGTACTCTTGCAGAGCTGGAGAAAGAAGTGATCATGTGATCGTGCGGTCACTCTGTCGAATGGTTACCAAGCAGAAAGGAAAAGAAATATTTAATATTCGTCGTTTTTTCCTTATGATAGTTTTGACCGAGCCTTCTCGTATTTGACATCTTCTCGAGGTATTAAGATGTGATATATTTCGTGACAGGAGGAAACGAAATGGTAAGGTACGTTTTTTAAGTCTTAAAACTGAGAATATTTTGAAAGATAAGGTAAAATTTGCCTACGAAGCACGAATTTCAGGTTGAAAAAATCCCCAAGTCAGTTGTATTGTTATGTATTTATCTCCGATTTCTGCCACAATGCAGAGCTTTTAATGATCTCTCCAAGCAAAAATAAAAATAACAAAACTTCTTCAGTCGTTTCGAAGGAGTTAAGAGGCATGATGTGGAAAACAACTTTAAAAATAGTCTTCACTGCAAATATTTTAGACGTTGTGCTACTTCCGTAGAATAATACACTTACACGTACAGTTAACCCATACATGTACAGATAACCCATACATGCAGAGTCATCCCAGCCTAATTAAATAAATCTGTCACAAGAAAAGATCAAGTGGTAGTGTTATTGACGTTGGGCATACTGTACAAGCGTGATTAATGGTTCGATATAGAGTTTTCATTTGTATGTTAAATCTGTTCATTAACCAACAAATTAATGGTATTGTTTCTTTATTTCGCGCTGATCAGCTTATTTACCAGTGTTAAAAATATCACCTCTGGGCTTTTTTTTGTAGCTGAATGCTTGGAAACTTGCTGAATAAGTAGAGAACCTGAATAGATGGCCTCATCACCCATGAGTGTGCATGATCCAATGGGAAATTCCCACAACAGAGGAAGAACAAAAACGAAGCAAGTAATTGAAAAGGAAGGTGCAAGCACCTTTAACTCCAGAGATGAAAATGAATGTGCTGAAGAGATAGATGATGGAGGATTAAGGGATTTTCAGAAATCAAAATTGAAGAGGCAGGAAGTAATGAAAAACTTAACAGATGTGATTAAACCAAAGTTAGATGTCAGAAAGGAAGGATATGTAGAAGAAGAAAAGAGTAACCAAACAGTGCATGGCACTAGCAACGGTAAGCCTTCTAGTGATCAATGCCAAAGTATATTGAATGCTGCTTTAGAAGCTCAGCAAAGAAATCTGCATAAAAATCATGCTTCAACTCAAGATACTGTATCAAGTGATGATGGAAGGGATCCAGGAAGTACATTTGATGATGGCCATGAACAACAAAGTGGTTTAAACCAAGCTAATGGGACATGTGATGTTGCTGATGGTGCAGATCATAGTATTCATGACCTTGAATTGAGAGAGTCTTATACACCAAACTCTCTAGGTCAAGGTACTGGGTCCTTTACTTCTTGTCAAAACAAACCTGATACTAACCCTAGTACAAATACAAATTGTGGTAATGAAGGAGCTGAAAGCATCAGGAAAAATCCAGCTCAGCAGAGGAATATAAGAAGTACATCTGATGATGGCCATGAACAACAAAGTGGTTTAAACCAAGCAAATGGGACATGTGATGTTGCTGATGGTGCAGATCGTAGTATTCATGACCTTGAATTGAGAGAGTCTTATACACCAAACTCTGTAGGTCAAGGTACTGGGTCCTTTACTTCTTGTCAAAACAAACCTGATACTAACCCTAGTACAAATACAAATTGCGAGAATGAAGCAGCTGAAAGCATCAGGAAAACTCCAGCTCAGCGGAAAACTCCTGAGGAACAGAATGATTATTCTCGTACTTCATCTGCACCTCCAATGCCTCAGTCAAAGATAGAATCTCGAACTCCTGAAACTGCGCAGATAGTTCCTAGTGCAAACCCGAAAGGATTGGGGGAAGATGGAAAGGAAAAGAAGGGTAAGAGAAAAAGAAAAAGAAATTCAGTGAAGATGATTTTCCAAGACCCACACCCATTCTCTAGTCATTAAGTCAAGCAGAGTTTTCTTTAAACAAAGAACTTTCATTTTAACTGAATGGCAGCTCCCTGGAGCTGCTAAAAATGGAGCAATTATGAATTTCAGTTCAAAAGTAATAATTGTTTATCTCCACCAATCTTGATGAGTGTTTCGGAATTTTTATACCACATTCCTTTACCAATCAAGTGTAAAACTAAAACCAATTGTAGCTCTCAACCACACTTAGCAATGTTTATTTTGAGTCCCTATCAGTCCCTAAGGATATTTTTCTTATTTTCGCTGATTGGTTTTAATGTACTTGTTTGCTTTTGCTTTGCTAGTTTTTGAGAAAAAAGAGGAAGGAAATGCTGCAGCTCAACAGTCTACAGGTTAATCTTTCTACATTTGAGATGAATATAACATTTAATGCCTTGAGTTGAGTAGGTGGGACCTCTTGCTAGCAGAGACAGTAAAACTAGTGGCAGACAGGAAAAAACAGAATGAGAAGAGAAAGATCACTTTCCCTTTCTACTACACCTGCCTTGCTACTCCAACCTTGTTTTATGGCTTGGTTGCCTAAATTTTGGTGTAACAATGGTTCTAGCTGCTACAGAGGCTTGCATATCATCAAAAGCACAACTTGTTCATTTTTGAGTAGTGTGGATAATGCTAATATAATATCTGCCTCCTTAAGAGTATATGATTGTCTTACAATCTATGTCTAAACTCGTGTACCAGGTTGAGGCCCTTTACTCTGTCACTAAGTTGAATTGTTCCATGCATCTCTAGACAACCTCTGTTGAAAGTTTTTTTTTTTAATCATCCCATTTATATGTAGTACTTGTGAAGTGTTTACATTTGTTTCTCCTGATATGGTGACCTTGTGTGTAGTGCTGTAGAGTAGGTTTGGCTGGGATCTTTCAAGAGTCAATTCTTCAATTGATTATTTTTATACTGACCTGGTTGTTTGTTTTTGTAATCACACGATAATGATTTTACCCTCCTGTTGAACTTAATTGGTTCAGAGTAAGGCTTGATGGTCTATTGGGCCTCTCAAAATAATGAAATTTAGATATGCTTAAATTAGTTAAGTAAATTTACTTTAAAAAACTGCAAAACCTTGCATGAGAGAATTAATCAAATGGTTTACCAAGGTCTGCTACTTAGTTACATTCTTTGCTTTTCCTTAAAATAGTTTTGTCCAAGATTGGAACCTTTTTCAATGAATACATTTTCCATTCTATTTGTGAAAGGAAAAGGACTTTGGGCTCACTTGCCACAATTGTAATTGATTGAAAAGCCTTAAAGGTTTTCATAGAAGGAAAAGAATGAGAGGAAACTAAATTTTAGATAAATATCTTTCTCCCCAGGTCATGAGCAGTTGAAAATGTTGGAAGTGATAAAAGAAGATTCTGAACTTTTGGAGAAGCTCTCTAAATATTTGGATCATGAGATGAGAGTAATAAGGTGTTGGAAGCATCTGGCCCATGTTTTGGGTGTTCCTTCAGATGAAACCAGGGAGTTTGAAATGTACTCCGAGTACAGTCCCACAGAGGATTTATTTGTCTATCTCACTGAAGTCTGGCGTCCTGAATTAGAAGTCGAGGAACTCAAGCAGAAACTCCAGAAAATTCATCGCAATGATTTGATTGAAAGCTTGAACACAGGTACAGCATTTGTAGTAATAAATGATAAAATACTTATCACAGGTTCTATCAATTAAGGAAATTGCTTAGGGTGGGGAATGGTCAGAGAACTACCAAAGAATGTTACTGCAATTGAAACACAATTTGTTTATTTCCTTAGCTTTCTGTTGCCTAATTGACTAAGAACTTATAAATAATTTTTTTTGTTTTAATCTTCTGATTGCCACTATTAAGCTGACATTTAATGTTTAATGTCAAATGTTTTTCTCAATTTTTATCTCAATTTTCCTCTTTGTTTGTTACCGTTTTGTTTTATTTGTTCATTTATTTTCTGTTTGTTTGTTTTTTAAGGTATTGTTTGTTTCAATAACATATCAAGCTTAAGGCAGTACCAGAGGTTAACTCAACCTTTTTGGAATGCTTTCATTTTCTAAAATATTAAAGATTATTGTTGAAAATAGCCTAATTGCAAAATTTTTACTCAAATCTCATGGCAAAATAGAGATACAATCTTGGCCCTATGGTTTGCAGCTCATGCAGTATTTCCTGTAGATGACAATTCTGACACATCCATTTTGTAAGTTACCATTCGGGAATGAAATATGAATTACTTTCTTACCATGAATGGAAATTGAGAAAGAGTTCTACAGTACCTGGCCAATAATGTTTTCCAAGCAATGGAAACACAACTGTGTTTCATAAGCCTCTTATTCTAAAAATTTGTGATGATATTTCTAATTTTCAGGACACACCGCTATAATAAGCAAGCAAATAACCATGCACTATATTTAATTTATTTTACTACATTTAACAGATTGAAGTTGTTACTTTTAACTGCCCACACCACCTTGTATTTTTGTGGTACCTGATGATGCACTTTTCTTCTTTTCCCTTCCCAGCTGAATAATGGCAATTTCTTTAATTAAGAGAGAGCCTAGAACATTCACTGCGATCTGTCCTTTTGTGTTGCTTTTCCATCTCACTCCAATGCATAGCATGGGTGCCAAGATAGTCTCAACATCGCTGGATAAATTTCATTGCTACAGATGTTTATAGTCTCATATTCTAATTGGTTTGAGGGGAAAAATCCATTGCAAGAGAAATGTGGCAACATTGCGCTTTTTTGCATTTACTGCTGCAGCCATTTATCACTGGCTTACACAAGATAACGATTGAAGAAGGCAAAGTAAACATGGATTCTTTGACAAATTCTGCCAAAGATATTGCTACTTTTCACAAATTAATGAGTGAAGCTATATTGTGCCATGCCACTGCAACATCATTATTTCACAGAATATTTATTTTTTTAATCTAAAACTTGGCAAACCAAAACTACATACTACATGTATGAGGAAAATTTATAGTGCAGTCCAACACAGTCCACAAGAAATTGACCAAATGAAAAGGTATTGCATCTTAACAGTAATTTTTTGTTTTCATTTTTTGAGGATAAAATTGTCAAAATAAAATATTATTTGGCAGACTGCACTGAAAATCTTCATTACCATTATCTTTGTGCATGGGCAAAACCATTTTGTGTAATATCAAATTGGCTTAGAATCATAGATTATATGTGAAAATTTCAAGTCTGTGCAACAAATCTGTCATGAGATATTTTAATTCCAAAATTGTTGAAAATTCACCAAATTAGCCTCGGGTACCACCTTCAGTTGTGGATCCTCTTTTTTCTTTAATTGTACAAGTGTAATTATAACATTTATTTGCTTGATTTTTGTTTCATGTCAGGGCTTTTCAAAGATAATATGAAGGTGGGTCATCTCATCTCTGGTGAAACAAAGTTCATTAAGTTATTGTCACCAAAACTTGATATAAACTCAAGAACCATTGGAAACTGGAGATCTTTGGCATCAGAGTTTGGTATCACAAAACAAGTGGCAGAGAAATTTGGATTACGTGGTTCAGGTCCTTCAGCAGCGCTGTTTCGGTACATTGCCTCAACAGAGAAGCTCCGTGATTTGACTATGTTGAAGCTGCATGACCATTTTGAAGGCATGGGGAGAAAAGATTTGGTGAATTTATTGAAAAAAGAGTTTGAAAATAAAAACATTGAAGGTTTGTCTTTCATAGGTTAGGTTACTTGTCTGGTCGAAAAGTAGAATAATGTGCACACTGTACATAGTATGTTCAGGAGTGCCTAGATTCTGTTATGAAAAATTATGAAAACATTTCTGCTATTTGAAAAGCAGCCTAGAACCATGTGATCATGGCTTAAGTTTCTTTTTTTTTCTTTTTCTTTTTTTTTTTTTCAAATAGAATGTGGAATACTTGAGACTGTAAAAAAATAAATGCCATTTTTCTTTAATGGACCCTTAAGTTCAAAATTGACCATCTTTCCTACTTTGTTTTCTCACACAAAGCTTTCAACCTTTCTGATCTTAGCAGCATGTGGGAGGCTTGTCACATTTGAGCTTTAGGCTAGCTCAGCAGCAAGTTGTCATCCAAGTGTTCCATACACTCCTTTTTAGAAAGGCAGACTTTTCCCCATTTTCTTACTGTATCAAAATTCAAAGGGATACTGGTGTTCAAACTTAAATTATTATATTTTTTGTTTCAATTTGTAACCATAACAGGGAGTATGTTTGTTAGAAATGTGGTCATAGATGAGTCACCGCTCCTAACAGAAATAGGAGACCGTCTTAACAAAGATATCCGAGCAATCAAGAACTGGCGCAATTTGGCATACAGATTGAAAATTCCCCCCGAGACTTATAAAGCATTTGACAGTTCTAAAGCTGAAGCAAAGAGCCCTACTAAGATGATGTTTGCGTGGCTTGCTCGATGGAAGCCAAATCTAAGTGTGGGTGATTTGCTGGAAGGCATCAAGAAAATTGATCGCTATGATGTGGTGGAGCTTGTTACAAAAGAGGCTGAAATAGGTGAGTGTACATACAGTTTAGCCCCTCCCAAGATTCACTGTTGCCTCCGGGAGTGGTCAATTACAAATGAGGTAAAGCCAGGAAGATTCTAAATTTTGATTCATAGCCTGTTGTTTTATCCCAAGTTTTCACCTTTAATGAACTTAAAACTTCTAAAACAAGGTTGGCCTTCACAAATGACAAATGCACCTGCTAATACAACTTCCACTGGACCAGGAAAATTTGATCTCAGTTACTGGTTGAATATAGTTGTTGTCAGAATATGGTTTGACTGGATCCCTATTGGATGAAAGTCTTCCGTCAAAATTTTGTAACACAACCTTTTACATCCCTTTCACCTAATTTTCAAGAGGTATGCAATATGATCAAGAGCAGTGAAAAAAAAATTTCTATGATGCATCAGTAACTTCATACCTCTCATAGCATTGAAAAGCTTAATGTAATGGTAAAAACTTCCTTTATGGAAAAAAGAAGAAACCAGATTTCCCATCTTTGGGTCAAAAAAGACACAAAAGCCTTTTCCTTACCTTTGTTTTCTAGGTCAAATATTATGGTTGAAAAGGGCCCTAATGATGTATTTGCTTGTTTTTGCTTTGCTAGTTTTTCAGAAAAAAGAGCATGGAAATGCTGCAGCTCAACAGTCTACAGGTTAATATTTTTACTTTTGAGATATATATATATATATATATATATATATATATATATATAACATTTAATGCCTTGAGTCCTGTAGCTAGGACTTCTGTGTGGCAGCCACTCCTACTATTTTATTTCAGTGATGGTTCTGACTTCTTCAAAGGCTAGCATATCAATAAAAGCGCAATTTATTTGTTTTTCAATTGTGTGGAAGCAGAAGGCCTAGTGGCTTATTCCAGGGAAGGAGAGCACACCCAGGTTCTAGTGATGTAGGTATCTGCTACATTGAGGGGTAAGGTTATCAGAAATAAGACTGGAACAGCATACTCAAATCAGAGATGCTTGGTTTGAGTAGAATATGTTTAACTAGAAATAGTTAGGAAGAATTTTATTTAGGTTGGTCTTTTTTTCTTTTCAACAAACACCGCTCTTCCTTGCCTGTCCATATTTTAAGCAGGGACACAAGTGATTATGAAAAAGGGAAGAACTTTTTGAGCAGTAGAAAGTTTTGGATGAAATAATTTGAGTGGCCAGTGTAAGATATGGTTGAAAGTGAATCCACATATGATGACAAATGTTAAAAGTTAAGTGTTCCAGCAGCATTTAACTGTACATTAAATTTCATTTGTGGATTATGCTAATGAAACATATACCTCCCTAGGTCTATGTAATTGTCTAGTGCTCATGTACCATGTTGAGACCCTTTACTTTGTCAGGAAGGGGGATTGTTCCCTGCATATCTAAGCACAATTCTATAAACAAACTCAGCTTAGAGAATCTTTTTGTAATTGACCCATTTATTTGTGGTACTTTTGAAGTGTTTGCATTTGTTTCACGTCATATGGCGACCTTTTGTATAGTGCTGTGTATAAAGCTTGCCTCCGATTCTGTGTGATGCTGCGTTGGTCTTCGTCGATAAATTGATGATGTAGTAAGTCCCATTTCATAAAATGATATTGTAGTGAATCCCATTTCGGTATGACTAAAATAACCACATCTCATATTGACAAAATTATCGAAGGGGTGTTGTGGTCAGTTAAGTAGAATTTGTTATCTAACCTCTCCCAAGGAAAGGAGCTAAAATAAAGGAATCATGGTCTATTTTTTATTTTATTTTTTCAGCAAAGCAACTCAGTGATCTAGTGCAAATGCACTTGGAAAAGGACAAGGAGAAGTGCTCAATTTCAAATCTGGCGAAGAAAGCTGCCACTGAGGGTTTCGTAATTCAAGACAACGATGGAGGAGGAAACTGCATGTTTCACGCCCTGTCCAGGCAACTGGAAATTATACTGGGACTCCAAATCTTTCATGGTGATTTGAGGAACGAGATTGTCGAGTACCTTAAAAACCATCGTAAGCTGGTAAGGGAAACTGCTTAATGATGATTTGTGAGAGGAAAAAATACTCATCAAAATGGCTCAAAACGACTCTCCGGCTGAAAAAACGGCATTTCATTCCTTTTGCAAATTGATGTTTGTTTAAATAGGGCCTTTAACGTCTGCGTCGCAAGTGGAGGTTGGGTGCCCATGGGCCAGGGGACTGCAACCGCAATTACACCCCAAGGCGGAAGAACACCCACAGGCATACCAACCTGCAACCCAGCCACGAGCTCCCCCACTATAGCACCCGTCACAATGAGGCCAGAAGCCCAGTGGAAGTAAAATGCACAAACCCCCGAAAGAAGGGAAAAACAAAATCCCGGGAAGGAGGGGGAGACCCTAAACCAGGAAAGTGGAGGGAGGGAGGGGAACCAAGAGAAACGCCAGGGCTCGAACTTAACTTTTTTGTCTACTAGCAAAGTTTTGCCAGTAAGATTTTTTTTACTAGCAAAAGAAGGAACCTAACTAGCAAATGTTTGCTAGAGGATATTTTTTAGACTCGCAACTTCGAAAAACCACTCGCATTTCGCGAGTTTGCGAGTGCTAATTTCGAGCCCTGAACGCTACGCCACTAGAACGCCATGCCACGTCACGCTATCAAAGCTTCGAGTACAACGCAAACAAAACGTAGGCACATGGCTTGCGCATTCGCCAAAGCAACGTACCGCTGGACAGGAATCTGCCCCCGTGCTCACGAACAATGGTAAACGCAACAAAACAAACATAGTTACATAACAGCGCTACAAACGGCCCTCACACCACCAAAGAACGCCAAAACACTCGAGACCACAGCTCCAAGTCGTTAACTACATAAATATGATTTAATTGTATTTTTAAAAATATATATTTTTGTGGTATGTTGAGGACACAAAGAATTTTTAGTTGGCAGTGTGTGTAAACAATAACCCAGAGAATTCCCCCCTTTAAAAAAGCCTCTCTCTCCTTTACCGTCCCCCCCCCCTTCCCCTTCGTCAAAAGTGTAAAGGACGCGATTCCAAAGACAAAAACCAAAAAAGTAAAAAACTCAAACTTTATTTTACGTTTTGAAAGTATGAATTTTCTATATTGTTGTCTTTTTTAGCCCAAAGTTGGTGATCTTTTTTCATTCATTTATGATAAAAAATCATGGCGCGAATTTTTAGACTGCATGGCAGAAGACGGCACTTGGGGAAACCATGTGGTGCTTGTGGCCGCCGCAAACAGATATGGAACTCCTATTCGCGTGATCAGCAGTGTGACAGATCATGAAGATATTTGGGTCACTCCAAGTTCCGCATCCAGCCAAGACACTGAGCCGCTGGTGCTGGGACATGTTTTTGAGTGTCACTACGTCAGTCTTGAACCAAAATCCATGTCAGGTAAAACATATACTGTCTTGCTAACTGCTATCTGCCTTTCGGTGTCATGAAACATTTAATGACTGGGAAAGATTTTCTCGATTGTAGCTCACTTACGCGTTTCTCATTTAGCCCAATTTTATTTTTTAGCTCATCGTTTGAAGTAAATTTTCGTCGTCCATACCTGTTGCCATATTTGTCCTTTCTTTATTTAAAATTTTTTTTTACCTCTGTGGCGCATACCCTTTGAGTCCGAATGAGGACCACGTCTCCCTAGTGTATAATATCGTAACGAAGCTGCCTCGCAGTCCGTGGAAAAAAAATTCAGATCCCGCAGTGAGACCTCACTTTGCTTGACCTCTCTCCTCTCTTTGAAACTGGTGATGCAGTACACTTTTGGGGATAGCAGCTGAATGATCCTTTGTTACAGAAAGGTTCTTTACCATTTCTCAGTTGGGTTCCCTTCTACAGTGTGCATAGACCAACACGGTGGAAAAAATGGTTTGTAAACTTGATAGGTCTCCCGGGAGGAATTGATAATCCTCAGTTTATCGACGACAATGTTCGTTTGCCTTTGCCGGTCATTTCTTAGGATCCTAAACGAAATAATGAGCCAACTTATCACTGTTTATGTTTAAGCTATAGGAGGAAACTTCCAAGCGTCATTTGAAAACCGACCGTTTTCAACAAAATCGGAGTATGGACAGCTTTCCTTCGGTTCAACATACCAGCAACATCAGCAATGCTATCAGCAAGGACTGGCCTTAAATCAACCAGAGGAAACTTGTAGATCTCCAGGACCGTTTCAATCACAGAGAAACTATCTATCAAACGGATCCTTTATTTCATCAGGATCACGAGTGCCCTTCTTTGAGGAGGAAAGACTTGCAATAAAAGTGAGGCAGTTGCCAGTTGGAGTTTACTGCAAGATTTGCATGAAGCTGAGCGTCAAACGGAATATAACTTTTGACGATTTTCGTATGGTGGCTGAAAAGCTTGGCATGGATAGGGACACCATGGAATTTTTAGGCCAACAAAGTAACCCAGCTGATGTTATGTTCACCCAATTTGGACGAAATTTGCAGGTAAATGGGCTGATCAGAATTCTTCACGAAATGGAGCGGTTTGATATTGCAGCTGTTTTGGAGGATTGGGTCGTAACAGGAAATTTCAATCAGTCCTAAGGCCTGACTAACATCAGAATTTTTATTCTGTAAATTTTAAGAGTTATTGTTTTTGCTACAAAGATGAAAAAGAAAGACGTTCACCAAACAAGAACTGAAGTGATCTCTTCCAGGTATTGGTTAAGAGTTTACCGAGTTAAGACAAAATCAACGAAATTGAAACAATACCCAACTGGTAGATCTGTCGATAAAAGCTGCGTCAAACTAAAGATCGGAAGCGACAAGAAACTTAAAGCACTTCTGGTGTCACAGGTCTGCATGGTTATCAAACCTTGGCCATAACAGATTGCCCCACACCAAAAAACGAAATCGAAGAGAAGAGTTGAGGAAGACGAGTGGCTATATTTGTTTCGTTGTCTCCTCTCTTTTCTTATTTCTATTTATACCACAGGTAAACGAGCCGAACGTAGGAAATGGCTCTTGCAATACGAAGGTGTGAGATTTCAAGGCAGACTTCCGGTGGTCGGTAAAATGCGCCAAATTTCAAACAGCGAAGAAAAAGAACGTATATTAATATAAGCAGACACGCACAGCTTAATAGTTTGAAATTTGGCGATCGTCGTCTGAAGGTTCGTTGGACGTAGAACTGTCTCATGACATGGTGTAGTTACATTCATGCTTGACTAGGAATTTTCCTGAACTCCTAGCTTGGTAGTATAAGAAGTGGAGTAGTTCGTTTTATAAAATGAATTGTATGGTTATTTAGACTATTAGACTTGTTCAATGTGTTAGCCTTTTCGTGATACCAAACAGTTCAAGCGAATTTCCAAACGTTTGATATAATCGGAGAAAAAAAATTACCAGAAAAGTTTTTAAGTTTCTCCGTGATATACAGTTTGTGTCTATATTTGCATCCTTGTCCATATTTGTTCTTTTTCAGTTTTTGCAAACCTCTTTAGTGTTTATCTACGTCAGTAAGATTTTATTAGAAGGTCTCGTTCAGTTTTAAGGCAATTTTTTACTATCGAATGGAAAACTGACTCAAAATATTGCGAGGCAGACAGCATGACCAATTACTTTCCAGGTATTGGTTTATCACGCAGACTAATCTTGAAGTAGCTCCTTTTATAATGGGATATGCGTAGGTTTTTCATAACTACTTGCTCAGTGTTTTTTGTTGTTTTTTTTTTCTTTTCGTTGTTGATTTTGTTATTTTATTTAAACGAAAAGTGGCATTCTGGAGGACTGATCATTGCTAAAAGAAGCCGATGTATTAAATGGTCTCTGTATTTAATTGGAAGTTGATAGGTAGAGTTCGTGAAAGTCGTACCCCCACTTATTGAATCGCCATACGGCTGATCTATAGCCCAGCGACTGAGAACGTGAAAAATAACTTAGCTAATTATTGTGTGTTTAAGAAACAAAAAAAGTTTTAGGTGAACTGAGTAAGCAGTAATAAGTAATAAGAGACTGAATGATTTTGTAATTAAACCATCAATGAACTGATACATGGCTTGGTTAATCGTTGTTTCACTTAGTTATTGATATTCATTTTTTAACTTAAATTTACACAACTTATTTTTTCAATTTCAAAATCTATAGTTTATGATTTCGATTTCAAACCAATATCTCACTTGATTAATTGTTCCAGGATGACTTTGTCTCGCGAGGTTATTTTCATTGTCTTGGAAAAACGCCAGCTTAGACAGGATGGTAATGACAGCCGAGAGGTACAATTTCTTCCCAGTAATTCTTTTGGGTTTCTGTCTGTTCTGTTTTCGTCCCCCACCCTTTACTTAAGAAGTTATATCAGAGCTGAACTTAAATCCCCCAATACTTCATTTCTTTAAATTCGATCCCAAATCTCTTGCATCATGATTCAATTTACAAAATGTAATTCAATTAGTTCCACTGCACACTCATACTCGCAGGCCTGTAGGAAAGCTTCTTCCACCGGCATCTGCAATTTTGCTTATCTGATTGAATTCTCCTTTACCTGTCCCTTTTTCGCGATCTCAGTAATTCCGTGAAGATACGAACAGTAAAACCGTGATGGGTTTCACATACTGTTGTTACAAGAAAAATTTCGAGCGTGACGAGGTAAAAGGAGTCAGGCGATGTCTTTCGCGCAATTTCGCTGTATTGCGCGGGATTCTTCGCTGGAAGGGAGTGCCCACAATGCATTGCGATTACTTAGAAAGCGCGCACATTTTCCAAAATGGCCGACGGACCCAACGAATTTCAACTGGAACAACCACCTTCAGACGGAATTTCGTCCGTCAAATTCAGCCCCAACCCGGCTTCATTTTTAGTGGTGTCATCATGGGATACAGTAAGAATCTCTTCCTCTGAATTAACTTCTTTAACGTTAAATCTGTTAGTTTCGTGCGACTTTAGTTCAGTCTGTTTCCTAACACTTTAAGTTTTCTACCATACTTCCAACAGACAGTCAGACTTTATGATGTCCACAACAACAACATGCGTCTTAAATATAACCACCCATATGCTGTGCTAGATTGTTGTTTTCAAGACGGTGTGCACACTTTTAGCGGAGGACTTGATAATACTCTGAAAGTGTAAGTACGACCTAAGCGATAATCTACGCTTCATCTAACCAGGGATTGCAGTGATTAGTGTTTAAAAAGAACTCTGTTGAAAAATCTTCCATCTGAATTTACTATTTCCCTCTTGTTGGTCTTGAATAGTTGTTGGTGTTTAGTGTAAACTATTTGATACAGAAAGCCTTAGGAGAAGGTTACAAAACCACTGCACATTTGTAAATAATGCTGTGGCCTTATTTTTTATCGGATACGACCATGTAGCCCATACATCATGTACCACTGAAAGAAATGAAGGAAAAGTAGAATGAATCAAATTGTGATAATACCTGTTCTTTTGCTAGAATTGTAAATTATTGACTTGAAAAAGGCCAACCTGGTTCAAGAAAAGAGGTGGAGTAGTCGAGGGAGGCCACAGATAAAAAAAACCCTCTATATTTAAGGAAATTGTGAGACTCTTTAGATTTTGATGACTAAAAAAATGAGCATTTTTAAACTGGTTTGAAATATTTGAATGTCTACACCACTTACACCTATAAGCTTGTATATTGGGAATCAATTATTTTTAAAGCAAAAAAGGGGAAGCCACATTATGTAGCCACACAACTTGACTTGACGATCTTGTACTTTATGCGAGTTGTGTCTACACTATATTTGTAACTGTAAAAATAACAATAAATGTGTTTGTTTGTTTGTTTGTTTGTTAACAGTTGTTTGGGAAATGCAGCATACTTCAGCATCAAACTTTTGTTATTTTAAATTATTGATTGTTTCTTCAGTGTAGATCTAAACACTTCAGCTGAACAAGTTTTAGGAATGCATGATGATGCAATTAAATGCGTGGAGCACTGTCCAACTCCTGGTATGATAACATGAAAATTGCAAATTTAACTACAGTAGGTGTAATCATTACTTATGCACTGTAATCTGTAGGGGTTCTCTTCAAGATATACCTAACCCTTTAACTCCCTAAGAGTGACTAGCTTCTAATTTCTCCTTTTAGTGCCACCTCTGAATCAAACATTAAGGTCATGAGAATATTGGAAATGATCAACAAGTACAGGAGCTCTTGATTGTTAAGCAAAATCTCCTTTTCAGCACCTTAGGAAATGTATAGAAACAGTATGGAGAATATGCATACTGATCTTAGGGTATGTAGGGTATTATACTGAAGACGTTAGTCTTAACAAGTAACCATGGGAAACTGTGCTAGAAACTGAATGACTTGAAGAATTATGACAACCACTTACAGACTTGGGTGATACATTTTTTTAATCAGATTTTTATATAGCTGTGGTGTTCACATTTTGTGCATGTTTCTCTGATCTGGGCAACAGACAAATATCCAGAGTCAGGCTTGAATGCAGTAATTTACAAATACCGGTATTTGTTCACTTCAAGGGTTAATTGCAACTGGTAGCTGGGACAAGTATGTCAAACTTTGGGACCCAAGAACAAATCAGTGTACTGGATCATATGAGCAACCTGAAAAGGTCTGTAACTGTGTAACTGTAGTCTGTGATGGATTTCTATTGTCAGAAGTCCACTTTGATTTTAGCAGATGCCAACTAGAAAGGAATTCAACAATGTATTTAAATCAAACCTACTGCTCTGTATCACAATTACATAGTACTAAATTTGTCCATTATAGTTTGGTTTAGGTCCTTCTTGCTTTAATAAATGGCGCTTAACATTCATGCCACGAGAAATTTAGATATAAGGGTTTGAATATTATTAAAGTTTGGAATCCAAGACATTCATAGTGACATGATGTAATGATTGATGTCATCAATCTTCTAACTCCCAGAAGTGATTAAAATGTAATTTCTCCTTTTAATATCCATACATTCTCTAGCAAATAGGTAATGTGAATAATCAAACTTATCAGATTGAAATTGTTATCTTGATCTGAAAACAAATTCTTGTAACTGATTTACAAGGAAATATGCAGCAGCTAAAGAGGAGAATTAACAATCACATCTTTGGAATGAATTAATTACCTGGCCATCCATAGAACTCTGACTGGTGTATAAGTACAGAAGGGTGTAAGTGCTAAAAGATATCCTTTGACTGAATATGTTTTGGTTGGTTGTCTTAGGTTTACACAATGGCTTCATCTGATGAGCGTCTTGTTGTTGGCACAGTAAGTACTATAAAATGGATACAAATAAATTCAGTCACTGTCATTTCTTTTTTCACTTCCCATCTGGCCTGAGGGTTAATGAAATTTTACATTTACAGAACCATAAGTGAGCTTAATTAATTTTCAGTTCATGTTGCTCTCTTTTAGGCTGGAAGGCGTGTTATGGTATGGGATCTCAGGAACATGGTAAGACCAAAATAATTATGTTTTTAAGCTGCTAACAGTGATTTGTATAAAAGATCAATGCTAACAGATACCTGTTTAGAGAAATGTCTCTCTTTAAAACTAGATATCTGCAGTTACCCATAACTTAGCTCTGGTCAATGTACATCCATTTTGAATCTATATCTCTATTTGGATAATGCCAGCAAATAAGATATGTCTTGGTTGGGATTCTGACCAATGTAAGTGCACTGGCTGAGTTTCATTAAATAATCAATTAATAAATTAGATTATTTGTACCCATCATTGATGCACATTTTTCACAGACATATGTACAACAAAGAAGGGAATCTAGTCTGAAATACCAAACAAGATGTATCCGCACTTTCCCAAATAAGCAAGGTAATTTTTAACTTTATATAAGACTGGTTATTATGTGATAATTTGGTTTTCACATGCAAGTTGATAATGTAAATTGGCCATGGTAAAGAGTTCCTAAAGCTGACACTTCATGTGTTTGCCCTTTGTCAGTACAAATGACGAAGGGCTAATGCTTGAAACATCAGCTTTTGGAACCCTATACGGTGGCTAATTTACATTTTCAAATTAGTTGATAAAACCAAATTATCTTGCTGTATCTTCCCAACCAATGCAGCACCACAGTTTCTTTTGAAACTTACCCCATTTATTCATTGGTTATTGTGTGACTTACTTCATTTCTCTTCCAGGTGTTTGGTTTAACTTGGGGAACACTAGTTTTTCTGCATTGCTTTCATGTATACATGTGCAGGCAAACCTTGGCTGTCCATACTTTAGTTGTTTAAGCTAGGCTCAGTTTCACCAGGAAGTGTGTTAGTTGGTGTAATCAACAAAATTGTCATACAGTTAAATGAGTGCATTTGGACAAATGAAGAGTACCATTTTGACAGTGACAATCCTTTTTGTACAGAAAGTTGCATATAGTCACATTGAATCACTAGTAACACCTTTCTATGACCTTTGGTATCACAGGGTACGTGTTGAGCTCTATTGAGGGCAGAGTAGCTGTGGAATACTTTGACCCAAGCCCAGAAGTTCAGAAAAAGAAATATGCCTTTAAGTGCCACCGAATCAAAGAAGAAGGAATGGAAAATATATATCCTGTTAATGCTATATCTTTCCATAATGTGTGAGTATTGTATGCCTCTTTCATGTTCAATCTGAGGAAACCCCTGGTAACTTGAAGACTTGGGGGTACTAAGTACCACTAACCTACACCTGCATGAGCCTAATGAATTGAATTGATTGCTGGATTACCCTGTAATATTATGCCAATCATTATTGTTTAGTATTGTTTTAGTAGGCACACTTTCAGAGCAAAGAAATTTTTGACAGAAAATTAGAAACATCTGAATACACAAAACCTGTAGGTTTCAATTAATGTGAATTGATTTTCCTTTTTGGCTCACTTACTTGTTGACGTGCCATTATCTGTGACCCTGGACTACTTGTTACCTTTCAGATCTCCTACATTTCGATATTGCTCTTTTTCGTTATTTCACTTTTGGAACATTCTGTCCTAAATCCTTTTTTTGTCCATGAGTTATTTGTGCATTTGTCTCAGTAATGTTTCTTGGCAATCAGGGTTTACTACCAGATCTGGGCTCTGTTGTTCAAAGGGCAGATAATGCAATCCAGTGGATAAGTGTGAACAAAACATACGGCGCTACCCACTGGATAGTGATTTATCCAGTGGGTATTGTTATCCACTGTTCTAACCACCAGAGCCTGATGAGTTAATTAATGTGTATTTTACCACTCCAATCATTTTCAGACACAACACATTTGCCACTGGTGGTTCAGATGGTTTTGTAAATATTTGGGATGGCTTCAATAAAAAGCGACTTTGCCAGGTATCAGTGAATATATTAAAAAATTACATCTCTTACCATTAACCTGTGTAGCAGGTAATGCACAACAAAATGGTGGAAAAGTACCCAAATAAAGTTCAAATTAGAAATCCTATGGTCAGTGTTAAGAAAGAAAAATATTTATTTGAAGTTTGATATGGAGATACTTTTCCATAGTACTACCTGATTTTAAAGGAGGAACTCTTTGTCTTAGTTTCCCTATCACAAAACAGTTATGAGAACTACTGTCATTTGCATCTTCTGTTGATTTCTTCCATACATAACCAACCTTGTTCCCTCATTTTAATGTTAATTCTTACATTCTTCATGTTAGTGTTATTTCAAATTGCTTTTGATAATATTAATAACAATTAAGATTTGTGCAGCACAAATTTCATGTAAGCATGATCAAATGCACTCTACAGTTTCAAATATATTTTCTGTCCCATGAAAACAGCTCACAGTGTTGTGACATTAAAATTACAGTTTAAGATGATTCTGCAAGGCCTGGTCATTGTAAAAGATCATACATTAATCATGTCTAATTAAATTTTCAGTTTCATCGTTACCCAACCAGTATTTCATCATTGAGCTTCAGTAATGATGGCAGCCTGCTGGCCATAGCTGTGTCTTACATGTATGAAGAGGATGAGAAGGAGTAAGTTACATCATATTAATATACAATTATAGTGCTATGATATTATGTTCCATCCACCATTTTGCCAAGAGCTACAAATGCACAGAACCTTTGAGATAACAGGTGTCATGATAGTTAGATAATGAAACATAGTGCTCCTTTAGGTTACATGTTATCCTTTGTTTGGCTGGAAAAAAAATAGACATCTCACACTGTATTTTACAAACTGGACAGTTAGCTTGGTTAGCATTTTGCAAAGTCACATCAAGCTTTAGTTGACGCAAAACATTTTATTTCTTTTACTAGACATCCAGAAGATGCCATTTACATTAGGCGAGTTTCTGATGCAGAAACAAAACCTAAGTAAATCCAGTAAGAAAGGACTTTAGGGGAAAATCAACAGACTTTTGAGATCTACTGGTCATTATTCATGGCGTGATGGCATCAACTTACTTCAATTTGTTTGTGCACTCAGTTATTCATGCTTGAAGGACAGTTTTAATGTACAAAGTATCCTCTTCAAGGTTATTAATCCCTTTATTTCACATTCCTCCCAATGAGACTTCAAGCCCTTTTATATTCAAAGGTGACGAATTTATTCATCATAGCCTTGTTTGTTCTTGTTTAAAAACAGGAAGTGGCTTTCCAGTTGTGACTTATTTTGCCTGTGATTCAACAAAATATCTCAGGGAAAATGTTTTGAGCTGTACCCTTTTCAATCTCAAAGTCGGAAAGCTAATTCTTGTTACTGGTGACTTAGCATTCCTTTGTGCCTCTGGGACATCTTGAGATAGCTATCTTAAGAATATTTTCATATTATTAATATTATTATTATTATATAATAAATAGCTATTATCATTGATTTTTCTCACATGCTTTTTCTCAAATGTGTGAAGCCTGTCTCATTTGCTGTCCATGTAAGAATGCCTCCAGCAGTCAAATAATTTCTGGCAGTACTTCTACCTGTAATCTTTAAATGGTGTTCATAATCTTGAATTCATTGGCTGAAAAAACCTGATAATTCCTCTTCTTGTTAAGGGGATTTCCATTGTATTTCTATCAGCTTCACAACAATCTTTGTGCTGCAGTTTCACAAAGCAGTCAACAGTGACTTTGTTTGTGTTTAGTCTTTCATACTGACTGTCTGACATTTCCAGCTAACAAGTCAATCTTCCTTTGTAGCAACTTGATCACAACAGCTTGTCTGCATGTTTCCTTGTCACCTGGTAGAGTCTTTTGTCAGGGAAAGTTTATCCAAAACACGACCAGCAATCATTTTGTAGGCATAAGTCTGTTTTAATTGGATACCAGAAAATTAAAAATCAATACAGGGCTAAACAGGTTATCAAATAAGTCAGAGGTCTAGAGTCATCAGTATTTTTTTTTTCTTTTTTTTTTTTATTCTGACCTTTCATTTACACAGTTACAATTTTACATTTATAAAATTGGTTAAAAATGATAACAATTCGATATATTTAACAATCTTACGCAGTTACCCTATTTTCAGCTTAAGAAATTAAACAAATTAAACTAATTAAACCAAGCAACATAACGTAAAAAAAAAGAGAGAGAGAGAAAAAAACAGGATAGAAGGCAAATCGGCTTAAGATTTTTTAAATTATTAAACCATTCCTTTTCATTTGAATATCCATTTCTTTTCAAAGAAGTTTTTCTTATATATTTTTCTTTCAATTTCATATTTGATAGCTATCTTGTTCTGATAACCTTGTATTTTAGGGTGTATTTGTTTTCTTCTGCAGTCCCACAAAAACAGTTTTCCGATAATAATAAAGTAATTGAGTAGTGTATGTGAAGGGCATTGTGTTGAAAGCATTCCAAATAAAACATTTTCCAAAGTCAGGTGAACTACCTGATTTGACAAGCGGAACCAGTACAATTCAAAATCAGTATTGGTAAGTTACCTGAGGATTGTCAGGTTGAGAAACTACAATGGGTTTTCCTGAATCTGAGGTTTCCCTGATGTCAGTATGAAGGGGAACATCACCTAGGAACAAAATTAACAATTATATTGACGATAAATTGCATACATCACCTTGGCCAAAGAATTGTCTTAGAATGTGCTTGGGAAATTTACAATATTTGAGCAAACCATAACTAACCAATATTCTATGAAGGCCATGAAATTTGACCCAACCTCAAGTCTGGAAAATAGAAACTGGGGGATTAAATAAGTGTACTCTTTTAATCTTGTTTCTACTAGGAATTCAGTAATTAAAACTTATTTTGTAACTCTTAACTTAAGAAGTAATGAGTAATTTGTTGTGTTTACCCAAGAGTTCTAAGTCCATTTCCTTTGCAACACCTCTGGCACCATCTCTTCCAAATATGTAGGCTTTGTGTTCACATTTAGGACATACATAATGGCTCATATTTTGAATTAGTCCAATAACCTTGATTTTAAAGAGAGAAAAAATGATCTCATCAAAGAATGTGCAATTTGAAAAAAAGAAAATCAATGCTAAGATCACCCTATTACCATTTAACATTCTGTGCAACACTTACTGGTACATCAACCTTTCTGAACATCTCTGTGCCTCTACAAGCATCAAGCAGTGCAATATCTTGTGGTGTGGTGACTATCACTGCACCTGCACAAATGTGTATTAGTATATAAAATTATTATTTGGGACCCATTTCGGCTGAGGCCATTAATAGATTTTGTTGAAAAGACTCTCCACTAGGGTGGTTAATGGGTACTAATGAATTTTCACTTAACCCCATCAAATGCAGGGTGATACCTTGTGATAGACCAGGCCCCAGTTGTTTGAAAGGGTAGATAATGCTATCCACTGGATAAATTTTTACTCAATGTGTAGTGCACTACCTTTTGCTAGCACTTATCAGCTGGGTAGCAATGTATCTGTCAAATAGCCTTAACTGCCTTTTGAACAACTGGGGCCAGCATCACAACTTGGTGAAAGCAATACTAAAGATCTCATCATGCTACTATAGTCAGCCAAAGTTAGCTGGTTCACAAAGCAGGCAGATTTCTTTGTCAGCTGTTACATTTTCTTGGACATGGTGTGCACAACATTTGGTAATATTCCAATCCCTTTGGACTGACTGACCAGAGGACACTTCCCATTAATTTATTCAGTCACAAAATGTGCACCAGAGCTTTATTTCAAGACTTCAGATAATTGTGTCCCTCACCCAAAATTTGCCTAGCTCACCTGAAATAGGAATGAGTTGTGAGATTGACAGCTGGGTATCTCCTGTGCCAGGAGGCATGTCGATCACTAGAACATCCAGCTCTCCCCATGCAACCTGTCGTATTAACTTTTCCACTGCAGACATCACCTTTTGTGTTGAATACCAAATTAAAATTTAATAATTAAACATAATCAAATTTACTTTCATTTTTGAGATTTGGTTCAATTTGGTAATTCTTCCTTAAAGCTGGTATAAATTTCCTTCAAATCAGTTGGGAGAATTTGATGTTTTGTTGAGGTAACACTCTCTAGCTGATGTGTGTGTATTTGTGTCACCTTTTTGTTGAATCATGTATTGAATGATCTAATTATTGTGAGAAAGAGTGCATGGCTATGCATTTGTGTAGTACAAATCTCAAGCAATTTACAATTCTCCACCAAGATCCTAACATTTGGAGCTCTCTTCCTGTTTCAATCACTCATTTGTCAAATATTCTTAGCTTTGAGATAAAAATGTAAGAGTTTGTACTTAAATAATCACTGGATCGGCCAAGTTGCACATTTACAGCACTTGCTCTGTTCTAAATGAATCTTTGTAAGTGAGGTGGCCTCTCCCATATGACCAGTGGCTTCTTGGGTCTCCCTCCTCTAAATTATGATACTGTAGATGAAGTTTCTTGTATTGTTAAATCGACATATAAAATGATGATGATGATGATTACTTTCAAGAGTTAAAAGGGTTAATCAGAGTGAACTCACCATTAATCCTCTCCACACAATTGGTGCCCCTTCCTCTACCAGAAAACCCATAGACATACTGAGAAGTGAAAATATAATTTGTGATAAGCATGATGACTGTTTTATCACAGACATTACATTGAACACAATTTGATAGAGTTAAGTAGAAGCATGAGTAACTAGCAGTCACCCAAGGAAATAGAAATTCTTAATTCCTCATGTGATAAAAAATACCATGCTAAGTTAATTTATGAAAGATGTGACCTTACCAAGGCACTCCAAAATTCACCAACGGCTTCATCATGTTTTCTTTAGACAAATAAAAGACACAGGTTGACTCAAACTGGTATTCTTTAAAAAATTTCACGCAGAGCCTTGCAGGTCAATTGTATTAATTTCCAAATATTTAAAATTTTTAAACAGTTTAGTCAGATATTGTGGACTAATATATCATTCATGGGCCACAATGGTCATTAGGTTACAGTCATTTCTTTGATCATAAACATTAACTTTGTTTTCTAAATGACCCCTCTTGACACAAAATGCACAAGAGCTGCCATTTGGGGTACAATTGAGATCAGATCTCTTCCAGCAATAGCAGCTTTTGGTTCAACTGCAACATTGCGGATAAAGATAACTGAAGCATGCCTTTATTCAGATCATGATAATCACAGAGCTCCAACCTTTTGTTAGCTCTGGCTGTCCTCTTAAGTTCATCATTTTTGGTATAGATGGTCCATAAATATCTGCATCAAGAAGCCCAACACGCAAAGACTAGTACAAGAAAAATAGCTGTTTCTTAAATTTAAGACAGATAGTTTGACTAACATTTTTCCAGCAGAGAAAAAATTTAGGACAAAAAATCATAACATTTTTAAGGCTTGTGAAAAATGTTTCTTCAATAACAGCAGATCCTTGAATGATACAGTTTCTATTCATGTCTATCATCAACTGTGAAATCATAACAGTTGTTTCCTTCCTCTTCTCAACCCAGACAGACCTAAACAACCCTTAACAGCCTGAGAGGTCTGATAGAAAGTGCATAAGGCAGCTAAATCTATCAAGTAGATCTGCATATTTTAATTATTCCCTTCATCAAAAAAAAAACAAACAATTTTAAAAAAAAGCATAGGGTATTGATTAGTGGAAAGGATTTGTTGAACACAACTGTAGCCTTTTGGAAATCTTCCTCGTTCTCATACACTGACACAAAGGACTGTCCCCCCCACCCTTACTGTCAGGGTAGAAACATTTCATGACACATACATGCATGGCAAAGTACTAATAAGCTTTCAGAGAGAAACGTTATTAGTAGTAATCAATAATTAAAGCAATATGATACAAAGACCAGTCATACCAGAAAATCTCCTAAATTATGGTCTCTGCCTTGAGGCAAAGGCAAATTCTCAAAATTTGCAAATTAGAAACTTTAAGATGGAAATTTGCTGCTACTCCATTCACCACAACTAGCAATGAGATGCTTGATTTAATTATGTACAGCATTACTCTAAATTTCAACTTCAAACCTGTTTTCTTGCTAGCATTCCCAAAGCCAGATTCACTAGGAAAAGTAACAAAAGTCAAATCAATATCTGAAGAAACAAAATGTGTTAAAGAAATTCACAATTGGTAACTCATCCATATCAATTTTAGAAGAGTTTTGGAAGAGGTCTAAACCTAAGAAAAATTTGATGGTCCAATGATTATGGCTTGTAGAACTCAACAAAAAGGAAAAACACATGAACAGAACCAGCAAGGATCAACACCATATTAGCTGACACTAGGCTTGTGTTCCCTTCACATGAATACTTGCACACTAAGGGTATGTTAGCAATTAAAGGAAGGGCTTTGTGACCCCTTTTCATCTAATGTTGGACATATTACACCATTTAGATCAGAAATTTGGTAAACATTTCTATAGTATCCAGAACTTAATACTCTCCCCCCCCCCCTTCCCCATCCCTGACCCAAAAGAAAAGGAGCAGATACTCTATACACACTATATTTGACTGAATTGCAATTAAAAAAGGAACCAATAACTTGAAATGGGAACTTATAACTACTGCTCTGAAAATTAGTTATTTTCAAAAACATTTGTGAAAAGATATCAGGAACTACTTGGTATACATATATATGTCAAAGTCAGGAACTATATGTCAATGATGACTTCATTCAGTGACTTGCAATTTATACCTGAGGTGGTGGATTTTCCAACTCCTCCCTTGCCAGATGCTACTACTACCACATGCTTGACACCATCAACTGGCCGCTTTTTGGGGAGACCTCTAGCCATTTGTTGCTTCTGATGTTCATCTAATGACTTGCTCCTATTTTTGATGCCCTTCAAAACCAGAGAAAAAAAGAGCATTGTCTTGTTACAGTAAATCCTCACTTGAAAAACTTCTGACAAATTTCAGCCAAAACTTAATGGTCCACCCAGTAGTCTGACGTGAAAGACAACTTACCCTCTCCTCTAGGCGTATGGGAAGGGGGGCTGATTAGAGGCGAGAATAACGGCTGACACTTCACCAAGCCTGCCAAATACTGCACAGACTATAATAATCGGGCCTTCATTCCTTAACCTGTGACATTAGTTACGTCTTACAGCAAGATCTAAATATCCAAAATTCCCGAGTCTTTCCGACCCTTGATTGCTTACCCCGTGACCCTTGTCGAGGAGAGTTTTTCAATTCCAGAGAAAAAATAAAGAAAAGCAGAGAGAACAATTTAAACCTGCGGATAAAATCTTCAAATAGGTACTAACCCTAGAAAAGAAGCGAATCATAGTTGTGTAACCCATAAGGAGCTCGAGATGAGGATAAGAAAAATAGACCCAAATGAGGACCAAAGTCTTCAGCGACCGAAACGAATAAAAGTTTACTTATGTGAACATCATATTAACACCCACCAGTGGATCTTCGTGAGATGAAGCTAGCACTGCACAAATGTGCATCCTAGTTTTTCTACAGGAAGCCGGTAGAGAAGAAGATGATATTATTGTTCTTGTTAAAAATCTCTGTACAACGGACGCCATCTTTGTTATTGATACCTTTACATCATGTAAGCGAATTCAAATTATCCTTTCCACGTGAAGCATGCTCTCCCCAGTTTCACACGTAAAACACTTCGTAGCAAGGATATATCTTTTTGTGTCTTTATAATAAATTTATGTTGCAATTTTTCTCTTTCATTATTCAGGAATAATTTTCTCTTCTTCTTTATCCCCGAGTACTCTTCTTCCTACCAATTTGTTTCACCTCTCCCTTTGATTGTGTTTAGATTCAGAAACACCAGCTGTATCCCCTTCTTCCACGACAAACGCTCCCAGCTAATTAAGCTAATTACGTTGTAGCTCTGTAACTCCGCCTAAACTGTATAAAGCCTTTTATAATGGTAAAGAGACAAAGTTGATGTCTTTTGTTGAGAGTCGATTTTATTGTATTAATGAACGACCTATGCCGTGATGAGCACTCGATTACCATGGAAACTAATCGATTAATGCAACAATGCGATTTGATTTGTGATTTGATTTTCCACACAGGAATCTGCGTTGTACTGGTAGCGTGCACAATGTAACTAACGTCTGATTGATTCAATATCGAGAAATGTCCTTTGCCACTTTTGATGACGATGACGAGGATGGGATCGATCGAATAGTCTTGTCGCTAGAACAAGTTTCTCACGAACCGGAGGAATTCGTAGCATCGAGCGATGCTCTGTTGACTGGTTGGACTGTAGACCGCTCTGTAGCTCCAAATGAAAACAAACCTTCGTCTCACCGATCCTCTCTGGCCGTAAAAGACTCTAAAGATCTGAGATCGAATACTCCTCGAAAGATATTTTCTCGCCAGAGAAATCGTAATGACGTGATCGAGTTTAAACATTACCTACACCCTGAGAAATACATCGAAGAGTACAGGAATGAAAAGACCAGGCGACAAGAAGCTGCTCTGAGAGAATTAGCAAACAAGACCGATAGACACAGAGCGTCTGATAGCAGTGTAGAGTTGAGAAAAACTTGTACAAATTGCGATTATTTAGAGAATGGAACGTCCAAACACATCCCTAGTGTTGTAAGTATGAAGGAAGTACAAACAGTTGAAGATGACAATACTGTTAAGCCGTTCATTGTTGTCAAATCAAAAGGATTGACTCGACCTGCTAATTTGCCAATGTCGGGACAATTCCACGGCAGAAAACTTCAGTGGAGGCCATCTGTTACGAACAGAAAGATAACTCACTCAAAGCCATCACCTTGGTAAGACAATTTTAATATTGATTGTTCCACATGTTACGCGTGACTGGAATAATGACGATCACTATTTATCTAAACATTCATTTTAATCCTTCAAACATCACTTACACGCCATAAACTACTGACTCCTTCAAATAAATTAATCATAAGTTGCTGAGTTTAGCCATAAGCTGTTTTCACATAATTGTTAAGTACAAATTCATACGATACACCATTCGTGAAGTCATGAAAATATAAATTCCTCCAATTATCTATAATTGAATTTTGATCGTAAGCAATGCGCCGATGGATCGATAAAAATGCTTAACATTTTTTATTACAATGGGTAATCAAAACAAAGTTTGAGAAGCGAGTTTTGAGGCCAGCACGGCTCTTTTTCCTTTTTTAAATTACGTAAACATGTTCTCTCTTCAAATAAATCTTGATTACTCCCGTTGTTTTCAGCGTAGCCTGCCTGCACGCAAGTTCGCCCCCGGCCGAGGAGAGAGGGAAGGGATTTCTTCCTTTCTTTCCTTCTTCCTAGTGTGTTTGTAGAAGCGTTATCCAACTACGCAAACGAATATCCTACTCGCAAGTTGCATTTATTAAGACGCTTTGAACGCTAGCTATACTTAAGATGTGGAGGAGATTAGTCAGAAACTCTCTCTCTTTTTAGGAGTCAAGCACACATTGATGTGACTCTTGAGATTACATCACAGGGTGGTGGTGACGTCAGTCAGTTGGTCCACACCAGCAAACAGGTCAGGCTTTTTAACTTTCTTAAGAATTCGCTGGTTTAGAAGAACAATGATAAAACTGCTTTATATGTTAATGAAACAGATCCTTTTCGTTATTAAAGCCACATTAAAGTGGTAGAAGATTAGGGGTCAGACGTTAGACCACAGACTCAGCGTTCATTATCACATATAGTACAGTGTACCACCTTATCCGTGAAATCGATTGAAAAAAAATAAGGTTTAAAATCAGCTCAGGAACCAGAACCAGCCATCTTGGCCTGTTGACCGACTAAGCTTGGGCAATTTAGAATCTGCTACGTAGCCACAATAAATTCACAAACTCATAATGGTTTTCTTGATTTTGACTATCATCGACTATCAACTACGTTTTGCAACTCCTTTGTGGTAAGAATTTCGGATAAACGTTTTTTGTAGAAAGCAAAAAAAAAGGTTACATCCAAGTACGTAAGCCAAAAAATGAAATAGGAGTTCTAAGATCTGAAGGAGAGTGGTAACCTGCTATTAAGAAATGATACTTAGTGGGTGAAGGAAAAGGAATTTTAAAACTATCTGTGAAAAGGAAAAGGAAAAAACTGAACAGAATCCTGAAAGAAAAAAAGTTCTTGTTGTGGCTTCTTTGAAATTTAAACTTTCCTCGATTTTTTTTTGACTTTGACAACAGGAACCTTTCGAAATTGTATTTCCACAGAACGAGGATTACAATTTATTCCAAGAGAGAAGATCATCGGCGAACTTAGTGATCAAGAGAGCAGACTTAGGAGGTTCACCAACTGCAACACTGCGAACAAACAACAAAAGTCCGTCCCCAGCTACTCGAGCCATCACTTCTCAAGCTATCATAACTCAGTGCTCTCCGATTGAAAAATGCGACGCATGGGTGAAAAACCGAGATAATGAATTGGGAAATTTCTCCAGCAAAGCGAAGGAACAGCTCAGCGCAAAACCGCCGACTGTTCGAAGAATTCTCGCGTCATCTGGACACTCTACACCGCTTTCTTTACGCGGAAACTCGGTGAGCTCTCCTCAGAAAGATTCGTCTGGTCCACGATCGACGGAAAGCTCAGCGAGTTCAACTGGAATGGATTATTCTAAATATACTGACATGTTTAAGAATGTGTTAGAATTTTACGGAACGAGACGTTTGAGGCCAAAATCACATTCAGCAGTGGAACAGTTATTATCCATGAAGACATGACAATCGCATATTTGTACAGAGAGGACTGTAGGCCTGTCTGTAGAGTATGTCTGTAGAGTTCTTTTTAAGCGTTGATTCAGTTTGAATGCCAGAATCCGGCGCTGCATTGCACGTTCAAGATCTCGTCAAGTTCTGCTTTACTCTGCAGACTAGGCTTAAGGAAAATAGATTACCTTAAGTCCGCGATAAATTTCAGTAAGGAACTCCACCTCGTTAAATCACCACTCTGCAGTTAAGGAACATCAGTATACACGTATTGCAGTAAATGTACACTCATGTTCGGCGAACCTCGGATCACGACAAGTTAGTTTGACTCTCGTTGCTGATTATTTTTTTTTTTTAATCATGAATCTACGATCGCAAATTCTAAATCAGATTAGCTTCGCTAGTCACTATTAAGAGGATATCAGTTGATATTCTATTGTCACTATCCATTCCATGGTAAACAACGAGTTATGTAAGTAACCTAACAATGAGCTTTTGAAAACAAAAGAAAACTCCAAGGCATGAACCTATCCATTAACTTTTGAACGACTTCTAGATTATTTGCTCTCGACTTTTATGCTTTTTAGTTGATTTAGGTTTCTCTCTCATCAACTATTACCAGATAGAAATCTTTAGCTCATTATCTATTGTTTAAGAAAAGCGCACATGTCTCAGAGTGTCACCAAGAACACCAAAATCAAAGAAAACCCAAACGACCAATCAGAACAGAGGAGAACGTCATAAAGAGCCAATGAAAACAAAAAGTATAAAAACTTCAATGTTAAATACGCAGGCTTAAGCACGATGAGTTGGGAATCGCTTGTTGAGTTAAAATTGTGTGAATATGTACAGCGAGTATGTATAAATATGTATCAAAATTTGTACATACAAAAAGGAACTAGAACAGTATAATAGGAATATAAATATCATGTCAAAAGTGCATGATGGTCGATCATAAATATATTATTTAATATGATTCCGTTGCTCTTCTCTTCTCGAATCTAACTATTTAGTACCGCGCGACATGTTGTGCCGGTGAAGTGCATTGATATCGGAGGGGGGGGGGTCCTTTTGGAGTGCAAAGAGAAAATATCACGAGAGGGGGAAATTTTTATACTCAAAGGAGGTTGGTTCGATAAATTCGAAAGGGCGAAAATTTCGTGAAGTTCGCAAATAATATACTTTCATGCTTACGTTCCTTTTGTGGCGGGTCAAAATAAGAATCGGATCGAATTGTGAGTATTTACTGGCGTCAATACAGAGTTTATTGGTAAAAACATTTGCGACTAGCTCCAACTACTATTACCATAGTGATAATTTTGAGCTATATCTGAATGGGCTGTCTTGTATATATCTCAATTCTGATTGCAACCCGATTAGAAATATGATGTTTCCGGAGACATGCAAAGAACTGCTGCTATTCAAATGTCCAAAAGGGCAAGTTAAGGCGTTTAATGTTTAGAACTACTTTTTCAAGGCACTTTTTGAAACGTAATCAGTGTGCATTCGGATATTCCGTGCAAAACACTCACGCCCTATACTAATTACAGTATGTCATTCGTTTTTTTAAGCACAGTACGATACAGAAAAGCTGCAGCGCGCACCAACGCATGATGCATTTGAGAGCGCATGGAAGAATGGAATTTTCACCACAATATGCCAATAACTGAGAATAGAAATCGCGAAATCAACTGGCCTGCTTGTCTAGTCGAGTGTGTACTTTCAGCGCACAAGATAAAAAAAAAAAGCAGCAACGAAAAATGCTGGCGAGGGAGACAAGGCCAAACAAGGCTAGATGGAGACCGTGATCACCACAGCTCTCCTGCTCGAAGAAAGCCTTTATACTTCAAATTTTAACCAAAAACTTTGAGATATTTTGAGAGGGAAATTTTCTAAAACAACGAAGTGTCGAGGAAATACTCGCCTCGGAAGTCTTTCGCAAATCACAGACATTTCTTGAGTGTTACTGTTCGCGAGTGTTCGTAATCGACACGGTAACAATTTCTCTGTTAAGGCTCAGATTCACATTTCTGTCGTTGTGGCAAAAAATTACATGATACATTGTACTTCGTTTGTGCTTATTTTATTATCATTCGAACAACTCGAGAGAAGGAAGACGCTGAGACTTAAAAATATGAACATTCGGTTTACAACCTGATGAAAAAAGTTGACATGTACTCCTACCGACATGTATAAATAAAATAAATAAGCAACGACAATGGATTGAGCGAATCTTCTTTATAATATAACTTTTTACAAGATTCACGACGCAATAAAATATATTTGTGTGCATTATTTTACATGCGTGATCCCCTGGCCTTTTGAATTGGATTCTTGACACTTAAAGGATGACACATACAGAACTTTGTCCTTGGGACGTGGACCCAACCGACCGTCTACGATTGGCTGTTTCAAAAAATGAACGAATAGAAGTTTAGAGATTAAGTAGGAAAAAAAGAAAAACTGAGACACAAAGGACTAAGACTTCGATCCTATTTAAATTATTATAGAGCGATGTCAGGCTTAAGCAACAAATTGTTGTACCTTCAATATAAACATCTCGCATAAACTGGCCACCAGTCAAAGGAATACTGTTGAGTAAAAATAATAAAACAGCTGTTACACAAGCAATGCATTCGGCCTATATCGCAGACAATAACTCTGAAAAACTACACTCTTGGATCCTGCGACACACGACGCACTCTGGCCTTCACTCATCCCCACTACAGTGTAAAGCAGAGTCGGTGACTTACTTTTCCCGGCAAGGGTCGAGTTCCACTTGATAAATGCCAAACACGGGTCTGGAAGAAGAACAAGAACAATTATTAGCACAGGCCAACCAATGATTCATCTGGAAAGTATCAACACATAATTACAAAACAAAACTATGTTGTATAAAGGGGGTAAGTTCCTAAAGAAACTTTGGTGCTGCGTCGGTGAGAGAGTATAACAGGATAATTTAGTATTATCAACTAAGTTGATAACGTAAATTGGCCACCGTAAAAAGTTTAAAAGCTGACGTTTCGAGCGTTAGCCCCTCGTCAGAGTGATGAAACGTCAGCATTTAAACTCTTTACGGTGGCCAATTTACGTTATCAACTCAGTTGATGATACTAAAAAAACTGTGTTGTAGTTGCTGATCTTCACCTGTGATCTGAAGTTTTGACAGAGACACAGCTGCTGTACAGCACAGGTTGGATGCTTGATGGATCTTTGCTGCGGTAAAGAACACGATCCTGATAGACAAGATAGAACAAACGAATCATTACACGCTCCTTCATTTGTGCTTCAATACAACGCAAGTAGTAGCTCAAGTCTGCAGAAAGTAGGGTATGAATATAGGCCTGACTAGTCTACTCCCCATTCGTTCCTTGAGATACCATGCAACGATCCCCACATCCAAAATAACGGCTGCAGAAAGGGCCTAATGTCTGACTACATTTTAATGATGAAAACAAACACATGCACATAGTGTTTTGTTCAATTAAGTGACGTAAAACCAGAATAATCACAACGACCAATCAGAACGAGGGTCGACATTAACCAATGAGAACTTAGAGTGAAAAGAGGAAAACTGTTGGACTAAATCGCGATTGGGTTTAATATTTTTGCATCCGCTTAGTTGAGACGATGATGCGAACTTCTGGAACAATCGCGTGGCAAAGAAGAGCAAAAGCAGAGCGACCCAGGATTACTTCAGACTCTCCACTGAAAATTGCTTTGCGTCTCTTTTGGTTTTCGTGCTCCAGAGGGCGAGTTTGAGGCATACGCAAGGCCTCGAAAAAACAACTTGAGTTGCACCCAATGGGTAGAGGTGTGCAAAAAGAAAAGATGAGAAGAGTTTAAGTGTCTCTCTTAGTTTAAGTGAATCGAAGGAGAGAACTTATCTCACCGTCCAAGATGGTGTCCTGTTTTTCGATGAGGAGTCATAGTTGTCACTTTGTATGTCATGCTTGTAACTTGGTAAAAATTTGATGGGCGGTTCCGTGAACCCAACAAACACTTTTCCTGTTACAAAAAAGAAAGCGTGTTGATATTATGGGTGATGTTTGATTTTTAAAAGCACAAAAAGAAGATTTAAATTATTTGTGGCTGAGTATAAAACGATAAAAAGGCACTTAGTAATGAGTGTCATAAACACAACACAAAAGTAGAAAAAACAACCAATGTGGAATAGGGAAAAAAAGACAAGAAGGTGACAAGAACTCAGTCTAAAATCAGTAGTTTCTGATTGCTTGAGAAGATGACTCGATATTTTTTTGATCCATCACAGATGAAGAAAAAGCTAAACAAAAATAAAGGAAATTTAATGACATTCTATATCACCTTGCTCCATAAGGTCGAGTAGCTGATCCTTTGCTAACAAATCCTGCAAGATAAATAGGATAATAAAAACTATTTTTCTGATGGACACTCCTCACCATTTCAACACATCATTGACAATTAAATTATGAGCTCAAGATTTCTATCTGCTAACAAATAGATTCCATACTGCTGTGCATATATAGCTCCCAAGATCAGATTGTCAATTCTTCCTTCTAGCTGCTACACATTTCCTTGTTAATAAGTTACAAGAATTTGGTGTTAGATCAAGATAACAACTTCTACCTGATACATTTGAGTATTCTCATTACCTGTTTGCTGGATAGTGTATGAATATTGTAGGGAGAAGTTACTTGTTAATCACTTTTGGGAGTTAAAGGGTTAATAGATCACAGAAAATAAAGTGGTAGACAAGGCACAGCATCAGGTTTCTCTCTTCACCACCAAGCAAAAAAAATAAGGAAAAAAACTTTAATCCATGTCATGACCACTGCATACTAACTTTACACTCAGGGTTTTCCTGATCTTTATATTTTTCAAGCATCCCATCCACTTCTGATCTGCCAAGAGTCACCCTGAAGTTAAAGTCTCCCAACCAAAATACTCGATCAAAGTTGGCTGTTAAGTCCAGCTCTACAGCACAAAAAAATAAAAGTAGATCACCCTGAAAGTCAAAGCTTTTCATTCATTCATCTAAATTAAAACAGAATGTCACAAGAAAGACAAAGTGCCAAATTTTAATCTCAAACATCGAGATAAATGTGAAGTGGTCAGAGAAATGAATAATTGCAATGAATTCTGACCATTGGTTCTATCGGGCTGATTCTCAGGCGACAGTGACAAAGACTTGCAAATTGTCTTGTAGTCAATCACACGGTCCAAAGCTTTACCCTCATCCGCTGCAAGATATGAGGTCTAAAAGTTAGTCTGAAGTCTTAGGGTTCAGCTTTTTCTCACCTGAACAAGAATTGTTAACTCATTTGGGGCATTGTGTAGCATGATCATGTACAAGCCAGGGTATAACTCTTGGAGTCCTACAGACCCCTCTCCCCTTCCCCATGAAAAAACACCACATTCGGGAGACTAAATTTCAAAGTCAAGCACATGGTTGAAGAAAAACCAAAACCATCTAGTTGATTTTTTTCATGCCCAGTGACAACTGAAACAACATTATCATGGAAAATTATATTCACCATGAACACTGAGTAGTAAAGAAACTTGATTTTTCCAAACAACAATAAGAAGCAAACCTAATGCAGTAAGTAAAACTTACAGGTAAAGTGGGAGTCAATAAAAAGGAATGATGTTCCAAAAATGCTGAATGAAACTGCCAGTGCTCCCTTAGTAGGAAAAAATATATGTTATCCAAAATATAAACATTACAAATAAATCATTCATTACAATTAATCTATAAAGACACTGCATATGGAAAAATAAGATTCAAGCCCCATGTTAGCTTTAAAACTAATAAGTATCTTGGTGTCAATGGAAAAAAAAACAGGAAAGAAATAGGTTAAATGATATGTATTTTTACCTTAGTTTTTATCATGTGTCCCACTCGAGTAGACACACTATCTTCACTCACAGCTAAAAAATAAGGAAAGTTTATTTTTAGTATTTTGAAAAATGTACCTGAAAACTGATCTTAAGGTGGCCTTTGTTTTAACAAGATTCCCATGGCTTGATTGACACTGTGAATTTATTGACTGTGCACCAGGGAAGTTGAAAACTAAACAGCAAAAGCCAACCAAAAGGAAACTAAAATTTAAGAATGGTGAAAATAACACCAAGCTAAAATGATGAAATTTAGCAACAAGGATTAAATTTTCAAAATGAACAACATCTATTGATATTTACCATGCAGTGTGCAATTCCTAATAACAGTTGTGCTATTGTCTTAGGTTAATCATGCCCCAAACACAGTTAAACATCAATATTTAATATCTTATAAAGTGAGGAAACCAAACAGTTTGCTAACTACTGTAACAAAATAAGTGCACTGCATAGTTTGGAGATTGTACAAACCAGAACAAAACCAGACAAGTTCTCTTCTGATGAAAATTGCTAAATGCAGCAATCCAAATGAACAGGAGTACATCAACACATGTGATGGGCCAAGGGTTTCTTGAAGACGGATCTCCCATTCTTTACTGCAAAGATTGTTTTAAAAGAAAAAAGTGAAGTCAATCTATCCTCAATCATCACAACAATGAATAAATATCAATTTAGTCTATGGAAACTCATGACACAGAGTGTAAGCATTACCGCTGAGATGTACTTTCTTGCAAGCCTATGACATAAAGATCTTGTAAAACGTCAGTTGAGTCTGGTATTAGGAAGTCATCTAAGTAAAATGGAACTTCCTGTTTGAGGAAAAATGAAATCAAAAGATCAAAGATGATATATGTCATTGAAGTTAATATTCATGCAGTCTACATCAAAGGGACATAAAATCCCAAAGGGATTGGAAACTAGACAATTCAAAATCACAACAAAATCGGATTCGCATCTATGACCAGTCGTCAAATGCTGTGTATTTACCCTTTACACCCTAACACCAGTATGCATATTCTCCATACTGTTCTCTACACATTTTTTAACTTGCTGACAAGGAGAACTTGTTTAACAATCTAGAGCTTCGTGAATGAAAGTGATCCTTGCAGTAATGTGCACTACTTAGGCAGTAGTGAAAATAAGGCCTGAAAAAAAATTCAGGCCTGTACAGGATTTGAACCCATGACCTCTGCGATACCGGTGCAGCACTCTACCAACTGAGCTGACAATCTAGAGCTTCTTTAGTTGGTGATCATTTCCTTTATTCTCATGACCTTAATGTGTGACTCAGGGGTGATATTGTAGGGAGAAATTAGATGCAAATCACTCTTAGGGGTTGAAAGGTTAAACTAAAATAGAGCAATGTCCTTTACACTTTCTTTGAAGCCCAGTTGTTTTGCATTTGACAGGAAAATGAATGACAACCTTTTTTTTTTTAACATAAAATATCTATTTTCTTCAAACATCTGGATAAAAAGTCCATTCATTGCCGGTATCCATTCCAGAGGTTAAAGCATAAGCTTACCTTTTCCTCATGCATATTCCAGGTAGCAACAAATATTCCAATTTTTCTATCAGGCAAATAACGTTCCATTTCCTCCTTTAAAAAGTTGCCACTTCTTGTCCTTGCCCTTCTTGCCGAGACATGGGGAAGTACCATTGATCTTGTTGTGCTTGAGAATCCTCCAGTTGACCAATATGACAAATCTGTTTCTGATGAACACCTTTCATTACTAGCTACCTGTTCTAATGCCTTACTCAGTTGTTGCAGATCAGAAGCAGAGTTACATTGAATATTGTCCTTATTTGTTTCATCAGGATGTATGCTCTCATATAATCCTGATGCATTTGCTTTAAGAGTTCTGCCATGGCCTTGCTTGGTTGGATCATTTTCATAATGATTGCTTGCCTTGATAGTCACATCCTCGCACAAACCAGCTGGGTTAACTCCTTGTGTTTTAGCATTCGATTGGTCAGGAAGGGTAGGGAGAGTAGAATTGGGGTCCCTTTGGTTTCCCTTGCCCTCTGATTTTCCTTCAGCATCACTAACGCTCAATGAATTTTCTTCATCATCGCTTACACTGGTTAGGCTATCATTTGAGGAGGACAATGTAGTTTCATCGTCTGCAGGGGTCTCATTTTTCACTTCAATTGATTGTTCAGATTTTGGATGAATATATGTTGATTCTGTCTGTGTTGAGATGTCATCTGTTGATTTAACTTGCTGTGGCTCAACCCTCAAAGGATGGACAACATTCTTTTTCAAAACTTTCTTCACAAAATCATCGTTTTTGACGCTATTCTGATTAGATTTAAAGCTATAAACGAGATCCTTTTCTGACCCGATATCTTTCAGAGGTTGTATACCCCTAAGATTGCGATTGATACTTCGACTATTCTTATCGCGAGGGCTACCAAAAGATTCATTGGAACCAATGCTATCCAAACTTCCCGTGCTTCCTCCACGTTTCAAAGGTAACGGATCTAGCGCAACATTCGGAACATGTTTATGACTTCTCCTTTCGTCTTCTGATCCAGAAGCAGAGTTTCTGGGCGATTCATTGTGAGTTCTTTTGATTCCTTTTGAATTCAACGCCGCCAAACGAGGACTCCCTTCGCCGGAAGTTCGCGAATTAGAACGCGGAGAAGTAGGAGGATGTGGGGCAAATTTCACGTTTTGATCGCTTACTTCTTTGACCAATAGCACCTTATCATTGTGGGATGATGATGAATCTGATCTATTTCCAGCTGATTGAGATTGCCGCTGGTGAAGAAGCTTTGGTCGGTCAAACGATTGCTTCATCGCGGCTGTGCGTAGATTATGATTGAAAAATGAATAATTTCCTCCTTCAGCCATGATGATGCGGCATTATATGCATCGTGTAATTTTCCAAATTCAACGGTATTTCAAAACTCGAAAATAAAAGCGGCTAATAAGCAAAAAATTAAAATTGTTATGGGTCTGCCATATTGTTTGTTCGCTGCGGTGATCAAGGTTACCGAGCCAGATATTTTGTTTGGGAGGAGTAGGTGAGGACATTAGTGTTTGTAGATCTTACCTGTGAAATTATGTAAGAGGTATATATAAGAGGCATCTCAGAGCCGAATGAGGGTGGAGCAAGACGAAACATCACACGAAATTTAATGTGCTTATGACAAGTTTGAAGTTTCACGAATACAGTTAAAGGTTGCAGCGACAACATGATAATCCTCTCCACCTCTACCCTGATAAATATATTCGAACGACTGTACCCTCGATGCCAGGTCGAGGTATAATCCAAGATGGCGGACGGAAAGGACATGAAGAAGTTCTTGGCAAATCATCCTCATTTTGAACTTTTCAGAGATGACCAGATGAGGGAGAAGGTATTCAAATGGTTTAATTAATAATGAAGTCACTCTTTTGACGTTTTCTCTTCAATTCTGAAGGACTGCAGAAAATGTGATAATTTACACCAACACGCTTCGTAAGGGTAGAAGGAGACAACAAATCAGGGTCAGATTTGTTAATCACGAGTATAATTTCAGACAGAATTGGACAACTCGAAGTCCTGTAACCAGTTCATAAAAAATCTGACAAAATTTTAGAAAGAAGCTAGACATCGCGTATACTTTTTCATGAAAAGAAAAAACAAGAGTAACTCAGGGAAATGCACGACAACAACGCGCACAAATGACGCATGCTGCCCACTCACACGAATATGACGCGTCAACTGTCCTATTACACTGTCCAATTACAAGCATGACGTGAACACTGTCCTATAAGTGCTCAAATCAAGCTGGTGATTAACCAATCACGTCCAAGAATTTTGTTATAGTTTTGATTAATGATGGTAATAGGACCGAGTGGAGTCCAATTCGGTCTTTAATCATGCGATTGATGAACAAAATCGGACGACTTTGAGGCAGGAGTCAGATTTGTCAATTATAAGTACGAGTTCAGACAGAATTGAATGTTGCAAAGTGCTGTTACCAGGTAATAATAACTCTGACAAAATTTGAGATTTGAAACTAGACATCACTTATACTTTTTCATAAAAGGAAAAAAACAACAGTTAACTTAGGGAAATGCACAACAACAGCACACACAAATGACACATACTGTCCACTTACACAGGCGTGACATGTCAACTGTCCTATTATACTGTCCAATTGCAAGCATGATGTGTACACTTTCCTCTAGGTGCTCAAATCAGGCTGGTGATCAACCAATCACATCCTAGAATTTTGTTATAGTTTTGATTAAGTTAAAAACCATACAAGTGAAGTTTGTCTGTGAATACAGGTGATTACAGGGACCTTAGGTAGGACTTGTGGAACTCTTCAAAAAAAAAAATTGGGGGCTTATTTTACCTGCTTTGGGTTTTAACACTGGATCTCAATGTAAATAGAACAATGATTATCCACTTGTGACTTGCAGCCACATTTGTTATGAGGTAGAATAATAGAATAAAACATAAACAAGGAAATTTCATATTCAGTCAGTTGCCTAATAGCTGTTTCTCCTAAAATAGATGCCCCTTTTGAATAAGGGGGCTCTCAGTGAGCATAAATTCATCACAGGTGTCCTTTTCAAATAAATGCATCAGCCTCTCAGTACTGAAACTAACACTGCAGAGAATGTATAGTGAAATTATTGAAAGTTCCCTCCCCCCAACCCCCTTAGTCAAGCATCCCCCTTGAGTACAAGCCCCACATTATGTTTTCACATCTTATCTTTTGGTAACTTCGCGGCCTGGGTGCTATCGGAAGGATTTGTTGTCAGCCAACTTTCTCTGTCTATCAGAGAGTCTCTACAAATAATGTGAATCTCTCCAGCTCTCCTTTAAGTTTCCTAAATCTCCAAGAAAAAAATAAATTTAGACATTTTAATGATTTTGCTTTCTTTGTAAGGATGGCTTTATATTTGCGAAATGTTCATGATTCTGAGAGAAAGAAGCCAGGACAAAGTGATCATATAACAGACTAAACCCTTTATACCCTAACATCAGTATGCATATTCTCCACACTGTACCTGGTTTCTATAGATTTGCTGACAAGGAGAGTTTTTTTAACAATCAAGTAGTTCTTTAGTTGGTGATCATTTCCTCTATTCTCATGACCTATGTATGTGTTCCAGAGGTGACATTGTAAGGAGAAATTAGATGCTAGTCTATATTTGAGGTGGGTCAGGGGTGGGAGGGAAGCTGTAAGGTATTAACTAAAATCATACTTCTCTACTTTTCAGACTTCCTAAGGTTGGCATTTTTGATATTTCTTCATGCAACCAGTGCAGTCTATCTTAATGTTTAGTTTCACTTATTAAATTCTTTCCTTGTGATGTTAGATCAGATGTAAATTAACTGGACATGAGTTACCAGCAAGACTGACAGACCTTGAAAACTATATTAAAGGGAAGAAGTATCAGAGACTAAGTAAGGCAATTCCTGATGAATCCCCTGGGTATGAAGAATACAAGGAATACTTAGTGCCAAGTGGAAAAAAGGGGTAATGATATCATATTTGTTATGCTATGATAAGAGCAAACTTATGCTTCTGGTAATGGTGTATGTTGACGAAAGGAAGGCACATACCTTCCTGCAGAACTTTGGATTGTAAAAGTGTGACAAGAAAGAGCACAAGTACCTTGTCACTTCAAACTTGTTGTTATTATTATTGTGTTCAGATGTAGATTCAAAACTCAAGAAGGTTTAAGTGTAGTTGAAGTGTAACCTTACTCTATACACTAATTCATATACTTGTGGCAGAAAGACAGAATTCAAAACGATTTGAATTTGGAGAAAGGGGGATACATGAGCCACTGTCCCCTTTAAGTCCTATTCAACATTCATGTTCCCATTCCTCCTGATTGTCAATATTTCATTAAAAAAATAAACTGTCAATGGTCTATGTCATTAAAGCCACTACATGCCCCATGAGCTCAGAACTTTTTCTTTAGTGTTTGCGGATGTACAAGAAAACAACAGTTATATACAGGAAAAACAACTGAGATCTGACAATGGATCCCCATCATTCAATTTGCTTGTAAACTATTCATGTCTTGCATTGGTCTCCTAGAGGAGGAAGCGTTTTGGGTACTTGTTAGAATGTGATATATTATAATTGTTGAAATCTTGTCAAAACCATATATTGTGTATGGTTACTTAATTGTGTGTTTTTTAACATTACAAATCTTGTAGCAATCAGTTACATTGCCAGTTGACCAAGAAATACATAAACAATGCTCCACATCATATTCAAAGACACGTCACTGGAAAACGCTTCAAACGTGCGTTGGAAAAACGTAAGGTTTTCTTATGCTTTAGTATCGTTGGTGACTCTCATCAGAAATTCAGATTAAATTGATTGATCCTCTCGTGTCAGTTATAAAAGACAAGAACCTTGAATCTGAGGATGCAGACGAAGACATGTGGGTTCCGTCTGACCTTGAATCAGAATCAGAACCTGACGAAGAAGATGGAGAGGAAAAGATGGACGAGGGTGACTCTGGTGGAGAATTCTCTTCAGAAGGTGGCGTATCATGACAACAAAATATTTACAAGATTTAGTTTGTACTCTTGTCTTTCCTCCCTCAAATTGAGACCTCAGTACGTGGCCTACGAATAATTTCCAACGAGTAGTGGTCTGTTAATTCTTAATTTATCTGAGTTGTCTAAGTGTGATTTGACGATTGTGCTTTGCAGTGTATAACCGTAACTTTGGACTACCCCTTCTCTGAGGAAAGTCCGTCGGGCGACAAAAAATAAATAAACGAACAAAATTTTGAGAATTTTCTTCCTGATTGCTTTTAACTTGCGATATGTACTTTGCCGAGATCGACAGCACGTAACTTTGTAATGTTTCCAAGTCAAGAACGGGCAGTGGGCTGTTTATTTGTGTTTTCTTAATTAATTGAAGTCACTTTTTAGAATACCGTGTCTTTCTTCTAACAATTGATTTTATGTTCAGATGAGGATGATACATATGAGAAAAAAAATCAAAGTGGATTGAAAAGAACGCTTAAGGTAAAGTAACTTTCTCTGTGAGCCAACACTGAATGAGATTGAACTAAGTTACAATATCAGTAGAGGTGTTTATCAATGTTTCTCTTTGCCTCCTGCGCTGATATTTTGTTATTCAACGCAAGAAGGCTCTTGCCCCATGAAAGATGTCGAATCTGACTAACTTGAAGTGCAATTCCGTCATCTCACCAGTTTTCAGTTAAACGTCTCCTAGTTCCTGTTTGTATTACAAGTGGAACGAAGCACTTTTTTTATGCTGATTGGCTCTATATTCATCGTTCAATTTCACACCAATAATGGTTGTTTTTTTTGCCAACAGGAAACTAGCAAGAGTAAACCGACCAAAAGAGTGAAGGGAAGCGTAACTGGAAATTTGCCAAAGGACGAGGATACAAAAAACCTTAAAACAACGAAAGACAGGAAGAAAACTATGAAATCGTAACCTGAGCAACTAAGACCAATTCTTTTTTTCAAAAATCTACCACCTACTGAAGCGAGAGTGTGTGATATCACTATTGTCAATTGCACACTTCGATAAGTAGCACGACAGAAGTCCAAATTTGAACGTCATCAGACAACGATATGTGTGTCACGGAAGCGTCTCGCTTCCTTGGAAAAAGTTATGGCATACAGTTTGAACAAGTTTTCAAGACAATAGACAAGGTTCGCTAAAGTCTTTGAACATCAACAATTCGTCTTCCTCAAAGGATAAATACGCTGATTGAGGCACGAAGAAAACAAACACAAACAGTTTCCTTTGAGAATGCGGATGGTTGTTTTACTCCCTTCATTGTAAATGTATTTACAAATAAGATGATTAAGTACAACTGAATGACGTTAGCGAGTAGAAATAAAACTGACTCATTTCATGAAGTAGAGCGTGAAGTGTCCCATCATGATTCTCCGTCCCGTTTTCTGTGTACTAACAACTTAAATGTTATCATTATTACATAGCTATAAATATTTTGCTAGCTACAATATTTTGTAATGAAAGTGTCTGTTGCGGCTTTGGCGAAGACGTGCAGCAGTTCAAAAATGTACCCAAGTTGGAGAGATTGTTTAAAACAGCGAATATAAGACAGGAATTGAAAACTAAAGCTTGTAAAAATGTTGCGAACGTTCCCGCCGTCGAAGGCCCATCTCAAACATCACCGCACATGATGTGCGAATATGACGTAAATGCTCGCAGTTTGAATTGCGATAAAACTGAACTGTCGCTGTGTATACAGATAAAATACAATGGAAAGGGTATATAAAATAACGAATTAAAAATCAGGGGGGTAAAAGACAAAATAATTCTTCATTCATCCAACGGAGCCAGGCCCAGTTTCTTCACGAGTAGTCTTACTGCCTCCAAAGGATCTTGGACCATATTCAGCCGTTGCTGCCATTTCACTGAGTTGAATTTCTTTCCCTTATAAGGCGTGGGTGGGGCTAACTGGCAGGTGCTCCTCTCGTTGACCTTGTTTCGCTTAGCTTCCAGTCGATGGTTTCGTTCCGCTATCTTGTGGACACTCTTGATATCTTCTACAATCTTTGTCATGTTGAGAATGTCTTGAGCGATCGAGGAATCCCGGCATAAAACGAAAAGAAGGCAGCAAGTTTTGGCGAAGAGGAAACTTTTATCTCGGAAGTTTGCCAACAGTTCAACCAAGGTTTCGATAGAATCTGGTTGCTCATAAACAGTAGTATAAACTGACGGGTACTGTGGAACAGAAGATAGCTAATAATTATATTCGTGAATTTCAACTATATCTGTCATGTTCTCGTATGCTCCGAAGGGATGAATCTGACGCAAAGTTATGTAGGTAACTACGATAAGGGGGACGTTTTTCTTACCTGTGCGACATTGAAGAGTATTGATATGGAATATTTAATGACTTCTAAGTGCGGTAAACTGCGGTTGCACTTCTTGATTACTTTGAATATAACAGGCAGTGCACCATCTCTCACGACCTGCTGACAGCAAACCTCCGACAGACGAGTTACAACCTCTGAGATACAAACAATAACAACGGTTAATGGCACAATTCTCATAAAGTTTCAGCCTTCCGTTCAGAGTGGATGCTACATGCAGCTCTCGTTCTTCGGGTCAGCGCTTATTCGTCGAACAGTTGGTCGTGAAAAGTCGCGTTATTCTCAATCAGATGCAAAACTAAAATCGATTGAATCTTTTTTCAAGCTTACACGCTTGAAGTTCACACCTTTTTCTGATATCTTGTTTTGATATCACTTAGCCTCTTGTCATGTTTTTGTCTTGCTGTGATTGGGCTTTAAAATAGTAATTATTTTTTTCTCAAGGAACTCACCCAGGTTAACAAGCGCTCCCACTATCTTGCTGATATTCTTACACTGCAATAGGAAGTCAAGGGCGGACCTGGTGCGGTTACAAAGCTTCATTGATTCAGTTGCTGCAGCATTTGCGGACTTGATCCGCTTGCGCGCTTTTTTAACCTTAACGGATGACACTCCACGTCGAACTCGGTAACCTTGCCACAAAGCCTTGAGGAAAAAAAAGAAGAAAAAAAGCATAAGAAATCAGCGACACTAACATCTCGAGGAGTTATTGCTCAACAAAGAGTGAAGACTAAGCAAATTATGTAAACACAAGTAGTATTTTTCTAACTTGTATTCTCAGTGCGCATGCCCGACGTTTTCGCAAATGATTCCTTGCCAGGACTCCACGGATAAGGGACTGGATCTTCGCTGCGTTTTTGTTTTTCGTCACCAGTTTCTTCCGTGCTGCTCTCTGTACAAAAACAGCGGCTGAGCGAAGAGTGGTAAACCTCCGATGTTGAAGCACACCGCGCCACCAATACTGAGGGAAGAAAAGAAAGCAACTTTCTTTACTTAGTTCCTGTTTAGGTAGAAGAGCCCTATAAAATTGCAGCCTGGATGATTACTGACTTCAAGAGTAACTAGAGAACTTGAACCTCTCTCTCTTTTATAAAGAACAGATATTGATAGCCTTAACAACAAGCTAAGGCAGATAGCAAGACAAGTCCAGAAACAAATTTTGTAATTTTGCGCCAAGCAAGATATATCCTCGAATTATCATACCTGGATTAGAAGAACTGCGTCCATCCGCGCTTTTGCCACCACTATTGCCCGTGCCCGCCGATAACAACGCTGGATTCTGATGGCTTTCAGATGATGATATGCAGCTGCCGCAAACGTTTTCAACTGTACCAAACGCTGCGCCTTCTGACGCTGGAAAAGAGAAGTATTGCAAAACAAATTAGCAATTATTGACAACTCAAACTCAGTTTAACGTTCGTAGACTTTGATTGAGTTATGCGAAATGCAGTAAATGATTTGAATCCTGGTGCAACAGTTGCTCGTATACGTGTGAGTGTAGTCCTAAAAGATATTGTGTCAATTCAGGAGTTGTTTGTCAGTCAAGCGATTGAAGTTCACTGATAATCGAAAGGTAAACTTCTTCATTATCTCAGATATAAAACACATGAAAACATATCTAAAAGAAAACTCTTACTTTTATCTTCCTTCTTGTTATAAATCCTCTGAAAGCTGCCTGAATAACACGAGCAGCGAACATTTTACGAGCGACCATCCGCCCGCGGTATCCACGGAAAGCGGCCTGCAGTATGAGAGTAGCATCCTTGAGTCTTCGATAATCTTCACGAGCTGTTCTTCCAGCCATTGTACCTCGGAACCATTTCTGAATCTGAATCACAGCCTTCAGTTGACGGACAAAGAAGCGAGCCTTCCAGCCACGGTAAAAAGATTGAAGCGTAACTACTGCGCGTTTGACCTCTTGAAATTCTGCGCTCGCCCTTCTTGAGGCAATATTAGCTCGCACTTTTCTTTGCAGGAAAACTGTCGCGGCTTTGAGTTCTAAGTAACTCTTCCGATAGTGCCAGGCCTTTACTGAGGCTTGCATTCTGATCAGTATTTGTTTGGCATGGTAGTATTTCTGCCTCTGAATCATTCCACGTGCATGAGACTGAATAAGTATGGCTGATCTCAGTTTCTTCACTTCATCTCTCGCTTGGCAACCTCGGTAAAAGCTCTGCGTATAAATGAAAGGAAAGAAAGCACTACTTATGACTTACATGTGATCTTTCTTGAAAACGTAAAATGGACTTTTGTAATCTTACATTGACTGACCAGTTACATATAGAACATTAAAACAAGTTCTTGTAATCCGAAAGATAGAGCATGCTTCATAAAAGGGCCTAAGAACAATGTTAGTATCTGAGAAAGTGCGCACCTACCCCTCCCCTGAGTCAACAACAGTCAACTGAAAACAAGTTAGGGTTAATGTTGGGTTGCGGGAGGGGTAGGTGTGCAGTTCCTTAGATACTGACATTGATCAAAGTACAATAAAAACATCCGTGAAAAATGGACTGTTTCAACTACCTGGATTCTAGTAGCTGCCCATTTCATCTGACGGAATCTCTGACGGACATCTTGGCCGATGATGAACGATCGATACCGACATTGAATGACGATGACTGCCGAGCGTTTTTGAAGGAACTTCGTCCGTTGTAGATGCATGCGCACGGAAGACTGAACCAGCACTACCTTTTGTCTGTCACAAAGATAAGACTTCCGCTGACAATAACCTTTGTAATACGACTGAATGAGGACTGTGGCGCGTCTGAGGCACTGATACTCTGCATAGATCTCCCTCATTGCCACTTGTGCTCTGTACCATTGTTGAATTGCAACGATTGCTTCCCTTGTCGCTACAAATTGATGTCGGGTTTGATTGCGACGAACCGTTGCCTGTATTCTGCAGACAGATTCTCGCACGGCCAGGAAATTTCTACGTGTGACTGCTGTACGATATGCCGCTTGTATCTTAATAACAGCTCTGAGCCTGCGTGCAAACTTCTGCGCACGAACCATGCGGAAAGCAGACTGCAAAGTGATGATTGCACCACGGGTCACGTGATATGTAAAGTGAGTTTCCTTCATCAGGCGATATCCACGGTAGTAACGCTGAATCTTCAGGGCAGCTGCTCCCCGTCTCTGTTTCTCCATCAGCATTTCAGCAACACGCTGTCTCGCTATGAAACCACGAAGATGCGATTGTAGTATGATAGCACCTCGACGCATCATTTCGTAACTTTTACGCTGCCTTTTGCAAAGGTGATTAGCTCTGTAAATCTTCTGCAATGCCATGGTCGCATTCTTGAGCTTTTGATAAGCCCGAACTTCTTTTGTCATGCGCGCAAAGGCTTGTATCTTAATGGCAGCATCCTGAGCTCTCTTGTATTTTCTTCTAGACGACGACATTCTCCAATAAGACTGAAACACAACAGTGGCACTCCGCAATTGCAAGAAACCTTCTCTTTGTGTATGAGACTTAACGCAAGCTCGGAAGTGTTGCTGGATAGTGATGGCTGCCGATTTAATCGCGCTATAGTGTCGTCTGCAATGCCATGCTCTAATCTCAGTCTGCAACACAACGCATGCCTTCCGCTGGAGAGTGAAACACCGTCTGACCACCTGCATCTCCCTCTGAGCTCGGAATCGGCGCTGAATCACAGATGCAGCACGACGAAGGTTCTGATAGGATCGCCGTGCTATGTAGCGTCTTACTTCTGCTTGGATAACAACCGCAGAAGACTTCTGGAGGAGATATTTGGAGGCACACACATGACAGCGATAGGCGCTTTGGATCTTGACCGCTGCCTGCTTACGTTTCAAATTAAGTCGCACCTTGTAGCGGCGATAACTTGATTGGATTATGAGGGAAGATGACTTTAACGCATTGAAATTCCGAGCTACTGCTCGACCGAGAAGCCAGGCGCGGTAACGAAGCTGTAAAATCAACACAGCTCTCTTGGTAGCTTCATATCGTCTCCACGTCCGAAACCCGCGAAAACAAGCCTGGATTTTAACAGCGGCACCATTCATTTTACGAAGTCTCGTTCGCACCAGGTATCCTCTTACAGCCATCTGTAACGTAATGACTGCGCCTCGGATGAAGTGAAATACAAGTTGATCGTGCTTGCAGAGAACTGCCGCCCTAAACTTCCTTTGAATGACTACGGTTGCGTTTTTCAAGCTAATAAATCTCTGCCGCTGTTTTATCATGCGTGTTTGAGCTTGTAATCTCAGTACAGCACTTCTGAATGTGATAAACTGTTCCCTTGCTTTGTACATCTTATATGTCGCTTGGATCAGTCTTGCCGCACGAAGTCTTCGCGCCAGTTTTCTGTCAAGCCATCCACGCACACAAGCCTGAAGATGAATTGCAGCACGTCTACTAGCAAGGTAACGTTCCCGTTGGCTCCTACACTTTACCGTAGCTTTGTACTTTTGTTGAATGACTATTGCGGCGTTTCTCACTACCAGATATCTCTTACGACAATGGTAACCACGCACAGCTGCTTGTATCAAGATGCAGGCACCGCGTTGTACGTGATAATTTACATACTGACGCATGCCAATCACGCGGGCACGGTACCGACTCTGTAGCTTTACAGTGGCTTTCTTGAGCTCGTAATAATATTTCCTCGTTAAATAACCACGAGTTAATGCTTGAGCATGAATGATACGGTTACGAGAATTGTTGTATGACTTTCTAGCTCGGTATCCGCGATAAGCTGCTTGGATTTTCATAGCACTTCGCAGAAGATTGACCTGTTTCCTTGCTTGGAATCCACGGAAGTAAGATTGTATTTGCACTGATGCGTGTTGAAGACGTTGGAAATTGGAACGAACATGGCGGCCAAGGATAAATGAACGGTAACGCCGCTGTATGTTTATAGCAGCTTGTCTTGATGATTGATACTTTGTGCGACAAACGTACCCTCTGTAGACAGTCTGAATCAGAGTAGCTGATCTATGTTGGGCCACGAGACGTTTACGGCCAATGTTACCTCGGACTAGAGCCTGAAGGTGAACAACAGTATCAAGGATGCGGTGATATTCTACTCTCTGGTGGCGTCCCTGCTGTAGAGCGCGGTAGCGCGTCTGAATCACGACAGCAGCATGTGCTAACGCCAAGAACTTCTTTCTACTTAGAAAACGACGCGTGAGTAATTGAAGGGTAACAGTGGCCAATCTGACCCGAGTAAACTGCTTCCTGCACCGATAACCTCTATAGCATGACTGGATCTTTAATGCAGATAGCTTCATGTGCACATATTTCTGCTGTATACTCTTCGTGTAGAGAAATTCTCGAAGTCTTCTCTGGATCTTCGCAGTTGACGAAAGCAAGTTTCGGTAACTTGACCTTGCGAGGTACATCCTGACAATGGACTGAATCGTTACGGCGGCTTTTCTCTTCTTTAAAAACGCCTTCCTTTGCAGATCACATCTGAAGAATGACTGGATCTTAATGCAAGCAGACTTTTGATTCATGTACTTGATCTTTTCTTCTCGTCCAAGGAGAGTGGCTCTGAAGTGAACTTGCAAAGTTCTTGTCGCACTCTTCATAAGCGCAAACTTCTTTCGCGTTTGATACATTCTGGCGTTAGCCTGTATCTTGGTAGCTGCATGTTTCAGTAACAGGAATCTTGAGCGGGTTTCCCACGCTCGCACGTGGCTTTGAATCATGATAACCGCGCGAATCTGCTTCACGCGTTTTCGATCGCGTTTGCCTCTGTATAACGACTGTAGCACGATCACGCACTTCCTCAGACGAAGAAAGTGTTCTCTCTCTTTTCTCTCGATCATCAATGCCCTGAAGATTCTCTGAATTAGCACAGTCGAGTTTCGAAGGAGCAAAAACCGCCCACGCAGAATAACTCCTCTGATAAATGCTTGAATACGAATACAAGCCTCTCTTTTCTCAGCAAACTTCCTCCTTTCCATGAATCCTTTCCAAGCAGACTGTGCTATTTTCGCAGCTCGATCTCTCCTTTCCTTTCGTTTCCTCTGATTGGCCAATACAGTACGCTGCAGCTGCACAACAATTTTTCGAAGGTTTCTGTAACATTCCAGGACCTCTCGACCTTTTTTGAAGGCCAGGTAGCGGGTCTGAATGCAGTTCGCAGCCTGGTGACGAGCACGAAGTTGTCGACGAACCAGGTGACCACGGTATATAGACTGAATGAGAACAGTGGACTGCCTCATGGCTTGAAATCTGCGTCGTGTCATTGCGGCTCTAGCGCATGCCTGTGAGAGAAGACAGTGTTATCTCAGCTGAGCATCTCCAGTAAAACTTGTGCTTAGTCGAAAAGTTATCACAAACAGAGAACACAATACGAAAGAGATGTATTCTAGTCAACTTAAGTTGTATACTGAAGTATTTCATACCTGTATAAAAACAACTATCTTCACAACATTCTGGAAAAACAAAAGCAAACAGAAACATGATATGAGAAATAGATAATAAAAAGCACGCAAAGGAAGGATCTAGCAAATAAAGCTGACGATCACGAATATGGGATAAACCTTTTAAAGTTCACGTAACACCAGCCAACCTTTTTCAGCTCTAATCGCCTTTTAAGACGAAATCGTCTCCAGGCCACCTGAATGCAGCGTGCAGCTCTCGTCTCCTCTCGAAGATCCAGCAACCGCGCACACAGATAGGCGACATAAGTTATGACAACCTGGGAAATAAAAAAGTAAGTTCATTAGGTTGAAAAAGGAATTTTTGGAAGTCCCGAGCCTTTACAAAAAGAAGAATAACTGCATTTCCTCACCTTCTCATCGGGAATTGTGTAAGACATGTCAGTGGCCTTAGTCATCAAAGGAACTCCACCTAGTTCTCGTACCTGAAGTAAACAAACGAACAAACATTTGTAACATGAAGCTAATCCAATATTCTCACGAGCACAAGTCTCCTATAAACTATAGCTAGGTGCTGGTAGAGTATCCAAACTACAGAGCTCGTACTTTTTTCTTTAAATATTAAAATACCATGACAACGTGAATTTATCAAAAGACCTTCTTGATGTTTTCAATGAGCTACGATAAAAGTTGGTATCAATATACTGTTTTAGACGTTAATATAGGGAAGGAATTTTCCTTTCTTGTTAACAAAAATATATTTTCTAGTCACTTTCATGATTCACACTTGAATCCCTGACTTCCCGGAAAAAGGAAGATCGGAGGATTCCATGATCAGTTCAAACCTTGGGGTAGTAATCGGAAAGTTCTTTAAATCGTCTTTTACTTGAAGCAGACGAAAATTATTTTCTTCCGAAATATGAAATTTTTATAGACCGAAAACATCTTTCAGACTTGGAAAAAGATAGTAAACTACAAAATGAGATTTGTGGAATTTGGAAACTTGTACTCACCTTCTCCGCCATTGTACGAAAATTTTCGCGCTCATTACTCTTCAGTTCCTCTAAAAACGTATTTGTTCCGCAACCTGAAAGAATAAAAGGGAATGGAGACTTTTGATAACTTTATGATCACCTCAGTGAGATAAAATTTACTACTTTCTCAAAGGCAAGCCAAACTAAATTGTCTAGCATGTAGTTAAAATATGGAACTGAAGTCAAGAAGAAATTCTCAAACTTACCGGGGCTGAATATTGCAGTCCACGAGTTCACTACCATTCCTTCCTCAGCCTCACTGTCACTTGTATCATGTACCCCCGGATTACAGGTCAAGCTAGTTTGTTCTTTGATATGTGACCGGGGGAGTAGCGAGGGGTGATAATGATGGAGTAAGAAACACAGAGCACGACCATCCGAGAATGAAACAGTGAAGTTCTCAATCTAAAAAAATGAAAAACAAAATCACTTAATAGTGACCATGAAACTCGTTTGCATTCTTTATTGATTTTTGTTAACTTTGACGACAAAGCTGAAAACCTTTCTATGCAATATACGCTTTCAACTAAAGCATAGTAAAATGTAAGTTACATTATTACCTTCAAGCCGTACAATCTGCAAACCATCTTACACCATTTAAAGAGCAAGCGCAGCCGGTCTGACTGGAAATACAGGTCTGAAGAATCCCGGCGTTTTCCTACAAAATCTGCTTCGTCTCCCTCAATCCAGTTCTCCGCAGCAGTTAACTGATCGCGGAGAAGCCTGGTACTCTCTAAATGGGCTATTTCCTCCTGAAGAAGTTTTTCGCTCAGAAGAACATTTACCTGTTAAAAGGTTTTCAGAGAAATTACAGGGTGAAGTTGAAGAAAAACAAATGAAGAAACTCGTTATAATATCATATAAAAAAATACATTAAAGTGCAAGTCAGCGATGAAATGTGCATTGAACTAGGCGAGACCCTCCTGGACAAGATCCTTTGCTCTCACAGTGCCCACCCCACACAGGAGTATCAACAGTCATTAAGGAAACGTCAGGGGAACTTGACGAGTTCCTAGGGTGAGGGGCGGGGATTTTACTGCGGTGGCAGTCACTCGATGGTATAAAAAATGGGATCATTTGAAGTAACATACGGCACAAGATAAGAACCTGACGTTTTTTCGACTAAAACTTACCTGAAAGTGAAAAATCATCTGCCACAGCAAAGTAAGCGTTTTCTCTCGGTGTCCATCCACGATATGGCGCGCATCAGTAGCACCCCCTGAAAAAAGTAACATTAAAATTTAACCTGCAGGAGAAGCAGTTTTGTGATTCTAGCAGAATGTGTCTCTCTCCTTCACCATGATAGAGAAAGCGAGTCAGGAGCACAACAAAAAGACAAACGGATAAATAGGCTGGCTAGAAGTTGAAGCGGCGCAAGTACGATGAGAAGGCGGGAGGCAAACGCGCAGATCCTTAATTTAAAACTTAATACTAATACTTAATACTATTCCATTGTCCGCAAAACAAGCGATCTGATGGAGATAAAAAGAAAGTGAAATCTAGGCTACTGACTGCATCGTGCTTTTTTATGCGTTATTTCACACACGAACAAACAGTTTTACCGTGAATTCCTCCGACAAGAATGCCTCTTTGTTTCAATGCGTTCATAAAAAGGTCTACATTGTGGATTTTCTGAAAACAAAAAGGATGAAAAATACTCAAACACTGACCAAGAGTTATGTGGCGCTTACAAATGAAGATTTTTGCCTGACTTTATAGAGGAATCAATAAGTAGTTTAAGTAAAAAAATAAGCAAACCGCTCGAGGAAAAACTCGATTAACTAAGTTTTGATGGGTTCCTTCTAGTTTTTAATCTGACTGATTGAGAAAGAAGCGCGAGTTTTATGAACTAATCACAGAGCGAACCAAAGTAAAACTGAAGCAATCCCGTATGACTTTCCAAACTTAATCGAAAATAGTTCTGTTATTACTAACTATTGCTAATTCACCTGTAATCTGGAAATAGCCGGAACACGGAGACTTGCTGACAGCTGCCAATCATGGGTTAAGAGCTCCACCACTCGCCTGCAGCATGAAAAAGAAAACAACAGTTCATCTCTGGGTATTTCTTTTCACCTAAACGGTGATTTGTGTTGTAGAGAATTCAAAACTTGATATTGCAGCATAGGTACCTAGTTTGGTAATACCGAAACTACTCACGTTAGACGCAGACCGTCTCTCAGATCTGTGGCAATGTTCTTCACAGCGTAATCCACTTCGTCGATCGGTCTCTGGAGGGCAAAACATTTTAAAATTGAAATCTTAATGAACTTTTTATTCAAATGCCCAGTTTAAAATATCTGAAGTCGATTTATAATTTTTCACGAGGATATTGTTACCTGAGAATGAGTGACCGAATAACCCAAGAAGTTCAGGTGCTTCGTCACGTCACCCTCTCCCTTAAGATACTCGCGGGAGAACGTTAGTAGAAGACTGCGGTTTGACTAAAAAAAACAAAAAAACAAACAGAAATAATTGATAGGACTCTTTGTAAATTCAAGTCAGTACAATAACACTCGGTAAAGTTTGAGATAATGGCATGCAAATTCATGACTGATGATCGCACAAAACTTGATTTTCCTTCCTTTGCACGAGCTGTTTGTAACGCGAAACCTGTGGTAAATAAACAGCCTACTTCGTATATGTGCGGGCACAAACCTTGAATGAGGCGTCCTTGTTAAAGAGACACGGGTCATGATCAATCAGCCGTGTCAATTTCGCACGATCCAAGAACAACACCAAAAGGAGAAACTTCTTCAAAGTAAACTTTCCCAGCTGCTCTACGTAACCTGTAGGGGTAGCAAAAACAGAATGCAAGGGGCTCTTACCGACGTCGTCTATTGAAAAGAGTAACGCTTTGTGGATGTTTCCACAATGTAGCTGGTCACGTGCGCTAAAAAAAGCCTATTTCGTGGACGCATAGTCGTCGGACGGCCGCACTCCTGTTAAAATTGAAAATTTATTTTCGTTTCTCAGGTCGCCGAATGTTCCTAGCTATGGAGTTTCGCTGCGCGCGCTGCGAGCTCCGCTATCAACTTGACGGTTTAGAAAATGAAGAACTAAAGCTTGTCACGAAGGCACAACAGGGTTCGTACTTTTTTCAAAATCATAAAATTCAATGACTTTCCATGACCTTTACATGGACCTGTCAGAGATTTTCCATGACCCTCTACCGAAAAGTAGTTTCCAAGAAGATAAGAATGCGATCAAATAATGATGCTGTACTCAAAATAGTATTTTAAATTATCTTTCATAACTTCCTTCGACCTGCAATCAAATTTCATGACTTTCCAGGCCTGGAAAATGACATCGTGGAATTCTTATTTCTTGTAAGTTTTTCAACACCTTTGTAAGCACAGATTAAAACAGAAAAAAGGTTGATTTTAATTTTTTTTAGCCTTTTGGATTTACCTTCACGATACAACCCTGGCACCTGTGGATGTGCAAATGCACTGGCAATATCCGGGTTACCAAGTAATCTGTCTGTGATAAAACGCCTCAGCCCACTTACGTCATCATTTGAGTGGATAGGGAGAATTTCACCGAATATGGTCTGAAACACATGAGAAAAAGAACGAGGATTTAAACACTTGAAATCCTGAAAAGGCTAAAGAAGAGAGAAAAAGAACTTTGTCTTGGAAGAGGAAAGTTAGCAGATCTCAACAGCACACAATCTTCACCTTTTATGTTTTCAGTTGTGAAAATTTCTGCATGGTGATCAATAATCAAACATCTGAAAGGCATTTTGACAAACAGATTGCAGACTACAATTTGAAAACACCATAAAAACCAAGCTTTGTGGTGGACTGTTCTACTTCTCTGCATCAGGTTGGCAAAGAAGGTGAAGCCAGTTTTCAAGATCAGTCACACAGCACAGTTAATTAGTTGGAGAGGTCATTATACCTCAAGTCCAATCCGTAGCCATAAGGAGTTGTAGGACAGGATCATGTCAGCAACTTGCTTCTTGATTCCTAAAAATGCATAAGATAAAGTGATGTCTTCAAAGTTCCTTCAATTGGAGCAAGGGTGGGTACTGAAAAGCTTTCAGAGGGTACAAATTTGAACCCTCTCACTAATCATCCCAAACCTGCATTTTTCCAAAGAAATTTTTCCAGCATTAAGGGAAATAGGGTTGCAACACTAATAAATTCAGCAAGACTTCTTTACAAATGTATTCATTATTTGGAAACAAAAATATGAAAATGGATTATTGTCAAACACAAAAGGTTCATTAAAATACATATGGCATATTCTAATAGGCTATTCTGTTGATCAAAAACCAATCAGATGAGAGAAAGTTATACTGGGAGTTGCAATGACAGTTACTAGTTTGTGAATTTGTGGTTCCTTTGCATGTTTTCATAATAAATGAAACAGATCATAACAAAAATAAACTTATAAATATTTCATAGGCTCACTGTTGTCAAAGTTTGACAGTTCGACCTATAAAGTATGTCTGGTTTACATGTGTCTATATGACAATTCTTGATTTACCATTTTTACTTAATTTGTATAAACCAACCTAAATCTGCATGTAACTTTTTTTCTGGTCTGATGGCAAGTCGTCCATTTTCCACTTCAGCTTCAATCTTTCTGATTATGTACCCCAAGGGTTCTGATTGGTACAACAAACAGGCACACCTTCTCAAATGGGCCATCTTACGCTTAGCAGTGTAGGCACGTAAGGAGAGGGCCTCTTTAGTTGGGGCCAAAGGTTGAGACTTCTTTGTGTCTTGAGTACCTCCAAGGACCATATTTCCTACCATATGAACTAAAAAAATAATAATAATGAAATATATAAATAAAAAAAAAATCGTGCCCATTTTCTTAAGGTGTTCCTCTAGCTACTGGGACACATTCAATTAGTCCAAACCAGTCAAAGAGATCAATCAATAAGCAAATAATAATTAGTTAATCATTATAAATTCAGTTATGGACTAGGAGTGCCAACACAAGATCATTCAATTTATAAACAGTATCCTCTTTATAAAGTAAACACATATTCAGAAAGGCTTTCAAAAAGACCTATTCCTGGCTTGTAATTTTCTGGTTCAGTACTATACAGTAAGCTTGAGTACACTGCAAAGCTACCTCTACTGGCATCAGCTTGTACAGCAGAGTCTGTTACATCAGGTGGTGTCAGTACAAAGTTGAGCCATTTAGTGAAACCTGGAAAACAACAAAATAATGTCAGGCTAAAACTCTCTCATACCAAACCCAACTGCACATTTCCTCTGGTAGATTTAAGCAGAAGCTTAACACTTGGGAATTTTTTTTTTAGAAATTTCAATGACCTTATGGATGTTTTACATATAATATTATGATAATCATATTGAAGATTGATGAGAAAATTAGCCATTATCTAATTTTAGATAGTATGCAACATACATTTCTTCTCAAACAAAATTTTTTGAAAATAATTGTGCAGGTACACTTTCCATTTGTTGTAAAAATTGGGTACCAAACATTGCAACTTCAAAATCCCAATTCACAACCAAAGTTATAAATTCTTTAAGTCTTTGTCTACTTCCTTAAATCGTAAGAATACTCAGTGGAGTAGAAGTGGTAGCCTTCAGGAAATTGAAACAAAAGAACCATGACCTAAACCAACTGATCATATTATGTGTAACATCTGGGTATAACATTGAAAGGGTTTGATTTGCAGGAGGTTTGGGGTATGGAGTGTAAACATTTAGGTGTAGTAATACTGGTGTTCCATATGTTATACCTTCCTCTTGCTTCTCAATCCACCTCTCATCGTAATACATGTTCTTTGCTGCAAACGGCATTGGGTGCCGTGGAAGCTTATTGTTGGGGGTTTCAACTAGCTGCAGTTTTCTTTGAGCAACTCCCTTGGCTGCAACTTTCAATTTCACTTTATGTTTTGACTTCTTTGTCAGTGCACCTGTAAAAAAATTGGGTTGAAATGTAATAAACATACAAATGATAACTTCCATTACCAGGTCAATTCAAAGATAACCAAAGCGTTGAAAAACCTATGCATGCTGATAATAATAAACAACTCAATTTCTCTATTGATCTGATAAATCCACATAATTTATAAAAGAAATCATATGCTTGATTCTCCACCCTCTCTCCATAAAAAAAATGAAAAAAGGAAACAAATTATAATATGGGTGACTTTACATAAGATGTAATACAAAAATCAACCAAAGTTACCAGAGACAGGAGAAATCTTCTTTGCTACTACTACTCTTTTCTTTTTTCCATTAACTGGCTTTGTTGCAGGCTTTGTAAGTTTAGGAGTACAAGTATTTGGAGACGTCTTACAAACTGGTTTATATCTTCCATTATTTGTGACAAGGTATGTATCACGTCGCAAGTTCTCTTCTAGTGAATTTTCCACAGGTGCATTTGCACAACCAATTTTTTCACCGTCAAGCTTGTGAGTGACTTTTGTGCTTTTTTCCTTTGAATCAACAGTATTTGGAATTTGGCTTGGTTGAAGGATGGCTCTTGCAACTTTCTGAAATCATAAGAGATAAAAAATACAAAGTTGTTTCATGAAAAATTTAATTGATCCTTGATTGATTACAATTACATACAAGGTTAGCCTGCGCTAGGCTCTTTCTTGTAGTTAGGGGTAAAGGGAGTCAACAAGCCAATAGTCTCAAACAACCTGAATACAGATTGAATTTCAGCAACTTTCAATTGATTGATATTATTTTTGCTTTACTCTGTGATTGATCAAGAACTCTACAGTGCCACCCAATTGACTATTCAGATGCAACACCCAATTGACTAATCAGATGCAACACCCAATTGACCAATCAGATGCAACACCCAATTGACCAATCAGATGCAACACCCAATTGACCAATCAGATGCAAAACTAAAACCAATTGCTTGGTTTCTCACTTCTTATCACATATCAGGAAGTATACTTGTTTTCACTTTGAGCTCTCATTGAGTTCTTGTTGCATTGTTCTTTGTTCTGATTGGCTTCTGTTTGTAATTACTTTACTGTGAATGACTTCATCACTTCACAGGTTTATTACAAACTGTCAACATAATGACCATCTGGTAGTTGACTTGTTAGCTCATTTGGTAGAGTACTGCACCAGTATTGCAAATATCAAGGGATCAAATCCTGTACAGGCCTTAATGTTTCTCAGGCCTTATGTTCACTACTGTTTAAGTAATGTTAATTACTGGGAAGATCGCTTTCATATTCAGTTATTACTTTAGTTACTAAGTTTTGAAAACTTGGTTAAAATGAGATCTACGGTCAAAATCTAGTCTCTGCACTCACACACATCAATGTATGGGTATGTTGTGGAGCATGACTCAAAATGATCATAGTGCTTAAGTTTTCTATATATCCTCAGAGGGCACCATCAATGATGCAGATCCTAGTTCTATCTGAAATGCCTGTCGCATTTGAATATGATATCAGGCCTAACTTTCTCAGTCTTCCTGTAAAATAGTAAATGTGTACCGAAGGTAACCAGTTCTCAGCACTTTCTTTAGTTTCTGCTCTATCATTTCCAATCAGTTATGAAATAATCCCGATCTATTTGTTTCCAATTACCTTGCTCCCTTGAGGTCTTTCGCTGATCTTTGTTGGTCCGGATTTCTTGACGATCTTTTTAGTAGCTGATTTCATCTTCTTTGGACCCAAAGCCGTCCCAAACACTACAACTTGCAGTCGGGGAGAATTGTCCCACTTGAATAGAATTACCTCGCGGCAGCTTCCACTCTCCCTTGGTTCCCATTTTATCGACAGAAATATTTCTTCATTTGCTGGGATCGATATACAGTTTCCCTGAGAGTCCTCTGCCATGCCATTTCCATTCAGATCTAGAGTAAAACCTCTGTCCTTTGGAAATTTCTCTATGACCAAAGTTTGGCTCAATGGATGTGGATTTTGTACCACGAACGGCTCTGTTTTGCTGCCTCCGACTTTCACAGTTCCAAAGGATATCTTAGGAACCGCGGCAAAATGAGTCAATTTCAGAGTAGGTGGATCCGGTTCGGGAGAAAGAGGTAACTTAGGAAAATTCTTGCATGGACTGTACCATTGAGCACGTTTCGAATGAACTTTGTTGAGCAGCAACTGAGGGCAGTTTTCTTTGACAGGCGTTAGACTCGGATTTAACATGTTGGAAATAAGAGGCTCCTCTGATCGCCGTTGGAAAATATGTAGCAGAAAGTTCTTATTGCAGTGTTAATATTTTGTCACAGAGACCGTTTTCTTTTACCTAAAATGTTGGCTACATTTTGACGACAAAAAATCTTTACAATCAGATATGTTGACAACTGAAAGCTACTAGAATCGATCGAACATCAGTTGAAAATACCCGGCGTGCACAATTAACCAATCACAAATATTCTTGTATCTACAACAGTCCAATCAGAGACATGGACAACTAACGGCCCTCGTACTCTGTTCCAGTCCTTACTCCACAGAGGGCTCTCCATGCTAGGTTTGATTCATTGTCAGCTGGCAGCGTTCGCAAGCAAAATAATGAATTGCCTAAATACTAGTCGTTAGTTGCGTTAATTTCAGCTCTGCGGAAACTCTGAATTGACAAGTCTAAGTGTTGTTGTTTTTTTTGTCGTTGTTTTTTTAAGTTCCATTAGGATAAATTAAATTATAACTCGCTTCTATGTAACTTGTGGCCAAGTGCATATTTTTTGTACCAGATCATCTTTCTATGAAAAGTATCATTTAAATGAAAATCATGGCTAAAGACACAAAGTCTGTTTTAGAGCTTGAACTGATTATATTTATGTAACCTGAGCTCTCGCTTCATCGGCTAAAATTTCCCGCATTTTCCTCGGCGTTACGATAACGGCGGGATCAGTTGTAATTTCGTTCGTCACAGTACATACGAGCATTTTTTTAATTTTGTGAAGCCACAAAGTTTGTCGGATGTAAGATATTTTTACCGACCATGATTAAGCCACAAAAGACAAGGCAATTAAAAGTTTGCATATATAGACCTAGAATGAAAAAAAAATTGTTAATATCATGATTTCCGTTTCCCTCAATCCCTAATTGTAAGGGCTTCCTAAATTTAACTCATACACAGATTTATCGGACCTTCTGGGATCCATATTTGTTGCAAGGTCACTACAAAATCTCAATATTGCCCACCATCAGCCGTGGTCCTATCCACGAGAAAGTGGAAGACATGCACACTATTATTAGATATACTTGAGACACTCGGGCGACTTGTAAAATAGAAAACTGAGTAAAAATGGATGAAATGAAGACGACATGTGCTTGTACGCTATTTTCAGAGTTCCGTTTTGATATTGACACGTTATAGTTTTAACATTTTTTAGAAACGAAAATATACACATGGCAAACACATTTTTTGATTCAATTTTCAGATTACGAATATTAGATTGGCTGACCTGCAAATATATATAGCAAGTCTGAGGCGGGTCAGTGATGGATACTGAGATAACTATAAACTATCTAAGCTGACTGCCTAAACTAAATTGATTCAGAGTTGGGAAAACTCACAATCGAACATCGAAATTTATTATCAATAGCCTAAATCATAATAGTTCAGAAATTTATGAGTTACAATCAGAAGGTACTTTCTTTATTGAGCTTTATTCGCGCAATTTCCAGCAATGACTGATCTCCAGATCCTCGGGTTTTATATCTTGTCCCACTATCAACAAGTTGTTATTATTATTATTAAAAGACGGCCCGGTCGCTGTTTCCGCATCGTGTTATTAGTTTTGATAAGGGCGCCAGTCACTTCAGCATTATGTTCAATGTCAGTTCACCGTGCACGGGTCAAAAATCCAACAACGTTCTGATTGAATCCTTCCTGGAAGAGATAACGAAAGGCCGACTCTTTGAGCCACTTCTCCCCGAGTGACACATGCCAATCTTCTCTTCACCTCCACAACTTAGTACTCAAAAATTAAAAACCGAAATTGATCAAGCGGGTTCGATTACAGATCTCTCCATGATTCGATCTCGTAAACCCTGCCCTTTTCCGAGTTCCATTCTCTTTAGTATTTCTCTTACCGGTATAAGCAATTGAATAGTGAAACGAACCTTGAAGGGTGGTTTAACCCACTCTATTACGACGTTTTTATGACAAAACTCAGGGTTATTTAACAAACAAATAGGAGATCCGAGAGTTTTAAAGACATTTTATTAAAAATTCTACCAATCTTGAATACACTGAACCTAAATGCCAGATACCTATCATCCCTTCGAGAATTCTCGTTGTTTTTCTACGCTCTTTTTTAATCCAAAACCATAGGTGTCGATCAGTAACTTACTTAATGCGTGACCGATAAGCGGTGAAATTCCTTTAAACACATCGCTGAGTATTTGAGCTTCTTACTTTTTGAAGACACAGATATATAATGCAGAACACAGCGACTGAGTAAAAATAATTATTTAATGAAAACGGCGGGTATCAAATCTATTCTTGTTCTAGGCGGAAATTTGTTGTTTACGTTCAGTAAAATCACCTGTAATCCTCACCTCCTAATATGTAAAAACTGAAGAGCATAACCCTGTTCGTTTGACAACCCAAGAGTTTTGTATTTTAGACAAACCAGCTCCCATTCGAATAACTGTCTGGTTTCTGGTGTAAAATTGTTGATCTCGGCGGAAATCTGGCCTTCACTTCCCTTTCTCAAGAGAGAAATGATCGTTTTTAACTGCTTGAAAATGTACGAAAACAACCCCTTGAATCATTAACACCGTGTCGAGTTTACCTGGTGGTTTCATAATAATATGGCTTTCTTCACCAAAGGAAGCATTTTGTCTTATTTCGCGCTTTAATTTTCCAAAATAAAAACATTCATTCGGGTTATGCGACAACGACCACAGCCTATGATAAAGCGATGTTTGCATATTCGCCCTGAAAACCATATTGAGATGTATTTTCTTGTCATCACACAGTTTCACTTCCTGTGTGCGAACACTCTAAATGTGCGGCAAATCGCTCACTTCTTTCTTCATTCTCTTTACGAAAGGTAAATATTTTCCTACGGTAATCCCACAGGGGAACTACGTTCTAACTGAAACAGCAGTCGGCAATTAAAAGCCATCTTGGAGAAGATTTCCGTCTCTCAAGATTTCCCTAGAAAAATTAATATGAAAAAACAAATATTGTGCAGGAACCCAAAGCCAAATTTGTTGTAAAAGGGAACACAATAGAGCTCAACCTGAAGGCTAATGAAGAAAAAGAAAAATAGACCAGTATGTACGTCACTTTTGGGAGAACGTTACTCAGTTGAATTTTTGCATATCACCCATCGCTTCAACCAAAAATTTTCAGTCCCTTTGTCCACTTCTGTGTTGTGCACCAGCTTGTCCTTCTTCCCCTTCCCGCCTAAAAAGAAATAAGAGAAAAGGGAAAACTCTATTTCTATTTTGGGATTAAATTTCATTACAACATAGCGCGCGTGCTTGCCCTATATAAGTCCTATTGAGCTCTTATGAACAAAATCTTTATTTACGCACGCCCGTGCGTAAATAAGATGACGTGAGCTTTTTCTTAACCTGGCTTCAGAGTTTCCGTCCTGTTAAGCTGCAGTGCAGTTTTCCTTCTCTTTTAAATATGGAAGAAACCAGCGAAGAACTGCCCAATTTTTCTATTGGCGTTGACATTTTAGGTCCCTATCCAACAAGCAACAAAAATAAAGCCCAAAAAAACTCGCAAGTTGCACTTCAGTTTCGCAAATTTGTCGAAAGACCAGCTGCAGCAAATTTTGGCCGAAAGACATTGACCAGGAACAAAAGAAGTCACCAATTGGTCATTAACAACATTTAAAGGTAAAATTTCCGTTTTTGTTGTTGTTTTTAAATTTGTTCAACCTGGGGAATAAAGTACACAGTTGTTAATTGGGAATTTACCAAAACCAAAACAATCAAGGCGGCAAAAAATCTAAATGCGACAAACATTTTTCTACTCCATCACAATAAAAGGCTTCTTCGCGCAGATTCTTGTTGTCGCTCTGTTATAAAATAATTTGCTCATGCTTTTAGCTGTGCGTATATCGAGTTATGGATGCACTTGGGAAGTTTGGAGAGCACTCGAAAAGCTAGAGTTGCTCTCGGCCGCGCCTCGAGCTACTCTTACGTATTCTTCGTGCTCTCCAAACTTTCCGCGTCCATCCATAACTCGATATACGCACGCTAAGCATGAACAAATTCTTAATTCTAGGTGGTACCATTACTTTCTGTGAGTCAAATTTTATGACTAACATTTGCGTAAGTCACACAAAATTTCTCTTTCCATGAATCAGACATTTTTTTCAATTGATCTTTTCAGGCAATCGTCTGACCTCGCAGAATGATAAGAGCCAAATATCGACTTGACTATTTCGTAGTAATTGAATTATTCGTTTGACCAAATTGGCATTGACAGCGTAAGACACAGTAATAGGACAAGTTAAATGACTTAAGCTGACGCTTAATTGTAAAACAGGCATTTCTTTACACCTTACAATTTATGCTATGATTTAATTTATTTATTTATTATTTATTTTATAAGGTATTCCAGCGTTAGCAGTTCAAGCGAGCCTTTTACACACCAGGCCACAGGGCGCGTGAGATTTCAATGCACAAACCCTGTCATTCCAGGAACCGTTTGGTCTAAGTGACGCTGAGGATTGCCTAGTCCACATGTTGCTGCATGGTTCGTGGGAATTTCCATTCGGTTCCTTTGGAGCCCATGCTTTGTAGACTGGAACAGAGTAATCACTCCAGTAGAAGCCGTTAGCGGTCCACATCAGGCCGATCCACACTTGTTTCCTTGATGGTGCAGACTTCCTCGCGAGGGCCAGAACGAACTCGTTTTCCCGCGCATTGGTAATCTTCACCAGGTCTCCTCCCATACTTTTACAGTGAATTTGGGCCTGGTGCCAAGTCCTGGATACGCTACTTGCATGGTAGCAAAAGCTTTCGAACTGCTTCCATCCATGAGGACAACCCAAGGACCCTGTGAAAAAAAAATTAAACTAGTTTTGAGCAATTTTAATCGTAATTGCGCTTCTGATGTGGATGATAATACTGCTTGACCCTCTCTGACAGAGGCATATGCACTTAACTTTTAATTTCGAGTTTTTCAATGAGAACTCGGAAGAAAACTCGAATGGCCGGTTATTTAAACAAAGTTTAGCTGTTGTTTAACAAAACCGCGCTATAAGCCATTTTCAATTTATAGCCAAACCTTTTATCTGAACGTTTATTTTTGTGAAGAGTGTCAAAAGGGCCGCAAGCCAATAGTGGAAAAACATTTATTTGATTAAATCAACCCTCCTGTAGAGAATCCCTGAGGTCCACTACTTTCATAAAACCGCGGTTTGGGTTAGACCTCGAGTAAATAACCAGCCCCAAAGGTTCAAGACAGACATTTTCATCGTTACGCGCAATACCGACCACGTTTCATCGCTACTTGTGTTAACGAATAACTCGTAACAGCTTGTGACGTCAGAAGATTTCTTTCTTAGGTTAAATCGTAGACACTTTTGGTCGGTCGAAAGAAAAAAGGGTTACCGGTAATCTTGAGTCTTCTTTGTGCTTACCAATCTTTATACTATACCGTAAAAAATACAGCGAGTCAGAATACAGAAAGTCAGTCGCATATTTTGACGGTATAGTCAGTACACCCACTCCTCGGCATTGTGCACTGCGATCTTATCGTATGCGTCGAAATTCCGCAAGCATTGCCGTTTCCAAGTTATTTCGCTAGAAGTGCTGTTGGAACCATGTAAGAGCCAAATTCTCCTCTCAGAATTAGTTTTTAGGTCGAAAACTTGAAGTCGTGGTCCATCAAAAGGCAAATAAAAAAAGAACGAGGCTAATATCCGGCCATCTTGACCAACAAGCTTGGTCAATATAGGATTTATTGTATAGCAAAAATATTTCGCTTCGATAACAATCAAGAATTACTTGTTTATGTTTGTGCTCTGGTTCTTGTCGCTTAATAAACTTGTGTAAACCGCCGCCTTTTTGTGACTCTACAGCCGATATTTTACAAAAATTATGAACTTTGTATGTCTGCTCTACGCAATTGTTTCACTTGCGCGGGATCAAAGCGGGCAATCCTGAATGAGTAAGAAGGGTCCCATATTGCCAACAGGTGCTGCCAGCTATAAAATACCATTGGATAAATAGTTAATCTTCATACCTGATACACATCCTAAAGCAAACAGTACAACGATACAAAGCGGAAGAATCGCGTGAATCTTCATCTCGGTTCCTTTCAGTGGCAGTAATGGTGAAAAGTCCAATTCCTGAAGAAGCCGATGTTACCCTGGATAACACAAACGGTATGAGTTGAGAAAAGGAGTTCAGGGAAATATATAGGACACGTCAAATATGGGACCACGTCTAATACAATCCATAACTCGATATACGCACGTTAAGCATGAACAAATTCTTAATTCTAGCTGGTACCATTACTTTCTGTGAGTCAAATTTTATGACTAACATTTACGTAAGTCACACAAAATTTCTCTTTCCATGAATCAGACATTTTTTTTCAATTGAAAATTGGGGACGTAAAAGGCGACAGCTGATAGTCAAGATAAAGAAAACATAGATACCTCTCGTGGCTATATTGTCCAAACACAGTTGGCTTCCTTTTCTGACTCTCGAAATAAACTCGTCAAAATATTTGTGCTGTATAATATAACCTTTTTTGATGGACAGATATTAGCCTCGTTCCTTTTTTTCGTTGTAATGAACGTCGACCTCGACTCGGTTCATAACAACGCAAAAAACAGAACTCAGGTAATATCCAGCCATTTCGACTACAAGAATTTTTATTCGCGTCATCCACCAGTCGTAAAGAAAGAACATCTATAGAAGCTGATGCCAAAAATGATGCTTTCAATAATATTTTAATCGAAATTTGTCCGGGAATACGCGCCCTAAATAAGCACCATATATGTTAAAGGTTATAAAAAAAAAGTAGTTTCCCACATGTCAGTAGGTATTTATTCTTTTTGTCCAACCAATTAAACAGTCATTCACGTGTATTTTCGGACACCTTGGAATCTGACTCCGCTCTATTCAGTATTATTCTGACGAGTGGGCCTCTTAGGTTGCCAAAGTTATTTCAAAACATCTCTCCGTACACACACACATATGGGACTGCCTCTGATTACAGAGATAATACGGTCGTCAGAGACACTTCGCAGTGCTTCAAAGGTGCTCGAAAGCCGATTAGTGCTAACCCACGATTAAATCGCCCTAACCCAAGAATAAAATTTAACCTACGATTAGTTTCTGTTCCTGAAAGCGCGATTAGCACTATCCCAGGGTTAAAATAAAGGTCAACTTTAACACACCTAGCAAGGTGGATTAACTCACCAATCGAGGGAAAACTTTCCCCAAACAAAACAAAATGGCCGACTTTTTAATTGGCGGATTAGGCGTAATGCCGGCCCCAAGAAGGAAAGAAAGGACATTTAGGCTACCAGACGACTTTTCCTTGTCCAACTTTACTAATGAAGAACTGAGAAGTCGATACCGTTTTGGCCGAGAGTCTATAAAATTTTTATCTGAGCTCCTTCGCGACGATCTCGAAAGACAAACCATGCTTTGTCGACAACTGTGCATGTCCTTGTAGCTTTGCGCTTTTTCGCCTCCGGAAGCTTTCTTCAAGTTATTGGAGATACTCTGGGCCTGTCAAAGTCATCCGTGTCCCGTATAATCAGCCAAGTTTCGCTTTCCCTTGCACAGAAACAAAGAAACTTCATCAAGTGGCCATCGACCGAAGAGATACTTCAAAACAAACGCGGTTTTTTTTTTCCAAGGGGCGGTTTCTTGGGGTGATTGGCTGTGTTGACGGCACTCACATCAAGATTCAGGCACCACATGAAAACAAAAACGATTTTGTCAATCGTAAAGGGTTCCATTCCATAAATGAGCAAGCAATTTGCAATCACAAAGGTAGGTAAAATACTCAAATGTCATAATTAGGGTTCACGGTCGTTTCGATACAAAGTCGTTTCGATACAAGCCGTTTCGATACAAATCGAAGTAAATTCGTTACAAATGTAAAGTCGATTCGATACAAACTCACGTCACTTCAAATCGTTTCGATACAGAATACCATACTAGAGCGAACACAAACCTCCATTGTAAATGAAACAAACCCATACCTCCGCGAACCTCCACATTTACCAAAGCGTCCTGCGCAATGAGAACACGTAAACGAGACTAAGTTTTGGTTTGGTTTATTTATCGAGAACAGAGATTTATACAAATGATTTTGAGACTTTTTCTATAACTCCAGCGCATATTACGCCTAAGATCAAGAAACACAATAATCAATAATGTCGTGTAAGTTGGTGAAGCAACGGACCCGTGAGGAAATAGCAGTCATTCTGGCGCGTGGGTAGGCGGGTTTGTAAATTATCTTATCAATAGACGCGTAAACTAATTGTTTTAAAAAACTTGCTAATTTACCCCATTAAAAGCGAATAGAAGAATCCAAACGTTTTAAACTAACTGATATCAGTGTATAAAACACACTGGGACCTGTAGAATGTTCATTCGATCATACGATCACGACCGTTAACAAAAGTTTTTGATTTTTTACGAGTTTTAACGAGTTATCACGATGGTGTCTGCGCAGATTTTGAACTGCATGGTATGCGAGGAACCTGTTCGGCTCAGACAGCAAGCCATTCAATGTAATGGATGTTTTCGCTGGAATCATCGAATCTGCAACACTGGTAAGTTTTCAACACTATTACAAGTATTATTGGTATTTGAGGTTGCCGCTTATATACTCTGACACTTAGAGACCTTTACTTCGATTTACTGTATGTACGGTATCCTAATTTAGATCTTTACTTTGATTCAATAGGTATATCGCAAGAAGTTTACCAGGCAACTGTTCGACATGGAAAAGAAATTGACTGGCAGTGTGCAGTGTTCGCATCCGGACTCCTACGCCGATCCTTCTAGCTACCTGGGAGCTCTAGAGCTTACCTTCATTGACCCCGAAGAATTCCACCCTGATGCGGAGAGTACGCGAACTGAGAACCCCGAAGAATCCCAGCCTGATGTGGAGAACCAGTGCAGTAATGATCACGAAGAATCCTCCCTTCATGACCCCACTCCAGCTGAGACGTCGTCTTCCTTCGCCGTGACCTACGAGATCGTGGAGAACAGTTCCAAAAGAGGTCGGCCAAAGATGATAGACACCCAGGGGTACAGCTACAACCTACAGAGAAGGCGAGGCTTAGTCACTGACTGACAGTGTTCCATCCGCCCCAAGGTCAACCCATGTAGGGCCACAGTTAGACAGCGCGGCGACCAGTTCCAGTGCGTTCACTTTGGACGATTTCAGGTCGCTAAAAATGGCTCTTTTAAGAGCCACCACATGTGCAAAAGTCATGATCAATGTAAACGTACTTTAGTAATTTAAATAAATATTCGATAAAGTTTGCTCTTTTTGGCCGCGGGGAAACTGAGTAATACAACTCGTTCGATCGAGTCGCGGGAAAACTGGGTATTACAACGTCGATCGGTCGATCGAAAATATCAAAGACGAAAACTAAAACACTTCAACTGAACTTTTCTCGATTTTACTTGTATCCAAACGCCTTCAGTTTGCATCGAATCGACTTTACATGTGTAACGAATCGACTTCTATTTGTATCGAAACGGCTTGTATCGAAACGAATTTGTATCGAAACGACCGGACACCACAATTAGTGTTCTATAACCTTTGACAGGGAGGGGTACTCCCCTTATAGAAGGTTTTAGATTGAGATTTCTAGCAAACCAGCTGCTATGAGGTTGCATTGTTGGGAGTTACTAGATTGCAGCTTCATATATTCAGGATATGGGAGTAGTGATAAAAATATTTTTTGAGTAGGAATTAAGGGTATAAAAAAGGAGAAGATCTGAGTCAATATATTGTTTAACATTTAGTTTTACACACATTCTGTTCCCAACTGACAACTTTTTTGAAAACAAAAATAAATGAAAAATCATTGGGTTCAAATGGTATAGGTGGAGTTTGGTTTGCAAACACACATATGGAAAATTTACCAAAATTATCACACCAATATTTTAACGAAAGTATAAAAAAGTAAAAAACAAGGGAAAAAAACAAGAAATAATGTGCGATATTTGTGAATATATTGCTCAGCTAACGACCAACAGAGTGCAACAATCAGCAGGGATTTCAAAATAATGCAGTCTCCAAAATTTCAAAAAACAAATTAAATAATGAAAATGTTTTCTAAGTAAACTAAATATTTGTATCAGTTATCCCAGTTCATCATAGACACAATTATTGTTGTTTCTCTTTGCAGTAAATCATTGCTATAAACTGAGATGAGATTTTCTACATCATATGTAAGAAATGGTCTCATAACTTCTTTGCTGTTTCATTTTAGGCATGTTTACCAACATTGTAGCACGATGGCCAGGCAGCACCCATGACAGCTTCATATTTAGGGATTCAAGAATTGGCCAACAACTTAATATCCAACACCAGTCCCTGGAAGATGGTTTACTGTTGGGTGACAGTGGTTACCCTTGCAAGCCGTACCTGATGACCCCTTACCTGAATCCAGTCACTGACAAGCAGCAAGAGTTCAACAGTGCCCACAAAAGAACAAGAGTGGCAATATAACAAGCCTTTGGCTGGTGGAAGCGAAGGTTCCATCTGCTTCATTCTGAGATCAGAATGAAGCCAGAAAAAGTGTCCATCATCATCGGAGCATGTGCAGTTTTACACAACATTGCAATTCTGAGAAAGGAACCTTTCAGTGGATGGCTATGCTGAGGCTGATCATCAACCTAATCCTGTTTTTTTCCGTGGTCCAGAGGATGGCAAGGTCATCCGAGACCACATCTGCAACACCTTTTTCTGACAATTTTTAATTTTTATATTTCTGCCTTATGCAATCAGTTTTGCTCTTAATTTAACTTCCCATAAAATATAAAAATTCATATATGAATTTAAGGGGTTTCTGGTTGAAAAAACACATTAAAATAAGTTTGACTCAAGAATCTGTTTTATTACGTCAAAATACATTTTGAGAACAAAATACACAGTGTATGTTTTATAATGAATTATACAAGAACAACATTTGCCCAAAATATTTCTTTTAGAGGACTTATTACACTATTCCTCATTTAAAATGAATCGGTGTTGGCAACTACAAAATTTGCATTTAATGCAGTTGCAAAGGTTTGGTTGGCATTGGCCTGTTGCTCCAAAAGATTAATTTGCATTTTCAATTTTTGTCTTTTAAGATTCAGCGTTTCCTTCTGAGTACACAGGCATTCGTACTGCATTTTTAGAACATCGTCATTACTTATCCTTTTTGAAGGCTTCTTCCGTTCATCAGCCTTGACTGGTGAAGAATGCATGTATTCATTGAGCCTCAGACAGTCTTCTTCAAACACAGTCTTCGCAGACTCTGCTGGTAAATAAGCATCTCCTCCTACAAAATATTTCAAGCACAATTAAGGTTTCACTCAGGCTCAAAAAGTGTGAATTTAGTTTTATGCATCACATAAATGAAATAACAGAAGGAGCATCTCTCCCGCAAGGAATCTGAGGCTTAAACATGTAAAAATAAATTCTTCAATTTCATAAATTGAATTTTTGTACTGGTAGACTTAACTCAGTGAAATCATTTACGAAAATACTTATAAAATCTGTAAGTCATGTACCAAAAGTTAAGCTAATTTTAGACAGATAAAGGGGAATCAGAGTGAATTGACAACGAGAACCGTACCACAGTTTAGTGATCGAAATAATAGGACATGATAACAGGTACAACAACAAATGATTTTGTCAATCACAAACATAAACAAAGTTGCGTCAAAACGAAATGATAAAAATTAGTTATTTATACATGTAAATAGCCGTTCGTAAATATTTGAAGAACACTCCTTAGTACAAGATAAATAAAGAAAAAATAGGGGCACTTTGTCTTCAGCAAACAAATTTTAACCAAATTATAAAGGTTTTTGTCTTACCCCTCAGATCGCTTTCCAAAGTGACGGAGCTAAGCAATCTTCGACATATGAATTAATCAAGTGAAGCTGAAATTTATATATATGTCTGCTAAATTACTAATAGTCCGTCATGAGCGTCCGTCTAGATTCAGCTAAACAGGGTATAATCGAATGCAACCCTATAAATGCCGCAAAAGCAGCAAACCGGTTTGGAAATCCACGTAGCAGCCTTCGCTTAATGAAGTACACTCATAAAATGCGATGGGATAATAAACTAAACAAGGTAAAACTTGATTAATGCAGTTACGGTAATGATAAGAAAAAAAAAACATGCACACTTTTAAATAAGCTAAGTTTTTCGTTTGTCTCACGATGTAATCACGTGTGATGTAGATCGCAACGTTTCGACTGCATACTGCTAGTCTTCTTCAGGCGATGAGGTCGACTGGTCATGCGTGATCTTATAGAGCATGATGCTCTGCTGTGATTGGTTGTTTTTCAACAGCTATGATTGGTGCATTTCGATCCTTGCTGTTCACTCAGTGATTTGCTCCCTCGGTGGTCCGCTGTCACACGGCTCTCCTGTTGTTGTGTTTCTTGATCGTGGGCATCCACGCTTCTGGAATTTCTATTCCACTCTCCCTGTTGATGTTGTTAGGGTGAAGTCTTATATGAATAGCCTCTTTAACCCTGCGCGTGTAGTAATAAGGGTCACGATCAATAAACCTTACTTCGTTCTAGAGTGGCTTGTGTCCGGTGTTGTGGGCATGTTCTGAAACGGCGGAGGTCTCGGTACGGGCGAGTCGAATGTCTCGATCGTGCTCCTTAATTCTGTCTTGCATAGGTCTCCCAGTCTCTCCGATGTACACCTTGCCGCATTCACAGGGAATCCTGTAAACTACGCCATCTTGTTTAGCCGGGTGGACAGTGTCTTTCGGTCGTACTAACTGAGATCTTAGCGTAGTCTCCGACAAGCTGTTCGGATAGACCTTTAACATAAGGTAAAACCGCAGTGGCTTTGAACTCGTTGGCGGGTTCGGCACTGTTGTTTGGTTTTCCGGTCTTGGTAAGTTTCTGCAAGAAAGAAGAAGGATAACCATTAGAAACCAGAACAGATGACAGATGTTTGGCGCGCTCGTAAAGGCACTTAACAATACCGCGTTTTACTGACTGAGGGTGGTGTGAATCATACGACAAACTCGCCTTCCTGGACACCGCAGTTTTAAGAGAACCTGACGGCTGCCTCTCAACCAGCGTATACAGGAAGCCCATGCACACCGATCAATACTTAGCGTACTCAATAATCTCCTTGCTGGCAGTACTCGGCGACTTTGGAGGCCGACCACCTCCAGTTATCTTGGTCTCCCTCTTGAATTCTGCAAATTCTTTCTTGGCGATGCTATGGAGATTTTTCCACTTGTCTTTTGCCTCCGTGACTGTTCGCTTGGCTGTTCCTACCGCATTTACCACTTGTGTTATTTCTTCCCATAACATTTGTTTCTTTTTGTTGGTCACAGCATTCGTTAATTTGGATTGGATTAAGTCGAGATTTTTTTGACATTATCGGTGATGACTTCAATCTCATAAACTGAAAAATTCTGCTTTCTTTTTCTGCCTTACGTTTGGCTTCCACTTCCATGTGCCACATGGAAGTGGAAGTGGAAGTGCACTCTCCCTTTCCGCCATTCATTTCACTCCAATTTTTTTTCGCGCGTAGCCGCGTAGCTCTTCATAACCGATTTGACTGGTTTAATCTCAGCTTAATCGTGGGATAGTTAATCAAGGGATAAATCTGCTTTCAGGAACATTATTTTAAACCTAGATTTGCTATCCTTGGGATAAGAAATTTAATCGTCGATTAACCTCTAATCGAGGGATAATTTAATCGGCTTTCGAACAACCGGGACCAGGGCAAGAAAAATATACCGACGCGCTAAAAACCGACTTCAAAGCGCGAAGGCGAGATCGAGACTACTTACAATCATCGCAAAGGACCCAAAGAAGGTACAATTTTAGTGCCACAGTGACTTATCATGCGCACACTTATTTTCCCTCAAACGAAAAACAGTAGTTTGAGGTTTGTCATCTACCAATGTTTGTATAGTACATTTTCTTTATTACAACCGAGGCAAATTCAGAGCCACGTTGTTTACAGCACTCTGTCTTTGTTGCACTTTATCTAATTTTCACTGGTTTCAATTTATCGAAATTCATATCCGTCCGTTGAAACGACCAAACTGTTTTTTCCAGCTATGACTGATCCCCAGATCCTCGGGTTTTATGTCTTGTCCCACTATCAACAAGTTATTATTATTAAAAGACGGCCCGATCGTTGTTTCCGCATCGTGTTATTAGTTTTGACAAGGGCGCCAGTCACTTCAGCATTATGTTCAATGTCAGTTCATCGTGCACGGGTCAAAAATCAAACAACGTTCTGATTGAATCCTTCCTGAAAGAGATAACGAAAGGCCGACTCTTTGAGCCACTTCTCCCCGAGTGACACATGCCAAGCTTCTCTTCACCTCCACAACTTAGTACTCAAAAATTAAAAACCGAAATTGATCAAGCGGGTTCGATTACAGATCTCTCCATGATTCGATCTCGTAAACCCTGCCCTTTTCCGAGTTCCATTCTCTTTAGTATTTCTCTCACCGGCATAAGAAATTAAATAGTGAAACGAACCTTGACGGGCGTTTTAACCCACTCTATTACGACGTTTTTATGACAAAACTCAGGGTTATTTAACAAACAAGTGGGAGATACGAGAGGTCTAGCGACGGTTTATTAAAAATTCCACTAATCTTGAAAACACTGAACTTAAATGTCAGATACCTATCATCCCTTCGACAAATCTCGTTGTTTCTCTACGCTCCTTTTTAATCGAGAACCATTAGTATTGATCAGTGATTTACTTGATGTGTGACCGATAAGAGGTGAAATTCCTTTAAACACATCGCTGAGTCCTCGAGCTTCTTCCTTTTTTTAAAAAACAAAGATATTGCAGAATACAGCGACTAAGTAAAAATAATCATTTAATGAAAACGGCGGGCATCAAATCTTTTCATGTTCTAGGTAGAAATTTGTTGTTTACATTACATAAAATCACTTATAATCCTTCCGCATGTCAAACACATGTTTAACTGATACATATGTAAAAACGGAAAAGCATAACGTCGTTTGTTTGACAACCCAAGAGTTTTGTTTTTTAGACACGCCAGTTCCCATTTGAATAACTGTCTGGTTTCTGGTGTAAAATTGTTGATCTCGACGGAAATCTGGCCTTCACGTCCCATTCTGAAAAGGGGAATGTACGTTTTCATCTACTTGAAAATGAACGAAAACAACCCCTTGAATCATTTACACTGTATAGAGTTTACCTGGTGGTTTCATAAAAAATATAGCGTTCTTAACCAAAGGAAGAATTTTGTTTTATTTCGCGCTTTAATTCATTCGGGTTATGCGACAACGACCGCAGCCTATGATAAAGCGATGTTTGCATATTCGCCCTGAAAACCATATTGAGACGTATTTTCTTGTAATCACACAGTTTTACTTCCTGTGTGCGAACACTCCCTATGTGCAGCAAATATCTCACTTCCTCCTTTACTCTCTTTACGAAAGGCAAGTATTTTCCTACGGTTATCCCACAGGCGAACTACGTTCTAACTGAAACAGCAGTCGGCAATCAAAAGCCATCTTGGAGAAGATTTCTGTCTCTCAAGATTTCCTTAGAAAAATCAATATGGAAAAAATAAAATTAAACTAAACAAATATTGAGCAGGAACCCAAAACCAAATTTATTGTAAAAAGCTAATAGTCAGCTGTCGCACTCAGACATCTCAAAATATAGCTGACGTTCATGAGGACCTTTGAAGTTTCTTCCTGTTGAGATATGCATTTGATTTCAAATAAAGTAGCGCGTAAACAGACGTAAGATTTTGTGGCGTTAGGGAAATAAGGGATTTGTTCTGAAATAATCTCATTTGAGTTTCCAGCTCCAAAGGCCAGGAAACAACACCAACGGAATTTAGCCTTTATCCTTGAGTGCCGGAGTCAGGGGCTCTTTGTTCATTTCAACTCGTAGGTATGGCAAAAATTAAACAATAATTAAACTTAGTCATGTTTCAAGTCAAATATACGTGGCGACATTTCAAGACTTTTCGTCAACAGGAGCGAAATAAGTGCACTCAACATAATCTTCGGTGATGCTGTAGTATAGCTGATATGGTTGGTTCCGACGCTTTGTATCGCATGGAATCCCACTATTTTTTTTCTCCAATCTCCGGTTTCTTTTTTTGGAAAGAAAATAAAGCAAAGTTTCGACGGAACAACAAGTAGAACTTTATGGAAATCATCTTAGGTAAAGCTGTCGAAATTGAATTATTTTCGACCAAACTGATGAATTATTTTTATCAGTGCGACTGAAAATGTGGAAGACTTCGTGTAGGGTCGCTTCTCCTCACTCAGGTGCATTTTACTCTGCGGCATATGAGGCATGCAGTTTGACAAGAGGCTACAAAGGGATTCGCCTATTAGCGAGACAATATAAACTCTGCCTATCAATTGATATTTTCCGCTTCATGATCTCCGAGAGAACCTTGTAATTAACCAGTATCTAATGAACAGAAGAAGACAAGAGCCTCATAACACATTTGATCAGTTACAAGTGCAGACGGCCGTAAATCGCCTTATTTCATTTTTTTCAATTCTTCAAGAGCAAAAATATCTACGCCAAGAAAAAACTGCGGTATTTTTCAACCAAGTAGACGCTCATAATGTTTGTTTTTCAGAATAATCAAAGCATAAATTCCTCTGAAGTGCTGTTCACTGTTCAAGATATGATAAAAGCGTCCTTTCCTATGTTTCGATAAGTCGTCGCAGCAATAAACTTAGTGCATTCTGGAACTATAGGATTGCAATTTTACACACTTTTATAACGTTCAAAATCTTAAATCAAGAAATTGGCGAGCCGTACTTAAACTTTTCATCCAATCTCTTCATCTTTTGCGGTCAGTCGAAGGCTTCCCATGGTACATGATACATTAGTCTCTGCTTTCAAAATAATTTTGTGGTCTAGAATAGTCTTTTGGTCGAGGATCTCAGTCAAAAGGTAACTAGGATTGCTTGTGAGCGACGAAAGTTTGTGTATGATCGCTGTCAATTGATTTGACATTTTGAAATGTAAAAGCCGATATTTCGTAAAGACGAACGCGAAGCAGATTATCACAACCAGTGATCACAACGATACTGCCTTTGCGACACATATTTTCATGTCATTCGTGGCACTTTAAAATGATGGGAGAGAAGCGACTTATATAATAACAAACTGTATGGCTGAAGTTACTAGGGCTCGTCATGTTTTCTAATTTGAAATCGAAAATCGACGTCGAACGCATCAGTAATTGATCAGTGATCGGTAACTCGGATTTGAAAAACAGCCGGCAGAATCAAGGACTAAAGAGAAGAAAGCAGTAGACATTCAACTTGACGGTTATTATCTTTTTTTTTCCTTTTTTTTTGATTCAGCCTCCCATAAAAAAGTATTTCGCCTGCTAGTACGTCTATACGTGAGTTTCCGGAACGGTCAAAATTTTGGAAAATTTTCGAGCAGATTTTTTATGTTTACTCGACAAATATAAGTTACATCCTCCGCCTCCATGATCTCGTTCAGACTTGTTCATTTGATTGCATATAAGTCCGTGAACACCGTACCCTAGCTCATACTGATCGTTCCATCGATTAGGTGAAGACACTGAGAGTGAAAAAACCTTCAACCTGCTTCAAAACCTTCCACCTCCTTATCAACTGACGAGAACCAGAATGAGGACTTACGCGATTCTTCCACTTTGTATCGTGCTTTTGTCTGCGGCCGGATGTGTTTCAGGTACACAGAGCAGTTAACCCAACATTTAGGAAGAGAAAAAATTCTCCGATTTCGAAAAAATTTCAGATTCATCAAAATTTATCCACCAAAATTTATCCACATTGTTGGTCTTATTAGCCTGCAGTTACATATATCATCATGAAAATGTGTCTAGCTGAAGTATCATCGCACCAAAAACGCATATGCTGTTTTAATTAAACTAAAATAATTGAATTTATCTTCTAGCGTATTGCCCTTGGGGATGGAGGCAGCTCGACAGCTTTTGCTATTATGCAAGCAGCACATCCATGACTTGGCACCATGCCCAACAATTCTGTCGAAGACTGGGAGGAGACCTGGTAAAGATTACCAATGCGCGGGAAAACGAGTTCGTCCTAGCCCTCGCGAGGAAGTTTGCACCAACAAGGCAACAAGTGTGGATCGGCCTGATGTGGACCGCTAACGACTTTTACTGGAGTGATTACTCTGTTCCAGTCTACAAAGCCTGGGCTCCAAATGAACCGAATGGAAAATCCCGGGAACCATGCAGCAACATGTGGACTAGGCATACTTCCTCAATGCCAATCAGAGCAAACGGTTACTGGAATGACCTCCCTTGTACGGCACCATCTCAATTGCCCTGTGGCCTGGTGTGTAAAAGGCTCGCTTGAACTGCTAACGCTGGAATACCAAAAATCGACGCTTAGAGATTTAGAGGCAAAATTTGGTAATGGGATCATAAGATAAAATTGTAAGGTGTAAAGAAATGCTTGTCTTACAATAAAGCGTCAGCTTAAGTCATTTAACTTGTCCTATTACTGTGTCTGACGCTGTCAATGCCAATTTGGTCAAACGAATAATTCAATTACTACGAAATAGTCAAGTCAATATTTGACTCTTATCATTCTGCGAGGTCAGACGATTGCCGGGAAAGAGAAATTTTATGACTTATGTAGATGCTAGTCATAAAATTTGCCGGACTCACAGAAAGAAATGGTACCGGCCACCAGAATAAAATTTAATCCCAAAATAGAAAGAGAGTTTTCCCATTTCTCGTATTTCTTTTTTAGGGGGGGAGGGGTGGGAGCACAAGCTGATGCACATATACAAGGTATCAGTTTCTTGTGTACAACACAGAAGTGGACAAAGGGATTGAGAATTTTTGGTGGGAGGAGTGGGTGGTGTGCAAAAATTCAACTAGGCAATGTTCTCCCAAAAGTGACGTACATACTGGCCTCTTTCTTTTTTTCTTCATCGGCCTTCAGATTGAGCTCTATTGTGTTTTCTCTTGTTCTAATCTTGATTATTATTGGCTGATTAGTGGTCAGTTGTGGGCTGATTCCAGGTTATGGTGCAGCTGCTCAGTAACAGATAAAACATGACAAAAAATATGTGATAGGAAAAACAAGTGGCACACAAGGTGCAGCCAAGTGTGTCACCGATGTTCTCACTGCATCCCGACATCTTACGTGATCTGCCGTAAAAACAGATGCATAACAACATGGAATCTGTTTGTTTTGAATAATAAAAAGCAAAATCTTGTTAACAGTGAACTCATCTCTGTGTCTGTCTGTCCAATAGATCACAGGTGAGAACCAATTAAGTTAGTAAATAAGTAAATCCTTATTTCAATAGGGCGCACAATTACAGTCAAGACTGTATTCTCCCTTATGGCCCTTTTAAACTGAATAACAATATTTCTAATCATAGACATTTAAAATACTAAATAACAAGATATTAAGGATATTAAAAAAAATTAAGATCACATGGAACTTACAATCATATTAATAAAAACTAGAATATTCTGTCAGTTTTAAAACTATCAGGTGTGAATTTACACCTAATGCAGTCAAGGTAGTTTAAAACTTCTTTAGATCGGTGGAATAAACAAACTCATTATCGCTAATATTCTTCCACAATTGAAGAGCATTAAAAAAAAACATTCGTTTCCTGTTAACGTTGTTGGTTCGTGGAGTGGGGAGGTGATAAGGCATCCGAGATCTTGTGTCATGAGACTTGCAGTATTTCAATGATGACAGTTTCTCAGTGAGAAAGATTCCAAGATTTTTTTTAAACAAAATTAAACGTCTTTCAATACAGATGTGGTTAATAGATAGCCATTCAAGTTTATAAAATAACGGTGAGATTCTAACTTGGAAGGGAGCATCGAGGATAAGACGCGCACATCGCTTTTGAACTTTAAAAATGTCATCCAATAGTCCTGCATTACAGCTTGCCCAAACTGATACATAGTACTCAACCATGGGCTTGATACTAGCATTGAATAGAATTATACGATATTTAATTGGCAAGAATTTTTTAATGCGGGCCAGAACAGCAACGCGCTTTAAAAGTTTCTTCCTCAGATTTGTTACATGGTTTAATCAAGAAAGGGTGGGGTCAATATCCAGATCTAAGAGACGTTCCTCTTGAGTTTGCTCGAGTTTCCTATCGTCTAAGAATAGTGTTAATGCACATTCTTCACAGCGAGACAGTATATTTCTCGTACCAGTGATCATGTATTTCGTTTTTTCCGAGTGGATTACCATACTGTGTTCTTTAGTCAATATCGTCGTACTATCAAGATCTCGCTGGAGTTGCAGCTGAACGTCTGTTAAAGTTATGGCGCTGGCATAGAAAGTGGCATCATCAGCAAACAAGCCATTCCTACGTTCCCAGGAGAGCGGTAGGTCATTGATAAACAGGAGAAAAATATCAACCCAAGATCGAACGCAGGGGAATACCCCTTTAAGATTCACACACTGACGACGGTCTGTAAAGTAGCTCTTAAACCAAAGTAGAGATGTAGGAGGACAGCCATAAATTTGCAGTTTGGCAATTAACAGGTTATGATTCACCACATCAAAGGTTTTACGTAGATCCAGGAGGATCGCACCGGTATATAGGCCTTGGTCCATCGTTTCTAACCAATCATCTGTCATTCTAATCGAGATAGACCCAGCTGAGTGATGAGGTCGGAATCCAGATTATGTCGAGACAATGAGATTAAATGAACGGAGGTATAGCATGAAGTGAGTACATGTGTCTTTCAAGTAGCTCTGAAATAATTGGAAGAACCTAAATCGGACGAAAATTATTCGGATCAGAGGGTGGCTCAGAACTGTTGTAACTCGTGCTAGTTTAAGGGCAGAGGGGCATATACCAGATTGGATACTACTATTTAGAACCTTGGTAAGACTTTCCAGAATATCCCGAGAGATAAGTTTCAATAAAGGAACACTTATTCCATCGAGGCCCGTGGCAACATTTGGAGGGAGCAATTTTCATAACTTGCCTAAGGTGTTAGTGTCCAGAAGAGGAATTTAAGAGTTTTTGGTCGACGGTTTCTAGCGTTCACATTCATATTCCCAGAATAAAAGTATTCATAACCAATAGTCTCCATCTAGCAAAAAAATATGCCGTTATTTTTGCCCACGGTTCCTAGAATCAAACAGTTTTCTTAAATCACAGCATGAGGAAAATTAGCTTTCACATTGCTTTATTTTTTGTTAACTTCATGTCTTGCACCAAATTTTGGAATATGAATGATAAAATAACCCAAGTAGGTTTTGTATATGTGATACATGTTAACTTCAAGTAATTTTGAGATTACAATTGATGTGCGTGAAAATGTCTTCATTTCACTTGCATGCCTGAAATGTACACAAAACAAACTTTGCACTAGGACTGAGTGATAATTAAATTAGGTTGTTTCATGGACAATAATTATGACCAATGAAAGTGTTTTATAATAAGAAGACTTTTAGTTCATCTCTTTTTTCCACTTTTCAGATCAAATGACAGAAAAAAAAACACCAGAGATTATGATATTTTTGTGTAGGTATGTAATAGAGCAGCAGGTAACTAAATGGAAGAGTTCAGAATTCTGCTTTAAGCATTACAGTGAATTCTATGTCCTGTGCCTGTATTTGTTTTTAACCAAACACTTCTCTACTTAAAGCATTACAGTGAATTCTGTGTCCCACGCCTGTATTTGTTTTTAACCAAACACTTCTCTACTTAAAGCATTACAGTGAATTCTGTGTCCCGTGCCTGTATTTGTTTTAACCAAACACTTCTCTACTTAAAGCATTACAGTGAATTGTGTCCTGTACCTGTGTTCGTTTCTAACCGAACACTTCTCTACTAAATCATTCAGTGAATTCTGTGCCCCGTGCCTGTGTTTGTTTCTAATCTAACACTTCTCTACTTAAAGCATTACAGTGAATTCTGTGTCCCATACCTGTGTTCGTTTCTAACCAAACACTTCTCTACTAAATCATTTCAGTGAATTCTGTATCCCGTGCCTGTGTTTGTTTCTAATCGAACACTTCTCTACTTAAAGCATTCAGTGAATTCTATGTCCCGCGCCTGTGTTCATTTTTAACTGAACATCTCTCACATCTAGAAACTTAATTGTGGGTCTTCATACCATGACCATCTGTTAGGTTCAGCAGCCTTTTCCACTTTAGGACAGAAACCATTAACACATTCCTCTTTCAACTGAAGGACCACATCACCAAGCTGCATGTAATCTTCTTTCACATTATACACTTGAACTGACACTCGGCACCACAAAGATGCCTGAATGCTGATAAAACATGCAATAAAATTGTACTTGTGGTATACATCAGACATCATCTTGTCTGCTCCTTCTTGTGTGGCTCCATAGGCTGCAGACAGTTCTCCAGGGAGGCGGATGACAGCCATAAATGGAGCACGCATTGACTCTGGAATGGGAAGAACCTCTGTGTCCCAAGTTTCAGCTAATGTTGTTGATGCCCAAGTTGCAAGCTGGCTGTTGTACTTTGTTATTGCACCCTAGTTACAATAGATATTACACCTCTTCTTAGCTATTGGCTGTCAAGATCACCATTGATTGATTATCCTACTTTCTAACTGCCACACATTTCATTTTAATGTGCTGATCAATTCCAAGCATCAATACATTATCTCCCCTATCTCCCGCCTCCCCCTGGACATTTGACTGTCATCTGTGCCTGTCATCTGTGCCTACTTCTGACCAATCACATTACTTTCAAACAAGACCCCTTTTCCTCATTCAGTCTCCTTAAATTGTTGGCCACTGATTTCCAGTTGCACAAAGATTGCACAGGAGAAAATCAAGAGAACTATGTACTCACCATGCCACCAATTTCTCTATAGAACTGCACAGCAGCTGCAGCTGAAGTATAAGAAGTGTGATCTATAGTACCCTGTTGAAAGAACCTGTCCTGAAGATTTTTGTCATGGTACCATGAAACAACTTGAGGGATGATGACATCATGGAATTTGGGACTCACCCATAGAATAGCACAGCCACGAGGGGAGAAGAGCCATTTATGAAGATTCCCTAGAAAGGAAAATAAGAAAACTTCATTTACCAAGTTTTACTGTCAGTGAAAAAGATCTGCAAGTGTATTTAAAACTTACAATAAACATTTAGGAAAGGTAACAAGGAATCATAGCAGGTATAGAACAAGGAAACATCTCCCATGTGAGGATTTTACCCCTACCCTACCCTACCCCCCTACTATTGCACCTTTATAGTCCTGTATTCTGCTAGGGTGGGGTCAACAGTCAAAACCATCCTGAGTCGAAATCAGTTATAGAACCAGGAGAGATTTTCCAAAAATGTTCAACAAGTTTGAAAGGAAGTGAAAAGATTGTTTCTATTTCATTCCAGTAATCACCCTGCATATTTTTCTTTCCCTTGCCCCAGCCCACACATGGAGACTATAAACTGGTGACAAAAATGAAAACAGTTACAGACCTAATGAGCAATAGAAAGCAATAGAGCAATAAAGTTTTACGTGCCAGTGTGCAAGACTGATCATCTTAAAAAATCTTTTATTGTTAGTCATAGCCTAAGTATGTAAATGAATTTGTTTAAGTATGTATATTTTCCTAACACAAGGTTATCCTATGTGAAATGTTTTTATTAAATTGTACATTTCTATTATTATGGTTTTTTAAATCCATTTTAATTATAACTTGTATATTATATATGTAATTCAGTCTTCGGACTGCGAGGTGTTTCTTTTTTAATAAACGATTTAACATAATGGCTGAATTAATCATTAAGATCAAGAGAATAAAGGGAATGATCACCAACCTAAGAAGCTTTGATTGTTAAACCAATTCTCCTAGTCAGTACTAAAGGAAATGTACAGAGAAGAGTACAGAGAATGTGGATACTGATATTTGGGTGTAAAGGGTTAACTTACCCACAAAAAAGTCTGCACCAATCCTCTCAAGATCCAATGGGATTTGTCCAGGAGCATGAGCACCATCGATCAACACCAAAGCATTGTGCTTGTGACAAACCTCTGATAGCTTTTTAATTGGAAGCTTCAATGCACTTATACTGGTGATTGCATCAATGATCACTAACTTTACATTTGTGTTCTCTTGCAAAACTTTCTCATAGTGTTCCACAATTTCAGTAACTTGGTACTTAATAGAACCAGTCATGTCTGAAGTTGGAAATGTGACATTGAGCACTAGCAACTTTGCCTTCTTTTCTTGGCAGATTTCCTGAGCTGTCATTTGGACAGCACCATAGGTCTGATTTGTTATCAGGATTCCATCCCCCTCTTGAAAATTAACACTGTGCAAAACTGCATTAATTCCTGATGTGGCATTGGCTATGAATACAAGATCTTTCACATTTGCTCCAACAAACTTGGCCACAGTTTCCAGAGATGAATTCCAAAGATTTTTCACCTTATATCTGAACCAGATATCAGGACATCTTTCCATCTCTTCCTGAACAAAAAAAAAGAAACAAAACAATAAAAACAGCTTACAAATTCAACATAATCTGCATTGCTAACTTCATTATTTCTTTTTCTTCTTCATTACAGTGACAGCAGACACTGAGTGGTTGGAAAATTACTTTTAAAAGCTGAAAAAAAATCAGTTAGCAGGTGTGATACAGATTAAGTTTTACTTCTGAAAGAAGTCACTTAACACTTTAACCTCCATGGGTGGCCAAGAGTTGGACAGAATTTCTCCTTATGATATCAATATAATATCAAGCAAACAGGAAATGAGAATAAAAAAAATATCCATTATGGGATTATAAGTTGATCGGATCAATATCAGTATCTGGGCAACTGCCCACCTACCCCTCCCCTAGCTCAACAACAGTCAATTGACAACAATTTAAGGTTAATGTTGGATTAGGGGAGGGGTAGGTGGGCAGTTGCCCAGATACTGATATTGATCCAGTTGATCCACCACCAAATTGGCCAAGCTAACATCATCAAAATTGTAAAATTGGCAGACAGTAAGGAGAATTACTGATAAGATCTGAAGTTAACCCTGAAGTAAGTTTTTGTGGAGGGTTATCTGTAGTAAAACACTCAGAGAAATTCAAACACCAAAAAACCGTTAATTAATGTTAAAATTACCTGATACTTCCATTGTGTTTCTTTGACCTTCTTAGGAATAGTACCATATGATCCATTGTTAGTCACTACAATGCTTTCATCAAGGAGGAACAAGTTCTTTTTTATGTTTTTACCAAACATGGCAAGCCTATAATCTTTCCCAAATATAAAGGTGAATACTGCACTAACAGACTTGATTACTGCTGCCCACCACACAAATACAACAAAAGTTCCCAGCTGAAGAATCCTGAGGTTTAAAAAAAAAAAAGATACCAAATCCTTGGTGTTACTACCATCACATTAACCTACATTATTCTATCTCCTAGTTAGCTATGACTGGTCAAGTTACAGGGTTGCATTTCACTGTACCACTCATTTAACCCTTTAACTCCCATGAGTGACCAAGACAGAATTTCTCTTTACAATATCAATACAATATCAACCAGAAAAGAGTGATGAGGATAAAGAAAAATATAAATTTGGGAATAATTAGTTGATCCATTACTAAATTCTCTAAACTAACATTATGATGATTGTATTGTTGACAGTGAGGAGAATTACAAATTTGATCTAGAAGTTAAAGTGTTAATTCAAAAGTTTGTGATTTGAACCTGTGACCTCTACGATATCTGTACAGTGCTTTACCAATCGAGATAAAAAGCCAACTGGGAGCTTGTCAATATGTCAGTTAAAAATAAACCCATGAAGTAATGAATAAATGACTGTGAATATATGAAAATCATATATGTGACCTGCAGATGATATATGAAAGTGATCTATATCTGCAGTTCACATACATGGTTTTCATATATTCACAGTCAATCAAAATACTGCAGATTCGTAGATCAGTTGTTAAGTCAGAGTTCTGGTCTGAATTTAAGGACTATGGATGATAGACGCCCAATAAACTACAGATTGTAGATGACATATGGTCCACCTTTGTAATTCTCCTCCAAAATGGTTGACATTAATATGACATTCATGTGATCTTAAACAGATCAATTCCAGAAAAAAAAATCCTCTGTGTACATTTCTGTGACTTAAAAATTTCTGAGACTTTCATATAATCTTTCTAACAATCATTTCCATTTAAATAGAAATGATTTAGAAATATACTCGAAGCATGCATACCTAATGTACTTAATTTTATGTAGTCTTTCTTGTACAGAAAGTATATCCACTTTCCCGTAAAATATGAAACAAGTAAGAAAAAGAGTGTATTATATCTCAAACAAATAGGTGCAATGACCACAAAAAATAAATATATTGGTAATTTTATATTCAAGGTTAGTACGTGTACCATCTTGTGCTAGTGCTCGTGAATTGAATAAATTTCACAGTTTACTAAATTTCATTTTCCCATTGTAACGTGAGCTCAGTGTAGACTTGAACTATGTAATGATAACTTTAAAGAATACCTCCTCATACGGCTTCCTTTCAGAGAATCAGCATCCATAGTTTCCATAGGTAAAGATCCTCCAAACACGAATTCGCTTTGTAAACATACAACAACAAACTATTGCAACTCGATCGAATTTACTTCCCATACGCGTTGTGTGAATTACAGAACAAAAGGTATGGACTGGAATGAATATATCACCAAGTGAAGTCTATGTAAGAGTTGTGACATATCGTTAGGTTTTTTTGAAAAAACCACTCAAACTCGTGCAAAAATTAGAATATTCCAGCAGATGAACCCCTGCTCGTGAAACTAGCCAATCAACCGCCAACGGTTTTGCCAACGTGAATAATTCCCATGATCCATTACAAGGGTGCGCTTCATCTGCGTCATTGTAGAGTCGGTTGATTGTCTTTGATTCTGTAGCGACATTAAGGTAGAATATCCTTCGAAATTCTCTTTCTTTTTTGCCCATCCATGATTCAGTTCACCTTGATTCGAAAGCACACAGCGGCCTTCATAAGGCTACGTGGTTTTCGTCTCCGTGGAAAGCTATTTTTCCAACTAAGTGCGTTTCGCTCTTTTCTGTCAAGGCGGCACTTCTTGCATCATGGCCGAAGTTGGTGATGAAAACGAATTGTTGGACTACGAAGAGGAGGAGACAGAAACCCCAGCTGAAGCGCAGGCGACCAAAGATCTGGCAAAGAAAGATGTTAAGGGTACCTACGTCAGTATCCACAGTTCTGGCTTCAGAGATTTTCTCTTGAAACCAGAACTTCTTCGGGCCATCGTTGACTGCGGATTCGAACATCCTTCAGAAGGTATAGAAAGCCTACAATAATTTACGTTGTTGCTATATTTCAGTTGCAAAAACCGAATTCCCTTTCCAGAAAGGTTTTTTGTGTCTTTCGTCCTTTGAGTATTTTTATTTTCCCTTCGATGTGTAAGGTGATAGAAAAGTCTCGGCTTATTAAAAATGTAGCCAGTTACTGTTTGAAATGAATATTAATGAGATAATTTATTATCAGAAAATGCTATGATCTTTTGTTGTGAGATCCATTACCCATGTTTGGCCCAAGACTAGTTAGCGTTTCCATGATGGAAAAAGAAATGAAATCACATCTTTTGAGAACTCATATTGGACAAACAGGAAAGACCACAAGGAAATCCTGTAGATTACTGCATGCATGTATTAGGTAATAACTCGTTGCATCTACAGTATTTGCAAGGTTTTTTTTTACAAGATGTTCCCTTCTTTTTCACAGTTCAGCATGAGTGTATTCCACAAGCAATCCTGGGCATGGATATTATCTGCCAGGCCAAAAGTGGAATGGGGAAAACAGCAGTGTTTGTTCTTGCAACGCTTCAGCAGCTAGAGCAAATTGATGGCCAAGTCAGTGTGTTGGTTATGTGCCACACACGAGAGTTGGCCTTCCAGATCTCTAAAGAGTATGAAAGGTTTTCTAAATACATGAATAACATCAAAGTTTCAGTGTTTTTTGGCGGCATCAGCATCAAGAAGGACCAGCAGACCTTGAAAACCAACTGCCCACATATTGTTGTGGGTACCCCAGGCAGAATATTGGCACTGGCACGAGAGAAGTCATTAAATCTCAAGCATATCAAGCACTTTATCCTTGATGAGTGCGACAAGATGTTAGAACAGCTTGGTAAGTGTTACAATCCTTCCCTCAGCAGCTCCTCCCTAGAGTTGTAGTTGAAGTTGATTTGTTCTGGGGTGTTGTTAGTCTCTTTTCCTTAAGCCTTGGAAGGGTTTAAATTCCTTGGGGGAAACATTTTTAACTTTCTTTGATTAGATTACCCTCTGTTGCTAAATACTTCCTCAATTCTTGAACAGCTGCTATCCATGCATTTATATTTGAACTTTCAAAAGCTGTATGTTTAAAATAGGGTAGGGAAGGGAGCAAAATACCAGCACAATAATTAGTGGAGGTGCTCTCAAACCATTACCCCTTGATAACCCAAGAAATCACCCTGCTCTTGAAGTCCACTGATCAGTGTTGTCTCAAGTTCTACCTTGCTCTTATTGCATTTAGCCTTAGGTCTAGGACTAAGGTGAATAGTATTAGTGATAGTATTGATTAATCTTCTACTGTTTCATCTTTCAGATATGCGAAGAGATGTGCAAGAGGTGTTCCGCATGACTCCACATGAGAAGCAAGTCATGATGTTCAGTGCAACACTAGCCAAAGAGATCCGCCCTGTCTGCAAGAAATTTATGCAAGATGTAATTATACCTCCTAAGTTCCATTGTGAAGTCTGTTGTTGAGCATTCATTACCCTCATGAAGGAGGTGATGGAGAAGCAGCTGTAAGGCTGATTGGCAATTATTGGCACTTCCTTGCAGCAGAGTTGTTTGGCTTGTTTCTGTTGGCTGGCTTTTGGACTTTTTTTTTTCCCTAATGATGGAATGAGGGCTTAATAGATGGTTTTTTAGTGAATAAGCTTGTTTGGAGCATGTTTCTGGGTGTTAGGAAAGTTGTATTAGCCAATAAAGTTGTGGTCAGTTGTGTCGGTTTGTGTGCAAGTTGATTTGGTCATTCCTGGTTATTAGCAGTGGGTCATTCATTGGTTTGTATTGTACAGTCTGTGTCTAGGGTTATTTGATGATGGTTGTATGTTTGGCTTGAAAAAATTGAGGTGGTTCTTTGTTGCAAATGTGTCTCTCTGCTTGGAGGTGCCATTGTTGCTTGTCACTATACCTTGGTTCAGTGAAGGAATGTTCGTGGTCAAACCTTCAGAAGTCTTGATCATGAAGTGTAGCAAGCTAGCTCAAGCAGGAGCAGCAGCCATTACACCAAGTCAACTGCCTCATCTGATGTCAGTTGGTTTCCTCTCCTTCAAGTTCCCAGCCCCACAAGCTGTAACTAATTGGATTGTGTGACGTGTTTGTGTTGTTCTTTTCTCATGTCAGATCAAACCTTTGGTAGTTTAAATAACTTTTGTCATTGTTGTGTATGTGTATTTGTCTGTATAAGGTGCCTATTGTGGGTTTTTTTGGGTGTTTTGTTTTGTTTTGATTTTTTTCAAGGAAGATTTGTTGGTGACATGTTACAATGCCCAAGAGTGCATTAGGTTTTTCTTATAGTTTAAATTACTATGTAGTATGCTCTTAAGTACACAGAGGTTGATCACTTTGATATTATTAGGGAATCAATCTGTTTTTTAAGCTCCATTTTACATAGTAATTGTCGTAAATGTGAATTTGTTTTGTTGGGGTTGGTTTTTTGTCTTTACTTCCCCTTGGATGTCATAGTATTTTTTCCAACTCCCTCTTGTGGTAAAGAATGTTGTTCTGTTCTCTTAATTAAACAGCCAATGGAAGTTTATGTTGATGATGAGACAAAACTCACCTTGCACGGCCTGCAACAGTACTATGTCAAACTCAAGGATCAGGAGAAGAACAGAAAGCTTTTCGACCTTTTAGATGTATTAGAGTTCAACCAGGTATCTAGATGTAGTTATAGTCATTTGAGGAGCTGCTGTAGTGAGAGGAGGACTCGGATCCAAATTGGATGCAAAAGTGTCATGAGAGAATACCAATTTTGGAAAGATATCATTAAAAAAATCATTACAAGAAACCAAGTCAGCATTGGATTCCGAGACTAACATTACACCATGAAATTGAGTAATACTCATTCAAGATCAAACTTTGTCACTCAAAACTGCTTTCCCCAAAAGTGTGTTGTGAATATTTTTCAAGAATAGGGTTTCAGATTTGCATTATCAGTAGAGTTCAGATAAAACAAAGCAGAAGCTTTGGTGTGGAAAATAGGGCTTCTTATGGGGAAGTTCTTAATAAAGACTGAACAATATTATAGCATTACACTTTATGGTTAATATCAGAGATTTCTAATTAACAAGTTGTGGTTATTTTTGGAACATTTGTTTTTTGATGTTGGTTTTGAAGTTTATCTGGGCTTTTTGTGATGGACAACTTAAATGCTTATACTATTTGCATTTGGGTCATCTTTGATCAAAGCTTTGACCTTCCACTTAACAGCTGTGTCCATGTTTTCTGTTGTTTCTCTATGGAGTATTGACCTAGTGTAAATGAACTTTTACAGGTGATCATCTTTGTCAAGTCAGTGCAGCGCTGCATTGCCCTTGCTCAGTTGCTGATTGAGCAGAACTTCCCAGCAATTTGTATCCATAGAGGAATGGAACAAGAAGAAAGGTGAGTGCCAGTCATTATGCAGTAAGTGATTTTTTTGTTTTAGTTGCCCCAATTTACAACCAAATGATGGTTTTGGAAGTTAAAAAATATGACGACTTGAATAGGTACTTTTTTCCCCATTTATATACACAGAAAAGATACTATGGTGAGGATCAAACTACCTCCTAAGTTTTGATACTTTGTTTCCTTGTGGAGCCACCCTGTATTTCTTTTCTCTGTTAGGTTGAAGCAAGTTTAAAAAAACTGTGTCTGAGTTATATTTATTTCTTCATTCTAACCATAAGTTAACTTTGGAATTTTGACCCTTATACAAATTTTTTTTTATTGAATACTTTGTTGTCATTTGCAGATTGTCTCGCTACAAACAGTTTAAAGATTTCTCCAAGAGAATGCTGGTAGCCACCAATCTGTTTGGTCGTGGAATGGATATAGAAAGAGTTAACATTGTGTTTAACTATGACATGCCAGAGGATTCGGACACCTACCTTCACAGGGTTTGTTAGCAAGAATATATCCTTCGTGTGCAAGCCAACTTTTTCCTACTATAACTTGCTCTAGGATTGTACTGCTGTTCAAGCTTAATTATATCTTGGAGAATGTATTGTTTTTCATTTTGATGATTTCCTCCTTAAAGGTTGCTAGAGCTGGACGTTTTGGCACCAAAGGTCTTGCCATCACCTTTGTCTCAGATGAAAAAGATGCTAAGATATTGAATGAAGTCCAAGATCGCTTTGAAGTAAATGTAGGAGAACTCCCAGAGGAGATTGACCTTTCAACATACAGTAGGTGTTAAAGTTTCAGTGTGGAAGTTTTACTCTAAACATTGTTTTTTGCAGCTGTTCAATTGGATACAACTGATTTCTTTAAAAAGGAGAATTTAAGAGGCCTTTAGTAAAATTTCAAACATTTGGCAATGTCGCAGGAATTTTATGTAGACAACATGTAGGCTGCTAGTTTAAGATCTTCTATTTTATAATTACTGAACTTGAAGGAAATCTAATGGTACAGGGTTTAAACAGGTTTTCTTTCTGTTTTTCCTTTGCAGTTGAACATGTACGTTGAATTGATGAAAGTCACTCATAAGTGCAGGATCTTGTAAATTAATAGCATAAGAAGTACCAAGGAAATTATTCTGCTCAACTTTCCTTTCATTTTTTTACATAAAACATGGTTTCAGGAAGGTGTCTCTTTCTGAAACATTTTATCTATCAGTTAGTACTTGTGCATAAGCACAGGCTTTTTTTTCTGTTTTTAACAATGTGTGTATTTTTACTGATCATGGAATAAATGAATATATATGAAATGTTGCTTTATCTGTTGGTTCAATTATCTAATTCATGGGTAACACCCTAAAGGACTTATAGGTGAAGAGAGAAAGACTTGTGTAACAAGTTGAAGACAAACAAAACCCTTTAAATGCATAGAGTGACCAACTTCAAATTTCTCCTAACAACATTCGAGAATAGAGCAGATGATCCAAACTTAAGAATTTTGTCCCAAATTCATGAGTTAAAATTGCTTCTCTATGGTCAAGTACATCTTGGTGCGTCCCCTCACACTCATTATGCTAGAAAATGACATTTGTCTCGGATACTCCTCTTAGCTGTTAATCCACCCTTGAAAACAATTATTTCAAGGTGTTCTTCCACCGAAGGCTATTGTTGTGCCGGTGGTTACCTCCTATCTTAGATTACTTAAGGTTTGAGGTCAATCACAATCGTCGGAGATTCTTGTAAATGGGACAAAACCATCGGAAAGGGGGTGGATTCGCTCAGAGTCAGTCGACACCACCTAGTAATAAGCGAAAGCATAAAAGGGGTAAGTTTCTAAACTGTGATGCAGCGGCGTATAACAATTTAGCGATAACAACTGAGTTAAAAACGTAAATTAACCACCGTAAAGAGTTTGAAGGCTGACGTTTCGAGCGTTAGCCCTCCGTCAGACCAAAAGACCTACGACCTAAAAGGCCCACAGAGCCATTTGACTTAAGATATAACTTTTGACGTCACTGGTGCGTTTTACACTGCACACGAGCCTATTAGTCTTATCTGCTTTCTTGACAATAATCTTTGTCATGGCTGGCATTTCTATGTCAAAGAAGAAGATCTAGAGGGAAACATTCTTTTTTTAACAAATTGCTCGATAATACTCCTCTTCACGTTAAATGAGAAATTTTTGAACAGGAACCACAAAGCTATAGTCTCTCTCCTCACAAAAAGGAAAGCCTTGTGTGACGACACTGAAAAACCTTAAAGGTTTATGCCAGTTCCAGTCTCTGCGGTCTGTCTTGCGCAACAATTGCATTGAACACGTGAAGTGAAAGGGGTCAGCGAGTTGTCTGGTACAGTTTGATGGTGTCAATTTGTAAATATATGGTTTCTCGCCGCTTTACCACAGCGGTACAGCTATCAGCAGAAATCATGCAACAAAGGACTTATGAGGTTAGTTGGTTTGGGGGTTGTTTTTCTTTTACGAAGATTAAGAAGCAACCGAGACTTCAATTTCGTGGCTCAGATATGCAAAGCTGAAGAGCGGTCATAGTTACTGTTTCGAACTTGCACTCATCGTGTAAATTCAACCCAGCATCTTTGACTAGATCTAATGACTTTCTTTGAAGGATGCTGTGAAGAAACTAAACTCTCTTCAAACGAATGCTCAAGTCTTGGAGCAAATCCGCAAAACGCGGGGAAGGCTGGCACAGAATAACTTACCGGAGATGAGAAGCTTCACTGAGCGAGCTGGGGTCAAAGTGAGTTTTACTGGTTACACTATCCTTTGTTTGTTTTTTAAACTACCTACAGGTTATCTGTTCGTTATTCTTTTTCACCTGCAAGGCTCGGGAAGGTGTCAGAAGCATATACAGTGTGTAACTTTAGAAACTCTCGCCATTGTTGTTATTATTTCACGTGACGTTATTTTACTTTCGTGACAAATGTGAATTTTTGGCGGGTAATCATGTGTTAACAAAATTAGTGATCGTCATTTGAAGGTGAGATGTGTGGCCATGTCTGTGTTTTTGCGGTGAAATGGGTAAAAACGTGAAATGCATTACAAAATTTTAATTCTTTTCCTTAACAATCTTTCCTTAATGTTGTCATTTAAAGTCTGGTAGAAAAGCATTAGAGAGCGCGATTTGAAACACTGCACTGTGCTACTGCGCGCTGAAGCTTGTCAAGTATCCAACATACTGTCTCCAATTGATTGTACAAAGTAGAATCAGTTTAATTGAATGAGATTTGTGTAATGAGAGCGTTATTAAATTCATGAAAACAACCATTCAGAACAACTCAGATGTCTCAATTATAGTTAAGGGGGTAAGTTTCTAAAGAAACTGTGGTGCTGCGTCAGTAGGAGAGTACAACAGGGTGATTTAGTGTTATCAACTGAACTGATAATGTAAATTGGTTACCGTAAAGAGTTTAAAGGCTGACATTTCAAGCGTTAGCCCTTCATCACACACTGCTCTGATGAAGGGCTAACGCTCGAAATGTCAGCCTTTAAACTCTTTACGGTGACCAATTTACATTATCAGCCCAGTCGATAACTCTAAATTACCCTCTTGAATATAGTTGTCAGATTTAATTGGGTTCAATAATGCACTTTGTATTATTAATTACCAATATTTTTCAAAAAAAACAAAAACAAAGCCAAAAAAAAAAATAAGCAAATGCCAAGTGAGGGCAAATGAGGCAAATTTAGTTTTTACAGAGGCAGCGCTTATTAAATATTCATCACTGATTTGACAAAAGAGTGAAAGGTGCATATATCAATTGAAATCAACTTGAAACGGTTTTTTAATCATGCGTTTGTGAACTATTGAGTTCACAAGAGTGTAATTCTTTTCTAACTTCTATTTTGCCTTTTGTTTTTTTTTTAAATATCACACTTTGCATTTTATTGGTGACAACTTTATTGTATTTAGTTGTTTCTTGTTAATTTAACTGGAGGTTGAGACTCCATTTGGATGAAGGGTAGCATTACATTTTGGCTTACAAATGGAAGTTCAGAAACTTTTTAATCACACAGAGATACTATTTGCAAAGAATAAGATACGGTGGCTATTGCTCCCTTGAATTTTTAATAAGAAAATGGTTCTTTGTTCATAGATGGAGGATCTAGATAAGCTGTCTATTATTCACATCAGTGGTACAAAAGGAAAGGTACACTATCATTGATTATTTTTTATTCATAAGTAATTCATCTAGCCATCTGGTATCTTTTAACCCTAGATTAGCTTAAATCACACACTCCTAAGTTTTGCTTAAGTGTACAATCAGTTAGACCTCCCACAATTCAATTATTTAAATTTATAATAACAGTAATACTCCGTATTTCAGAATTTCCTTGCTTTCAGTGTTTGGTTGCAGTCCTAATTTCATATCTGCAGGTTTCTGTTTTTTTTTTACTTACACAAAGAATGAAATAGTGGATATTAGTTGAACTGTCAATGTTCAGTGGTTGATTATTTATGAACCCTCTGACTCTCAGGAGTGACCCAAAAAGAATTCCCTTTTAAGGTATCCATAGATTTTCAAGCTCAAAATTTAGGTTTACTGAAGAAAAATCATTTGCCTTTTTTAGAAACAAATTTCTTTGCAAAAAGGAAAATTCAGCTTTATCAGAGTATACTTGCCTAACCAACCATACAATTGGGTGGGATAATTCTAAAATTATCATCACTAATCGGCATTACCACCAGCGCCTTTGTTTGGAGGCTTGGCACATTAACTCCGCCCACGCCCCTTTAAATCATGACGATGGCGGTCTGCTTCCTGACGCCTATTTACACCTCGTCAGAAAAAAGGCCACTAATTAGTGATCATATAAAAGGACCTCTTGTTGCAGCGTTTAGATCACCCCTGATGAAGGCACTAGACAGGACTGTTGAAACATTGGGTCTATGAATTGTAACTTCTTCAGTTACATTCATTAAATCTGCAAACCAGTGTAGCATCAAACTATATCTGATTGTCCACCTGGTTGCCGTGTGAACTTTAATAAATCAAATTTAAGGTTTTCCCTCTATTTCTTTGAAGGGCTCAACTTGTGCATTTTGTGAAAGCATTCTACATCATGAAGGCCTGAAAACAGGATTCTATAGGTAAAATTAATACAGATATAAAATCTTGTGTTAAACAAACAAAGGAGAATTTACAAGGACCAAGAACTAGCCGTAAATTCACCATAGGTGCACTACAAGTCTGATCAAGGAAAATTCATTGGTAGTTATTGTTGTGATATCATCAGCTTTAAGACTCAAGAAGGACTTAATAGTTGTCTTTGTACAGGTTTAACCTGCTAGTAAAGTTTGTTTACTTTGTTTTGTGGTATTTATACCCCTGCTACATTGTAGCTTCATGGTACAAAGACCAGGATGAAACTCTCACTACTAGTAGTGTAGTTTTCAATGGAATTTTGTTTGTAACGAGTTTAACCGTGCAAACTTGTGTCACCCAGCTCACCACATTTGATGGAGGTCAGAGAGAGAATCAGAATCAATGGGAAACCATTACCTAAGGAGATGTTTGCAAAATATTTCTTTGATTGTTGGGATAACCTATTAAATAATGGTGATGTAAGTACCAAGGTAATTAAGTACATATTATTTAATGCTTCTTGCATGTCAGAAAATACATAAGCTAAGGGGTGAAGAGTTTAGAAAGTGCAATACATTGGTATACTGTCTCAACACTGTGTAAGGTTTCTGATAAGTGTTTTGGTAAACTGAACCTTACAAAATACTAGTGAATTGGTTGGATAATAAATGAAGATGCATCAAAATACAATACAACTTTCAGTGATGAATTGCAGTATCAAATAGAGAGAGAGAGTTAAACACCTTACAAATGTACCAGAAGTAACCAGACACTTTGTAAGCTTAACCCTTTAACTCCCAAGATCTCATTATCAATTTCCCTTACTGTCTGCAGAATGATTCTCATTATGTTAGTTTGGGGAATTTGATATAAGATCAATTAGTAATCGTATAATGGATATTTTTCTTTATTCTCATCACTTGTCTGCATGATATTGTATAGATATGATAAGGAGAAATTCTCTCTTGGTCACTCATGGGAGTTAAAGGTTTAAGTCTTTTTTCCCCTCTTACTTCTATACTAGAGTATAATGTTACTGTAAATCTATGCTCGGTAGATTTGATAATGAAATGTGATTCTGATTTATCTTGCAGCCTATGTATAATATGTCTTTTAAGATTTAAAATATGTCTTGGCTCTAATGAATGCAGTTTTGTTGTGTTTCAGGAAGAAGGGAAAAACTCTATGCCAGCATACTTCAGATTTTTGACTTTGATGTCGTTTCATGTCTTCCTGAAAGAAAAGGTATGCCATGAATTTAAAGTTAACCCTACTTTAAATGGTTAAATTTTTTTACTGAAACATAACATACCAGTAAGTCTAGTTTTATATGTTAGCCTTACTTTGAACTGTTCCAAAACCAATTACACTTTACGTAGAGAAACATGATTTAAGTCTAATTTTGTTATATTAATTTTTCTTCACCTGCTCAAAATAATGCAATGGATTGTGATTATTTGAGCTTGCATCATTATGTTACTATAAGAATTATCAAGATTACATATTCAGTATTCAAATGTTAACTTAAATATATTAACCCTTTAGCTCGCATAAATGACCAAGACAGAATTTCTCCTTACAATATCAAAGACAATATCAAGCAGACAAGTGATGAGAATAAAGAAAAATATCAGTTAAAGGATTATTAGTTGATCCAATACCAAATTCTCAAAACTAACATCAGAAGAACTGTATAACAGACAGTAAGGAGAATTACTAATGAGATCTTGGGAGTTAAAGGGCTAAACTAAATATGATTTTGCTCTGTTTTGAGGTTGATGTGGTAATTCTTGAGGTTGGAATTGGAGGTGCATATGACTCTACTAACATTATCAGGTATTTGTTTGTATTCCATCTGTTGTTTGCTGTGTAATTACGTAACAATTAATGCCCCAATCTCTTGAAATTCCTTACACACTAGTTTTTATATTCAGCTAAATTTGTAATTTGTGATGGAAATATCAAACTATAATATTGATATTAATACATGTCTATCCAGAAATCCTGTTGCTTGTGGAGTGACATCCCTTGGCATGGACCATGTAAGCACATTGGGTGGAACTATAGAAAGTATTGCTTGGCAGAAGGCTGGGATATTTAAGGTACATGTTATTCATTATAGCTACCTATTACTGTATAATTTCACAAGATTTACATTCATCATGAATGCTCAAAAGGGCACTCAAAGAACTGTTTTTTTACTGATAACCACAAACTGCAAGCACAAACCAAAAAAAAACCAAACACATGCAATTCCATAGGGAAATGTTGTGTGAACCAGAAATGAAACAGTAGCCATGTTCATTGACATCTCATATTAGGATGACTTTGCAAGTCTTGTAATTTGCCACATCTTCACTTGTTGCACTTGTATTTCCAGCCAGGAGTTCCTGCTTTTACTGTCCCACAGCCAGAAACAGCCCTGGATGTTGTGGCTAATAGAGCAAAAGAAATAAAGGTACCAGTCAAATTTTTAAATTTCTTTTTTAACACCTGAACAATTTTCTGCAGTCATAATTATATTTATTGTAATCACATTTTCAGGCTCCTCTTCACATCATTCCTCCCTTAGATGACTATCCAGGAGGTTTGCCAGGTATTCCCACTATCTATTTTACCCTTAACCCTCAATTTCATGATCTTAGAACTAATTCTCTTTACTGCCTGCCATAAATCAATATTTTTCTAGAGTCACTGTTATTGCCTGCTTGCTTGTAAACACAATGTCGGTATTTACTGACTGGCCATTCCCAGGAAATTACATGAGTGGGAAGGGGTTTAGGAATAGGATTGCATACATGTACTCCATATTCTTATTCATATTTTTTGGGGTAAAATGTAATTTTAATTTTTAAAATAACTAATAATGAAGGGGAACAATTTGCATGTTTCTTTGAGAGAGGAGAATTACCGATAATGGCTGCCACTTACCTGCAAAAAAAACTTTATGTTAAATTCATATTTATACTTCTTATGTGCTCTGATAAGATAATGTCACTCACATTTCTTTTTTTCATTTTTGGGTACTTTTTAAGTTCTTGGTCTGGAAGGAGATCACCAGTTATTGAATGCATCCCTCGCCCTACAGCTTTGTCAAACATGGGTTTCAAGAAGATACATGAAGGATGATAATCATGAAGGTTTGATTTTTATTTAGTTGATTGATTGTTTAAATAATTAGCATCCAGATTTTTTGTTAAAGAAGTACATACTCTTGGGGGTAAGTGAGAATGCGCAGTAAGAAGGGCAACCCTGTGTGCTAAGGAAAAGTTTGAATTGGTTTTGAAATTTATGCAGAACTACATTTCATTTGGTTTTCATTTGATGCTGTGCTCTGTGTGAATGATTTTGAGTAGTTGCACGCATCCCTCAACCAGTTATGAATTACAACATAAACACAAAAACTAATTGTGACCTAGATTTCTCATGTATTTCTCTCTTTTATTCATGTAATTTTGAATGAGTTATTAGATTCTTCAGCTATAAATCTGTCTTTGTTTTGATTGGCTATGATGACTATTGTCTTGTGGTTTTGGAGCTTTTTTAAACCTCAACCAAAAAACCTGACACTTGTATTCTTGGCTAACTCAGTGCCTTGGTTGTGCTATGAAGCATTGTTTTCTTGTGGCCCTCAGTATATTTAATCCTTGTGTTGTCAAACTTAGGAGCACTTCCCACACTGATTTAACCAGAGATATCTCTGATTATGTTTACTGAACCATTGAGAGTTACCAATAATGCAAAGTTCTCAACAGTATTTAAAGGTCAAATAAATGTTTCCATTTCTTCTCTATCATCTAGTGGAAAACGAAACAAGTGTAGAAAAAGCACCCAGGGAAGAGAAGTTGTCAAGTGAACCCTTGACTAAAAAAGCTAAAATTGAAGTTCCTGTTGCACAAACATTTGAAATCTCCAATACTTTTAGAAGCGGTAAGAAAACAGTTCATCTATTTCAGTTATTAGTCAAATACCAAATTGAAAATGACTTTACTGCCAAACTTTGTTGTTGAAAATTTTGGAATGAAAATTCTGTGACTCAGGCCTATTACTGTTTAAATTATGTGCTCTCTGCAACTGGTTCTGACCTAACATGTGAAACAAATGAAAGCTTTGTCAATCAGCAAGCAGTTTTTGACTTCAATTAATTTTTACGTCTCAAATGTAAAAAAAGGAAGTTTAATTAAGTATGAAGTGGATGCCCAGAGGATGTTATTTCTCTGTCTTTTTAACCCATAAACCCTAATGTCACTATGCACATTCTTCGGTTTGCATGTTATCTAAGAAGATACATTTCCTAAGGTGCTGACAATAAGAAATTGCGTAACAATTAAAAGCTTCTTCATCTGGAGATCATTTCCATCATTCTTGTGACCTTAATGGTTGATTCAGGGGTGATATTGTAAGGAAGAATTCTATTCCAGTTACAAGACAGGTGTCCTGTATTAGGAACCCTCATTAATCAACTTTTATATCTGCTCCTGTTGAATAAAGACATCCTTTGAATACAGGTTCATCTTACAGTAGATGTGGCAGGAAAGTTTGGGCCTTGGGCAAGTGTCCAGGCAATGTGGGGTTTGCAAAACAAGGCATCACTGTATTTCTTATTTTAATTGTACCAGGATTGAAAAATACCAGATGGTGTGGACGAAACCAAGTCATTGTTAGGCCGGCAGTTACTTTTTATCTGGATGGTGCTCACACACCAAGAAGTATGGAGGTACTGGAATACATACACTGTCTGATAGCTATTTAAAGTTAAGAATCAAACTGGAACATGTAAAGGCTGGTGTCATCATAACACAATTTTCAATCAAGTACTGTATCAACAGTGTCACTGGATTGCTTTGTTTTTCCTTTACTTTGCTCTGTAATTTATCAAGAAAACTCACACCACTCTTTCAACCAATCAGTTGTGAAACTTAAACCAATTATTACTTGATTGCCAATATTTTCCCATGCTTTAGGCAGTTTGGTTGATTTTACTTTGACTTCTTATCTTTACTGCCCTTAATTCTAATTGGCTGATGTGATCACATTGATTTTGATTATACAACACTCAATTGAAAAGCACCCCACATATAAACCAGTTCTAAGTTAGGTCCATAGCTTTATAAGGGTATAAGTTGATAGCATGAGGAGGAAAACACCAGCTGACAAGGCTTTCCCGTGTGTACAGATGTTATGTGCTTAAAATATATATTCAAAATTGTATTTGGATGCCTGAAACAGGAACACGTCCTTGCTTCAATTTTTACCCTTCATTTAGTCTCAACAACCAAATAAAATTGTCTTTTGTATTTGATTTACTTGAGAATCATACTTATAGAGTGGGTTCAAAGTTTAGCTTCACGACCACATCCACTCTCCTTTACATACTGTACAAATTCTCTAGAAGCACCACACATAAGTGATGTAATGTTCAGAGATATTATGTCTTTGTTTAAAATTTGCAGCCTTTTGATTACTTGCTTTTAGGGTGATCTGCTGTAACTAAGAGCAGATAGAGAAAACTGATAATAACATGAGGGGGTAGTGATGAGTTAGTTGGAAAAAGAGAGTAGTGGCGATGAAAAAGGTTTGGCTCATTTTACACTTAAAGGATTTTCATATTCTGGTGTTTTAGGCCTGTGCCAGGTGGTTTAAAAGGAGAGCTGATGAGGAAAAAGAAAAAGAAAGGTGATGTATAGAATGAGCAATAAATTAAATGCAAATGAGATTTCCCATGCAGTTAAACTAGTAATCTGATGAAGGAACAGATCAGAAGACAAGACATTTTAGTTTAAAAATGATGTAAACTTTCTGAGTCTAGGATCAAGACAAAAGGCACACTGTGACATTTTCCTGTCTTTTTCATTTGTGTTTGTGTTATAGAGGGACTGTTGCACGAGTGTTGCTTTTCAACTTGACTGGTGGGCGTGATCCTCATGGTCTTCTGAAACCAGTCATGGTATGTATTTTATTAAATCGTTCCTATTTTTATTGATTGAAATAGAATTAACAATGTTTTGATTAACTAAACTTGCAGCATGAATGATTATCTTGAAAGAGGAAATGTTAGGGGCAGTTGAATGAGTGCTTATTGATGGATAAGTGATAACAAGACGTATCATGTTATCCACCGGATAGAGATTTATCTAGGGGATAGCATTATCCGATCTTTGAACAACCAGGGCCTGCTGATTACTTAGAATCCCTTTGGTGATTTCATGTGTTCATGAGTCCTACGTTTTTCATTTTTCAGAAATGTGATTTTGATCATGCAATTTTCTGCCCCAATAACATCAATCTGAATTTGAAAAGCAGTGATTCAGGTATATGATGTCAAGTAATTTTATTTTGATATTTTGAAGTCATTTGAAGCATTCTTTGCATTGATCCCTGTCGCATGTTTTTTTTTTTTCCTAATTTTTCTTTCTCAGATCTGACAAATTTTACTGTAAGTCGTGATAACCAGTTACGATGGTGTGTGGAAAACCAACGTGTCTGGATGGCTCTGAGAGGTGCAGGATTCCAAGCCCATGCAGACCCAACAGGGAACTGTACAGAAATTACAAATGGCCACCATGTGATCAAGAATGGTCTTGATGATGGCCCATATTCAACCATATTTCCTTGTGTTTCTCAAGCTATTCGTTGGTTACTGGGAGGGAAAGATCCTCTCATAGAGGAATTTTGCCAGGAGGATCTGCCAGTACCAGATTTTATTACAAAGGCTTCAAGAGTTCAGGTTCTAGTTGGAGGAAGTTTGCATCTTGTTGGTACTGTCATGAAAGTTCTGGGACCAGAAATTGTGGGAGATGTTTAGAAAGGATATGAAAAGGGTATCCATTTTCACAGAATGCTGTATTAAGAGGTCACAGAGAGTTATTCAGCTATTTACAGTGTGTGTGAAAAGGACTTGATAATCAGTGATTTAAAACTTGATTTCTTAAAAATGATGAAGTTTTTATGGTTGACACCCAGATGTAAGAAATATGCTGACCGAAGTAAATGTGACATACTTAATGATATAACTTTGAGAAGAATTTTCAATAACTCAACTGACTGGACTAAGAAAATTAGTTGTTATGATATGTAAGGCAGATAATGAGGCCACATTGCCTCAGCTATTTTAGTGAAACTTTTGTTTAATAGTTTGTATATATAGATATATTTATGTTTGTAAATTACTTGCAACAGTTATGTCATTGAGATCCTGTTTCTTGAAATAACATACCAAATTCTGGTGGCACATGATTCCAACAGTAGAAGCTCTATTTAGAAAATTAAAAAGTTATTTTACTCAATTTGTAAGCTGTATACAAAGTTTAGATTATTGCATTTTATTTTGTTATGGGTTGAATGGCAACAAAAGCAGAGGAATCAGCTAGGGTGTTGATGGAATTTTAACACAAATGTTAGAACTTACAGCTGCATTAGATTAATATTACTGTAAATCTAGAAAAATTCATTAAGATTTTTAGTCCATTGTTTCATTCTAAGTTTTATTCTCCTCTCCCAGTCTGTAAATGTTGCATAATATCCAAATTCTTTGGTTTGGAAATGTATTCTGTTAGAATCATGTGCCTCAGACATAGACTGTGTATGCTTTAGTAAGATTTCTCAATGAAATAATTGGCAAATTTCTTAGATGCAAGTATGTGAACTAGTTGATCTCCAGCCAATTAATTACGTGTAGACCACTTGGAATGAATTAGTGTATGTCTTATTGCAGAGTATTGTTGCAAGAAACATGTAAAAATTTTGAATGAAGATTTCCTTTAGGGATTTGAATCACAGATGGTTTTTCTTTTTTAATTTATGAATTTAAAAGACTGTCCCCTTTGATATAGAATGGATTTGTGTAAATAGTTAAAGGTATTTCACAATCTTAGATTCATACATTACCTGTACAGAAGTCATAAATGCATATAAAGAACAAATTTTGTTACAAAGATAAAACATCACAAAGATGGACAAAAACATTTCAGTGTCAATTTATTCAAATTGGTTGGAAGGGTAATATGTACTCTGTTTCATGAAGCTCTAATTAAATCAACCTTAATACAAACTTGCCAGCAAGCCAAGACATTAAACAATTTAATTATTACCATTTGTGTCTAACATTTTTTTCAGTTGTGCAATCTGCTTGGTACCCAGAAAACAACAGTTCAATGTAACCATGCATAGAAAACAGGCATTTTTTTTTTTATAAATGGCCAGCCATTAACACAATGTTTAAGAAAACTATACAAAATAATGTCTGTTTTTCAAGATCATTGAACACAAATATTTTGAAAACTAAACCTGTTACACTCCAAATAGTGCTTAAGAGTGACAATACACAAAAAACCCTTTCTGGTGTCCATAGAAACTTCTCCATTAACTGGAAAGAGACATCAAAGCCTGAGCTGCAGCATAGTCATTCCATGGTTGTGTGTTGCCTGCTAGTGTGATGACTGTTTAAATAACAAAGAGGCAGCAAGAATGTTGAGTTTTTCAGTATTGCACTTCTATTATGGTAAGCTATTTGTCCATTCTTGTAAACACCCTTTCATTTATAAAAGCCACTTTAAATTTAAAGCTAACTACCCCACTCAACTTTTGAAGACAATGTGGGTACTGAAAAAACATATTTTGCAGATCTTCACACTGGTAAGAATTTTTCCCTCTGTACAAAGCTTGATTTAACCCCCACCCAATTCACAAACCTGAAGAGTAATATGTCTGATTAACTTGATCGAACTCAAAGGTAGCCTAGATTCCTCAACCAGAACAAGTTTGTGGTTGAAGGTGTGTCAAAGTTGATAGAATCTACAGAAATATTTATATTAATATAAACGGACCTGGATGTATTATGACAGAGGGAAATGAACCGAGAACAATGTTTCCTTGTCTGGCCATGCCAATCAATGTCTCAAGGGTTGACAACAGATCAAAGTCACGTGCTTCTAACAGAGTCGATAGGAATATCTCAGAGATATCTGGGAATAGGCTTGCAAGAATCCCCAAACTTCTCGTTACCCTGTTGGAGTCGGCAAGTCGTGGAGCTGCCTCAAAGCCCGACGGTTCTGGGTGGTCTGAGGAGTTTTTGGGTAGGGCTGAAATAGTTAATTAACAGCAGTTACTTTATAATTATAGTACAATTTCGGAAACGTTCAGGAATAGAAAGTAGCGAATAAATCCTAATAATCAAAATGAACCTCAAAAACGTTCGTGACTCCTGTCTGGGCTTGTGTTGAAAGGATATCTGAAACGACTGGAAGTTAAGCTGAGAATCCCCTTCCACAAAAAGACACAAAATTACACAAAAATCAAAAAAGAGAATCTAGACGCTGGAAATAAACAAAGGATTTTTTTCTTTTATGAGAAACTTAAGGAAGATCTAGTCGATCGATTGTATAACATTATAAAGCAAAGTCTCTTTGAGTTGCGTTCCTTTTAAATCGGAGGCGACTGCCTGCGTTTCCTTACTGACCCTTACTGAAGGCAGCAATTCCTTTCTCTATAACGATGCAATAATATTTCTCTGGTGTCCTTTTCTCACAAAATTCAGAAACTGCCACCACACTTAGATTCCTGGATAAACAGGTTTTCTGTGGATATCATGTAAGAAAAAATACTGTCATACACGAACTTGAGTTTCATCATCAATTTTATACAGTGGGACGCGTGCAGCCTCTATAACATACATACGTGTTGAGAACGATTTTGTGATGGGGTAGTCGTTTCGGTAGATTATGGGCTGAAAGAAAGTCTCTTAAACCAAAGCACCACTTACGAAATTTCTTCGGTTGGTTAACAAATGAGATCCGAAAGACCGATTTGATACCGGCTAAAAGTCTGGAATTACCTAAAGTCTGATTGAACTCACCACGTGAAGACCGAAAATCTTGTTTACACGCTGTCTGCTGAGAATCCTCCACAAGCAGCCGATCATTTGTTCGCCGTCTTATAGCTACTTGGGCAGCCATTATCCGTCTTCTCTTAGTTATCAAAATACAGTTTTGACACTCACAATCCTTCCACTTACAAAATCTTTTATGCCCTTTCAGTGTGGTCCGAACACCATGGTGCTTGCATCGCGCACATAGTGGTGTCTTTTTCTGCGAAAGAAGCACTGATCCCTGTTCTATAGACATTTTTTTGATAAAAATCCTCAATAGTCTAGCTTGAAATTGAGTCAGGACTTAGATTGAGGCCTTTGAAGAGTTAAACCGTCGCCACGATGGCGAATAAACTTGTCACAATTGTTACGATCGGTCATCAAAGGCCAAGGGCAGTTGCAAATAGTTGGGCAATGGGATGACCAAAAAAGGGCGCGATAAAAGTTTTCCCGCCAAATGCTGAGTGACAACAACTAAGAAACGACGACTTGACACCTTTTCCTATTGTCTCAAACGATAAAACAACCAAAAAGATCTCTCTACTTTAAGAGAGAGAGAGTAACTATCAAATTTAACCCTTTTTCCAAACACCTTGTCCGTCTAAGCACACTTTTTGTTCTCATTAAACTTAGGCTTATGGAGCGAATTCCGCGAAACGCATCAGGTGATGAGTGACACTTGCATTCACCAATGGCGTGCGTGAAAATTTCCTCAAGGGATGTTACCTCTTGGAAAACCCATCAATTTTGTTGTTTGTTTCTTTTACAAGACGAACCGCACCAGACATCGGCTCCTTAGTCATGATTGATTCTAGACTCATTATAGACTCATGACACTGACCCGTCTTGGTACAGCAAACCCATTTTAATGATCGACTATGATAAGTATTTTAGTCTCAAAGAAGGCAAATACAACAGTAGAACTGGCAACCAGGCAGCTGTTACTTGCCAACTTTCTACTCAACTTCCCATAAAAAAGGATTAACCTTAAACTTCATCAACAACGACATCTACCTGAACTGTATTGATTCCAAATTTTTATTTATAAAAGATACCAAACACACAAAGACCAAATTAAAAAGCCATGTCTTGGCAACATTTCAGCCTTTGTTCTATACCATCAAATCAATAGAGAATCACCTTTCCCAGTTTTACAATATATGTTAAGTTTATTAAGACAATAACTTCCAAAATCCCTTAAATATTTTCTTCATTATTCTGTTTGAATATAAGTTGTGAGGCTAGTCAGCTGGTTTCACTTCCATGGCTTGTTCAATTTGAGTCAGTGCACTGTCCCACTGAACAAACTGTTTTGAAAGGAGATTTATCTGTTATGTAACAATTAAGGTAGAGAAAGTACTTTCATTAATGAATTTGTAATAACATTTATAATTTGATTGGTTCTTACTAAGGAAAAGGAGGTCATACATTTGTTCGGTAATAAATCACAGATGACATCAAAATGTAGCTAGAACATCAACGACAGACTAATCTTCAATGCTATCTTTTTATTCATTGCATAATCTGATGAAATCTGTGATCTTGCCATGAATGAACCATTAATGGTCAAATCAAAAGGGAAATAGCCTCTTCATAATATCTTAGTCTTGTCCAAATCTCTTCTAGTGCTGAGTAAGTTTTGACCTATTACACTAAAATGTTGTTGACTATGGCCTTGGTCCAAGAAATCTTACTAAAGTCTAAGATGAGAAAGGAAAACACACCTTTACAAGGTGTAGTATGGGCTAAGAGTTTCAGAGAACCAGCAACTCAGACTGACCCAGAGATCAACACACTTCCCAATCTGCTTATTGAATAGAACATGTCCTCTTGATGTGGAATACATAACAAGAACAATTTAAAAGGATACAATGTTATTGTAAGCAGCTAGAAGATTATGTAATCTATCATCAGTCACATCAAATTCTTCCTATAACAGAATATATATAACATCTTTAAATTTTTTTATCAAGTAGCATTCAGTGTTTATCTTGGAAAATGTGAAGCGCCAGGTTGTGGTTCAGATTTTCACTTGGTTTAATTTTGTTCAAACCAGTTTTGAATATGAGAATGAGACAAAGAGAAATGAAACCTAAACTGGCACCAAAAAGTTTTAAATAAGAATAACATGTTGAACCACAACACACAAACCACATCAGTGAAAGGGATTTCTTCTAGAATTCAGTTGAATACTAATTTTCATTTGTGAGACAATTATGAGATATTTCAAATACCTTTTGCTGAATATGAAGTTCTACCAGTGGTTGCAGTTTGGCAGACCAAGTAGGCAAATCTGTGTTTCACGTTAAAATCAAGTCAGGACAAGAAATCTAAGACTAAGAGTCTTTCCCCACTAGCAGACAAAACTAGAACTGTTGCAACAAAATCACACAACAAATCTTTGTATCATTTGTTGCATCTACATTAAAAATTTCAAAGCCATTAAATTCTGTCAGTGCCTAATCTGCTCCTAAGACCAGCCAGCATAGTTTGCCAAAGGATTCCAGCTCCAATTTCCACAATTTATCCTAGGTCATTTTCAAATTTTACAATCCCAGAGGTTTGCTAAAAAAGACAATTTTTGCCTTTCTAGTAAACTGATTTCACTTCAATTACACGCTTGTTGTAGCTTTTACAACAAATGATCAACAAGTTTATCACTATTTTATTTATTAAGTCCCTTTTGTCCAGTTTTTACCAAGGACAAATTTTGTCGACAGCATTGAAGATTTTTCTCCTTTGGCCACAATTTGTCAAACCATCCACATTTGTAAAATGTTGGTGATGACAGAAAATTTGTCTAAATAAACAACTTTTTCGCTAATGTGGAAAGGCCCTAAATAATGCATTATTCTAAAATATATTTATTCATAGGAAGCCCAAATTGGCATTGATTTTAAGTATTTCTGACAAGTATCTTCAAGCAGAATTTCTATTTGACTATATTCAGGATGTATTTAGACATTTTTCAGGACCCAAAAGAATAATACTTTTCAATAAGAGCAAAAATAGTCTTTAAAAAGATAAAAACTGATATGATAAATGTGTTTGGAGCCACACCTTATGGGATAAATTACAGTTTGAAAAGAGTAAGATTGGCTTAACATGCTAGAAATTAAGACTCTCAACTAAACATTATGTGATAAAATAAATATGTTGAATTGTAAATCTGCTGCAAACCTTTGATGGGTTCTGTGGTCACAACCTTTTTCAAATCTTCAACTTGCCGAAGCTGATCAGCACATACTTTTAGCTGGCCCTCACCTATGGATGTCAGGATTTTTTTTCACAGTTATATCACAAAGTAAAATAATAGTATTTGAAGACTGAAATAATAATCATTTCAAACATAGAAATCAAAGGAGGTAGGTCAAAGTGGGTCCTATATCAATGCAAAGCCTTTATACTAATCAACAGGAAAGGGCTAACATGATTTAAAAATTGTCCACCCAGGCCCTACATCCTCCTGTTCAATAGGGATTTCTAATGATAAGTGAATAACCAATGCCATCAATTGGAAATCAGAGAGGTATCATACCCTGTTGAAATGTAGAGGGTTGGGGTCATCTTACACTTAGCCATGGGCATACTCAAAGTTCCTACAATGTCTTTTGCATGTCTTTTGAACTCATGACACAGAACACACACTAACCTGCTATGATTATGTCAGCTTTAGCATCATCTGTTAGTGTTGCCTCTTCCAAAAACTCAGGAGAGAGAAATTTCTCCAGCTCCTTAACTGATGATAAGAAAATGGGAAACAGCAATTCGACTCAAACGACTCGCAGATTGTATTAAGAAACACATCTGATACGAATATATATGCGCAACTACTGTAGAACTGGTAAGCACTGAACTATATTGACCCGATCGGGCGAACGAGTGAGCTATGTGAGAAAATTACGTTAACAGGTGATCTCGATTGAATTTTTTTTCTAATACCTTTATTGAGTACAATTTAGTTCAGTTTATTTGGTACACCCAAGCGCAGCTGTTATGATTAGCTTCTCAATCTAGGAACTACAGTCACTGTAGTGTGTAACAGTGATATTTTCATTAATAAAAAAATAAATGTGCCATACCTTTCTTCCACACTGCTGCTATTTTAGCATGTTTTGATCCAATTCTATCGAGATTTTTCTGAACATTGTTCAAAGTTCCCAAACACTAGGAAAAAATCAGACAAACATTTCAATCAATTTTAGTTACCTAATTATGTGCGATCACGCCATCAATAAATATCACTGTAGTTACCGATGACCCCTTAAGACTTAGGACGTCTTTTTCATTGGTAAGGATCCGTCTTTCCAAGTCAGAAATTCGTTTTTCAAGACAATCTACTGCCGCTCCTTGATCCTTAGCAGCCATATTTGTTTATAGGTGAGAGGTTAGAGCCCGCAGTACAACAGCGAGGGGCTTTCTGATTCATATAAAATGCATCAAATTTGTGTGGAAAGTGAGCTGTTACATAATCACGCCGAAATGGCGGCTAAACAACAGAGAGTGCATCATACAATTCATTGGTTTCGTAAAGGACTACGGCTTCACGATAACCTTTCCCTTAAGGAAGCTTGTGAAACAAGTTTAACGCTCAGACCAGTGTACTTTATTGATCCAGATTATGTGAAGCATGGAAACATGGGATTCAATCGATGGAGATTTCTGATTCAGTCTCTCGATGACTTGGACAACAATTTGAAGAGTTTAGGGTCGAGGTTAGACAAATTTAGAGATATTCCGTACCTTCATACCTTTTAGAACAAAGAAAAAATAATTAAATATCTTTTTTTCGTGCAAAAAAAAAAAAAAATGGCCAAACCAAGTGGTATCAGCCCAGATAAATAGATTCCATGTTGCTGTGCATCTTGTAGCTGATCAGAGATGACACCAAAATTTTATAATAATAAAAATGAGGTATATGAGACACAGCCGAGTGTTTTTTTTACCAAATTTTGACGTCTCCAGTGACCTGTTGCAGAACAGACCCACGGCAGCATGGAATCTACTTGTTCTGCACAATAAAGAAACAACTTTTTGTTACTGGTTACATCATCTAAAAGTATGTTTCTGTCCTCCTACACATTATAAGGAAGAATCAGTTAGAATATTTGTATTATTCAGCTTTCTATATCATATTGAATAAATCAATGAGTGATATCAGTAATTACTGACTGTATTTTGTTTATGATAGTTTTAGCTGATTTTTGAGACCAGCTCAATGATCTTCCTATTTTTTTTTCCATTATTCCTTTTTTTATCATAGGTTATTTGTTATTCAGGGGAAGCCTGAATTGGAATTACCTAAACTTTTCAAAGCATGGAAGATCACAAAATTGACATTTGAATTTGATCATGAGCCTGAAGGAAGGCAAAGAGATGCAAAGGTTCATGAACTTGCTACCAAAGCTGGAATTGAAGTTGAAACAAGAGTCTGCCACTCACTTTATGACTTGGATAAGTAAGTGACAATCTTAAAAATTTTAAAAAGTTACATTTTGCTTGACTACCCTTTACACCAAAAATATACGGATGAACACTTTGCCTTGCTGAAAATACTCTGAAAAGGGCCAAAAAAAATTAAACTTGGACAAAGGAAATTAGATACTTCAAACTAGACCTCTCATTAAAAGTCACAAACAAGAGACAAACTCAGTACTTTGGTCATCAATTAGACTAAACAAAGCTGTCTCGCTAAAGTAAGTTCCAAAAGTGAGTGTGCAGTGACTGTAGGGTGAAGTTTGCATTGTGTTCTACTCATGGTACTCTGTACAGATAAAGCACTTTGTCTAGTGACAGATAGAATCTACTGTCCACAAGTTTTATTGCAGAAACTCTCCCCTTTCTCAAGAATTTTGTTGGAATTTGAAAATCAGGACTCAAGAATATGAAAGCTATGAATAAACTTCTGTGAGATGGGTGTCTGGAATTCTTTTGCCAGTCATAAATCTACATGTTGTAATAGGCAATTACTGATTTAATCTTCTTTCAGGATTATTGCCAAGAATGGTGGAACAGCCCCCCTAACCTACAAGAAGCTTTGTTCAGTGGTGGCATCACTGGGGTCACCTTTGAAGCCTATTCCCACAGTAGACAAAAGTACTTTTGATGGCTGCTCTACTCCAGTGGGTAAAGGAAATGAGTACCAGCTGCCAACACTTGAGGAGCTGGAAATTGAAACACCTGAAGAGTCAAGTACAGTCCTTTTCCCTGGTGGGGAGTCAGAAGCTCTTAGACGACTTGATGAACATATGCAGAAAGAGGTCTGAAAGTTTTTCTCAATTATAATTAAATGCTCATACAGAGTTTCATGTTTATCTTATATTTAATGAGATCGAAAGTTTCTTAGAGGATTAAACTTGAATTGGTTGTAGTTTGTTGGTATCTTCAACCTGTCAGGTAATGAACCTTACTTATAGGGAAAGGACACACCCTTCAAAAACCAACATCAAGTGTCACAAGCTAGGCCCTCTGCTGGAATCCCCAGAGTAAGGGGAAGAGAGGGCAACCAAGGAACACCTGATGTTCCTCGATCAGGATGGTCTTAGTCTATAAAGAATAAACCTAGAGGGCAAACTGAGAGAAAAGATCTTAATCTAATTTGCTTCCCTTGAACAAATACAGTTCTGCTTAACATCATTCCTCTGAAATGAAACCTTTTCTCTGGGAATTCATCAGTTGCAGCAACAAGTAATGGTTTATTTTGGATAGGTCTTTGCATGTTCAACGAGACTATCATCTTGTAGATATCATTTATTTATTCTGCTTCCCTTAAAGTTGATCACGTTTTCCTGCAGGACTGGGTGAACAAGTTTGAGAAGCCTAACACATCACCCAATTCTCTCCAACCCAGCACTACTGTTCTTAGTCCATATGTGATGTTTGGCTGTCTCTCAGCAAGGCTGTTTTATCACAGACTGTCTGATGTGTATTCGAGAGTAAGTCATCATATCAGGTTCCGCCTTTAGCTGTCAGTTGAAATGTGTATGATCATTCTAGAGATGACATCAGTTATTGGTAAATTATTGAAGATTGTAATGTATAGGAGACAACTGATAAAGGGGAAGCTATAGAATTCAGTGTTTGTCTGTAAAAAAATTGAACCTAGAAAGTGAATTTAAATTTAAGCTTACCTTCTCTGAAGTTTAAGGCAATGGAACTTTCAGATCTTTCTTTTAATGTTATCTATCATATGAAACAATGAAACAATTGAAAGAAATTGAAAGTGGTGAGATTCCTTTTAATTGACCAGGTGCAGAACTATTGACAAAACTACTTTTTCTATTCAGGCGAAGAAACACTCTAACCCACCAGTTTCCCTACATGGACAGCTCCTGTGGCGGGAATTCTTCTATACAGCAGCATATGCTACACCTAACTTTAACAAAATGGAGGGCAATCCAGTCTGTTTGCAAATTCCATGGAACAATAACCAAGAGTTTATCCAAGCTTGGTCTGAAGTATGTATTGTTCATAGTGCCAGATTAATTCACTCCCTTTAGGCTCTGGAATAGATTTAGACACAACACAGGTAACAAATAAGCTACTAAAAGTTGTGCATACTGGTATATGTACCTAGAAGAATTATTGATACTGAAGAAAAATATCCTTAGGTTCAGTTTAAATTGTGCTCTCCATAATTTTTGCATGATTTTGCTGATGATCACCAACCAAAGAAGCTCTTGATTATTGAACAAATTCTCCTTGTCAGAATCCTAGGAAGTGTTTAAAGAGTAGTATGGAGAATATGCATTCTGATGTTAGGGAGTTAAAGGGTTAAACCCATTAGGAATTAGCAATTGAAAGCTGTAGCAGACAGTTTTAGAGTGAAAATTTGCAGAAAATTATAGTAGGTCCTTTGTAATTTGTTTCATCACAGGCACGCACTGGATATCCTTTTATTGATGCCATCATGACTCAACTAAGGAGAGAGGGTTGGATTCATCACTTGGCACGTCATGCTGTAGCTTGTTTCTTAACAAGAGGAGACTTGTGGATTAGTTGGGAAGAAGGACTGAAGGTGCAGTAGAAATCAGTGCTTCTATATAAGAGAATCTCCATAGTGTGGAATAAATTAAGAGAGGAAACAGAGACTCAGAAAATTTTCTTCCTTCCACAAGTTACTGTTGATGAGTCCTAACTTGAAAGGCATGAATTATTGAGGTAGCTGCTAATTGTGGTCAATAGCATTCATGACAGTTACAAGCTGCTATAACTTTTCAGTTGCATTATTTTACTGTGGCAGGTGTTTGAGAAGTTACTTCTTGATCATGACTGGAGTTTAAATGCTGGCAACTGGATGTGGCTGTCTGCAAGTGCATTTTTTCATGCTTACTTCAGGGTTTACAGCCCCATTGCATTTGGTAAGAAAACAGACCCTAGTGGAGATTATATCAAGTGAGTGTTTTCTTTACACTTTTTTTCAAACATTAAGTCATTATCTTAACGTTTAACACTTTCCTCAGAGAACAGAGTGTATTCAAAAGGAAATTCACTGGAATTGTTTTTGCAATTTATAAATACTATTTACAAGAAACTATTTAAACTTGACATATTCGGGGTAAACAGCAAAATCAGTATTCCTTTGATTTTTACATGAAGCTACTTCATCTAGGACAGAAACTTAGTAATTCAATCTCAAATGAGAATTCCTCTTTTTGTTAAAAAGGAAATACATTCCAATTTTGAAGAAATATCCACCCAAGTACATCTATGAGCCCTGGACTGCCCCAGTGAGCATACAGAAAACAGCAGGATGTGTGATCGGGAAAGATTATCCATGTCCAATTGTGGATCACAAAGAAGTTGTAAAGATCAATATCGCACAGATGAAAAAAGCCAGAACAGAACGTGATGGTGATACTGGTATGGAGGAAGGTAACACGTGTCTGATAGAATTTAGGGCTACACAATGATTATTTTTGTTGGTCACATAATCTTAGTTTCAGAACATTTTGTGGGAAATTTGTTGTTCCCTTTCCTTAGTATCTTCACAAACATTGCAAATATCAGAATTGATATGCCACAGGGAAGAAAAAAAAGGGGAAATCAAGGGTACATCTGCCATTATGGTTACTGTAATAGGATTCTGCTCCTTCCTTTAGAGCACTTCTCAACAGTGTCTGGAAACCGTAACCTGTAAGACTAAAAAGAAAATGCATGTGGTCAATGCAAAGGGCAGGAGGGTGTATGTTCCCTAGCATCCACTGATTTGTAAAGAAGAGGCTAAAATATTTTAGCTAGTTTCGGAGCATTGTAGATAGATGCCAAGCAGTACCTAGGATAAGTTTCTTTGAGATATTCAATGGAAAACTGCTCTCACTGGAAGTGATTATGGTGTCTTCTTAAGAACTCTTACTTTGTACACAGCACCATATGTATTCAATTTCCTATTCATTCTTGTTATGATGATCCTTCTCTCAATACATTAATTTTTCTGGTGGATGGGCTTTATTGACTTGAATCTTGTTTGTCGTTACATTATACATGTAGGCTCTTCAGAGGAAAAGAAAAGCTCACCAGGGAAAAAAAGGAAGACTAACAAAGAAGCCCCACCAAGCAAGAGGTCAAGAAAAATTACAGAGTTTTTGAAAACCTGATGAGGCTTTTGTGATACCCACAGGCACAAGTCAGGAATTTATAAGGTGGCACCACGAATTGCTCTTTTCTCCACTGACTCTCTTAGGTAATGCCACAGTTATCTATGTTTAGAGCTTTGTCTCCTTCTTATGTAAGGTTTTAATGCAGCTAGGTCTGTCTAACAGATGTTGCTTTTTAGACTCAATGTCTCATGTAAAGTTTCTTTTAGTTGTCAATGACAACTTTTAAACTACTCTTCGTATTGTTAGAAATTGTACTTTACCTTTTGAATAGTTTTATGTTCTGTAACATTACAAGTTGAATAAAGTTTTACCCAACCAATAATGTCTCTTCTTTGTCTACAAAATGATCAGATGTATCATACTTAAACTCATTTTCTACTGACAACAAACATTTTGAAAAAAATGTATTCCAAAGTGTGAAAATAGTTATCTCTACCTTGTTCAGAAACCTTTCAAATATGTTTCTACATGTTTTATATATGAGGAACATTGGAGAGGAACTAAGACAATTGTTAGAATGGAAATTTTCTTTAATTTTTCTCTTCCTTATGTTCCTCTCTATACCCCTCATCCACTCCTCCCCAGAGAAAACTGAGAACAAGTGAGACACAGCTGTTGAATACAAGCTTTTAATTTATGGTAGATGGTTAATTGAATTCCATGAGAGATTGAACAGGAATTTCTGGGAATTTTCTTATAGTCATGGTGCTCCATTCATCCTGAAGAGCTGTGCACACCTCATCAGCAGTGGAAGTAATTTCCAGTGTAACATGTATGCTAAAATAAAGCTCTTGTTCTGATTTGTGGTTAACTCTTACACAAATTCTTCACAAACCAGCTTGTCTGTGTACTAGAGAATTATTTACATGCAGGGATTATATTCAAGAATGACATGCAGAGCAAAGACACATCTAATGGCTTACAACATTGTGCACATTATCTATAACTAGATGAGTAGTATGATTGTTCCAGTTCATATAAATTAAGAGCAAGTTCTTGTTTAAGATTTAACAGTTTTTGATCTGTCTGATTTGTCATTTCTTGAAGAGTGCTGCTTCGTTCAGAGATGGTGGCATTTACTGATGGAAAGTCGTTCAGGATTAAAAATTCTTTCATATCTGAAACCAGCTTCAAAAGAGATTCTCCTGCCCTAACCTGCAAAAAGGAAACAATAGGGTTAGAATATCAACCTTATCAAGGCCCTTTCCAATTTCCTTTAACAAATCACAACCAAAGTGATCACAACTGCCATGATAACAAAGCCACAGGGAACCAGTGAGAACTAAAATCAGGTACCAGTACAATCAAATGGCTCTAGGTGAGCTAACAAGTACAGATGATTTCTAGTTTTCAATCTGATTGATTGTGAGGATGGCTCAATGTTTCTAAGCCACTCACAATCATGGATCACTTTCAAGCACCCAAACATGAGTATGTATTCTCCATACTGCTCTCTTCTAGGGGGCTGACAAGGGGACTTTGTTTGACAATCACGAGCTTATTTAGTTGGTGATCATCTCCTTTGTTCTTATGACCTTAACATGTGATTTGGGGGTGGTTTTGTGACAAGAAATAAGATGCTGGACACTCCTAAGGGTCAGAGGGCTAAAATATTTTGAATATGCAAAATAGTCACAGCTCCAGTGAACTTAAGAATTTTAGCTAGCTAAGCTGTTTGCATTTTGATAATTATTCAACTATCAACTACAGTACTCATTTTGATGAGCCTAAAATGATAATTGGTAGTTTGAACTTACAATATTGGCAGCCCTGACATTCACTTCATACTGATCTTGGGCTGACTGAGTCAGTCGTGATACCTGAGTTTCATCTTCAACCTATAAATGATGCAAACCTCATTAGTATCAATTTTATGATGTGAAAAATAAAACACTGTAGATCATTAAGTTTTCACTGATGAAGAAAGAAACCAGAAAGAAGGCCTTCTGTTAAATTAATGGAAAGTTCATTGCTTTTTGAGGAAACACTTCAGCCAACAGTTTTTCTTTCATGACCTGTGCACTACACACAGTTTCTTTTCTGTATATCATCTTCTCTGATATATTTAAAATGGGCAGCCATGTAATAAATTATGCATTTTTTTAATTAGAGCACCTACTGTCATTGGCTTGTATACTCTCAGACTCGCACAAATTTCAATCGCTCAATAAGAAATCGCATAGCCATGGATTGGTTATTGGTTAAACTAGGAATTGATCAAAACTGTCGTCAACTATCGATTTCATCGCTTGAATGCTCTACGATTGATAGATTGTTCCTGTTTATTGATGTTGATTCAGCGACCATCAATTTCCATAAATTAGCCAGCCTCCAAGTAAAAGCTTCAAGTAATCGTTATACTTTTATCCATATACGTACTTTTGAAGATTTAACGATTTCAGTAAAGTTATCCAGAATCGACTTCACGTCATCTTTCAAACGTTTGGTGTAAGACTTGAGAAGAGTCTCTTTACTTTGCGGTAAAATCCTGCTTGGCTGTGACATGATTCTCCTGCAACAGCAGCACAAGATTAATAGTTTTGAATTTCTCAAGTGAATACTGCGATGGGTTGTAACCAATTTAAACCAAATTTAAGTATAACTTACCTTAAATGTCCTGTGATTTCAATTATTCTGGATCAAACCCGGAAGATTTGGACACGGAGCTTTGTCGGCCATTTTGTTTCCCCATTGCCACGCTTAGCATTGTGGGTAGCACGATAAAATTCCCAAGCGCCTTTGCAACTTTCCTCTTCATCCGCCATCGAAAAAGATGGTAAGTCTTTTCGAATTATTGTATTAAAAGCTATCTTCCATCTAGTCCATCTTAAATTTGTTCACTTCTTAAGGGCTAATAAATTAGGGTCCAGTATGTGGACAGTATTTTAGGCGATCTATTTTCTCTTATTTTCGGTGAAAAGAGCTTCATTTAGCAATATTTCGTGGTATACTCCATGATTTATCGTCTTGGTCTGAGACGGTCACTCTAAACCCCCTTTAACCAACGTACTGTCAGTTGTACCACCATCTTGCTAGTTGCTATCTCTACTAAATTAATGTCGTAGTGTACGTCTTTCTGCCTACCTAATGAAGGTTTTTGTGCCGAACTGTTTTCGTCTGTAATAATTCTGTAGAAATTATTTTGCACGTGAGATCTATGGGTAATGATGTCTCGTGTGGTTTTCTTGTAATTTAGTTCTTATTTCTCGAAACATTTTGAGCATTTGGAAACGTGGAAATGCATAAGGTTCTCAGCATTTATTAGTTTGTTGCCATATCTTTCCAGAGTTATCTGGCAACTTAAAGGTTGTGTTGAATGTTATTATCTAGTAGAATATTTTAATATTTTTCAGTAGCTTATTTTTTATGCATTTCTTTAGAGCAACATTTACTCATTACTCTTACTACATTACTTTTCTTGATACTGTGCAAGTAAATTAATCCAGTTTGGTGTATGAACAAAATTGCAATGTATTCCATTCTGTTGATTCTGCAGCCTAAAACTAAAAGGGTAAAGAAGGTGGCACCAGCCCCTTACACTACATCCAAACCAGTGCCAAAAAAGGTTGTTAATCCACTCATTGAAAAACGGCCAAGGAATTTTGGCATAGGTAAGATGATAACCCTATCAAACAGCAAAACCAATTTTATGTTGGTTTACTCAAGTCTAATATTTGTGTTTTTTGTAGTGTTCATTTCTGAATGTGAAGGTTAGATGATGTAGAAAAGGGTGATTGTAGAATGTGTGATTCAAAGTTTTTATAAGTAATACAAATATGTGTACTTGTACAATGTAGTGAAATGGTGGTCCTCAATTCCCTGCACTCAAAAACCATATTCACTTCTGTCTCTTTAAGGAGTAAGATAAAGCAGATTTAAGCCTATAGTTCACAGTAACTTAGTTTCCATCTGGTGACCCATGGGATCATGAGAGCTAATGACTGCAAGGATTGAAGGCATTGCAACCAAAAAAATTACTATAACCTTTGTAGTTATGAAGACCCCTCAGTTACCAAATAATTGTAATGATCTCTTAGATAAGCATCATTTTTAATGCCCAGAAACAATCCTTGCTTGTTGTGTGATTTTGCGTGTAAATTCATATTCTTCTTCAAACCTTACCTTGTTAGCTCATGATTTACTCTAAAAAAAAAGAAAGGTTTTTAAAGAATAATACCTCACCTTCATTACTAAAGGTTATAATCTGCTATTGAATTTCAATTTCCCTTTGATTTCTAGGTGGGGATATCCAGCCCAAACGTGATTTGAGCAGATTTGTCCGATGGCCAAAATACATCAGACTTCAAAGGCAAAGGAGTGTTCTTTACCAGCGTTTGAAGGTTCCTCCTTCTGTCAATCAGTTCACTCAGACACTGGATAAACAGACCGGTATGGGCAACATTTTATTCAGTGAAACCTTGTGTTAATGATGCCTCTCTAGAAGGGACAGAAATTTTTAGACCTAATTAAAAAGCAATCATCTGTTACCTTTATTGAAGGGTGCTCTTAGTTCGTGGGAAACTCACACTAGTTAAAGTGTTATGCTACTAAGCATACCTTTTGACTGTAGGCCTTTCCATGCATTACTCTTGTTCAAGAATATAATTCCTATTGCAGCTACCATTTTAAGTCATTGAAAACTGCTTTAAGGATTTAAAATCTAAAATTTTTTTTAATTTTTTTTATTTTGTCTAGCCACCCAGCTTTTCAAACTGATGCACAAGTATCGCCCAGAGACCAAGGCCGAGAAGAAAGCACGTCTTACTGCTAAGGCTGAAAAGAAAGCAGAGGGTAAAGAAGAACCTGCGGGAAAGAAGCCAGTTGTGATCAAATATGGCCTAAATCATGTGACCAGTCTTGTAGAGAACAAGAAAGCTCAACTTGTGGTCATTGCTCATGATGTAGACCCCATTGAGGTTAGTTAGAATTTTCTTGAGGGTGTGTTGGAGACTAAAACTTAGACATGTTTTAGCACAAATTCTAATTGGAAAGTGATTGATTTTACTCCCAGTGCTTGTTATCAGTGGTTTGTAATTGTCAATAAGTTTACTTTTAATTTTCTAAAAAATTGCTTTCCATATCATTGAATGACTCTGTTAGAATTATATCAAAAGGAGTTGTAGATTTGCCTTCCAATGAGGTTTTACTGAATAAATTTTTCTGTTCTCTCTATCTCTCTCCATCTCTCTTAAACTTGAAAAAGAAGCTCACAATTTCAAATAAAATGATGTAAGTTATGCTGATGTGGCCATGACAGAAAACCTAAATGATGAATCTGGTTGAGTGATTTATCTTGAACACCAAAGATAATTGCTATATGTCAACCTTTTATTAATCCCCATGTACCCTCAATTCTGGGTATGATTTTTGGGAGGTTGTTTGGTTGTCAAATAGAAGTTCATAATTATAGGAAGTATCACTTTGAAGAAATATTTGAGATTTATAGAAATGAATAAACAAAGAATGTTTTGCCTTGTCAAACAGAGGCACTAAGGGAGTACATGACTTGTTCATTTTACAGCTTGTTGTGTGGCTTCCAGCGCTCTGTAGGAAAATGGGTGTTCCTTATTGTATCATAAAGGGCAAAGCCAGGTGAGTGGTGTTATTATAAACCAAAGAAGATTCCAAAGCCTATGACACAGATCCTTCTTTCTTCTATTGCAATTTCTTTAATTATATTCGTCTTGAAGCAGTTACTGCTTTGTATTAGACAACTAGTATCATTTGGAGATTATTAGGTGCAAATGAGGTAGAAAAAGAAATAGAGAATGAATAGGGGCATTATTTGTGATGTGTTGAGTTGAAAGCTGGTGGCATAGGTGTCAGGATGATTTTTAAATATATCAAAACTACCAAATGGTTTGACAACAAAATTCCTTTCCAGTTTGTCTCTTGGACAAGCAACTCTCAAATTTTACCTTCCCAAGGGAAGGAATTAATTGGCAGACCATATGTACAGATTCTTCTTCATAAGATTAAAAGCAGAAATAGCTCTGTGCTTTTCTCACCATGTATGAGGTTCAAAAGACTAACCTAACCTGTCAAAATTACTTTGAAATGTGCGAAAAGTTCTATTCTGGATGGTGTTATGTTTTCAAGCAATACTGCAACCTGATGACACACTGAAAGCAGTAACAAGCAGTGCATAAATAGTTGCTGCTCTGAATGTTGAAGAAATCATTAAAGAATACGTTTTGTGTAACATATGTGATTGATCAAACACATTTTTAAGATGTTTAAATAAAAAGAGCAAGACTTTGTTGTATCACATGTAAGCAGCCATGTTGCCAAGTGAAACTTGAAATGGCAGTATCATAATGAAATCTGAAGCCTATTTCAAAGCAATTCTTAAAAGGCCAGATTACTCTTTGGAACTTCAAAACAAGGCTGGTGTCACAAGATATAGTTCTAAACTTTGGAGATAAAAATTCAAGGGTTCAGAAGTAAACTTCTACTTTAAATTAAAGGTAGTGACTTAGACTGTCCTTATTTATTCCTGTCTGTAGGCTGGGCAAAGTAGTACATAAGAAGACAGCCACAGTACTGTGTTTTACTGCTGTACGTCCTGAAGACAAGAATAACTTTACAAACCTATGCGAGGCAGTCAAGACTAACTTCAATGAGAGGTTTGATGAGATCAGAAAACACTGGGGTGGGGGCATCATGGGAAGCAAGTCACAGGCAGCTGCACACAAGTTGGAAAAGGCCAAGATCAAGGAGATGAAAGTGTGATGTGTAAAAACTCCTTCACAATGTAATAAAACAATTTGCTGCTATAGAATTTGTCTTTGCTTTGTTGTTGGGAAATGCTCAAGGATGTAAAGTCCCTGCCTCCTATCCTATTCTTGGATTTAAGTTAATTTCATTTCTTTCTTCCTGGGCACTGTCAGTATCCCATGAGTGATGTCAGTGTTCCATGAATTATTGGCAGTAACTTGCCAAGAGTCTCTCTATATTGTTAGCAGGGTAGAACTGATATTGGATGGGAAGATAATTTATATCAAACTTTTGGGATGACCAAGAAAGTGTAAGATTAATTTGTGACCTGTCTTCCAACCTCAGGCTTTATGTTTGGATTCATTTTGTTTGTTTGTTAAGACAATTTGGTTTTATCCTGTAAGATGAAAGTATAAATTGGCTATTATAAAAAGGTTCCAAAGCTTAGCCCTTCGTCAGAGTGAAACACCACAGTTTGTTTCTAAACTTACCCACCTTAGTGATGTATTTGTTTTTTTGGGCTATCCCTGACGGCCGACAACGAGTATAAAAAAAAATTATACAGGTCATGCAACAGTGCTGAAGGGATTCCACGGAACACGTCATTCTGTTTCTGTACATCGATTAAACTATTGAATGTTAAGCGAAGCTTTTCTGTGAATTTCAACTGATTACTAATTCAATTTTGAAGGGAAAGCTTCTATCAATGTAAGTACTGGTAATCGATTAATCAAATCTCCGAGTTATCTGTTATAATTTAGCCGTACGAAATTCAAATTCATAATTTGAAAATGAAAAGTCAAGCCATACGGAGTCCAATTTTTTGGCTATCAAGGAGAAAGTGGATAACCCAAGCGTAGGTTGTCAAATAGTGTGATGTGCTTGAATATAAATTTCATCTTGATCAAGTGAGTTATTGACTACATATTCGGAGAAAGAAAAATCTGTGTTCAAAGTTGACGATCATGGCTGACTAATTTCTCTTCGGTGAATTTTCTGGCAGAGAAAGGTAAGATTATATAAAAAGTTGGGAGTAGAAACATTTTCAAATAAGAAAAGTGCGGTGAAAAAAAAGAAACCTTTGCAAAGTAAACCTGGAGCTTGAAATGAACTCGCACATGCGAGTGGCAGCACGTGAACAAAAAAAACCTTCAGATGCATCACAATGCACAACTTCATTTTACTACGCAGCATTGTTACAATCTACTGGTTGGCTTAAGCTCAGAGAAAAGTTTCATTTCCTCTCGCTTTCTAGGCAGGGCGTGCTAGACCCAGGAGATCGCTACCTTGCAGAGACCAGTGCCAGACCTATATGTACCGCTTATGACACGGTTCATGCTCAGCCATACGTCGGTCGCGGTAGACGGGGGTCTCCCAATGAGCTGTCCACTTAGTTGAAACAGGTATCTGCTGTCGTACACGGCTTGATAGCCGCGGTAATTGGTCACTTCCACACGCTCATGGCTGATGTAAATCGTCATGTGATCGCTGATGACTTTTGCTTTGGATTCAACCGTCAGGTGACCATTAGTGGTGTAATCCTGGTGACCAGTGAAATCGTTTGTAAATATTAAAAAATTTTTATTGAGGCCATGTACCTCTGCGCCTTTAGTAGTTGTTCCCGCGTCGCCTCCTACAAGGAAAAAGAGAAGAAAGGAGAAATTGAGGCACGCAAAATCCTGATGCACCGTGGACCCATGTTCCCCTTACATGTCCAAAGCATATTGCTTTTATTCATGCGCAACGTATTGGTAACTTCAGTCTCAGATGTATTTCAATAGTTTGTTTTCCTAAAAACAAGAGTGAAGCATAAAGCTCTTATAGTGCATTAAAAAAGATGTTTTACTCCTATGCAGTGCCATGTCAATGTCAAGTCTCTTCTCTTACCATATCCATTGACAGTGGGCGAGTCGGCAATATCAAACGAGAATCCTGTCACTTGAGCCGCAAACCACAGGTCAATCCTGGCAGTTCGTTTGGAGCCCCAACATTTATCAAATGTTATGCGAATCTTTCCTGTGAATTTCAAGTAAATTAAGAGTTTAATGTAAAAAGCATTTTACAAGTAATTTGAACACGTAAGTTAAGGTAATTATTCAAGTAAGTTTATTTCTATTTATTATTATTGAGCTCTTAACTCTAGACTCTAGCACATCCTGAAGACTTTAAATGATAACAGTTTTTTCTTCTGAAACATCCAACGCATCGGACCACGTCAAACTTAAAGCTGAAATCACCGTGATCTACAATATGTATATTCTTGGTAATGCTAATTTTGTTATTTTCTACCTTGGTTTGCACAAACTCCTGGCACCACCTTGAAACTTTCCAGCAAAACGACACTGGCGTCTCGGGTCCCGTAAACTCTGTTCGTGTTTAGATCCACTTGCCACGCAGGACTGATCGGATCTCTGGACTGACTGCAGGTAAAGCACCGACAGCCCGAGGCTGCAAAGGAACAGAAAGGATATATGTTTGTTATCTTCTTGTAGGTTTGCGTTGGATTTTTAAAACCGTTTCTCTAAGGATTAAGGGTCCAAGAGGAATCAGCAGCAGCAAACGAACTTTCCTTCTTTTTCCCTGAATTAAATGATGCAGTTTTAAACAAGCCTTCGATATGATGGTCAAGAATTTCAGCAGAGGCTTCTGTAGAACAACAAGATAAACCGCTCGTGATAAACGCAAAGATCAAAACGGGTTATAAACGACTTTTGAATCATCCACAAAAGGGAGGTTGGGGTGGGGAGAAAAAGGAACAACTACGAAAAAAACGGAAACTAGGTAGACCCAGCCAATCAATGATAAAAGTGAATTAGCGCAATACCTGTCATGGCGCTCAAGCTGGTCAAGGTAATATAAAGCGTCATCGAAAGATGAAGTATAATCATCTCGGTAGACTGAGGAAGACTGTCGATTAAACCACGAGCTCTCACGACTGATGTCTGCTGAAGGGTTTGGAATATGCCTCAAACGTTATGTGACGCTCGCTCTTATATGCACCAGCTGTACATTGTTGCAAATCGTGCCACGAATAGTTTTTCTCTAGAGAGATTTTCATTTCCTTTTTAATTTATCTTAATTGAAAAATAGATTTTACGTTGCTTAGTGTCTGTTCAGTAATAGATCGTGGATGACGTCCAAATATGAGTAGAACAAAAGAGTGACACACGAAGCGCAGCCAAATGTGTCACGACGGATTCCTGCTGAGTTTTCTGGAATATGCTTCAAATGTTGTGTGACACCAGCTCTTCATTGTTACGAACAACACCAAGACTCATTGTCGACATTTGAAAAAATTTTTCTCTTGGCTGTTTTTTCTTTTTGATTGTCGTTGTTTTGTTACTTTCTCTTTTCCATATCGTGATACATGCGAGAGAAGGTTTCAAATAAAAACATGGTTTGATGTTACAAAATAATAAACTTCAGACATGACATAGATGGGAACCAAAACAAATTCTATGAATAGTTTAATCATATTTCATTTTGATTGGTTCTTTCTTATGTTCTATTAACAACTTTTCCTTGTCTATTATAAAAAGCAAAATAGATCCATGTTGCCTGGGGCTCGTACAATAATGGATCACAGAAAACATCTGGCATCTCATGTATCACTTTTTCGTTTTTACCACATTTTGAAGTTAATCGTGATCTATCACCATAAAGACCCATGGCAACAAGGAATCTATTTCGAACCAAATCAAATTCACCATGAGTAAAATTTTCCTTGTTCATCAAATAAAACAATTAGATTACATGTTGTTAGATCACGGAAAATGTGTCTTTTTTCTTCTCGCCACATTTTGGTGTCTTCCATGATCTATTACAGTGCAAACACATGGCAACCCCGAATCTATTTGTTCATATGATAAAAACAGAAAATATTGTTACTAATGATAAATCGGAATAGCTTCCATGTTTCCATGGGTCTGTACAGTTATAGATCACGGATAAAAAAGTTGCTTATTCCAGAACGCTCAACAGCTATCAGTGACACACTCCACTGAGCACTGAGTGTGACTTTTTTGTTCTTACGACACTTTGAAGTCACCTGTGATCTCTTACTGAACAGATGCATGACAACAAGGATTCTGTTTGTTAGATATTCACTAAGCGAGAATAGACTTAACATAGTTTCATCAAGTCAAAGCAAAAAGCTTAACTTATCTGTGATGAGTTATACCATTTCATGAGTTAACCTCGAGCCCGCGTCAAGTTCGAGTCACAAGTCAAGTTCGAGTCAACTTATATTTTTCCTCTCTCTGTAAATAACATCGTAAGGCAATACACTATTATGGTAGCCGCCATATGTAACATGGCGGTCGAGTACGAGAATTCAGCTTTTACTTCGGCTCTAGACCAAGGATCCAAAACCGAAAAGATTAATCTTAAAAAAGAAAAATCTAGAATTGTTTCCACTAGAATAGAAGAAAACATACTCTAACGCTTTGCTTGAATGACTGAAAGAAAAACGATGTTGATACGGCAATACCTTTTGTTATTAGGGAAACGCCTGCCTCAAACAGCAAGACAAACACCCGTGTCTACTTTTCTCGAAAATAAAAGAAACAAGATTGATGGAATCTTCGATTTGAAGAAATTACCATAATAAAGTACAAGACGAAGACCATCGTAAATCGCTTAGGTCGAAGATGCAACATTTAATTGTATGGTTGATGAAGAGAGCTTTCAAAGGGATAAGAGAATTTTGAATTTATACTCTGCTCTCAATACATTAGCATGTTCATGCCACGCTTTAAGTTATAACATGAAAAAGAAATGTTTTGTTGTTAACTGCCTTGCTTTCTGTTTGGACTGTTTCTTGGGTCTTGTTGGAGTGAATTAGCTCGAGCACCGCGCGCAAAAGGGAGGCACCTGGAGTCTGTTCAGGAACTTTATTTCATTCTCTGAGTCTCTGTCTCTCTTCAGCCATAAGAAGCCGCTCTTAAATATCCTATCGGTAGGCATGATTGAGCTCACGGGAGAGGGAATATATCTTTAGAACGCCGACCCAAACAATGTCGCAAGGCATTCGAAATGAACAACAAGGTACTTGAAAAACAACCGATCTTCGAGAACAAAACCCTAAACAAACTTGCCGATGAGGACTCTAAGCAAGGACTAGGAAAAACCCAAACACGTCTAGTGATGACGATTATCGCACGATAATTAAGCCCTATTAGAACGGTAAAGGACACATTACGCAAAAGGTAAAAATAAACGTGCGGTCTTGCAGCACATGATAAACCAGGGCTAATGAGACTCGCACAAGGATTTCCAGATAATCTAACTGGCCTAAACAAACAACTCCCAAATACTTAGTCAGAACATTCCTAATTTTAATGTCTACGTTATGTTAATATTAACTGTCAAAAAGTTTGATATTTTGAGTCATGTCATTAAATTTCCACATAATTGCCAGCCAAGGGTCTTTGTATGCATTTTAGGAGCAGTCTTGGTCAGTTTCCAAATTGCCACATAATTAGTCTTAACGTCGGCGACGGGACAAAAATATGGTATAAACGTGGGTTTAATGCAATGTTTTCCACATATCAAGTAACAGAAGATTTCGAGAAAAAGACAAGAGCCTATTTTCTGTTCTGGAGGCGATTTCTGAAATTCAGTTTTCCTTATTTATAGCGTGTCATGTCATGTCATTTCAGTGTTTTGACGTGTCTTTGAAAACGCCATCATATAAATATCGCACAGTTTAACTTACCAAGATAATTATGCCGTAACACACGCTGTCATCTGTCCAGTAGACATATTTTTTGTATTTCGTTGTCTTTTCAGAAAACAGGGAAAGTATCAGATGAAACGAGGCGTCGAGTTCACACATCATGTGTTGTGTTACGAAAATTGTTATCTTGGCAAACGCGTACGCGTTATATTTCCAAATTAACTGAATTCGTGAGTCGTTTGATGATACACCTTATTGATCTGGCCCCGGTTGTTCAAAAAATGGGTAACTTCTTATCCACTGGATAAATCGCTATCCAGCGGATAAATTGTACCCCTGGTGTCATATCGGCTGTTCAAAGTGTGGATAGCGCTATGCACTCGTTATCCATGATTTTTTAGGTAGTAAGAATTTTTAAACACCGGATAAAAAAAAACATCAACAACAAAATGGCCGCTCGACAGTTACATCTTCTTCGGTGTAACTTGCCTGACAATCAACATCGTAGAAAGAGAAGAATTTTTCGCCACCAGCTCGATCCCTTAGAGTCTTACACTGACTCTGAATTGAGATCCAGTTATCGTTTTGGACGAGAAGCATTACAATACATCGTATCGCATCGAAAGAAAAAAAAGCTGCGAAAATTCTCTATTGTCATTTCAAGGATGTCGGATTTGTAGTATAAAACGGAATGTGCTAAATGCCTAACGCAAATTGACTGACTGTTGAGCGATGACCATTGGTGACCTATTTGTCTAAATTTGTGGTGACAGCGCCCTACAGAACAATAAAACAAGCTTCAACATTCATGCAAATACTTTAATGTAAACTTAGTATCCCTTTCCACCATACAATTCATTTTTATTTTATTTGATAGCGGCCCATCAACAAATTTGTCGTTTAGCATGCGTTGCATATTAGTTTTTCTACGTTAGCAGTCTAAAACGAGATTTTTTGCGCATCAGGTCACAGGACAAGTAGGATGTCGCTGCACAGGTTCTGTTATTCAAGTAACCGTTTGCTCTGAATGGCATAAAGGAAGTATGCCCAGTCCACATGAGGCTTCATGGTTCCCGGGACTTCCCATTCGGTTCATTTAGAGCCCAGGCCTTGAAGACTGGAACTGAGTAATCACTCTAAAAGAAGTCGTTTGCGGTCCACATCAGGCCGATCCACATTAACTTCCTTGTTGGTGCTCTCTCTCTCACAGGGGCCAGAACAAACTCGTTTTCCCGCGCACTGGTAAACTTTACCAGGCCTTTTACCATTCTTTTGCAATGCATTTGGGCATGGTGTCAAGTCATGTATACGTTGCACGAGAAAAAATTTTTAGTCGGGATTGTGGGATTGAAGAACCCTATTGGAGACCCTCTTAATATAGTTTCATCAAGTCAAAACAAAAACTTTAACTTATCTGTGATGAGTTATATCATTTCACCGGTCAAGTTCGAGCCTGAGTCAAGTTCGAGTCAACTTTACATTTTTACCCTCTTTGTAAAATTACATTGTAAGGCAATACACTGTACATTATGGTAGCCGCCATATGTAACATGGCGGTTGAGTACAATAAATCAGTTTTTTACTCCGTGACTCGACGGTTTGTAGTTAAATAATGACTTCTGCCTCAGGTGTGTGTAATCAAAAAGGAGACGGAATCTTTGAGGGAAACTCAAAGGTACCTTGGAATGTTTACTCCTATGAATGCAGCTGTGAATCAGTGCAGGGTTAGCCCTGACAAGCTTTCAAAAGATTGTAATCTTGTAATAAAGCTTTTGTATTAGGAAAACATAAATGTCCACCATTTGGCAAGCTGTTAGGGAAGACTCAAAAGTTTTATCTAATGAGGTGTATAAACCGAAAAGCTTGTTGTTTTGAATCTTGTAGTTGTTTCCTAGTGCCTTGCCTACTGTAGAGAACTCAAGTTCGGACTGATCACTTTCTTGTTACAAATAAAGGCTTTGTTCATACTAGCTACAGTATTCTTCCTTTTCGATGAGTTTTTTCTGCAAAGTGGGTCCAGATAACCAATCTAAAGCGATTGTGTTAAATTTCTGCTGACATCTGTGCCTCGGTGATAAAAATAACAATTATTTGACAATGGCAAATGACTGAGTCTTTTGACTAATTGCTAATCCAATTATGGCCCAGCAGCTTATGTTGGACAGCCCGTTAATTTAAAAGCTTTATGATCCAAAAGAGGGCGGAGAGGCTAGATTGTAAGCGACGCCTAAAGTGACATCAAATACCTATAAAAAGTGTCACGCAAATTGCATGGATGATTTGTTGTCCGTACCAAGCTTCGCTCTCTTCGAAATGTTCGCACGTTAAATGTATCGTCCCAAGAAAATGGAATGATTGGGATATTGAATAAAGCCGTGGAAATATCAATGACTTTTTTATAGGTTAAATAGAGAATAATACATGGGTGCGCGTAGATATGGAATTTCTCTTGGAGTGTTTGACTCGATATCTCACGAGTGAGTGCTACTGACAAGAAAAGTCGTCTTAATTGGTGCGAAAGGCGAATGATGCGTTACCAGCTGATTGGCTATGTAAAACACACTTAAAGCATCATCGTAATTTTACGTATGTGCAGTCACGGCTTTATTCGGGGTTGTAAATTCATGTAAAACACCGCAGTTTATATGGTAAATGGGATTTATTCATGTGATTAACGGTTGAAATCTGCTCGTCCACCAGCCGTTCTATGGAAGGTAACATAACGCTTCTTGGATAATCGTTTCGTGACTTCCTCAGAACAGCTGCAAGGTTTGCCATTTTACTTGATATCTATAGCTTTTACTGTCATTTCCTTACTGGATAAAAAAAATTATCGAATACTTTATGAATCACATTTAGAGAAGTGGCTAACTTCCTTTTCTTGTTTCACTGGACCAGGATGTAACCCATGGCTTTGATGTGCTTGTCACCATTATCCGCGTTGTGAGTAGCCTGGTTACCACACGTATTGGAGTTATCGCGATATCCTCCTGTTCCAAACCCAATCCTCGAGTCACAGGACCCACAGTTCTTCTCGTTGTTGCCAAGGATACCAATCCTCGCTTTAGAAGAACCACGGTTACCAGGAAAAACGTTAAACCCTTGCTTGTTACAGTTGGTTTGCAGTGAAGCTCGGAAACCAATCAGCGACTTCCACGTGTTTCGATCCAGTGAGGTTAAGCGGTAGTGTCCATCAGCAATCAGCGAGTACAAGGAGTTGGCTGGTCTGTTGATGACAATGAAGTTGATCTGATGGCCGATCTTCATACCCAGACAGATCTTGGAAAAGGGTGTGCTCCAGTAGGTCGGTAGTTTGGTTTCACGATGGTCAAACCCAGTTTTCCCTCCAGGACGATTGAAGTCGGCCATGTTGGTCCAATAACTGGAATCGTAATGGAAGGTTTGCTAGTAATGAAAAAAGTGAGAAACCCCTTGTTTTGGCGATCAAAAGTACGCCATTATTAGACTTATCTGGTACAGTCCACCTGTTACCACCGGACTGACGAGGGACCAAGGGGTCTGACCGTTTTTCGTTTAGGGGCAAGTGATAGATATAATATTAAGAGAAAAAAAACGCTTCTTTGAAATGGTCTTGGAAAAATTGAGAGCAAAGTACCAAATCTTTCAGTCATATTGAGACCTATTTTAGGTTTAAAACCTGGAGAAGAAAAATTTCCTATAAATGCAAATTACAACGTTATATTGCATTATTGTGTCGCACCTTATGGCCGTCGATTTTCATGACCAGCGTCCACCCCCCACCTCCGCATCCTCCAATTCCATGGCTGGTCATGTGACAGTAAACAGGAATTTTACCAGTGTTAGTCTGAAGCACGTAGGCTGTGTTTCCTCGAGATCTGTCATTAAAGCATAAAAAGAAATGTTGCCTCTTACAGATGAGCTTACGAAGACTTGAATTATTTCGGCTGAGACAAAACAGTGCCTGTGTCCCATGCTAAGGCATAGCTTCGTTCGTTTCTTATTTATAGTTGTTCAAATGCTGTTATCTAAATAATTGGATAGTTTTATCTTCGTGAACGTTCTCAGATACCCGTCGCTAAAGAATTACGCATGGTTATGAGCTTGCGTAACAAAGCGAGAGGAAGAAATGTACCAAATTGAGACAAAGAATTATGGGCACAGGATGCTTAATAAACTTTTCCCTGTCTCCCTCCCAAAGAAAATCCTTTTTGCAATCTAGTTTACAGTGAAAGTATTTTCGTTGTCATTTCCTTTGTTGACCCAATTCATTAACTTTTCAACCATGAGAATCATTCCGACACCAAAACGTCTGTTATTTTTATATAAATCTTAACTTGCTGCTGTCCTTAAGGCCTTTACTCTCTATTTCACATTTGCTTGAGTTTTTCTTATTTATTTCTTCCAAATTGGAAAATGAATTATACGTCGGAAAGTAGAATAATACTCAATTTGTATGTTTATAATTACCTTCCGTTTTTGAGGTGAATCTCTTTGCAAGATGTAAAAGGTGAAGCTTTGAGAAATAAAGTAACATCAAAATTAATGCCATCCAAAACAGAAAAAAAAAGAGAGAAATACTTTTCTTTAGTAAACGCTGGTAAAGGAACCTTTAAATGAGAAGCGGATATAATCAGCATCATTAATTATTGACGTTCCTCATACCTGGAGGATTCAAGAGATTCAGCCCACGAGCTATCACTTCTATATCGCGTTCAAGTTTTCCGAACCTTTTGTCCATTACTGCCTTAAGCGTTTGAATGGCTTTAGTGCAGTTGTCCCGGCGTTCGTACGCTGCAGTAACTGTGAAAAAAAGAATGAAGATCTTTGCAAACATGAGTACCAGAAAAAACCGTGTATTGATGGGCGAATTCATCTCAGCTCGCTGTCACAGCCCTGAGCTACAATACGAACTTTGCAGAATGAGATCAACTCCTGTTTGTCAAGCTTTTAACTCGTGTCAAGACTTCCTTGCTCGTATGGGATACATATGTCATGCCGAGGAAACTTAAAACCTTTCTTAATGGTTTTAATGAATTAAAAGGCCTCTCCGTGGGTCTTATGCGAGCTGTTTCTCGTCTGGAGGATTACACCTATGTTGATAGACAGGAAGTTAACTGTATTTCAAGAGTTTCAGCAACCCTTGAAATCTCCTACTCGACCAATTCTTTCAGCAAAGTCCGCTTTGATCTGATAGCAGCCTTAGGGGAATCATCTACCTGATAAAATCAAGAGAAAACGAGAGGGTCAATGCCCTGATCATGAGCAGATTTTTAAATAATTTTATGTGTGCTTTTTCCCATCTCAGTCTTTGATACCACGTATGTCAAATAAAAACAAAAACCAAACCAAACAAAACAAAACAAAACTCCCTAAAAAAACAAAAACGGGAAATATATGGCATTTCACGAGGTTCAGCAATCCGCTGAAATCTCCTAATCAAATAATGCTATGAGCAAAGTTCACTCTGTTCTGATGATAGCCTAGGGAAGGGGGAAAGGGGAAAAAATGTAAAATAGACCTAACATTAAAAAACATATTTTTTCTTACGAAAGGGAGATTTCGTCACTACCTTTGAGTGGTTTGAAATAATTCCAAGTGAGCTGTTCAGTTCCCTTTTCCGCGATACTACTCACTCTAGAAAAACAGGAAGTATACTGCATTTCACGAGATTCAGCAATGTATAAAAGTCATGTGTGCTCAAAGGGCTGATTTATACGGTACAACTTTGTCACATGCGACAAGCTTGCGACCGGCCTACATGACGTGCGCAATATTTTCACCGACGACGTGCCAAAGTCGCGAACAATTCCCCTCCCTCTTAAAGTATTCATGGTCTCGGATATTGAACAGGACTTTTTTCTTCACTTCACAGCGAAACTAAGTTCTCTGTGTCATCTTCCTAAAGTGTTAAATGCACTTTTGTTGCATACAACGACTAACCAACGACGGCAACTTTGTCCCCCATTTTGATGCAAGAAACACAAAATGTTAACTAATACAGAAACCTTCTCAAATCAACTCAACTCTACTTAACTCAATGGAAATTTGTCACAAAATGCGTCATTTTTATGGATTTCGGCTGCGATTGTCGCAGCGTTTTAAAACATGATTTTAAAACCTACGAAATTTTTTGAGATACATGCGACAGTCGTAAGCGAGTTGCAAGTTTGATTTACACGAAAAAAATTCGTTGTAGGCCTATCGCAAGCGACAAAGTCGTACCGTATAAGCCGGCGTTAAGACATTTCTTCGAGCAAAGTCTGGTTAGATCTCATGGCAGCCTGCGGGAATGATCCAATAAAATCAAGAAAGAAGGCGGGAAAAAACAGAACAGATAGTTCGTTAGTTGATGTGTATTCACAAAACGTAGTGATTTATGGTAAAATAGTTTCTTTTTTTTTAGCGACACCTTAGCAAGGATTATGCAGTTTTTTCAAAATAGTGTGCATTCGGTAGTGATAGAGCTTTTTGTTCGAAAAACGTAAATGTCCACCATTCGGCAACCTGTCGGGGAAGACACCTCTTTGATGAGCTTTTTGATTCACTCACACAATAAGTCTTAAGTATTTTCTCATAACTGCCGAACATAAACTTCATCAGATCAGTCAGTGAAAAAAAACACCGAATATGCGTTACAATGCCCAACTTTATTTGACTATACAGCATTGTTACAGTCTACTGGTTGACTTAGCCTCAGGGAAGAGTTTCATCTCCTCTTTACTATGCAGCATTATTACAATCTACTGGTTGACTCAGGTTCAGAGAAGAGTTTCATCTCCTCTTTACTATGCAGCACTGTTACAATCTACTGGTTTACTTAAGCTCAGAGAAGAGTTTCCTCTCATCTCGCGCGCTGAGCAGGGCGTGCTAGACCCAGGAGATTGCTACCTTGCAGAGACCAGTGCCAGACCTATGTGGACCACTTATGACACGGTTCATGCTAAGCCATATGTCAGTCGCGGTAGACGGGGGCGTCCCAATGAGCTGTCCACTTAGTTGAAACAGGTATCTGCTGTCGTACACGGCTTGATAGCCGCGGTAATTGGTCACTTCCACACGCTCATGGCTGATGTAAATCGTCATGTGATCGCTGATGACTTTTTCTTTGGATTCAACCGTCAGGTGACCATTAGTGGTGTAATCCTGGTGACCAGTGAAATCGTTGGTAAATATTAAAAAATTTTTATTGAGGCCATGTACCTCTGCGCCTTTAGTAGTTGTTCCCGCGTCGCCACCTACAAGGAAAAGAGAAGAAAGAAGAAATTGAAGCACGCGAAATCCTGATGCACCGTGAACCCATGTCCCCATTGAATTTCCAAAGCACATTGCTTTTATTCATGCGCAACGTGTTGGTAACTTCAGTCTCAGATGTATTTCAATAGTTTGTTTTCCTTAAACAAGAGTGAAGCATAAAGCTTTTATAGAGCATTAAAAAAGATGTTTTACTCCTATGCAGTGCCATGTCAATGTCAAGTCTCTTCTCTTACCATATCCATTGACAGTGGGCGAGTCGGCAATATCAAACGAGAATCCTGTCACTTGAGCCGCAAACCACAGGTCAATCCTGGCAGTTCGTTTGGAGCCCCAACATTTATCAAATGTTATGCGAATCTTTCCTGTGAATTTCAAGTAAGTTAAGAAGATAATGTAAAAAGCATTTTACTAGTAATTTGAACCGTGACACACGTAAGTTAAGTTAGTTATTCAGTTAAGTTCATTTCAATTTAAACTCTTAACTCTAAACTCGGGCACATCCTGAAGACTTTAAATAATAAAAGTTTTTCTAATGAAACATCTAACGCATCAGATCACGTCAAACTTAGCAGTTCGTTTGGAGCCACTTCTTGGGTCAAAACTTATTCGAAGCTTACCTGTAAATTACAAGTTATTACAAATTTAGTTTTTTAAAAAATGCCTTAATCACATCCTAAAGACTCTGTATTGCAACAGTTTTTCAAAAGAAACTTCCAACGCGTCGGACAGCGTCAAAGTAATTGACAGTAAATATCACGGTGTTCAGACTATGTTTTTCTTGGTACTATACTGATTTTGTTATTTCCTACCTTGGTTTGTACAAACTCCTGGCTTCACGTTCAAATGGTCCTCCCAAGCGATGTTGGCATCATTACCGTAAACTGCGTTCGTCTTTAGATCCACTTGGAGTACAGGGCTACGCGGATCTCTGGGCTGACTACAGCTTAAACAACTCGAAGCTATCAAGGAAAAACGGGAATGCGTTCTTCATCTCCTCTGAGGTTGCGACAGTTTTTTTTTTTTTTTTTTGAATGGATAAAGGGTACGGAAGGAAATCTGTAGCAGTAACTAAACTTCCCTCCTTTTTCTCTAGATCAAACAAAATGGCAATACAATGGAATTTATAAATTAAGGACGAGATTTGCTTTTATGAACTAGCTTTCGATATGATGGTGAAGAATTTCAGCGGACCTCTGTAGAGTGAGCAAGAATAATTGCAGAAAATATTGAACGAGTTAACGAGTTTTGAATTCTGAAGGAGCAACTTGTGTTGTTCGATCTCGCATGAAATAGAAGGACAGAGTCATCAAAACTTAAGAATATTTAAGAGAAGAGACAAACTAAAAAAATAATAACTAAAAAATTGTCAATAATAAAACAAAAGCAGACCAAAGTGGATTAGTGACCAGAGTGAATTAGTGTGATACCTGTGAAGGCGCTCAAGCTGGTCAAGACAATATAAAGAGTTATCGCAAGATGAAGTGTGATCATCTCGGTAGACTGAGGAAGACTGCTTATTAAACCACGAGCTCTAAAGACTGATTTCTGCTGAATGGTTGGGAATATGTTTCAAAAGTTACGTGGTGCTCGCTTTTATATGCATCAACTTTTCCATCACGCCCACGAGTCATTGTATAAACTTTCAAGTTGAAACGTCTTTCTTTGTTGTCTCATATTTCATTCCTCGTTCGCATATCATGATACACAGGAACTAACATGTATTTCACGAGATTCACCAATCCATTGAAATGTTATACTCAAACATTTCTGACAGCAAAGTACCCTTGACCTGAAAGCAGTCTCACTGAAATATAAATCTACAGCAAATCAAAATCAAGAGAAAATGAGAAGGCAAATAAAATAGATGGCTGCCAATCTGAAAGGATAAAATTTGTTTTGATCAAGAAGAGATTCGTTGCTTCATTTTTATGGTTTAAAATATATTTCCATGTTAGGACGACACGACTAATGCCAAAACATGTTTTGTGAACTAAACAATAATGTCTTAAGCGAATTGCTTCATTTCGTGTGAGCTTTTTCCTGTCTCGTTGATAGCACGTTAGTCAAAAAGATTATTTTCAGTCAAAAAAAATTCCATGCTGAATTCTAGCTGTCTGAAATATTTTCACGCGAGCTGGTTCCCGTCCCGCCGATAACAAGTAGGTACGAGATTCAGCAATCCCGTTTGAAATCTCATACTCAAACAATTATACAAGCACAGTTCGTTCTTAATTGATTGCAGCCTGAGGGAGATCATCTGCCGATAAAATCGCGAGAAAACGAGGGGCAAATGAAATAGATACCTAAAAACTTATGAAGGTATTTTTCTGATCAAAACGATGATTGAATTACCTTCTAATGGTTTGAATAAAATACGTGAGAGCTGTTTCCCGTTTCATTGATACCATCTATGTTTTGAAAACAGGGCGTATATTGTATTTCACGAGGTCTTGTTTTTTACTGCTCTAACACATTTCTTCGGGAAAAGTCCGGTTAGATCTCAAGGAAGTTTGCGGGCAATGATCCGATGAAATCAAGAAAGAATGAGGTAGATAATCAGTTGTCCAAAAATAACACTTTTTTTTTCTTTAAAACGATTTTATTTGAAACCCAAAAAAGTTTGAAATCTGGCAATTGCTATACGTGTTAAACGATAAAAATATAACTATATTTAATCTGAAATATCGTAAGGGTTTCTTTATATTGGTGCCGGGGAAAGGAATGGAAATATTATATTACTTTAAACCATTCCTGCAAAAGTTATAAAAAGGCAGGTTGATTACTTCTTATTCCTTTTGGAAGTCCTACCTTAAAGGTAGAGTTTGGTCACGTTTTTCTCGTTATGATCGTGAAGTTGACATGGAAACGGTTGTTCAGTTTCTACGGTAATTAGAACTCGTGATAGTGTCTTGGGAAAGCTATGTTATTAATTAAGTTAATTTGTTAATCCAGGAAGTCAGTTTCTACGGTAATTAGAACTCGTTTTTTAATCCAGGAAGAGTGAATCTCTCTGGTAAAAGGTCACGTTCGACACCTCTCGTTCTTAAAGGTGTAAACATGTAATACCCTTCATGTTTCGCAATTAGATAGTTATCTAGCACGTAGCAACTTGGGGACGGTACTTGTGAAACGCCCCTTCTTCTCCAACTTTTGTAATCATGATGTTGTTATGTAATGGTCTTCTAAGGCAATTTTCTCTTAAAATACCCCTTCAGATGTGAATATCATTCTGTCAATAGGTTAGTTATGATTTTTATATTACCAATTTCGTTTCTGTTCTGACCGATCTCAACTGTAAGAATAAGAAATTTAGGATAGAAAATGATTTTGTAACTGTGCAAATAACTCGAAGGCGCATACCTAGTAAGCAGGAACTGTCACACGTAATCTTACATGATTCGCTGGCTGAGATGGAACGATGACGATACAAGAAGGTTGACAGCTTAGTAGTGTCATCTGCAGTGTCACCTCTATAAACGGTGACCCTCTCTTTTCTCATTAGATAGGAGTTAGTCCCCGTTGTAACAACTTGAGAAGAAAACAGATTAAAGAAGAATCAACCAAACAAACAACGAGTGTTAGAGATTTTACATCTAACACGCGGCTCAAATCCCAAAGTTAAAAGGTTTTTGCCGGCCAGACGAGGTAAATTTCCCTCTCGCAAACGGTCGTTGCCATTACCGACCCATTACCAAGATTGGAAAGGTCGATGCCCAATACTCCTTGCGTTACAATTTATATAACGAAATGTCTTTAAGAGAATATAAACTGTTTATAAATTTGCCCTGGCGAGATGTAAACTGCTGGTAACATCTATCTTACAGAACTATTCATGGAACAATTTTTCGGCAACAAACTTATTGATCATCATGGTTATGAAGTCAGTGTAAGCACTACGGGGAAGCGTATCCACAAAAGTTAAGAGACGTAGTAATTTCTATCAGACAATTTTTTCGGCGTGTTACATTTTGGAACAGAGATCATCATTAGGTTCTAAGACTATATGCGCTTTTTTAAAAAAGTTTATAATTTTGGTAATAATAGGGCGTTTGTGTTTGGAACTGAATGTCCACCATCTGACAATTCCATCTGTCAAGGTAGACGTCTCTTCGGGTTTTTTGATTCACTGGCACAAAAAGTCCTAAGGGGTCTCTGTTCTGCAATAATTTCAACAATAGCGATGTGTAAATTTTTTCCTTAATCTTAACGATGTAAATCTTGATAAATCAAGGGGTCCCTCGAACTTCCTCTCGGAACATAAACCGACAAATTTTGTTGTTTTGAGTCTTGTATTAATTGCATAGTGCCTGACCGACTGTAGAGAAAGCATTCATCTGGGTGTAACAACAGTTGAAGTGTATATTCTTGGGTAAAATGAAGACAAATGAGTCTCCTGACATATTTCCAATCCAATTAAGGCCTAATGGCTTATGTTGGGCGGCTCTGCCCACTCAAAGCGCAAAGATTACCGGATAGTGACGTCATGAAGTTGATAAAAGTGTCGGACAAACGAGTGATAGAATCTCTGTATCAAGCTTCGTTCTCTTGGAAATGTTTGTGCCACATGTGTCACCCCAAAGAGACTGGATAATTGGGATACCGAATGAAATGGAAACCTCTTTTATACAGATTAAATGGGCTTATTGATGTGATTAACAGTTTGAATCTGCTCGTTTTTCTTTAAATACTCAGCCGCTACACACACGCGTTCATATCAAGTCCTGAGGAAAGTAACGCAACGCTTATTAGGTGAGCATTGCGTGACTTTCCCCCAGAACGGCTGCTAAGGAGACTGATATACATCGAACGAGATTTTCCATTTTACTTAATTGTGATAGCTTCTACTGTCATTCTCTTACTGCATAAAAAAAAAACTCGAATTCTGAATTAATGGCATTTAGCCGGAGTGGTTGACCTCTTTTTCTTGTTTCGCTGAACCAAGATGTACCCCGTACCTTTGATGTGCTTGTCGCCATTATCCGCGTTATTATAGCCTGGCCACCTGTCGTATTGGAGTCACAGATCACAAATTCGTTCTTGATGTTGCCAACCAATCCTCGTTATGCTGGCAACCACCACGGTTGCCAGCATAACGTTAAACACCCCTTGTTACAGTTGGTTTGCAGTGAAGCGTGGGAACCAATCAGCGACTTCCACGTGTTTTGACCCAGCGATGGTGAGCGGTAGTGTCCATCAGCAATCGAGGAGTACAAGGAGTTGACCGGTCTGTTGATGACAATGAGGTCGATCTGCTGGCCGATCTTCATCCCCAGACAGATCTTGGAGAAGGGTGTGTTCCAGTAGGTCGATAGTTTGGTTTCACGATGGTCGAACCCAGTTTTCCCTCAAGGACGATTGAAGTCGGCCATGTTGGTCCAGGAGCTGGAATCATAGTGAAAGGTTCGCTAGAAATGAAAGTAGAAAAAATATCGGAGTAAAGAAGAAAGAGTATATTTTAATTCTAAAGGACACCCTTACTCGTTTGAATTCGAGGGATAAAATGGGTTTAATTATCAGCAATGGAACTGACTGTCTTTCCAATAAGATGCGTGGTATAAATCGAGATGATAACAGAAAGGAGAACCCAGCGAGACCGAAGACGATGTGATCAGATAAATAGCCAAGAAAGTGTGTTTTTAAACTTTGAGTTACTTGTGGAATTAACATTAGAAAATTATGTAATTCCTCAGATTGTGATCGGAGAATAAATCAAGGTTGTGAATCTCACTTGGACATTTTATTGCAAGGAAAAGACGGCTTAATAATTTCGATCACCACAAGAAACATCCCTCTGTAACAAATGAGAAAATATGACCAGATAATTTTAGCGCCATGAGCTTCCACTCACTCACTTGGTGAATTTAGTAGATTCAGTCCACGGGCGACAGTTTGTTTGCACTCAAGCAGGTATGGAAATGAACTAGTTCATTATTCAAGGTTGGATTCCAGCGCTTTTAGTATATTGTGCTCATAAAACAGATTGGCCTCATCTGTGAATAAGTAAAATTCACTTAACTACTGATGGACGACGATTTGAAACTATCTTAGACTAAATTGCTATGCAAATGTCGCTCAACATGAACAATTGTAAAAAATAATAATAATTATTATTATTATTATTATATAAAAAGGGGGAAAATATTTCGACTAATTTCATAAAAAAAAAAGAAACGAAAAAAAGTAAGCGACACGTACCAGAACCGTATCAGATAAAATACCACAGTGGCTCAGAAATGATAACTGCTCACAAAAAGAGAGAGGAAAAAGAAGAGAAAAAAAACTATGATAGAAAGGGGAAAATAAAAGACAGCAAAAACAAAATGCGAATTTCATGGTCCCCAAGCCAGTTCAAGAGTTACTCCTCGTCCGACAGCTCCAAATCACACTTGGGAAGATGTTATTCGGTCCCCAAGCCAGATAGCAGGACCTGCGACCTCGATGACCTCTTTATCATTGGTTGCGCGCCCACTGGAAACTAAGGAGAATATACCAGGATTGCGCAGGGGGGAGGGGGTGGGGGTGGGGGAACGGGGAAAGCAGGGGAGGTTAGGAAGTTTGTATAACTGAGAGTGCAATCGAGCGTTTCCAGTCAAGTATGAAGGAAATGAATCATACAAAGATCTGATAGAAGCGATATAAACGAGGAATATTAGCTTATGTTTTACAAAACATTAGTTAGCAGCAGGCATTCCTACGGTGGCCGGTAAGAACAAAACTCTACAACACAAACACAAACTTAAAGCAGAATCACAAAATCCGCAACACTAACACAAAACTCTACAACACAAACACAAAATCCGCAACGCTAACACAAAACTCTACAACACAAACACAAACTTAAAACAGAATCACAAAATCCGCAACGCTAACACAAAACTCTACAACACAAACACAAACTTCAAACAGAATCACAAAATCTGCAACGCTAACACAAAGCTCTACAACACAAACACAAACTTAAGTTTGTGTTTCTGTTGTAGGTTTTGTGACTCTGTTTTGTTCTTACCGGCCATCGTACATTCCATATGCAAACTGACTAATGCTTGCAATTAGCGCGGGAAACAGGTTCCATTTCATTTTGTTCATCATGTATGCTCATGCGAAATATCCTAGAATTTTGAATGACACTCACACAGCACATTTCGCTCCAGATGCGTACCCGCTGAGTACAACTAAGTTAATTTTTCCCGACAGAGGGTTTGAACAAACAGAACAGATAGTTCGTTAGCTGATGTGTATTCACAAAACGTAGTGATTTATGGTAAAATAGTTTTTTTTTTTAGCCACACCTTAGCAAGGATTATGCAGTTTTTTCAAAATAGTGTGCATTCGGTAGTGATAGAGCTTTTTGTTCGAAAAACGTGAATGTCCACCATTCGGCAACCTGTCGGGGAAGACACCTCTTTGATGAGCTTTTTGATTCACTCACACAATAAGTCTTAAGTATTTTCTTATAACTGTCGAACATAAACTTCATCAGATCAGTCAGTGAAAAAAAACACCGAATGTGCGTTACAATGCCCAACTTTATTTGACTATGCAGCATTGTTACAGTCTACTGGTTGACTTAGCCTCAGGGAAGAGTTTCATCTCCTCTTTACTATGCAGCATTATTACAATCTACCGGTTGACTCAGGTTCAGAGAAGAGTTTCATCTCCTCTTTACTATGCAGCACTGTTACAATCTACTGGTTTACTTAAGCTCAGAGAAGAGTTTCCTCTCATCTCGCGCGCTGAGCAGAGCGTGCTAGACCCAGGAGATTGCTACCTTACAGAGACCAGTGCCAGACCTACGTGAACCACTTATGACACGGTTCATGCTAAGCCATATGTCAGTCGCGGTAGACGGGGGCGTCCCAATGAGCTGTCCACTTAGTTGAAACAGGTATCTGCTGTCGTACACGGCTTGATAGCCGCGGTAATTGGTCACTTCCACACGCTCATGGCTGATGTAAATCGTCATGTGATCGCTGATGACTTTTTCTTTGGATTCAACCGTCAGGTGACCATTAGTGGTGTAATCCTGGTGACCAGTGAAATCGTTGGTAAATATTAAAAAATTTTTATTGAGGCCATGTACCTCTGCGCCTTTAGTAGTTGTTCCCGCGTCGCCTCCTACAAGGAAAAAGAGAAGAAAGGAGAAATTGAAGCACGCGAAATCCTGATTCACCGTGAATCCATGTCCCCATTGAATTTCCAAAGCACATTGCTTTTATTCATGTGCAACGTGTTGGTAACTTCAGTCTCAGATGTATTTCAATAGTTTGTTTTCCTTAAACAAGAGTGAAGCATAAAGCTTTTATAGAGCATTAAAAAAGATGTTTTACTCCTATGCAGTGCCATGTCAATGTCAAGTCTCTTCTCTTACCATATCCATTGACAGTGGGCGAGTCGGCAATATCAAACGAGAATCCTGTCACTTGAGCCGCAAACCACAGGTCAATCCTGGCAGTTCGTTTGGAGCCCCAACATTTATCAAATGTTATGCGAATCTTTCCTGTGAATTTCAAGTAAGTTAAGAATATAATGTAAAAAGCATTTTACTAGTAATTTGAACCGTGACACACGTAAGTTAAGTTAGTTATTCAGTTAAGTTCATTTCAATTTAAACTCTTAACTCTAAACTCGGGCACATCCTGAATACTTTAAATAATAAAAGTTTTTCTAATGAAACATCTAACGCATCAGATCACGTCAAACTTAGCAGTTAGTTTGGAGCCACTTCTTGGGTCAAAACTTATTCGAAGCTTACCTGTAAATTACAAGTTATTACAAATTTAGTTTTTAAAAAAATGCCTTAATCAATTTAAGTAAAATGATGTCAGTTAGGCTCTTATTTACAAATTCTGGCACATCCTAAAGACTCTGGATTGCAACAGTTTTTCAAAAGAAACTTCCAACGCGTCGGACAGCGTCAAAGTAATTGACAGTAAATATCACGGTGTTCAGACTATGTTTTTCTTGGTACTATACTGATTTTGTTATTTCCTACCTTGGTTTGTACAAACTCCTGGCTTCACGTTCAAATGGTTCTCCCAAGCGATGTTGGCATCATTACCGTAAACTGCGTTCGTCTTTAGATCCACTTGGAGTACAGGGCTACGCGGATCTCTGGGCTGACTACAGCTTAAACAACTCGAGGCTATCAAGGAAAAACGGGATACGTTCTTCATCTCCTCTGAGGTTGCGATAGTTTTTTTTTTTTTTTTTTTTTTTTTTGAATGGATAAAGGGTACGGAAGGAAATCTGTAGCAGTAACTAAACTTCCCTCCTTTTTCTCTAGATCAAACAAAATGGCAATACAATGGAATTTATAAATTAAGGACGAGATTTGCTTTTATGAATTAGCTTTCGATAAGATGGTGAAGAATTTCAGCGGACCTCTGTAGAGTGAGCAAGAACAATTGCTGAAAATATTGAACGAGTTAACAAGTTTTGAATTCTGAAGGAGCAACTTGTGTTGTTCGATCTCGCATGAAATAGAAGGACAGAGTCATCAAAACTTAAGAATATTTAAGAGAAGAGACAAACTAAAAAAATAATAACTAAAAAATTGTCAATAATAAAACAAAAGCAGACCAAAGTGGATTAGTGGCCAGAGTGAATTAGTGTGATACCTGTGAAGGCGCTCAAGCTGGTCAAGACAATATAAAGAGTTATCGCAAGATCAAGTGTGATCATCTCGGTAGACTGAGGAAGACTGCTTATTAAACCACGAGCTCTAAAGACTGATGTCTGCTGAATGGTTGGGAATATGTTTCAAAAGTTACGTGGTGCTCGCTTTTATATGCATCAACTTTTCCATCACGCCCACGAGTCATTGTATAAACTTTCAAGTTGAAACGTCTTTCCTGTTGTCTCATATTTCATTCCTCGTTCGCATATCATGATACACAGGAACTAACATGTATTTCACGAGATTCACCAATCCATTGAAATGTTATACTCAACATTTCTGACAGCAAAGTACCCTTGACCTGAAAGCAGTCACACTGAAATATAAATCTACAGCAAATCAAAATCAAGAGAAAATGAGAAGGCAAATAAAATAGATGGCTACCAATCTGAAAGGATAAAATTTGTTTTGATCAAGAGGAGATTCGTTGCTTCATTTTTATGGTTTAAAATATATTTCCATGTTAGGACGACACGACTAATGCCAAAACATGTTTTGTGAACTAAACAATAATGTCTTAAGCGAATTGCTTCATTTCGTGTGAGCTTTTTCCTGTCTCGTTGATAGCACGTTAGTCAAAAAGATTATTTTCAGTCAAAAAAAATTCCATGCTTAATTCTAGCTGTCTGAAGTATTTTCACGCGAGCTGGTTCCCGTCCCGCCGATAACAAGTAGGTACGAGATTCAGCAATCCCGTTTGAAATCTCATACTCAAACAATTATACAAGCACAGTTCGTTCTTAATTGATCGCAGCCTGAGGGAGATCATCTGCCGATAAAATCGCGAGAAAACGAGGGGCAAATGAAATAGATACCTAAAAACTTATGAAGGTATTTTTCTGATCAAAACGATGATTGAATTACCTTCTAATGGTTTGAATAAAATACGTGAGAGCTGTTTCCCGTTTCATTGACACCATCTATGTTTTGAAAACAGGGCGTATATTGTATTTCACGAGGTCTTGTTTTTTACTGCTCTAACACATTTCTTCGGGAAAAGTCCGGTTAGATCTCAAGGAAGTTTGCGGGTAATGATCCGATGAAATCAAGAAAGAATGAGGTAGATAATCAGTTGTCCAAAAATAACACTTTTTTTTTCTTTAAAACGATTTTATTTGAAACCCAAAAAAGTTTGAAATCTGGCAATTGCTACACGTGTTAAACGATAAAAATATAACTATATTTAATCTGAAATATCGTAAGGGTTTCTTTATATTGGTGCCGGGGAAAGGAATGGAAATATTATATTAATTTAAACCATTCCTGCAAAAGTTATAAAAAGGCAGGTTGATTACTTCTTATTCCTTTTGGAAGTCCTATCTTAAAGGTAGAGTTTGGTCACGTTTTTCTCGTTATGATCGTGAAGTTGACATGGAAACGGTTGTTCAGTTTCTACGGTAATTAGAACTCGTGATAGTGTCTTGGGAAAGCTATGTTATTAATTAAGTTAATTTGTTAATCCAGGAAGTCAGTTTCTACGGTAATTAGAACTCGTTTGTTAATCCAGGAAGAGTGAATCTCTCTGGTAAAAGGTCACGTTCGACACCTCTCGTTCTTAAAGGTGTAAACATGTAATACCCTTCATGTTTCGCAATTAGATAGTTATCTAGCACGTAGCAACTTGGGGACGGTACTTGTGAACGCCCCTTCTTCTCCAACTTTTGTAATCATGATGTTGTTATGTAATGGTCTTCAAAGGCAATTTTCTCTTAAGATACCCCTTCAGATGTGAATGATATTCTGTCAATAGGTTAAGTATGATTTTTATATTACCAATTTTGTTCCTGTTCTGATCGATCTCAACTGTAAGAATAAGAAATTTAAGGTAGAAAATGATTTTGCAACTGCGCAAATAACTCGAAGGCGCATACCTAGTAAGCAGGAACTGTCACACGTAGTCTAACATGATCCGCTGGCTGAGATGGAACGATGACGATACAAGAAGATTGACAGCTTAGTAGTGTCATCTGCAGTGTCACCTCTATAAACGGTGACCCTCGCTTTTCTCATTAGATAGGAGTTAGTCCCCGTTGTAACAACTTGAGAAGAAAAGAGATTAAAGAAGAATCAACCAAACAAACAACGAGTGTTAGAGATTTTACATCTAACACACGGCTCAAATTCCAAAGTTAAAAGGTTTTTGCCGGCCAGGCGAGGTAAATTTCCCTCTCGCAAAGGGTCGTTGCCATTACCGACTCATTACCAAGATTGGAAAGGTCGACGTCCAATACTCCTTGCGTTACAATTTATATAACGAAATGTCTTTAAGAGAATATAAATTGTTTATAAGTTTGCCCTGGCGAGATGTAAACTGCTGGTAACATCTATCTTACAGAACTATTCATGGAACAATTTTTCGGCAACAAACTTATTGATCATCATGGTTATGAAGTCAGTGTAAGCACGACGGGGAAGCGTATCCACAAAAGTTAAGGGACGTAGTAATTTCTATCAGACAATTTTTTTGGCGTGTTACATTTTGGAACAGAGATTATCATTAGGTTCTAAGACTATATGCGCTTTTTTTAAAGTTTATAATTTTTGGCGTTTGTGTTTGGAACGTGAAATGTCCACCATCTGACAATACCATCCGTCAAGGTAGACGTCTCTTCGAATTTTTTGATTCACTGGCACAAAAAGTCCTAAGGGATCTCTGTTCTGCAATAATTTCAACAATTGCGATTTGTAAATTTTTCCTTAATCTTAGCGCAGTAAATCTTGATAAATCAAGGGGTCCCTCGAACTTTCTCTAGGTATATGAACTGACAAAGTTTGTTGCTTTGAGTCTTTTATTAATTACATAGTGCCTGACCGACTGTAGAGAAAGCATTCATCTGGGTGTAACAACAGTTGAAGTGTATATTCTTGGGTAAAATGAAGACAAATGAGTCTCCTGACTTATTGCCAATCCAGTTAAGGCCTAATGGCTTATGTTGGGCGACTCTGCCGACTCAAAGCGCAAAGATTACCGGATAGTGACGTCATGAAGTTGATAAAAATGTCAGACAAACGGGTGATATAATCTCTGTACCAAGCTTCGTTCTCTTGGAAATGTTTGTGCTACATGTGTCACCCCGAAGAGACTGGATAATTGGGATAGCGAATGAAATGGAAATCTCTTTTATACGTATTAAATGGGCTTATTGATGTGATTAACAGTTTGAATCTGCTCGTTTTTCTTTAAAAACTCAGCCGCTACACACACGCGTTCATATCAAGTCCTGAGGAAAGTAACGCAACGCTTATTAGGTGAGCATTGAGTGACTTTCCCCCAGAACGGCTGCTAAGGAGACTGATATACATAAAACGAGATTTTCCAGTTTACTTAATAGTGATAGCTTTTACTGTCATTTCCTTACTGCATAAAAAAAAACTTGAATTCTGAATTAATCGCATTTAGCCGAAGTGGTTGACTTCTTTTTCTTGTTTCGCTGAACCAACTTGTACCCCGTAGCTTTGATGTGCTTGTCGCCATTATCCGCGTTATTATAGCCTGGCTACCTGTCGTATTGGAGTCACAGATCACACATTCGTTCTTGATGTTGCCAACCAATCCTCGTTATGCTGGCAACCACCACGGTTGCCAGCATAACGTTAAACACCCCTTGTTACAGTTGGTTCGCAGTGAAAGATGAGAACCAATCAGCGACTTCCACGTGTTTTGACCCAGCGATGGTGAGCGGTAGTGTCCATCAGCAATCAACGAGTACAAGGAGTTGGTCGGTCTGTTGATGACAATGAGGTCGATCTGCTGGCCGATCTTCATCCCCAGACAGATCTTGGAGAAGGGTGTGTTCCAGTAGGTCGGTAGTTTGGTTTCACGATGGTCAAACCCAGTTTTCCCTCAAGGACGATTGAAGTCGGCCATGTTGGTCCAGGAGCTGGAATCATAGTGAAAGGTTCGCTAGAAATGAAAGTAGAAAAAATATCGGAGTAAAGAAGAAAGAGTATATTTTAATTCTAAAGGACACCCTTACTCGTTTGAATTCAAGAGATAAAATGAGTTTAATTATCAGCAATGCAACTGACTGTATTTCCAATAAGATACTTGGTATAAATCGAGATGATAACAGAAACGAGAACCCAGCGAGACCGAAGACGATGTGATCAGATAAATAGCCAAGAAAGTGTGTTTTTAAACTTTGAGTTACTTGCGGAATTAACATCAGGAAATTATGTAATTCCTCAGATTGTGCTCGGAGAATAAATCAATGTTGTGAATCTCACTTGGACATTTTATTACATTCTGTGATACTTTATCATTGTCGGCTTTTATTGTTCCATACCTTGCGGCTGTCAATTTTCATAACCAGCGTCCACTCCCTGCCTCCGCATCCTCCAATTCTAGAGCTGCTCATGCGACAGTAAAAATGAATTTTACCAATGTCAGTTTGGAGCATGTAGACTGTATTTCCTTTTCTATTTTTCCTTTTTTCTGATAGAAAAAATGACTTCTCTGCAAGATGTAAAGGATGAATCTACGGGAAATAAAAAAAGATAAGACATATCAATTTTAATGCCATCCAGACTAAAAAGGAAAAGACGGCTTAATAATTTCGATCACCACAAGAAACATCCCTCTGTAACAAATGAGAAAATATGACCAGATAATTTTAGCGCCATTAGCTTACTTACTCACTTGGTGAATTTAGTAGATTCAGTCCACGGGCGACAGTTTGTTTGAACTCAAGCAGGTACGGAAATGAACTAGTTCATTATTCAAGGTTGGATTCCAGGGAAATGGGGAAAGCAGGGGAGGTTAGAAAGTTTGTATAACTGAGAGTGCAATCGAGCGTTTCCAGTCAAGTATGAAGGAAATGAATCATACAAAGATCTGATAGAAGCGATATAAACGAGGAATATTAGCTTATGTTTTACAAAACATTAGTTATCAGCAGGCATTCCTACGGTGGCCGGTAAGAACAAAAGAGAGTCAAAACCTACCACACAAACATAAACTTAAAACAGAATCACAAAATCCGCAACACTGACACAAAACTCTACAACACAAACACAAACTTAAAGCAGAATCACAAAATCCGCAACACTAACACAAATCTCTAGAACACAAACACAAAATCCGCAACGCTAACACAAAACTCTACAACACAAACACAAACTTAAAACAGAATCACAAAATCCGCAACGCTAACACAAAACTCTACAACACAAGCACAAACTTCAAACAGAATCACAAAATCCGCAACGCTAACACAAAGCTCTACAACACAAACACAAACTTAAGTTTGTGTTTGTGTTGTAGGTTTTGTGACTCTGTTTTGTTCTTACCGGCCATCGTACATTCCATATGCAAGCTGACTAATGCTTGCAATTAGCGCGGGAAACAGGTTCCATTTCATTTTGTACATCATGTATGCTCATGCAAAATATCCTAGAGTTTTGAATGACACTCACACAGCACATTTCGCTCCAGATGCGTACCCGCTGAGTACAACTAAGTTAATTTTTCTCGACAGAGGGTTTGAAATTTCTATTTACGCTCGACAATTGGTTAGATATGTAATCTAAGTAATGAATTACTGCCCAGAGACGGTTATAGTGCACTCTGCATTTTTTCTTGCTGAAAGTTTGCAAAGTTTGACCAAATTGGAGAAAGGCAAGGGCACAAGAGCAGTTCAGATCGTTTCAAAGGCCATCAAAGAAGTAACTGGAGAATTGCTTGTAGACGACAAAGGCAGGTTGCCCCAGGTTGAAGTCAGAAGACTTGAGTTTAAGATTCACTCCTGGATATTTGCTTCGCTGCTTAAAGCATATGGCGGTCTTAAGTTCGACGATTCTCGCGAAGAGGATTATTTCGACAGTTTTCCTCCTCTGCCAGGGATGGGTGTCGAGTTCTATCTCGAGCTGCTACAGGAAGTGGGATGGAATGAGCTTTTAGTCGAGGTATGATTGAAGTTATTCTTTAAGACAACCATCCTGCAATTTTCGGAAAAATAAGCTGGTTGTTGTCTCCTTGCGAAGTATTTTTTTATATTACGGTTGAGTGTAATCTTACTCTCCTCAAACCTATCAATGTTAATACAGATCTAGAAGTAGGCCGCAGGAATCACATAATTTATTTTGGGGGCATCGAAAAATATGATGAACAGTCTTTCTGCTCTCCATAATTTGAGACTCCAAAGAGTACCACTAGCTGTCCAAGAGTGACCCCTGGGAGTGACAAGCATCTAACTTCTCCTTACAATATCACCCCTGAATCAAGCATTAAGGTAACAAGAACAAGGGAAATTATTTAACAGTAGACTTACTACGAAAACTCTGATTTGCCGAGAGCATACAGTCAATATTCAATAACATGTGAACTTAATATGATTACTCAATATCTGCAAGAGATATTTGGTTATTGAATTGTCAAGTTTAAAGTCTACCTACTTTCCAAGCCCCTAATCTGTGTAGTGTTCTCAAATGTTTGCAGACTTAGGGAGAAGTGTCTTCTTTTTCAGTTTGTCTAAAAAATGTATAATCACACAATTATTAAATTTGGTTTTTGCATGATATCATGAATTACCAAACCTCATATTTGTGTTATCTGCCTCAGCATCCAGCTTCAGCAGACACATGTACCTCAGACCTCAGCATTGATAAATCATGATGTCATGCTCCACCTCATCCAATAATTGCTTATAATCACCAACCAAAGGAGCTCTTGATTGTTTAAAAAATTCTCTGTCAGCACTCTATGAAATGTATTTAGAACAGTATGGAGGATATTCATCACAATATTAGGGTTAAAAGGTTAAAAATTTTTACCATGAGATGGATGCTCCAATTTTGGTATTTTTGGTATTGTTGTGGTGTTAAAATTTTGATAATCTGTCTCTCCTTCTATTATTGCAGTGTCTTTGTGTACTAGATGGATACAATATAACTTCTCTTTTGGTGGATATCATTAAAGTCCTTACTCAAGAACCCAGTTGTGAGGATCTCTCTCTTTTCCTCTGTCTTTTCAATTCTCTGCTCATGTCCAGAAGCTTTCATCGCCCATCTCTTGATGAAGATAATAAACTGGACAAAACATGCAAAGAAAAGTCATGCTCTTTACTGTTGTTGGAGGGTGTAATGCTTCTTAGAAGGAAATTTGTTGCCTGGCCAGCTGCACAGCTTAATATATTGAAAAGTGTAATTGACTTTGTTTTTACAGATGTCACTTGTTTGGACTTCGTACTAGATAGTTCAAATACAGATGGTAATATTTTGTGCGGAATCTGTTGGCTACAAAATTATGTTTCTTGCAAACACCAACCTTTTACAATAGAGGAAGATAAAGTTCAAGATCACAAAAAAAATTTGGGTGACAAATCAGAACACAATGAAAAGACAGAATCTTTTGGCAATCACAAGCTTCATGTGGATGTTGTTGTTTCAGCAGAATGTACTGCTTGTTTTAGCTTTTTATGTCAAGTGATAATAAATGATTGGAGTGAGGTGTCACACTGGATTCAAGGTGATTTGATTGACAATAGTATTGGCGAACTAGACTCCAGTTCCTGGCTGCCTTTACACAGGTGGTTAATTAAGCTTTATGCTTTGGCCTGGTGCATTGGGTCACACTCTCAAGATGATATATTACACAAGCAGGCAAAGAATCTGCAAACTGGTTTGGCACAGTATGTGGAAAAGCATGCAACAGAGGCAGAGCTTAACTGGATTGATAGCTTGAAGCAAGGGGAGTTGATGGACTTTAAGGAAAGTTGCTGTGAAGAAGAATTCAGTTCTCCACTTGGTAAGTACAAAAAAAGATTTTCCATTCAAGAGTTTTGAGGATTTAGGAATAAAAAACTGAATGAAAGATTTCTTGTCTATGATTTGGACAAATATCTGATACCAGTAGCATACATTTTTACCTTATTTTGACCCACAGTCATGTTGGGACAACTGCCTTACTTTCCCACTGGTTCTTTTTAAACTGTGATAAACTAGAATCTCATTCAGGAGTAATGAAAGTATGTGATACTCCTATTTAGAGCATGGTAAGAATGAGCTGTGGTAGTTTGTTGGTTCCATAAACAGAGTGACATAAAAAAGGAACAAACTCACCCAAAGTGTGTCTTACTCTATAACATACTTATCTGTTACATTTTCTTTCAGGATCTGTAGATTTGCTGCTGTTTCAAGCAGAAAGTACAGAGGACCAATTCCATTTCTATTTACAAAGAGTCAATAACAGATTGGAAGGTTACAAGGAGTGCTTTGATTGGCTGTTGAGTGCAGAGGAATTTCATGGAGACTCTGATTGGTTAGAATGCATGAGAAACCATGCTGTGGAAATAAGTGAGGCTCAACATGCGCTTAAAATAATAGACATCATCTACATGCAAAGGCAGAGTCTTTGTGCCGACAACATGAGTAGTGATATGATTTACAAAGAATTGAAGGAGGTAAGCTAGATGGTTAACAACATTGTTGTTGAATATGAAATAAGTGCCTTTGCACAGACTCCTAAACTTAGTTATGTATAAATTCTTCTGCCAAATGTTTTTCACCAGCTATTCTCCATGACCCTTCCACAACAGAATTTTCGTCAGTAGATGGGACATTAATCTGCTTTTGATACCCCCAGCTTCTTGGAATCTATGATGACCTTTAGTGTACTTGGAAATTTTTGTTCACTCGTGGATTGGAGCAAAAAAATTAAGAACTACTCTAAAGGCTGATATTATAAAATCTCTCATCCAGAACTAAATTTACTTCTAAATCATTTTCTTCTAATTTTTCCAACACCCTGTGCCAACTTTGTTTTATTCATCAAGTTGTCTAAAATGTATTCATACATGTGTGAAGTAAAGTGGGACTGGGAAATGCATTTCTCCTGGTTGATATTTTTTCCTTTTTTCTGGTCACTTTTTAGCTTGAAAATATAATTATTGATAGTGTAGGGATGAATTGTTTTTGGTCACTTTTGGGAGGGAAATTGTTAACTGTGATTGCCCCCCTTATAAAACCTTGGTCACAATAAAAAGGAGATCAGGTTAACCCTGGAACCCCTAAGAGTGACTCAAGCATCTAATTTCTCCTTACATTGTCAACCCTGAATCACACATTAAGGTAATGAGAATGAAGGAAATGATCACCAACTGATGAAGCTCTTGACTATTAAACAAATTCTCTTTGTCAGCACCTTAGGAAATGTAGAGAGAACAGTATGGAGAATATGCATACTGATGTAGGGATGGAAAGGGTTATAGAGATGGTAAAATGTGAAAGAAATTTTTCCTTAATTTTTTTGTTACATCGTAAAAAGTGGTTACAATTATAACAAGTTGGTCACATATAAAGTAGAGGCTAGTTTTATGGGAGTCTCAGTAAGTTTTCTGTCTTTGAATGTTGTTTTTATTAAATTCTTTTTCAGATCTTGTTGACTCTGTATTCCAATCTGGCTTACCCTGCTCAAGAACAGATCATAGAGTATGCTTTCTTCATGTCTAGCTGCTTACCTTCTCCTGAAAATGACTCAATATTTTTCCATCCATGGTTCATGGCAGAGGAGAGAGCAAATTTTCAGCTTGAGCTCGTCTTGACCTTCAATAAACTTATTGATATTGATACTGATATTGGCAGTGATGATCAGTTGAAGTCCTCAACAAAAGAGTTGACAAGAGCTGCTCTGATATCAGTGCCCTTGACTCTTAACAAGGCTTTGCAAGAAGGAATAAAGAGTCCGGCTCACACAAAAGCAATTTGTTCTGTAAGTTGATGGTTGGAGATTGTTTCATGATACAGAGATGGGATAAAAATAGACACAACCATCAAAAACAACCATCTGGCTGATGAGGTTGTTTATTCTTATGGTCTATTTGTTGTTTAATGTATGGAAATTGTGAGGAGAAGCTACCTTTTCACCATCTCTAGTAGTTGAAGGATTAAAATTTGGTCTCACCAACACTTTATCTTGTTGACAAGTAATTAAGATAAGCTGTTTGCCAAGCAAGGAAATCACCATGTCCTGGGCAACCAGATTGTTTTTTGTTTTTTGTTTTTTTTTTTAAGCCATGACAGAGTTTGTTGTGAGAAACATGTTCACCAGTTGGAAGTTATCTGCTCAGGAAGAACTCATTTCTAAATGCCACTGTGTAAAGATTTTGTGGATAAATGGTTTCAATAGTTTCATGAGAAACAATCAAACCTCCATATCATTCTTTTCATGTCTGCTGCTCATAATAGATAAAATTTAACATCTGATATTGAATAAATGTTATTGTGTGTTTTACCATAGTTGTTTTCATTATTAGTCTTTTAGTATCAATAAAAATATGGTTTTATTTCAGGTATTACAAAAGTTTCCTAATTTGTGTGTATTGAGATACAACAAATCTTCTTCCTCGAGAACATTACTGTGCCAGGCAGTTATCACAACCACAGTGAATGTGTCATCAAGACAACAGGAGAGCAACCTGTTAACAATGGTAGCTGTTATGTTGACTGTGAGTACTTTTTTGCACAAATAGAACAAATAAAAGTACTCATTTGGAAATCATTGTGCCATGTGTGCAGGAGTTTTCATTATCACCTATCCACCATAGAGTAATATATCATTGAGATAACATTATTTGTGTGAAAAGAAGTCAGTTATTGAGCTGGCTGGCATGCCATTTTAAATCTGTAATTAAGTCAGCCTTGTTACTTGTATGCTTGTGTGTAGGGAAAAAGCAGGTTTTGAAGATTTGCATTTTATTGAGGGTTTTCCTGGAGTGTTAGAGTTCACCAAGTTACTATTTGGGTGGTATTTTTTTTCTAACTGCATACAAGCAGCTCTTTTAAACAACAGCAATGTTAGGTGGGGCAGGGTCTGTGGACCACCTACTTAGCATTGCATTTTCCTTTCACCAACAGGTTTAATCATTGCCCTGTGGAACATAGACAGCCTAATCATGAATGTCTAATAATATACCACTTTGCCATAGCACTTCATGGGCAACAACAATTATTCTCTCTTTTTCCCCTACCATTTTTTCTTGCAGGCAAGTTCTTCACAACTACTTGATGTCCAGGAGTTCATACAAGCAGTTGTGTTACCATTTTTAAACAACAGCAACATGGAAGACAATATTCCCACTGTTCTTGCCCTCAAACTTCTTGATACAGCAATGGAAACTGTTTCTGTCGTACCCCATCTACTCCTCCTCAAAAGGCATTTGCCTACCATCATCATTTGCCTCTGTGAATTGCTCAATGATTGTAATGTATTTTGGAAAGGCATGGCCCCAGAACACTCTCTGCTAGAGATGGAAGAGTTAAGGGAACTGGTGCTTAAGGCTTTGGACATTGAAATCGAAATCTGTCTAGAGGTTATAAAAATCAATCCTTCATTCGCAAGAGCTGTAGAGTGGCTGTTAAAAAGAATAAGGGATGGATTTGGTAATTAGAAATCTTTAAATTTTGTGTTACTGTAGAATACACTTAATCAAATCTACTTAACAGTGTAGAATCAATCATTGCATTGTGACTTCAGAATTATAGCTTTAATGTAAAATCATGGTTTGAGATTGAAAATTGTTGATACTGAGCATTTTTCGGTTAACAGACTGGACTATTTCTCTTCATTTGGACGAACTCTTCACTGCAGCATCTACAATGTACAAACTGGCTATTCCTCCATGTTTATTGATGGTATGTTTGGAGCCTGGAGACAAGTGGACAGTCAATGAAGACTTGGCATATGGTAACTAGTTATATTTCTTTTAGATTCACCAATGATATCATATTTCTGCAAGACTGAGACAATAATCTTTCACAATGGTTAAAAGATTATCTGCTGAATTTCTGACATGTCAAAGCCCACATGGAATATCCAAATAGCCTAAAAAATTTTCGGTATTCTGCACATGTCTTTGATAGGAAATGACACTAGCTTTTTGCCATTTCATTGCAATGGAATTTTTGTGTTGATGCATGCTACTACCCTCTGCAACGATTAAAGTTTATTCAACAGAACATTGGCATAATGGTTGTAAAATTGTCTTCCCCTCCTCACTAAAAAACATAGACATTAGCAAAGGGTTCTCCATGGTACTAGTCATTTATGTCTTGACCATAATTGTGGGCTGTAAAAAGCCATAAATGACCATAATTTTGAGTCCACCACCTGTTTCACTTGATACTGATAAACATTACCTTTCACTTTCACACTATATTTATTTTCTTAAATTTGACATACAAAAAAATATTACTTTGACCTGCAGATAGCAGATGCTGTTCGAGGCGTGTCGATTTTCTTATTGATTGAATTAAATTTAACTTAATTAAATTATACTAGAACCAATACAGAAATGAAGAACTAATACTTAAAAAGACATTAAAAGATTCAAAAGAAAAGAAAAAGGAAAATAAAAGACGCTCTTTGTAAAAGAGAAAAAAGCCCTTGAATTTCTAAGGTTACTAAAAATGTTGTAGAACTGGTCAAATTCGACACAATTTTGAAGTGTTGTCATCTTATTTTCGATCTCAACTTCTTTATGCTAGGATTTTCTTTTTGGTTGTAGTTTTGTTTAGGCAGAAAGTGACAACATAAGCTACCTACTTTGATGCAAAGTCAATTATTTTCAAGGCGTTTTGACGGCGATGTTCCTTACTTTATCATATAAACTTATTGTTTTTCAGGCTCTGAGGGTGTGTTTACAGTTCTGTTTGAATACTGTCGTGTGTCAGACACTGCTTTAGAATGTATTCTGGAGAGATTTGTGTCAAATAAGCTGCCCAGTGAACCGGAGGACATTAGAATACGAGTAGTGACCAGCCTAGTGCAGGTATGGAAACATTTTCTTTCCAGCTGTGCCAGTGTCGTCAGAATTTGGGAGGCGGGTGGCGTGGTGGCTGGGCAGCTATTGAGGTGGTTGGCTGGACACGGTTTTTCGAGGGGTGGATAACGCTATCCACTGGAAAAATCTTCATCCGGTGGATAGCCCAGTACGTTTTGTTAACACTTATCCGCTTGATAGCGATTTATCCGTTGGATAGCGTTATCCGCCCGCTATATAACTGGACCCTGATCTATAAACCCAAGTTATGTCCTGTCTGGTACATTGTGTTGTGTTCTTGGGCAAGACACGTTATATGTAAAGTGCCTCTCTTCAACCAGGGACATGAATGGGCACCGTTATACTTTTAAGGATGCATAAATGATTGATACAATATCTGGAGAAATTCTGGATGGTAATTTGAATTTAACCAGAAGCCCACTGCTGCAGTATACTTTAGAACTGGGTTAAACTGGCGTAGTCATGCCTGTCGTTTTTATGTTCAGACTTAAAATTACCTTACAGTTATTAGGAATTTTAGTCTTCCTTTTTTTAATCCCCATGAAACGGTTGCCCTTCTGTAAATTTTTGTACACGAGAAATCGAAACCACGCAAAAGTTATTATCTTCGGTTACCGCTCGCTACCCTTGAATAACTGTTTGTAATTCAGTTGTGTAAATCTACGGGCGTTCCCGGCATCACAAATGTTGCAATCTGATTGGCAGCGCCACTCGCTATCTATTCCGTGATAGACAGTCAATAAAATGAGTTACTTAACATTGTGAAGTTGTAAACAAAATTGAATTAGAACCTTAGTCGGTTTTTTGTTTTTGCTAAGTTTGAGACGACTTGTGGATTAAGATACGAAAACCATTAAATAATTCCCTAGATTTATATGTGCGACAGTTGACCTGCGATAGAAACATCGAGCTCGTAATCTAATTTTTAAATAATTTCAAGTAAAAATGAGAGTTAGACCTTGTTGACAAGCCCAGTTTGTTATGCTTTGCAGATTCTTCCCCATTGCACGTGGAAAGAATGGAAGAGAATTCTTGCAGTGTGTCAGTTCCTTATCAAGAGACATGTTATTCCGGTAAATCTTTTCACGTGACGTTGTTTGGTTCAATGGCACATAACACAGGAGTAGGAAGAGTTGTGTTAGAAGCAAAGTGACCCCAAAACTTTAAAAGGGCAAGCGAAACTTAGTAACTGAAACATGAAACGAAACGAGTGTCGATAGTGATCTAGGACGCCAATGGTTTTGCTTTACGTTTTTCTGTGATTGGCCAAGGAAACACCTCCATCGCTCCAATATTAAACTCAAAACTAACACCAATCGCGCCACTTCATCGCCCCTAAGATCTTCGGTTGAGTTCTCAGTGACTGAAATATTTAAACAGCAGTTTTAAAGTCGCTGCTGTGTAATTCTGGATGTTACTCAATCAGGGAAGAAAACACAGCTGCTATTATAATCACCTGGTTATTCATACATGACCTATCATTCACTCCGTGTTCAGTGAATGCTGTCAAATAGTCCCAATGTCTAAGTGAATGTTGAATGGTTAAACCCAGAACTGATTTTGATCACAGGGCTAGAAAACTGCTTTTCTCTAATGTCCTCTTTTATCGACTGTTACTCTCCAAAACTGGAGTTGCTTCAAAGCGTTTGTATGTCATTTCTCTGTATTTCTCTGCCAGGTTTGTTCCTTTAGTGGTGTTTTGTGCCTCAAAACAGAAGATGACGGTCAAGGTAAGTGCTTGGAAGTAGAGACAAGGATACTTTTGCTACTTTATTTTCATTGTTTTTATAAATAGTCTTACATGAATACTCCTAATCTCAGACGCCAACGCAACTAAAGGGAATCGTAATCAAGGGCGTAGCCAGCTTCTAGACTTGTTGTAGGCCTATTCCCCCAGAAAGTTCAATTTTTGTTTCAACATTTGCAAGAGTCATATTATATGAAAGTCAAGCGGGCAGGAAAAAAAAAGATTAAGTAGGCTTTGGGCTGGCTACGCCCCTAGTAATAATAAATGTTCAACGCAACGGATTCTATTTAATTTCAATCAGTTCTAACATTTTGTACCGTTCCTCAATCAAAATGATTTCTCAACAGAAACTTCTCTCTAGTTGGGTTTAGAATTTAATCAGAAAGAGGCCTTGAGATAAGACAATTATTTTAATGATTATTAATTATAAGGAATTTTTTTTATTTAGTTTCAGATGTGTGTGAACTTTCTGCGTTGCTCTTAAATATGATGGAAACTCTTGGTAGCCCCTTGTGCAATTCGTGGGCCACCCCTCATGTGTGGCTTTACGTCATTAAGCATTATATCACCGCAATAAAAGAAGCTGTGAATGAAAACGTGAGTAAAACATTCTTTCTTTTTTTTTTCTTTTTCGATTCCCACCTGTAACCACAAAGTAGACTTGTTGAAGAAATGTATAAGGTTTAAAAGTTGGTCAAAAATTGTTCTGTCATTGCCATGAAGTTTACATTCCGGTCTATTGAGATATGTTTAAACTTCGGCATTTGCCACCGAGAAGTCATTCTTGTAAGTTTTTTTTTTTCAGCTAATAAACCACAATGGCTTACTAGATACTTGCTGGTGTCTTAAACTGATATAGCAAAGTATGGTGAAGTGTGGTCTCTGTTTCGTTTCAGACCAATGCGATGGTAACAGCATCCGTATTTGGACATCTTTGTCACGTGATGACCTTTGCACCAGTTGTCTGCCTGGATCAGTTGTTCGTTCTTTGCCTAGACTTGGTAACCAGGCCTTCAGTGTCCAGCAGTGACGTTATTGAGTGGATGAAGATGTCAATCAACAGATTGTCATCTCAGGTGCACAAGACAGCCCTGATGCAAAAACTGGCTCAAAGTAATTAAATGACTGCAAATTTCAAACAATGTTGAAGATACCGCTAGCTATGGCAGACGCGTTTTGGGAAAATCGTTTGACTGCAAAGAGGGAAAGTATGTTTTTGAGATCTCAGAATGAAGCCGATCGTAGCTCTGAGAGAGTGTATCCAGCTGCCTTAGCACGACAAAGACATAAATGCTCTTTTTCATCGTAGAAAATAAAGTTCTTAAACAATTTTTATCTTTCTTTTAATCTTTCTTGAATTTCATACTGAAGTATGTGTATTCCAAAACAGGTTTACCTGACGTGTATCTTTATTGTAAGACGTAAACATGATGTGTCTTTAATTTATACTAACTATACTGGATGTGCAAAAGCGTGAGTGATTTAGTCATCTGTCTAATGTTAGCAATAAGAGAAAGTAAAAAGAATGTAATAAACTGTGTAGCAATGTTCACCAAATGAGGACTGCAACATTTTCGTTTCCTTATTTATTTGCGATATTTAGACATGCTGGCCCAGTTTATCTTTAAAGCTGGTTTAAATGGGGGTGGGGGTAGGGGGGTTCTGTACAAACAATGACAAGGCAAGACCACAACATCGGGAGATACGTTCCCTACTCTTTGCGAGAGGTGTGTGGGTTCTTTTATGTCCCCTTGCTCTTATAACCAATACAGAGAGGATGCAGGAGACGTCCTTATCCTAGACTAGAATGTAAAACATCATTTGAAAGTTACTTTCACGGTAGCACTTGTATTAAAATCACCCTACGTGAGAAATCTAAATTGCTGTTGACGTGGGTAGGTAGAAAAGTTCACAATCGGAAATAAGAACACTAACGAGTTGAGCTTTATCGTTGCTTGCGATGCTTTGGCGAAAAGATGCCCACTTTGGTGCTGTTTTTATACAAATTATGCTGCAATGAATGGCTGATAACCATTATTCTCAGAAAATCTTTAAAGTTTTTAGAACTTTTCACTACTATTATTAACCTCATTCTTGTTTAACTCATGGTGTTAAGGAAGTCTTCCACTGAGATTTAGGACCTTTTGAAGAGAACTGTGAGTACAGTAGCAGAGTCCAGAGTACAGCTGTATTTAGCCTTCCTCTTCGTAACTCAAAATCTTTCAAAAAGTGAGTAACGATGATTGCAATTCAATATCGGCCACCGCCCTTCTGAAAACAGTTCCGTCAGTGATTGTTTAGCATAACTGAAAGTTGAAAATCCAGCGAAAAAAAATTTACGACTACACCAGTTTCATGAACTAGGTTGTACCTCTGATATTCTGTACTGATATTACGATGTAAAGGGTTAAGTAAGGCATCCTACTTCGTTTTATAACTGAACCTATCAGATCGTAGAACACGGTGTCGATTATTTTAAACCCGCCTTTTGAAGTCCGAAAACTCATTTGAATTACAAATAATTTTCGAAATTAATATTTATATTTGCGCTCAGTCTTGCACGTGGAAAGAGTTTACGATCTACAAGAGATTTGAATGTCTTTTTTAGCTTCTCTGGAGTCAAGAAACACGTTATTTTCACCCTATTACATTGGATATTGTCTGTTCCGTCCAGGTCGGCGAGTGTTTCTTATGCTGGATCAGTTGGTTCAGACACCATGTCGAGAATTCGTACTTTCCACTTTGTCACAAGTTTTCTACAGGTAAATCATTTATGGAAAGATACATTTGGACAGGAATGCAGTGTTCGTCTTTCTTGTTGTGGCTATTACAAAATTAACGAACACAGTCAAATGTAAGAGGAGCGTATTACATACAGAACAGTGTAAGACAATTCCTCAGCGGCAGACGCCATGATAGTTCTTCTTGAACGTGACTTAAGTGGCAACGCGAGAAATTCCTTCTAGTATGTTTTTGTACTTACAGCTTTTTACTTATTTATCTTTTCATTCCAGAAATGTTTTTCCATTAGCTTTTATGATTGTACCGTGTTGATCTAAAACGTTCATCGTGTTATTTCTCTATTCTTGCTTTTGCCAACACAAAAAAATCCTATTTCGTATCATTATATTTTATTCCTTATCCTATCGAAACAGTAGCATCTTTGTAATACTTATGAATGGGGATATAAAATTGATAGATAATTAGTGAAAATTGATTACACATTTTGTTTACGAATGCTTACATGGTGATTTCAAGGAAATCTTCTAAAACCTTTGTTTAATAAGACTAAAGGACATTAAATTCGTTAGCAGAAAATGTGGTGGCTCTAAATGAGATCTTCGATCCTGACGTTGACCTTATTATTTAGATTGAAAAGCATTTACGTATAAACGTATTCACAATATATTTGTCTATATTTTCCTCCATGCAGTATAAGAAGAAAATGAGAACATCTCGAAATCAAGAAAGTCAAGAAAGGAAAGAAATTCACGACAACTCCCAACAAGGTTAGATAACCTCCTTTATTATAAAGAAGCTATCGAAGCCTATACGTTTACGTTGAACAATTTAACCTGGATTTAGCAAATTTTTCCCGAAACCAACTCAATCAATTATGAGGTAAAACTGCAAACTAGTTAAACATGAATCAATTTCTTCAATGATTTCTTGGATCTATTTCTGATTGAAGTGGCTCAGTTTCAATTTTGAGCAGTTCTGTTTCACCAGTGTCAAATAAATACTTTGTTATTATTGTGCATGTTATGACAATCCATCTGACCCATCAAATTACCATAGCAACGGTTTAGCCTGTCAAATTATCTTCAAGTTCTAAGATTAGAGAATACTTGTAATATTGATATCGATCACCCAACTACTCCTATATCTTTTCAAAGAGATTACTTACTCGCAAAATGCAGACATTTTACAAGGTTTAAGTCTCTAGCCTAGCATGTTTCGTATCTGCCCAGGGACCTTGAATTTGCATTAAAATGTTTGCCTGGATTTAGCTTGGCTTCACACAAGGATTATTACTTATAAACGTAATACTACCCTAGGCTACGGCTAAAAGATTTTATCACTAACTCATATCGAACTTTTTCATCATGATTCAATTAAAAATCTTGGAGCCTAATCATTATTAACGTCTGAGCCCTTGCGCCGAAAACCAAATTGAAATAGTCTACTTCAAAACTTTGTGTTTGCATCTCGGAGTGCCTCTACAGTTTATCATCAACTGATAAAGAAAATTTTTTTAGGTTATATAGCAATGTCGTAAAAATTATCAGTCAAATTCTGACGGTTAACGGCTAAATTTCAGGGCCTTTGACGGTTGACGTGTATTGGTTAAAAACAATATTAGGTGTTTCTGTTTTTTTTAAGACGAAAAATGAGTGTTTCCTCAATATCTTATGTACTTTCGCAATTCGCTTTCACTGGATTGTTACGTTACTATCTTGCGCACATTTAGGATTGTCTTTGATTGGATTGTTACTCTAGCATCTTGCGCACGTTTGGGATTCTCTTTCATTGGATTGGTACGTTAGTATCTCGCGCACATTTAGAGTTCTTTTTCATCGGATTGTTACGTTACTATCTTGCGCACTTTTAGGATTCTCTTTCATTGGATTGTTTCGTTAGTATCTCGTTCACGTTTGGGATTCTCTTTCATCGGATTGTTTCGCGAGCATTTTACACGTATATAAGATTCTCTTTCATCGGATTGCCACGTTAGTATTCTGAGCACATTTAGGAATCTCTTTAATCGGATTGTTACGTTAGTGTCTTGTGTGCTATTAGGATTCTCTTTCATTGAATTGTTACGTCAGTAACTTGCGCACGTTTAGGGTTCTCTTTCATCGGATTTTTACGTTAGTATCTCGCGTACTTTAAGGATTTTCTTTAATCGGATTCTTGTTAGTTATTCGCACATTTCTGGGATTCTCTTTCACTGGACTGGTACTTTATTATGTCGCATACTTTAAGGATTATCTTTCATCGGATTGTTACGTTAGTGTCTTGTGCATATTTAGAACTCTCTTTCATTGGATTGTTACGTTAATATCTGGCGTACTTGTAGGATTCTCTTTCATTGGATTGTTACGCTAGTATCTCGCGCAGATAGTGAATTCTCTCTCATTGGATTGTTACGTTAGTGTCGTGTGTAGATTAAGGATTCTCTCTCATTGGATTGTTACGTAAGCATCTCACGCACATTTAAAATAGTCTGTCATCGAATTGTTACGTTAGTATCTTGCGCAGATTAAAGATTCTCTCTCATTGGATTGTTACGTAAGTATCTTGCGCACATTCAGAATTCTCTATCATCGAATTGTTACATTAGTATCTTGCTCAGATTAATGAGTCTCTCTCATTGGATTGTTGCGTAAGTATCTCGCAGACATTTAGAACTCTCTGTCATCGAATTGTTACGTTAGTATCTTGCGCAGATTAAAGATTCTCTGTCATTGGATTGTTACGTTAGTATCTTGCACGGATTAAGGATTCTCTTTCATTGGATTGTAACGTTAGTATCTCGCGCACGTTTAGGATTCTCTTTCACTGGATTGTTACATTAGTGTCTTGCGCAGATTAAGGATTCTCTCCCATTGAATTATTACGCTAGTATCTTGCACAGATTAAAGATTCTCTTTAATTGGATTGTAACGTTAGTATCTCGCGCACGATTAGGATTTTCTTTCATCGAATTGCTGCATTAGTATCTTGCCCAACTTAAGGACTCTCTCTCATTGGATTGTTACGTTAGTATCTTGCGCAGATTTAAGGTTCTCTTTCATTAGATTTTAACGATAGTATCTCGCGCACGTTTAGGATTCTCTTTCATCGAATTGCCACGTTAGTATCTTGCGCAAATTTAGGATTCTCTCTCATTGAATTATTACGCTAGTATCTTGCGCAGATTAAAGATTCGCTTTCATTGGATTGTTACGTTAGTATCTCGCGCACGTTTAGAATTCTCTTTCGTCGAATTGCTACGTTAGTATCTTGCACAAATTAAGGATTCTCTCTCATTGGATTGTTACATTAGTACCTTGAGCAGATTAAAGATTCTCTCTCACTGGATTGTTACGTTAGTAGCTTGCACACATTTCGGATTCTCTTTTATCGAATTGTTACGCTAGTATCTTGCGCAGATTAAGATTTCTCTCACATTGAATTATTACGTTAGTATCTTGCGCAGATTAAAGATTCCCTTTCATTGGATTGTTACGTTAGTATCTCACGCACGTTTAGGATTCTCTTTCATTGGATTGTTACGTTAGTATCTTGCACAGATTAAGGATTCTCTCTCATTAGATTGTTTTGTTAGTATCTCGTGCACGTTTAGGATTCTCTTTCATTGGATTGTTATATTAGTATCTTGCGCAGATTAGGGATTCTCTCTCATTGGATTGTTACGTTAGTATCTTGCGCAGATTAAAGATTCTTTTTCATTGGATTGTTACGTTAGTATTTCGCGCACGTTTAGGATTCTCTTTCATCGAATTGTTACGTTAGTATCTCGCGCAGATTAAGGATTCTCTCTCATT